CGCAAAATTTTTATGTTGTTCTCCCCTTCGAGTTGTCGAAGCAAAATATTGAGTCAATTCAAAAAAGCTGAGGAAATGCTACGCAAACTTCTTATACGCAATACTCTATGAATGAAAGTTGGTGAACTTTTTCGAAAAGTTTGCAAACTTTTGAAAAAAAAAAGAGAAACCTTTTGCAAAGTTCGTTTACAAATGGTTTAAGAGTTCAGAAAGTGAAGGTGAAACTGGAATCTTGGCTTTGTTTTCCATTTTCGAAAGATATTCATAAAAATATGGCTGAATTGTACAAAATTTTGAGAACTGCTACGAAAAAAATCTTCTTCCTGAAAGGATCACATTAATGAGCGCTTTAGAAAAAACTTGAAATTCATCTGGAGAATTTCGCATTGGCATTTTAGTTTTCAAATAAAACTGATACTCAAAAAAAATTTTTTTCGCTTTTTTGCTGTAATTTGTAACGATCAAGTTTTCAAATTTGATAGTTTTCAAATTAAATCAGTTGGAAAAAAATAAGCAAAGAAGCTTCAAAATTTCAGAAATTTCAAATGATCTCAGCCTATTCAAATCTTCAGATCAGAATGATCAAGTTATCTATTCTTAAAACTTACTGATAGCGTTAAAAAAACGCGTCAAAAGGCCCAAAAATCGATCGATAACTAAGAAAGTAGGATAGGACGGATGAACTGTGAGGTAATTGCTAGACATGGGGTCGGAGAGTTGGCGACGACCACACGATGCATTGTTTGACAAGACGGCGCCAGTCGGTGCGCAATGAGACAGCGCGTAAACCGCGGAGAGTCCGAGACACAAGTCGCCCAACGGGCAGGTAAAAAGTGCGAAAGTGAGATAAATGTCTTGTATACGCCTATGGACATCAAGTTAACGTCTTGATTCTCGTTTCAGTTGAATTTTTCGGAGAAAAAGTGAAATGAAGGATTTCTCATCTTTCAACCTGGTTTGAAGCGCTTCAAACTTTATTTTGTGAGAAGCGGCATAAATTATTCCAATCACCGTTCGATCGGTTCGAAGAAAAGATTGAACGCCCTGGGTTCGGATTTTGGATCAAAAACGCAGAATTTCTTAAAGCCAGCTACACTTTTTTCGAATTTTGAGGTAATTTTCCATGATTTTGGTTCCACGAAACACGGCTGAATCTTTCCAAAAATGCTTCTTGAAACCATTCAAGACCCAGAAGAAGTGCTCAGTGAAATTTCAATTCCATCAAAATGAATTCTTCCTAAGTTTTTCTTGTGAGTCTGATCTGTTGAAATCGGGTAAATTGAGGGTTATATGTTTTTTGCCAGAAAAATCTTCGTTTTTTTATTTATTATTTTTTGTTTCAAATTCAAGATTCATAAATTTCCTTACTCCGGATTGAATCGATCGCATTCTTAGTATATTCTGATTTTGACGATATATGCATGAAATTTGCAAAAAACATGAAAATACATCGTGTTCATTGGAAAATCAGTTCTCAAACGATTTCTTTCCCTTCTACTACTTGTTGAATGAAAAGTAAGGTCGGAAGAAGGAGAGAGTGAGAGGAAAGGAGCTGGAGGAGCGGACGCTTGGTAGGAAGAAAAACGACCAAACGGCCGACAATTGTTTTGTCCCTAACTTTTCTAAAGTCGCGAGACAACCATTTTTTCTCTCTTCTAAATTCTTGCGGTCACCCAGATCAATTTTTATTGCAACCTTGGAGAAAGAAGGAAAATGGGACTTTCCGGTAGGGTTGAAGAAACTATAAGGGCTTTAGAACTCCAAAAAATGCAGATAAAGAGAAAGATGGAAAAAAAGGCTATATAGAGTTTTCGGAGCTCAAAAATTGACTATAGCGCAAAACACGAGAGTTTTCGAAAAATTTGGAATCGGCAGGTTTTGAAAAGAAAATAGCAAAGTTTCATTAGGTTTTCTTATGAGTAATCTTTCACAAAACATCCTTAACAAAAAAGTTTCCCAGCGGTTGGTGAGCAACATTCCGAGAATCATGATTAAGTTAATCAAGCGTAGTCGCAGTTTATCAATTAAAAACGCCTCGTCTCATGAAAAAGCACTCTTTTATTAACAATCGCGTAACTTTGAGCATGAATTTGCTCTTTTGCTTTACTTCCAAAAAGAATAGGGAAGTAAATAAACCATGTCGTCTGAAAAATTTTCAACCCGACCTGTTTGAAATGACGGTCGCACGTGGAATGGATTGAAGGGTCGAAATCGGGTTGAGTTTGGGTTCGAATTCACATCCGGTTTGAAATCAAGTAGCGTTCTCAAATGCTTCTTGAGGCTTCTACGCCCAAGTCTGTTGAGGTCGGGTGCGTTTTGAAGACTTAAGGCTACCAGCTTCGCGTTTTGCAAACAGGTAGCATATTTTAATCAAGAAGCATTGATTCTATTCACTACATTTCGTCATTAGATTAATAAAATCTGGGTATTTTTGTGTCGAAATGATGTCATGCTTCTCCTTGTGTTTCCAAAAATAAAATAAGACTGTTTAAAAACCATTGCTTCAAACAAAAGGTTAGAAAAGAGAAGAAATCCCATTAAAAAAAATTGGAAGTTGATCATATCACCTGTATCAGGATTCAAATTTCAAGATTCTCTGGAAAATTTGGAAACTGAGGTAGCAGGTGGACACAAACACATTTTTGAAGTTCCTTACTTTTTCAACATACCCACGAAGGAAAGCGCGCTTGAAGTTCAAGCAGAACAAACAAATTGAAAAATTAGAGGCAAAAGAGATGTTGAAGCTTGGCGGCTGGTCGCGGGCTCTGAGGTGCATATGTGTAACGGCGAGCAGGGTTTTTGTTTTATGGGCGCGTCCGGAAAATACAGAATCCGGTGGCCCACACGATCAAGTTCATGTTCTCGTGATTTTTGACGTTTTTCCACTCGAACTTATTAAAGAAAACAGAAATCAACTTTCAGTTTAGAAAATCGAAATTTAGAAAGACAACCCAGAAACGCTCTGAAAACGTTTTAGAAATCTTACTTTCTTCAAATAAGATTAAAACTCTTGACGATGATACTTAATAAGTGTTAAATATTTCGAAAAATAGATCAAAGGGACAAAAAGGCATAAAGATGCTTCAAACTGCCTCAAATCTCCAATCCCTACTTCAAGGTTACTCAGAAAGTTATCATTTTATGCTTGAAAATCCCTTGCGGTGATTTGTGCATGCAAAACCATCAAATTGGAAAAAAAGCTAATTTTCGCGCCGCTTGACCTATTTTCTTGCATGGTAGTTTCCGGAAAAAATCTGATTCCGCATTTCAAAAATAAAAAAAAAACATGGAATTCGACTTTCAATAGTTTCGAGTAACTCGCCTTCTCAGTGTAATAAAATGAGAATTGACCAGTTTGATTTCCCAAAAGAAAAACCAAAAAAAACCCAAACCTTCTCATTCCAAAGCGAGAAGCTAAGACTTGTTTCTTCCAGCTGAAGCAAAAAGAAAGAAAAAAAAAAACGACGAAACGAACATTTTCGGCATCTCGGCAATCAAATATCCATAATTCAGCGCTCCATTCAAGGGCGGAGCTCTCTCGCTTTCGAATTTTGATGTATGCGCTTATTTTCACCCTTCCAAACAGAATTTGTGCTTTTGGCTGCAGCGGACAATTACTCTGCATGTTTTGAAACCATATAGAAATAATATTTATGGTCATAGTGCATTCAGAGATTGCTTGGGTGTTTGAAGGCGGATAAGTGGAGAAAAAGGGATTTTGAAAAAAATTGTTTCAACCTGGAATAATCAGTTATCCTTCTGGAAATTCAAGGGAAGAAGCTCTAAAATTTGTCAGGAATATCCACCTGAACCTTTGAAGAGTGGGGAAGATCCAAACTTAACACTGAAACTCCCATTTTGTCCGTAGATCGCATGACATCTGATAATGAGGTGAGCTACTGTTCCACGATGCAAAATTAGTTATCAATAGTACAAAGTGTGGGGCAATCGTTTTTATTCCCAGCTTATCAGTTTTGGCCTCGTACAGAACACAAGTCGGCAGACTCTTTTTGCTCTAACGTTCATCTTACCTTTTGATTTTTCTCAATATGGACAGTCTTTTCCTTTACAAGATACTGAAATCTTTTTCCAAATCATCTGATTATTACTCATGTTGAATATATATAATCTTCCGGACTAAGTTTAAGTAAAATCGACGATTTTTTTAACTATACTTTCAAAAATTTTTTTAATCTCTTTTTTTATGATTCCGAGTCCACTGGTAACGAAATTTCGAGATTTGGAACTATGAATTTTTTTTTTTGAGTTTGTCCCAGTGCTTCGAATTCTTGTTTTGACTTGCAGTTTTTCAGAAGTCGGTTGGAAAAAAGGTCGAATTTTTATTTCTTTTTCTTAACTGTAAAAAAATTAGGAAAAATTTTATAAGTATAGCTCATTTCAAGGAATAGTGTAATTTAATAAAAAAATTTGAGAGTTATTCTATAATTTTAAGCAAAAAAATGAACAACCTTTAAGTTTTTCATTCAACCTTTTCACCTTTCTTTCAAAAATTATTAAAAAATTATTGATTAATTTAAAAAAATTTTTTTGTATTTATTGCATGGACGAAAAGGGTCAAAGTTCATTATTTTTTTTCAAGTTTGAGGCCTTTCCGAAAACTCAAACAAACCACGACTTCATTTCTCCAAAAAGAATCCAATTTTCTTCTCCGACTTTGAAGGAAATAAATTTCCAATCATGGCAAATGACATCATAAAGGTCTTGAGATTGATATGATAGCCGGCCTTCCAACTTCATCATTCTGACGGACATTCGAACTGACGGTTAGCACTCCTCGCAAAGCCTCAAGGTCGTAACCGTTACGCAACCGCGCGCTAGCGTACGCTTTGACCGCTGGATGCTGCCTCGCTTCCTTTCGCCACCCGACCACGCTCTCTCTGCCCGTTGGAGTACAATCTTCGCCCTGTCCGCCCGTCCTTCACTCTTCTTGATGAACTCCAACCAATACCACTGAAATACCTAAAAATCATTCCTTTGAAATGAGCCTTTCCAACTTCCCTATCGGCTGGAATTCCACTGTCAAGCTTTACTTGTTCATTTTTGCCAATTGCGCTTTTTTAGTGAGTTTTTATTTCATTTTTTTTGTTTTCTTTACTATTACGTTTTTTTTCAGGCCTGCGGGGTGGCGTCTTTAGCTGTGGGTGTTTGGCTTTACACCGATCGCAATGATTTCATCGAGCTCACGCCTTCTTCTTTTTCAGGTAAACTTTTGAATTTTTAGCTTTGTTAAAACTATTTTTGACTTTATACAAAACTTCTTGTTGAAGTTTTTAATTAATGAATAAAAGCAAATTTTTTTGTTTTTTTCTAAAACAATTAAATGTTTTTTTGGTTTTTTTATCAGAGGTTTAACGTAAATTACAACATCGTGAAACGTAAAAAGCAGACAAAACAGCAAAATCATGCACCGTCACCAAATTTGTTGATTTTTTTGCAACATGAATAAAATTTTGAAAAAAATCGCTAAAAGCTCAATTTTTCATCTCAGTAGTTTCCAGGCTTTATCTTTTTCCTTCATTTTAAATTTAGGTTCAATAAAAAAACCATTTTCAGCCCTATCCGCAGCTGGTTTATGCTGTTTCACGGGCGCGACCGTTTGCATTATTTCGGTGGTTGGCTGTACGGCCGTCTGGATTGAAGGCAGATTCTTGATGTACACGGTTAGTCGTTTTTTTTTTCATTTCTACCTTTGATCGAGAAAATTCCGGCTTTTCAAGTTAAATTCCTATATTTCAGTACATGGGATTTGTTCTTCTGCTTGGAATAGTCCATACCGTCACAGGTACTACAGGACTGTTTTACAAGGTAAGTAACGCCATCAATTTTGCAAAAATACTGAAATAACTAAATTTGAAGGACTCGGCCCGTGAGCACGTGAGGCTTGATTTGCTCAAAAACATCAACGCCACCCATGTTATGACCAGAATCGGCCGAAAGATCGATCTCAGCCTCACGTGGGATCATTTACAGCGTTCTGTAAGTATTCAACTTTTTTTTAAATTTTTACAGATAGAAATAAGTTTGGAGACATTTTTTACGATTAGTTCCAGAGTTTTGATTTTCAGTCTTTTTTTTAGATTTTATTGTGTTTAATTTAAACTTCAAATTATTTTTTTAAACGTCCCGTATCTCATCGAAGTTTTTCCTCAAATACTCAATTGTCTTTTCAAAAGCGGAACTGAGGCAGGATATGCTGGAACTTGAAAATTAAAAAATGTTTTGAATGGAAAAACTACAAATTCAAGCTGAAATTGTTAAAAGTTTGATGCTGGCATTTGTTTCAATCATACACAATACAATATTTATTGGTTGTTTTAGTCAGATGGTATTGACTAGGCGGTGAAAAATTGCTCTTTTGGGCGGCACTAACACCGCCTTTGGCAAAAAAGAAGTCAAAACGTGTAGTCGATTGATTTGAAAGCATGGTATTACGGTCCTCGGGTACGGGCACGGCGATGATGGTAGGGCTCGGGCACGGAAGCTGTGTACACTCTAGGGTAGCCTCGGCCGACTGAGAGAGCTACCACTTCGAGTAAAGAAAATACACGGAATAAAGAAAATACACGGAATGAAGAAAATACACGGAATGAAGAAAATACACTGAATGAAGAAAATACACGGAATTTGGCAGGATATCATCATCAAAAGATTTCCCCATCTCAGGAAGATCCTGAAGAAGTTTAGCTTTTCAGCAGCTTTTTAAAAAGTAAGTAGAGCTGTTAGGAAATTATGTGGAAGGCGTTTGACCACTTGCTGGAAAATATCTGTACGCCTTCCGAGTAACTGAAAGCAGAAGCTTTCCTATTTTTACCTGAGATACTCTAGCAACCTTTTTTTCAGAAGTCATACAGTTTTCTTTAGTTGAAATGCTGTGGAGCTGACGGCTATGAAGATTGGTTCTACTCGACGCAGTGGCCCAGAAGTCAGTACGCTCCGGACAGTTGCTGCGACCCAAGACATTTTGAAGACGTAACTGATATGACCAACTGTGGAAAAGTGCCGGACGATGGCAGCCATTTCTATCGTCAGGTTGATCAATTTCTCCTTTTTTTCATTTAATTTCTTCTGGATTTGCATCGAATCTTTCAATTTCAGGGCTGTTATCCAGTGTTCATCGAATGGCTTTTCCATCACATCGTTGTGGTCAATTGGGTTTCCATTATACTGATTATTGCTGAGGTATTTCAAAGCTCCGTAATACATTTTAACCATGGACTTGGATGAATGCGTAACTCGTATTATGAAAATGAAAAAATGAAGACGACAGCATTTTCAAACTTTTCCCAAACTTGAATCATTTTGAAATTAGTGCAGTCCATGAAAAAAAATCTACTTCAGCCATCAACAGGCGGTTTTGGTAGAACAGTTGCAATAACCTAAAAATAAAAAGCTGAAACAGTAAACTTATTTAAGTGTGCAGATTAACATTTTATTCCATTCTGATATTTTTTCAGTTCCTGGTTCTCGCGATTTCTTATGTGATGCTGCGGGAAATGACCGATGTCAACCACAAAAACTACAAAAGGTTCGTTTTCCCTCAAATGGTCGTATTTCAGAAAACAAGAAAAAATTTCGAATCTTACTAAGACTCAATGGATTCCAGAAGTAATGGCAAAAAACTATGGCCATTCTCGGTTTTTAGAAATTGAATCGTCAATTTTTTAGCTTTTCCAGTTAAAACAATATGCTGGAGTTTTCCCGAGACTTTTTCAAATTTAAATTAAGCGTTTCCTATTGAAGCATCTTTGGAGGATATTTTGTTTCTTCATGAGTAGGCTATAATTTCAAAAGCTGTATTATCTTCTGCATAGCGTTTTAATTTTTTTTTAATGAAAAAAGTAAAAATTCAGATGCAGCAGACGTCAAATCGTGGAAGAGGCGAATGAGCAGTTGCAACTAAGTCCCTTGGATCGCGTCGGCGACGCCTCCCAAGAAACGGACCAAACCCACGTTTACAGCACCCATCCTGGCACCGTGTCGGATGCGATGAGTATCGACTCTCGATAAATCTTCATCTTCAAAAAATAACTATTCCAAAATTTATCTAATTTTCATGATTTTAGGATGTGATTGCAACCTTTAACCAAAGCCCCTTTTTTTTCTGGTCTCCTGTTTCTGAGCCGCTGGTTGTAGGAAACTTGCAAAAAGGATCATCTCACTTATTGGATAGAGATGGCATAAAATGGAGAATTGAAGAAAATTGAAAGCGTCGATGTTATTCCTCAAACCAGCGGTAAAGTGACTATATTCAAAAATTTCACTTTTCCAGTCATTTTGCTCTAATACAAACACTGCCTTCTTTTGTTGTGAATCTTATCTCGAAATAATTCATCAAATGATTTTTTAGACGTTCTGTTACATTATTTCTCATACTCAGCAGCTCTTTTCTGAATTCTACTGAAATTTTCCATTTTTTCGTTGTGACCTGACGGTTTTTGTTTTTTTGACCGGTGAAATGACTATAATCAAAAAAATATCTCCAGTCGTTTTCCGTTTGGAAACTGTCTGACTTTGTTGTGAACCTTAACTTGAGAAATTTTGATGAGTTTTTAAATCAAATATTTTTTTGTTCGGTTTTTTTCATTTTTTTCTCATTTATTTCGAACCAACTTTGATTGATTTGAAATCAAAAATCTCGAATTCCCATCGGTTTTTGTTCAAAAAAAAAGAACGCGTGAATTTTTTATCATCCCTTCTCTGCATAATCTATCGCTGTCCACAGAAAAGGGCTTTTTTCTTATTTTTCGTTTCAGCCTGGCACTTTTAGTACATTTCTTTTTGAACACCCAATTGATACGTCAAAATCTTCCGACAGCCGTTGTCCATCCGTCATTGTTTTTTTTTCTGTTCCCCAAATTTTTTTCTCCTCTTTTGCAGCTTCCTCTCTATTCGTTTTAATCTCCCTGCTTACGCATTTTGTATATTTCATGTTAAATTTCTGTTCGTTTTCTTTTCATTTGTTACCAGCTTTGTTGAATTCGGTGTTGCATAATGTGTTGTGTTACTTGGGTGTCTTGAAATTTATCGGAGTATTTTACCTCACTTTTCCACTAATTTCCTTAATTGAAAAACGTTTTGTTGGCAACTTATTGTAATTCAACGGGCATGGTCTTTATTGAATGATTATTTTCGATACCTCGTCTAAATTTTTTACTTTTGCTTGTCACTCAATAAATCTCGATCGTTATTTGACTAGAGGACACGTTAAAATTTTGAAAGAACCAAATAAAGCTTCGGAAAATTTGTTATGTCCTTGAAAAGTTCGAAAAATTTATGGATGAATATGGACACATAAAAAATTGTAAGTTCGGAATGCTCTGAAACAGGAAAGCGACCTTTGTCGCTCAAAAAGTAATCGACAATTTTTGGAATTTGTCCAAAAAACTTCGGCCGAAAGTTTCCTCTCGAAGCCGTTTCACTCAAAATAATCAAAAAAAACTTTTAATTTTATTGAAAAATGGGCGAGAGAAACGCTTTTCCGAAGCTGTATGACCAGAAAAACAGAAAAAGTCTCCTAATCCACGAATTAGGAACGGATCATCTTAGGGAAAGCGGCATATAAAACAAACAGGAAAAGGAGCTCTTGCTCATCTTTTACGCTTTTTGATAAAAAATACGCGCATATTATGTTTCAGGCCTCCTGGCGTATATGTATTGAGTTTCGGTGTCGGCCACGAATAATGGGACAACTCTACTCCAAGAGTATCCGCAGGATCCCCGTGTTTGGAGGTATTTTGATTTTTCTGGCCTTTGAAAAGCTCAATAAACTTTCCTGTTCCAACCTTCGAATTTCAGTGAAAAAACCCCAAGTCAATGAATCCGTGAATACCAATTCTTTCTTGGATTCTTCCGACTTCTCCAATCCTTCAATCAAGATTTTTTCCAGTTTCCGTCGACAAAGCCATCGCCAAAGATTTCGATTTGAAAATCAACCATAAACCAGACTGCCTGGATTATTTGTTGAAAAAAACTCGGTTCAGCCGACAGGAGCTCAAATATCTCTACCAGGCTTTCAAACAGGTTTTTTGGACTCATTTTTGAAAATATCCAATTTTTATCGTTCAGTCCTGTCCGAAAGGGTTCGTTGAAAAACAAGAATTTTTCCAAATTCTCAAAGGCTTTTACTGTATTCGTCACACAGCAAGTGAGTATTTTTTCCTTTGAGATAAAAAAGGAATTTACCAGATGCCGAGCCCTACGCGTCATTGATGTATGACTCGTTGGATCCAAACGCCAAGGGGTTTATAACTTTCACCGTGGGTTTTTGTTTTGAGTTTTCCAGATTTGTACCTACAAATTTTTGACAATAATCACTTGAGACTTCGCCGGATCACGTGAGAGTTTTCGTAGCACATTCAAATTCAGGAATTTGCTTGCAATCTGAGTTTGCTTATGAGAGGAGCCTTGGAAGAAAAGCTCGAATGGATTTTCAATCTTTACGATGGCCACTCAAGAGGATACTTACTGGAAGATGATTTCGTTCATGTTTACAAGTGAGGATTTTCTGATAAAAGGAAATAACTAGTGCATTTCACAGAAAGGAAGGATTGAAACAGTAAAATGAGTTTAAAAAAAGCAAATTCAATTTTTCAATCAGTGAAATATTCCATGTTGAATTTAAGCAGTATTTGGAAAATTTTGAAGAGAGTCGAGCTTTTTTTAACCTCTGAATCAGGTCTTCAAAAAAGGATATCTCTCCACTTTTTATTTTTTTCGCACTTTTTTCGTGAGAGCTCCAAGTTTTTTTTTACTCTGAAGGACTAGTAACGGAAATTGACTTTATTTCTCACACGCCTTTTTTTTTAATGAATTTTCTCCCTATTAATCTTCATGGTTTCAAAAAATAGCTTTTTTCAAATCTCAACCTTACAGAGCGGTGTTGTCCTTAACTGGGCCGATCACCATGAAAGATCGAAATTTGACAATCATCGTTAGAAAGAGGATAAAGAAAAGCTTCCTGGTGGGGTGGAGAATCTTGAGTTTTGGAGAGAATAAAGTTTTCAGAAGTTTGACGCCAACAAAGACGGTCGAATAACCCGGAATGAGTTCATCAACTGCTGTCTGAACGATCGTGGCGTACTTCACGCCCTCGAAACTTTCAAAGTCTCCTGGTGACGTTCCAGACGGAATCATTCCTCCTTTTGTTGTGTATATACCTATAAATTGTACTTTTTTGGCACTTTCTCTGACGTGGGTTGTAACAGCAAAAGCGTAAATAATATTTGTATAAACCTGACGGAAGAACATTTGTTGCAGTTGCCAAGGGTTATACGAGAAGAGATGAATCTCGCGGTGCGTTGGGCAGGAAACAAACCTTAATGAGTGAAGTCATAAAAGAGCGTACTCAGTCGCCGGCTCCTCACCTGACATTTCCCATTCTCTTTTTTTTTGTTTCGCGTCATCTCTTCTTACTTTACTTTAATTGTTAGTTAGTTAACTCGTTTGAAAAATCAAATGCGATGCCATTAAATGTTACACGCAACGGAAAGCTCAAATTGGAGGTTTCTTCTTCGGGAGCCGCTTTTTCCACATTGTCGCTTTTCATCGGATCCGAAGGACATCTGCCTTTTTTCCAATGTCAAAATATCGTCTTGATGTCGTTAATGAAGTCGTCGTCGAGAAAACTGTCACGACAAATGTGAAATTGGACGACATCACAGTGTTGGCCATACTGGGTGGTCCAGCCAGTAGTAGTTCCGTCACAAGAAAGGTAAGATCTTTGCAAAGTTGACTTTATCCGTGTTCGGAGACTTTTTTTTGGTTCAGGAAAATAAATTTTCTAACTCTCACAGAAAGGTATTTTTTCCGTTTGAGCAAGCTTTTTGGAACCAATCTTTTTCCGGTTAGCCTTTTTATCCAAATAAAATTTCGTTTTTCAGAATGTCCTGGAAAAAGTTCGATTTCCTGAGCTGTGTGCTCTGGTGAGTTTTCGAAATGTGATTGTGCAAAAGATAATTTTTTCCAGGTTCCAGTTGTTCTTATTAAAGTCATGGCATTGAAAAAAAATAAAGTGAGTTTTCTGTTTCTTTCTAGTTGCATTCAGAATAACTTACCAGGCTTGCTAAACGGTTTTATTTTGATCTTACAAACTTGCGATTTGGATCTTCGACCTCAAACAAAAATTTCTAGCGGAAGTTGTTTCTGGTCGGGCGCAATACTAGAGTACCGCTTGTTATAGATATCTCTTAGACTTTTTTTTCTTTTTTTTTGGCCGTGTCAGTGAGATGGATAAAATCAGACGATGAAACAGTTTTGAAACCGGGAGTAGTAAAATAACGAATTTTTTCAGAAGGGAGTTTTCACATGCGAAATTCCAATAGTCATTTTTGACTTTGTAAGTTTTTCAAATCCTTCTCACAAATTTTTTCATCTTTCTACAGATTTCCGACTTTTACTCACACATTTTCCTCAAAGCCCCGCAATACCACAATCTGCATGAATCTTTGTTGTGCAAGAGCGCTTTGTCCAACGAAAAGTTGGGCATAGTTGCAAGGGTATCAAAGTGAAAACTATCCTAGTTTTTATAACTTTTTTCTCCAGTACTGTATTCGCCACCGTCTCTGGGACTTGGCTTTCTCCCTTTATGTGGAAGATCTGAATCGTGGATCACCCAATGAAATCGTTTGGAGAGAATGTCAAAAGTTGAAAAGGACTCCGGAAGATATTTCTCATTTCAAGAAGGTATGGGAAAAGCCTGATATTTGTTATAAAATTGCTAATTTTAGGTGCTTGTCCGTTATCCTGGAAAAATTTGTTATATCCGAAAGTTGTGTTCAGTCTTCAACTTCCCGTTTCGATACCCGGGTTAAGTATTTTGTATAAAGAATTATCTATGCATTTTTGTTTTGCTTTCAATAAATTATTCATTTTTTATTCATTTTTTAATTTTTATCCATTTGTACCAAAAAGGAAAAAATTCTTTTTTTTAATGACTTGGAGGATGTCAGCGTTTATTGCTTTTTCGTGAAGCAAGATTTATAATTGAATTAATTAGTGGTGACATCGTCATCAAATAATTATCGTGAGAAGCAGTAATAAACATGTTGAACAAGTAACCCTAATTCTTTTGCAAAAAAAAGGTTTTTCGAATATTTCCTGTCAAGCGGATGCAAATTAAGAACATGTTGAAAAAATATTTTCATCAAAATTTATACCTACGCAATAACGAGGTGATTCATTTTTGTCGTCATTTGGCTGGTTATAAATTGTCATAAAATGAGCTTGAGTATTCACTTATTTTTCTTAGAAATATTGAGAAAAATTTTTGAATTTTCAAACTCTTTATAGCTTGAATAAATTAAAAATGCGGTGTTTGAAATAATTTCTCGGAAATTCTAAGAAAAATGAAGCTGATTTTTGGTTGAGAAGCTTTATAAAAATCCCGATCTCTATGCAGGCAATGAGGAAATCTCGAAATATGACTGTCGGCTAGACACGACGAGTTGTACGAGCGCGGAGGATTGAACCAAGTGCCCTGCATTCAATGCAGATGACTATCTTCCGCATTTCTGGATTTTTCCTGCTTCATTTGGACTTCGAGAGCCGTAGGCTTCGAAAATTGTTTTATTCGTGATATTTTACAAAATCTTGATTTCATGCTCACTGTACTTCTTTGTTAAAAAAACTGTGTCCAGAAATTCAAACTCCCTCTGAGTTTATGAATTATTTTTGACTTTTGGCACTTCTAAATGAATTTTTGAATAATGTCTTTATTTCTTTCCCCGAATTTGACATTTCCGCGTTGTTCTTCGCTTGAAATAATAATGAAAATTTCAAAGGATTTCCCCCTTTTTTCCTTTTCTCCTTTATACCTTTTTACCATGTCCCCCGAAACATCCGTCGAGAATGCTAATTGTTATAAAATATCTTTTTCAAGGTTTTTTTTTCCCAATGACCTCGCCCATAACTTCGTTTTCACTACTGCGCTCTTATTGCCTCGAATTGTCGAAAATGCCTTTTTTGAGATCCGTTCTCCTGTGAAACTGCAAATTAAGGATTCAGAGGTCCCATTTGACAAGATTCATGCGACTCATATGCGCTGTGGTTGCAGCCATCGTCCTGGTCAGTTTCAGAGAAGCATCTAAAAATTCAAGTTTCTTTTTTCAGCAATTCTGCAGCGCTGAGTACGACAATGCAGTTCTTGGAGAACCGACCGTCGAATGTGCGGATGATTATTTTGAAGTGAGAAGTTTCCTTGCGCTGTGATGATGTCAAAATTGAATTATACTTTCGAGCGCTTAATTTTGATCATGCTTTGGGTAATTTTTGATAAAAAAAACTGCCCATCACTTCAAAAATCACACAGTTTCTATTGAAAAAAAGACCTCTTGAAATTTTTTTAACAGGGATCAAGAAAAAAACTACAAAAAAAGTTTTGAAAAACTCCTTGAAAATCGAAAAACATTTTAGAAAAAGCTGAAAAAAACTTGTGTCTTTCTTAATTGTTTTTTTATTAACCAAAACAAAATTTTTTTAAAAAATTTTTTTTTCCATGATATTTGAAAAAAATGTTAGTTGCATTTTTGAATAAAAAAACCTTTTTGAACTACTGTTTTCCAAAACTGTCGTTCTTTTTCCAATTTCAGTTCGAATATTACATTTTTATCAACTTGCAGGTGAAGCTGGAAACTCGGTCCCCGTTTCGAGGAGTGGCCTTCGTTCAGAGCCATCTGAAGGACCCAAGCTGTCGAAGTCAGCTGGCGACCGAGAATCCTGACCGCAACGCAAGCCTTCGGCTGACTTTCGACGATTGCGCCGTCGAGCGTCGTCTATCGGTATGACGCATCTATAATTCCTTTTGAGATGGCCTTTTGCGATCCTTATGGCCGCTTAATCGTTTCTTGTTTTTCGAGAAAAGCGAAGCGTTCAATAGTTTATTATTATCGGCGGGAATACCAAGCTTATGTACAGACAAATAAGTGGCAATTAATTAATTAGTTTGGCATTGGTGGCCAGCCGCCGCCGCCCCCCATGTTGCCACCACCGTAGGGCTGACCGCCGTAGCCACCGCCGCCACCCATTGGAGGCTGAGGTCCATTTCCACCTGAAAATCAAATCACTTGAAACATATTCATTCAAACTTTTGTTCAAAAGTTATGTTAAAGTTTGGTTTCCTAGTCGATTGAAGCTTTACCAACCTTGGTTGGAGCCGTAGCCTCCTCCCATTCCTCCGTTTCCACCGTAGTTTCCACCGTAGCCGCCGCCATCTCCTCCCATACCGCCTCCGTAGCCGCCGCCGCCATAGCCTCCTGGAAATTCAAGTTGATCTTTTTTTAGTTTTTAAGTCTTTCTTACCATCACCGCCGCCATAACCTCCATCGCCACCGCCTCCGTAGCCACCTCCTGAAATTGAGTTTGGAAAAAAGAGACTTTCAAGATTATTACCGTAGCCTCCATCGCCGCCGCCACCATAGCCGCCTCCCATATCACCGCCGCCTCCTAAATTTGATATTTTGATAAGTTACTATCTGTTTGAAACACTGTAGTTTCAAAAGATGAGAAAAAAAATTGAGCTTACCGTAGCCGCCGTCACCACCGCCGTAGCCGCCTCCCATGTCACCGCCGCCGCCTGAATTTATTTTTTTTTCATGCTTGGATATTTGAATTTTCGAATGCGAAAATGTTTCTTACCATAGCCGCCTCCCATGTCACCGCCGCCTCCGTAGCCACCGCCGCCCCAATCTTGGGCAAGAGCCAACAGAGCACACGTTGAGAGAATCACAAGTTTTCGACCGACCATCTGTAAAAATGATTTGATCGAACTTGGAATAGCTCTGTTTGAAAAATGTTTTGAAAAAGTTAGAAAAAAGCCGAAAGTACATGAAGAAGATGTAATAGAATCTTTAGTCGAATTCTCTTTTTTCTTCCAAAAAACCATACCAATCGCTTCTTTGCATATAGGAGGAAATAGATTTATAAGGAAAATTTTGAATCTCGAAAGGAGGTAAAATTACTCGACAGGAAAAAGTTTGTATTTGGAACAAATGTTTTGAAATTTTTCAAGATCGAGGATCTGTGAATTTTCGAAGTAGTCACAGAGTTTTCAAAAGAGCTCATAAGGATGAGAATTGATAAAAGCGAAGATAGGAGTGATTGAATATCAGAATCGCCGGCGGCGACTTTATATAAGGGACGGCGATGTGGGTGGCCGGTCGCGACGGACGTAAGAAACGGCCGGATGACAGTCCTATAGGTGCGGGACCACACAGCGCGCGCCTGCTCAGGCACAACAACGAAAGAAAAAACCGGCGGCAGCCGGTCGAGAGTGCCTGGAGAGCCATATCATCTCTGCATAAAGCACATTTTCCTCCTACTTTCCCAGGCAGCTCAGTCAACGTTCCATTCTTTGATCGGTCAGATTTGAGCTGGAATCTGAGAAGGTTTTTTTTTGAGAAAGAGCGAAGTTTGAGCTGAGAAAAGTCAATAGTGCAAACTTTTCTTTGCTCGCCTTTTTGAGAAAAAGCTGGTGAAGGTTTTTTGGCTAGGGATATTTTTTTTTCAAGTGGCCTAGATACGAAAAAATCTTTTAAGTTTGGTTCTACATTTCCTCAAACTTCTTCCGGAGAACTGTGTTATATCAATCTTCATCATTTTTCTGATCAGTTCTTAAAGAAGAAATGATGATCCTTGATCTTCTGACTCATTTGAAAACGTTTCTCATCTGAGCGGCTTTCCTCCTTTTTTGCACCGAGAAGTGGAGCATGATAAGATGAGAAGATCGACCAAATATTTGTTGATTGTGAATGATGGAGCGCAAAAAGCGCTTCTGATCTGCACACAAGCCGCCTTTGTCGCCTTCCCATTCATTCTATTCTAGGATCATTTTTACAAACATTTATGGATTATCGCAGAGTTCACCACGAGGGCTCTTCGTATCGACGACGATCGTCGTGGCGTTCAACCCCGACTTCCTCACGAAAAATGATCGTGTTTTCAAAGTTCAATGCTTCTACATGGAGATGGTGCGTCGACTGCAGAAGGAAATCGAAATTATGTTGGTTTTAAACTCAATTTTTAAAGGGAAAGGTACAATTTGAGGATGCCTCAACCAACAATGCACGCCAAGCAATTGCCGATGCCTGTGTGCAAGTATGAAGTCCTCGACGGCTCTCCTACTGGACCTCCAGTTTATTTTGCAACTGTCGGACAAATGGTTTGAATTTCCACAAAGCTTCCAGTTCTGGCTTCAATCGCAGATGAATCTACCTTTTTGATCACCTTATTCATTCTTTTAAAGGTTTATCATAAATGGACTTGCGAGACGGAGCACGAAAACACCTTCTGCATGTTAGTTCATTCGTGTTTTGTTGACGATGGCAACGGTCAAAGAGTCCAGCTTTTGAATGAAAAAGGGTCAGTTCAACAAAAAATCAGAAAAATAAGCGTCTTCTGGGACATTCTACCAAATGCCTCAATTAGCTTTCAAAGCATTTATTTGCAGTTGTGCTTTGGATAAGTATCTTCTGACGAACTTGGAATATCCGACTGATTTGATGGCGGGAAGAGAAGCCCACGTTTACAAGTACGCCGACCGCGACAACATGTACTTCGACTGTCAGATTTCGGTCACTGTCAAGGAACCGGGACTCGACTACTGTGATGTGAGTTCCCATTAGAAGAATTTCGAAAAAACCTTAAAAAAATAATCTTCAAAACGGTTTCTTTCTCACTTCTAAAAGTTCGAAAAATAGTTCGCAAAGTACTTTATATACATCAAAAAAAGCAAATTGAACTTTCTGATAACTTGAAAATGTCTAAAACACATTGAAAAAGAGCTTTGAATTCAAATACTTTCAAATCTAAAAAATGATCAAAACGAACTAAACTTTCTAGTTTCCATTTTCTCACTTCTCTGATGAGGAGCTTCTTTTGCAGGTTCCTTCTTGTCCGGACCCGCCCAGAAGACGGCGCTCGACAGACTACGAAAACGTAGAATACGATTTACACTATAATATCACAGAGAGTAGGATACGAACTCCAAGCAAAAAATCCCTGTTATTCTAATCTTGCAGCCGAAGAAGATGGAGTTAGCAGGAACTACATAATTCCAAACGACGACATCATTTACCTGAACTGGTTACAGAGGAACTTCGACATGAGAAACGTGGGTTTACTTCACTTCTTCGGAAAAATCATTTTATCGTGGGAATAACGGAAATTCCAGGCCATGATGTGTATGACAGGAGCTGGAGCAACTCTACTCGCTTTCCTGAATGCTTCACTTTTCATCGTCTCTTTTGCTGGAATCATTTTCGCCTGCTGCAGTCGATCGTCGAAGAAGACGCAGTACTGAACTTCTATATATTCTTGAACATATTTTTCGTGATCTTCATTTTGCTGTGCAATTTCTTATTTTTTGTTGGCCGGATCGATGCAATACTTATACAAAAATCTTTATTTGGGGCTCTCGTAACTGTTAATAAATATTTTTTTCTTGAAAAAAAGCTTGAAGGATAATTTAAAAAAACTTTTTAAACAAAAATAAATTTACTGTTTCAAAAAAATTTTTATCAGCAAAAACTATTTCATTTTTTTGATTTCATCCATTTTTTTCAAAATAAAATTTTTTTGAATAAAGTTTTTCAGACAGCAGGATTTTTTTATGAAAGCCATAAAACCCATTTCGGCGTTTTCCTTTTTTTGCAAGATATCGCCTTGTGAGATTCACGTGAACATCTCGAACAGTTGGCCTTTCGCACGTGAACGCTGCAAGGAGTAATCTCTTCTTATTTTCCGCCCTCGCACTGCTGCAGCTTGGCTTTACAAAAACATGGATTAATCATACTATTCGTCATTAAGGAGTAATTAATTTGGTGGTCTTTTTTTTTAGGAATGTCTCAGTGATGTTATTAGAATGTCGAAAAGTTTCTCAATACATCATTTTTCGAATTTTCCCGGTCTAGTAACTCATTATTCAATACAGCACGAAATCCTTATATTTCAAACTTTTGAACTGAATTTTAAAAAAACGCCCTAATTTTATTTTTTTTTTTTGAAGCTAATATATAATCAAACGCCTGTACCAAAGAGCTTTGGATGAGCCTCTTAATTTTTTTCGAACTTGGGCCACATTTATCAAACGATTCCACTTCATAAGAAGGAATTCTCCTTTTTTCACGATGATTTACACTAAGGAAAAGATCAAGATTTTGCGTCTCGCGCCCAAAAAAAAGATACAGTTTCGTTGAAACCATATTGATAACCAATCCAAATCATTTCGTTGCCATGTTCCGGAAAAAATTTCGAAAAAAAAAACACCATTATCGGCTGCAAAACTTCTCGCGTCTCATTTCGCCTGACTGGTTCAGTTGTGCGTGGGTTCCTTCTTCATTTTCCTTATCGACGGTGCCGGCTGATGGGGTGATTCCCAAATCTTCTCAGTTTGCAGTACCTGCGCTTGCATGGGAACCCTCTTCTTTGAGACCTTGTAATCCAGTTCAATTGGATCTGATAAAAAAATGAATTTTTTCACCAAAAAATTGATCTTCTCAGATTCGAAACATTCCCACTGATTCCGCTCATTTTCGAATTTCATCATCCTTCGATAAAATTATTCATGTCCCACGCTTCGATTAAAAATCACACCTCCCTCTACAAACAGTTTTCAATCATTCTAAATGACAACAGCGCTTCAAGGTCTGTCACGCTTTTCTTTTGTTTGAGATTGCCAAATTTTGACGTTATCAGCTGATTTCGGCTCCTACTTTTTTTCCACTGCTACATTTCACGTTCTCAAAAATGAAGGCTTTTTTGTACCTAAAATTGACTAAAAAAATTTTCCACGTGCGGAGAGCTTCAAAGAAGCCAACAGCTGATTTGTGTGTAGTCTGATCTCAACAGCCTTCTCGGCTCGTAGAAAATTGTTTTTGCGGCTCAGCACCCAATGAATGAACTATAATCTCAGGTGATAAATTTTTCGACTCCAACAGCTGATTCGTATATAGTTCGTTAGGTGCAGCCTGCTGTAATGGTGTTTAAAGGAAAAAAGCCTGGTCTCGTGATGAATTCATCTTCGTGGCTCCGCCTCATGCCTTTAGGATCTTTTGAGGATAAACTATTTTTCAGGCCACTTGCCGGCGACTGGGATGTCTTCCGACGCGTTCGAATCGCTGAAGAAGTGCGTCGCCGGCGGAGCGGCCGCCGCCATCAGCAAGACCACCACGGCTCCGATCGACCGAGTCAAGCTACTCTTGCAGGTTTGATAGAAATAATGGATAGTGGATAAATTAGTGATATACGAGGCTCGACATTTGCGATAACTGAAAAATTTTAGATTCTGGAATTTGAAAATAAAATCTTCATATTATCAAAATCCTTTGAATGAATCATTTTTTTGGGCCGATTTGGTTTTCGGAGGAGGAGAATTTGTTAAGGCAACTTGGGAAATTAAAACAAGGGCAATAGAATATTTTAAAAAAGGTTGCAAAAAAATTAAATTAAATTTTTTTGAAATACTCGAAAAAAATAATCCCCTTTTTCAGTTACAAACAAACGGTGGTGGTCCGGCCGTAACTCAATACAATGGGATCTCGGACTGTTTCCGACGGATCAGTCTCGAGCAAGGAGCTCTGTCTCTCTGGCGTGGCAACGGTGCCGGTGTCGCGCGTTGCCTTCCAAATCACGCTCTCAACTTCGCCTTCCGAGATGTCTACCGTAATGCTCTTCTGAAAAACACCGACCGCGATAAACAGTACTTCAGGTTTCTTGTTGGTGAGTTTTGCGTAGTGTTGAACCGAGTTGAAATGACTGTGGAAAATTCTAGATTTATCGAAAATTCACTATGAATCCCAGCAAAACTCAAGTTTTTCAGGAACCCTGGCTTCTGGAGGCCTTGGCGGAGCAACAACTCTTTTCCTTCTGTACCCTTTTGACTTTGCCCGAACTCGCCTAGCTATCGATGCAAAAAAAGATGGCAGTAAGCAATATCGAGGCATGGTGGATTGTCTCCGAAAAATTCGTCTCAATGATGGTCTCAGGTCTTGGTACAAGTGAGTGAAATTTTAGAAAATTATGAAAATGACCTCGAATTTTACAGAGGATTCAATGCCTCGCTCCAGTTTGTCGTCTCCTCTCGAGCAATATTTTTCGGCCTTTTTGACTCGATGCGAACAAGTGTCGCTAATCCGCAGAAGCTACACTTTGCAGCTGTTTGGTTCATGGCGCAGGTACATAAAAAGTTCTTTGTTTGACTCTGAAAAATATTTGAAGCTCTGAAAATGCAAATAGTTTTGCAGACCTCAATAGTGGCCAGTGGGATGATGTGCTACCCACTGGACACTGTCCGAAGATCCTTGATGCTTCAATCGGGTAGGGAAGTCAAGAAATACAGCGGAACGATGGATTGCTGGAAGAAAATTTATCAGTGAGTGAGAAAAATCTTAATGGAAACGGTGAAATTATGGGTCAAAAAATAAAATGCAGGAAGAATTTATGAAACATTTATTTTAATACGAGATTGAAAAAGTTAAGAACTTCTGATGAAATAAATGCAAATTAAATAAACTATTAGAAAAAATACTATTTTTTTTAGTCCATGATAGTATTTTTAAATTTCCAACTGATAGTTGTGGAAAAAGTCAATTATCAAAAAATAAAAAATCACCTACAAGTATTCAAAGCAAATCTAACGGGAAAAAGAAAAATTCTATACGGAAAAAAACAGTAACATTTAGAGCGCAGAAAAAAACTAAATAAAAAAAGAAAAAAATTGGAAGAGGCTATTTTCGAAGACGCGCAGTCCGCAGGCAGGTCTTACGGTAATCCGGACGGAAATTTGCAGACATTTCTTCATTTTCAATTAACAACAAAAAAATTAAAAATTTTTTTAATGTTCCTAGCTTTGAAATAAACCGAGGTATTGTTTCAAACTATTAACTATCATCTTCGTTATCTTGTACTTTTGTTATTTTTTTCAGATCTAACGGCCTGCAGGGTTTTTATCGCGGTGCGCTGACCAACTCATTGCGCTCAACGGGTGGAGCACTTATCATCACTTTTTACTACGAAATCGCAAAGTATTTGTAAAAATCTGAATAAAAATAAACCGGGAAATGTTACGATTGGGTGTTCATTGCAGGTTGTTTCCAACAAAACAGCACGCGACCGATTGCTGGCCTCGGGGACCGATAACACTGTTCATTATCAATTGTTAGAAAGAGTTTTTGGATGCAGTCGTCGGGTGCTTCTTTTTTTTTCAACCTTTGGTTTCTGCCAATCCGACAAATTTTTTTCTTCATTCCCTAAAAGTTGAAACATTTTTTTCGTTAAAAAAACATTTTTTTCGAGATGAAAAAAAGTTTATTATTCAAAGTTGTTCCACCAGATGAGAGAGAGAGAAAAAAACTACTGGCAGTTTCTAAAAACTTTTTTTATTTTGCTTATTTCGAGACAGAAGTCTTGATAAAAAAGCTACAGAGCAGAACGAAGTTTTTTTGAAGGTCTACAAGGAGATATTTAGGATCTTAAGGTATTCGGGATTTAAAAATTATCAATTTATTCAGTTTCTGCGCTTTTAAAGCTCATGAAATAGCCATGGATTTTCTTTAAAACTTGAAAAAGCTTTCTCTGAAAGTCCTGAATATGTTTATTATTGATCCGTCATTAAGAAATTTCCTTTGGCAGTGATAAAAAAATTTTTCAAGACATGAAAAATCTTCCAAAATGACTTGATATGAACACTTTATCGATTAAAAAAATTTATAATCTTTGTATTATTATTTTGATCTTTTCCTGACATCCTTTTGGAATTTTTAAGACCCATACAGCACTTTTTTTCAGGACTTTGAACAATTCCAACTCAGAAAAATTAAAATGATTTTTCAAGTTGAAAAATTTGGTTTTTTTTTTCCAAGATAAAACCCTTGACATCTCTCAAATTTCAAAAAAATTAAAGAAGTAAACAAAAAACCGGTAGTTACAGGAAAAACAACAAATATTCTGCAATTAACTGACGCAACAAAGACCACAACCCAACTTATTGTAAACAATCAATGAACGACCTTTTCCCCATCCAAAGTTCCCGCGTCGCGTGCACAGCCCCGCGTCTTCTCAATGTACACATGATCTGCCCAATCAGCGGCTAACAATTTGTCTTGTCTCCCATCGGTTACTCGGCCGCTTCCACGAAATCATGGATGATTCTCAGAGAGAAATGCTGATTATTCTACTAACCGTTCTGATCGGCGGCCTCATCATATTGGCGGTTACCGGTTGGACCCTCGGATTGAGACAACTCTATGTCGACAGCTTGATTCGGATATTTGAGGTCAGTTTTTCCATGTTTTTAGATTGGCGGCTTGAGAATTTTCACCCGTCTCTTCTTTTTTTCAACTTCAAGCTGGATATTTAGAAATTTTAAGCTTTCCAGGTTCATGAGCGCTAAGCGACTTGCTTTTTATTAGCTGATTAGACCTTTATTATATTCCAAAAACTTGTGATCATTGAATCAAATCTCTTTTTAATCATTGAAAAAAATCGTTAAATCTTCAAAAAAAAATTTTTTCTCTTTTTGAAATTGAGGAATTTTAGTGGGGATCCACTCTTTCCGGAACCGACGAAGAAGAAGAAGACGGAGAGGAAGAAGAGGAACCCAAAGAAGACGAACATCTCAAGAAACGAAAGCCAAGAAGATCTTCATCTTCTTCTGATTTAGGTATTTCTCATATTTTTTAATCGAATGCTTCATTTTTTTTTGATTTCAGGAATAATCGCTCGAGAAAAGTCAGAAGTGATCGATGCAAAGCTGCACTCGACGGAGGAGCCGACTTCCAAAAAAACAACTGTCAGCGTCGTTGTCGATGATACTTTGGACTTTATCACGGTTGGTTTTTCGAAGTTTTTGAACTATTGATGAAGATCTTTCAAGCTTTCATGGTAATCATATTAGAAAAAAATTGATTATAAACATTTTGATATTTTTTTGATAGGATTCTAATTATTTGAAATTTTTTTATGATTTATCCGTTTTTTTTGATTTCTTGAATTTTTTTATGAGCGCATTAAATTGGAAATAAAAAAACGAAAAAAATAGAATAATAACTTTGATCTAAACTCAGGGGACCTCACAGCACGTTTTCAAAAAAATCATTTAAAAAAATTTTTGACTATTCCCTCGAAAAAAAGCTGTTCAAAAAGCGCACACAATGAAAAAAATTTTATTATTAACTTTTTACAGCTTTTTGAAACAGTTCACAAAGGAAATTCATTACTTTACCAAATTTTAGGCTGGAATCGAAGCCGTTATCGACGACCAAGTGACGAGCCGCTTCTCAGCCGCTCAACTCCCATCTTGGAACCTTTTGTCCAGAACCAAACTTTCTTTTCATTATGTCAAGTAAGCGAATAAGTCTTTCAAACTTCATTTTACTTCATTTAATTCTAGTTGGCAACTCGCGCTCCTCTGGGTTGCCGGCTTTCTGTTCCGCTACTTGATTCTGATGCCAGCGAGAGTTGCTCTATTCGCCATCGCCATTTTCCTCATGTGCAGTACAACTACAATTATTGGATACATCCCTAACAAGCCGTGAGTAGGTTTCTATACCTTTTGATGGAGGTTTTGTGGGAAAAAAAATTGAATCAAAATTTCTCACATTACTGTTTCAGAATCCGCAAATATCTCAACCGACGGGCAATGCTCATGAGCATGAGGATATTCTCAAGAGCTTTTAGCAGTGTCATTCGCTTTCACGACAAGTTGGTTGATTCTTTTCTTTACACTTGGAATAAAACTAATCTAAAAATTTATTTGATAAATTCTCAAGGATTATTTTTTAGAAATTCGATTTCGCGCAAGTTTTTCCTTCATTCAGGAAACATTTATTGTAGCAAAATGCTTTTTGTATACTTGGTAGTCTTTAAGCTTTGAGCCATTTTTTTTATTTTTTTCCGGTGATCAGCGGCATTCAGTTTAAAGAAAGTTGGGTATTTTTTTATCTTTCCTAAACTTCTAAAAAAATAATCCAGGTTGAAGCCTATACTTTTCCATTCATTTTGAGAGAAAACCGAGCCAACAAAGGTGGAATTTGCGTCGCCAACCACACATCTCCCATTGATGTCATGGTTCTTTCGTGCGACAATTGCTATGCAATGATTGGACAACGCCAAGGAGGATTCCTAGGTTTCTTTGCTAATATCATACAGAAGAAAAATTCTCTCAGGTTTCCTCCAAACCGCCCTCAGTCGCGCTGAACATCACATTTGGTTTGAGAGAAGCGAATCTGGGGATCGCAAAAAAGTCGTTGAACGGTTAGTTTTTTTTAAAACGATTGTCGATATTTTCCCATGTTTCTGATATTCTCAGCTCGCTTAAATGTTACTAAGCTTCTTACAAGATTTTCTTTCTCGAAAAACTTCCTTTTATAATGCTTCCGATGCCGTCAGAAGCTTGTTTTTTTTCCAAAAATTTTTTTATTTCGGAAAATTCTCGTTCCCATGCCCTGATGATCTTAGCAGGCTTAGATGTTGCTTATCTCCCTTCTCGCACTTCAAACTACTTTTTACTATAATAATTTTAATCATCTGGTGGGAAAGCGTTTTCAGCATGCGTGAGCACGTCAATGATGAGACGAAACTGCCAATTATCATCTTCCCAGAAGGAACTTGCATCAACAACACTTCCGTCATGATGTTTAAAAAAGGATCTTTCGAGGTTGGAACTTTGATCAAACTTTTTTCGGGCTTAAAAAATGGTTTATTATCGGAAAAATTCAAAACGAGGTAATGTAGAGCTTGAAAACAACAAACAAATTTTTTCAAAGCTTCACCGGAGATTCATGAGGACTGGAATGAGAGATTTAACAAAAAAATAATTTATATTTTCAAATTTTTTTATAGTTCATTCACAACATTTTCATGAGGGTTTTTCTTAACGGATCACTCTGAAGAGAGCTTTTCGTCTTCAAAAATCACATTCAGCGTCACATTGACATGTTTTCAAATAGAGATTACAACTAATTAGTCTCTGAATCGGTGTCCCGAAGCTAATATTTCTGTTTCTCGGCTTCGCAAGTTTCCAAAAAAAACTTGTGAACATTAATGAATTTTTTTTTACCAAACAGTGAAACTGGCTGAGACGTTTGGAAATAAGGTTTGGATCCGAAAATACACATTCTGCGTCTCGAATCGGTATTTTCACAAGGGGTCATGAATGAACTATAGACAACAACAATAATTATAATCATATAAAAAAATTTATTCACGAGCGATTCAATCGGAGTCATCGTAATCAGCTTCGTCCTCCGTCTCTTCGTTGTCTTCATCTCGATAGTAAGGTCGATCTTCTTCGTCTTCGTCTTTTTCTTCTTCGAACACCTGGTATTCCTCGTCTTCTTCCCCACTGCTCTCGTCAGAGTCAGGATGATCCGGATCGATAAGATGCGGAAGAGGATACTGGCGAGTTTCCTCGGTCAGATCTTCATACATGGGGCTCATGTAGCGCTCGAAGTAGTCGGTGGTTTCGAAGTTGCGGCAGCTCACTGGCAGAGTCAGATACTCCTTTCGCAGCAAGTGGATTTTGTAGACCGCGCCAATGAGTATCCTGACAGCTTCGGCTCGGATTTTGATCCCTCGTCGCTGCAGAGGACATCGCGGAAGTATGAGATCTTGCGGCTCGACTGGAAAAATTCATTTTGCACGCGTCGAACAAAATTTTTTAAAACTTTTAGAAAAGTACATATTTTTCAAAATTTGTTTGAACTTATCGATGTTCTTTTGAAAGTTCTTCTGATCAGGTTTTTTACAAATTCCAAAGAAGAAGGAAAGTTAGATGAATGAAACATACCAATGACGCCTTGAATTGGATTCAATCGCGCACGGTAGGGCAGCCATCGTGGAGTGGACACTGAAAGGATTTTCTGGTCAAGAAAGTTTTCAAATTCTTTTCGTTTTTTGTAAATGGATGGACGAAACATACCTCTTCTGTTTTCGTAAGGTCCTCTATTCACCGGCGCCGGTTGAGGCACGTCTGGTCGAGAGGGTTCTAAAAGTACAACTGTCAGCAGTAAATTATCTGAGCAGGTCATCTAAGAGAAAAGCGTCAACTTTTGGAATGGATCAATGTGAACATTCAGTCGAAAATGTTTCGAAACTCTAGTTATTATTCTCATTGGGTGAAAAATAATGAAATGAAAATACCTCTCACAGCCACGTTCTGCCTCGCGTTCGCACGCGGACGTTGCGGCGCCTTACGTTTAGGAGTCTCTGAAAGCACAACTGTCAGCAGGAGAATATTGTTTGGTCAAGAACGCTGTTAAATTCAGATTAATCTCTCTAAGTTGAACTAAACTATGTGAAGATACCTTTCACGTTCTTTTTTCCATTCGCACGCGCACGTTGGGGATTCTTCCTCCGAGAAGTCTCTGAAAGAAAAGGTGTCATCAAAAAACTATTCTTGAACGAAAACGCTTTGTAATCCAATTTATTCTATTTAAGACTTACCTCCAGCGTTCTGTCCTCTACTCACACGTGCACGGGGCATATTCCGTCAAGAAGCCTCTGAAAGAACACCTGTCAACAGCGGATTATCTTAGACCACCCAAGAGAGAAAAAAAAACGTCAACATTAAGAAACCACAATGGAAACCTATTAGACTACGAGTGGGAAAGGCAGCAAAAAAAGTGAGAGAATGGCTGGACGAGAGAAAGCCGGAGCGGATAAAACAATGCAGAGAAGATATGATAAGGCGAGGACATATGTGAAATGTTTTTGGGGGCAGTGCAAAGGCGGCTTGGCGCCGCCCGGCTTTTGCGCTTCGAAAAAAGGTTGACTTGGAAACGGCTTATCTCGTGTGTGATAATATTCAGTCCACTCCAATTAGTTAATGACTCTGACCGTTCTTTGGTGCTGGAATGGGGGAAACATGATAATTAGAAGTTAGCGGGAAATTTTTTTTTTACAAATGAATCATCTCAATCAACTTTCAGATTGGAAGTACAATTTATCCGATCGCGATGAAGTATGATAGCCGATTGACGGACGCTTTTTGGAACAGTAGCGAGCAATCTTACGGACGCTACTTGTGGGACATGATGACGTCATGGGCTATCATTTGTGACGTATGGTACCTACCAGCAATGACTAAAGAAGCAAGTTTCATTTATATAATAATATCAATTGAAAATCCAAATTATTCGGAAAAAAAGGCTTGAAATCTGTACAAATATAAAATTTTTGCGAAAAAAAGTTTTTTTTAATGTACTATTAGCGGCAAAGAGCACGTAAAGAAGGGTCGTAAAGCCTGAAAAAATGAAGCAGCTCACCACGAACGTCGAGCACCAATCGTTAGATTAGATCTGATAATCAAGCGTCTGCCGTGCCGCGCTGGGTCAGGCGTGAGGTTGTAACAAAACAGACAGCCCCTGTCTTTCTCTCCACCATGAACACATGTTCAATGTTGTACAGTGCCGGACAGAACTATGAAACAGGCGTCTTCAGTTTTTCGAACAACTGAGATGGACTTCAAATCAAGGAAAAGAAATCGAGAAAAACTACGATTTCAATGGAAAAATTTGAGAGTTTTATAGTTCCTTCCCGCCTGATTTTCCGTTTCTTATCACTTGTTTGCTTCAACGGCAGCCGACAATGATTAAAGTTGGCATTGATATCGATAGTTTATTTCTCAAACGTTTGCGTTCCTAATAGTTTGAAAACGCAAGAGTTTTGCCCTTTTTCATTGTAATTATTCAGAGAGTCATTTTTCAAGCAGTTTAACTTCTTTCTGGGTGGCTGTCAATATTAACGATTTGTTCTAGGAAGGAGAAGATGCAATTTGCTTTGCCCGGCGGGTCAAGCGAGGAATCGCCAAGAAAGGTGGCCTCGTTGATCTGGAGTGGGACGGAGCTTTAAAAAGAGAACGGGTAAATTCTCTCATTTTTTTTCAATCCCAAGATTATCTTCTTAGGTATCCTCAAAATTGGTCGCTCTGCAACAAAAGCTCTACTATGACCGACTGGCCAGGACTACAACGATCAACGCTCTTCCAGAAGAATCACAGTCGGAATTCCTTGAGATTATGCAGGTTTCATGAGTCATACATGTTTTGAATTAAAAATTGTTTTTAGTCGATCTCCGAAGAGGATAGGAACGAACTAATGAAGCATATCGATGAGGAAGATGAAGATGAAGATATTATTAGGAAGGTTGGTGCCATTTCACTGAACCGTGAATAAAATGTTTTGGAAGCTGAAAAGGTTGAATTTTGCAGAAAGATGAGTAAGATTTTTAGATCTCGGACCTACGCCCACGTTTCAGCATATCCGACCAAGGATCAGTTCAGAATTCAGTCTCGGAGTAGACAACGGACAAAAAAGTTGAAATTTAATTGTCTCACCTGTGCCTTTCAAAATTGCTCAATTGTTGCCTCATAGCCCGGTACACTGTAGGACCTCTTAATACTTGTAAAGTGTCAGACGAACTTGTTTATTATTATTATTATTATCATTATCATTATTATTATTGTTATTACTGTAGATGTTTTCTGTAAGTGCGCATAAAAGAAGTAATGAATACAAGCATACCAGTAATGAGATGACATTTGGGGAACAAATAAACGAATTAAAAAAAATGAGAGAAACGAGTTTTAGGCTCTGTTGGATGAGAAGAACGACGAGCTGGACTTGGAGGATTGACGTTCAGCTTCTTCATAGGATGAAACGGGAGCTATTCCTCCTGAAATCAGGAATTTTTTCTACAGTTTTGATGGCACATTTTCAAGACTGCAGAAAATCTTATCCCAGGCTTTATTTGAAAAAGCAATCTGAAATACTTTTCGCTGTGAAAAGATCAGCAGTAAGTAAATTATGTTCTGTTCTCCTCAGCTTGTAATCGCATAACTGCAAAAATATGGTGAAAAAAATTCTTTGCCTTTCTCGCAATGCGTCCGACAATTTCCGGTTTCCGCTTTGCGCTCGCTTGTCATTGAGACTTCAATTTTTTGTTCTCATTTTTTTTTTTCGAAACTTTTTTTTCGCACTTTTTTGATATTCGTATCAGAATCCTATTATCAGATATGTTCAGGTTTCGAACTCAAGCTGAACTATTTCAGTTCATGTATTTCAGCTTCACAAACCTCCAAATCCATTGCCACTTGGAGCTTTCCCGCCTCCAAAAGAGCCCGAACTTGCTGGATCATTCGGCACCAGTCCAAACATTTCCTTGGGCATTTGAGCGTCGAACACGGCTGGCGCTGGTGTTCGCCGCTCTACGGGAAGACCTGAACACCTTCATTTCAAAATTCATGAATTTCTTCATAAACTCACCAGAATCTTCAAAGAACGTCGACTTCACTCCATATCTTCCTTGCTCGTAGCCTTGGTCGTCTTTGATCACTGAAAAGGAAAAGTTTTAAAATCATTCTTCTAGAAAAGAGTGAAAACCTGCAGGTTTTGGAGCTTCCTTCCTGACTGAGCTCTGGAAACGTTGAGGCTCTTCAGAAGTCGCTCCTGTGTAGAATTGTCCGTTTGAAATTTTCGGCGGGTAGTAAGGAGTGTTTATGTGTTCTGGGTAGGCGCCATCGACCGTTCGGACTTCTGGCTTAGGTAGCAATTGAGGTTGAGGTTGAGGTTGAGAAGCTGGGTTCTCTGGAAACGTGAAAAAGTTATAACAACTTTTTTTGGAAAGTGATAAAAAGCTGTCCAGGTTTTTCTGCTGAGTCAAACCCTTTTTCTGTTTTTTTGTTATTCTACCACTTCTAAACTTGAATATCTAGCTGAAATAATAAAAGGAACTTTAAACTTCAGATGACCTACACGTTCTAATTTTTATAGAAACTCACGTTTCGGCTTCATAAAGAAAGACGGCGGCGGTGGTGGAACGGGAGGAAGTGGTCCTACATATCCTGCCGGAGGTGGGACAAAATAGGGCAGGTTTTGTGGCGGTTGAGTAGCCTTCAAAATTATTTTCTAGAGGTGATTTTTTTATTCTAGTTCCTACTGGTGGAGCAGTCGCAACGGGTAAGTTTTGGGTGTACTGTCCGACGTCGAGTGGGGCTCCAGTTGCCATAGAATCATACTGAAACAAAAATCGTTTTCAGTTCTTGAAAAGGAAGTTAACGAACCACGGTAGCCTGATTCTTCTTAACCTCGTTTATCCTGCTCACAATAGACTTTTCTCGCTCCTAAAAGTATAATTATTTTCATCGTTTGGTGTCTTCTTTCCACCATTCTGTCCTTCCTCAAAGACCCAGGGTTCAAAATTTCTCTCGCCAATTGTGAGCCGAAACCAATCAATGAGTTCTCACTAAACCCATCTTCCATCAGATCTGGAAACTCTTTTTTTCATTTTGAGAAAAAAAATTGACTGACTTCTTCCTTCTGGTGGCTGATAGGTTCTCACGCCACTGGCCTGAATTTTCATAAATCATATGAAAACTAAAAAAAAAGGAGTTTACTCTAGGTGATCCGATTCCCGAGCTCTGCAGAAGCGGGCTCAGGATTGGCCGAATTTCATCCAAGATCCCTGCGATTGGAGTGATCACATTGGCAAACTGAGGGTTAGCGTTGGAGTTGGCATTTGCCTAAAATTGTATTATAGTAGAGAAAAATGAAAGAAATTACATTCAAGTTGTAAACGGTTCCAGCGACTGGAGGCGACGGCGCTACTGTTGTGGTCGAAATAACGTCAGCTAATGTTACTGCTGGAGGCTCCAAGGAAAGTTTTTTGGCTTAAATTGAAAGATCAGGCTTGCAGAACTTCAAACGGAAGTTATTTAACTAACTGGCAGTTTCGGAGTTAGAAACAGAAGATCCTGGCTCTGGAGCTTGAGTCACGAAAGCGGCTCCTTCGTCTTCCGCTTCAGGAATGGCAGAAGTAGCTTTTTCTGTTTTCGAAGTTGTAGTAGGAGCTTCTGATGTCGTAGTTGTGGTAGTAGAAGTCGTTGTAGAGGTCGTCGGGGTCGGTTTTTTCGTGGTTTCGGCAGGTTTTGGCGCCTTTGTAACTTCTGGTTTGGTGGGTTTTTCCCCTTTTTTCGCATCTTCGTCACTTCTCGACTTTTTGATGTTTTCTGAAAGATTAAATATTTCGAAAAGCAGTGATATTTTTTTCTAAAAAAATGATTCGTAAATACGAAAAAACTCCAAGCCATCGGTGTATTAACTAACCCATTTTCTTCAAAAAGTTGGCGATTTTCAGTCGCGCTTCTTGTCTTTCAAGCTTCTTCTGGTTTTCAACGTTCTCTTCCGCGGATAGAACTTGCAGAACCTGAAAAAAATAAACTCAAAGTTACAGAACATTCTTGCTTACCTCTTGAACTTCAGTAAGGAGCTCAGCTTCCATCGTTTCCAAGCTCTTGGTGGTCTCTTTTTCCTTCACTTCTTCACTTTTTGGTGTGGGTGTAGTTGTTTTAATAGCAGCTTTTGTAGTAGTTTTCTTTGTCGGTTTTGCCGTAGTCTTTGTGATTTTAACAGTAGTTGGTTTCTGCGTTGTCGTGGAGCTGCTTCCAAAAAGTTCTCGCATGGTGATCTCCTCTAACTGTTTAGTCACTGATTCTTCTTCATTCTTGTAGATTTCTTCCAGTTTCTTGATGTAAGACGGCTTTCCAGAGTCTTTCGAATCCGATTCCGCCGCGCTTTCAATAATTTGAGCTGTAGAGAAAAGTTTTGGCTCTGCGGTGTGGAAGAATGCCGTGAATTGAGGGTTGCTCTTGTCCTCTGTAGATTTTGGCTTTTCGATCTGAAACAACTTTTTTTTTGTAAGGTTTTTTAAGGGTCAACAAGCTTTAAAATGTCACATTTTGAGTGACATTTAAATTAACTCTACTAGCTTAATTAGGAAGTTCAGTCTAAGAAAAATGAAGATCCAGAAACTTCGAGCTTCAGCTTGAAGCTAGAACAGTTTATCATCATTATCATCTTTTTATTGATGTTTTGCTTTTTTTTTTTTAGGCAAAAAGTAAAATAACCTCTGGGGTCTCTGTGGTCGACTTTTCCATCTGTTTTGTAACGTTTTTTTCTTCCTGAGATCCTTGTTCATCTTTAGTGAAATCTACGTTATCCGGCTCAGTCTTCTTTAATCCATCACTATCGTCCACGTCATTACCAGAAGAAGTCTTCAAAAGGGAGAAGATTTTAAATTTTTAAAGGAATTTTCACATTTTCATAGCTATCAGCGTCCGGTTGAACCAGTCTCCCTGGGATATTTCGTCTCGGCAGTTCAGTTGTTGTAGTAGTCGGAGCTAAGGTCGTTGTGGTCGTGGTTGTAGGAGCTGGAGTAGTAGTCGTCGTCGTAGTTGTTGATGTTGTTGTGGAAGTCGTGGTGGTAGTGGTAGTTGTAGGTGGAGGGGCCGTACTTGTTGTGGTCGTGGTGAAAGGAGATTCGCCTTTATGTCTGAATTAAAAGTTAAGTTCGAAAATTTTATAACTTTTGCTTCTTAAAATTATAGCTGTTTCGAAAACTTTTCTTTAGTATTCAAAGTAAGACGCGGCGAGGCAGGTTCAACGCCTGTTTATCAGAAATATTTGCTCCGAAGAAAAATACAAATTGAGAACAGTTGGCCTCAGTTAATGAATGAATATTTATAAATCGAATAATTTTTTCCAGATTTCTTCGAGTTAGCCCACCTTGGCAACAGTAAAGTGAGGAGCTTTTCATTGATTATGGTGTCTCCTTTTCCTTTCCTCAACTGTTCTGTATCCAGATTCCCGGCTTCGACGTTCGGAGGAACCAAAGTGAAATGCCGGACATTGTCGGGAGTATAACTGGAAGTTAATAAATCTTACGATGAGTTTTTGTCTGACGAATGACCCTTAAAAGGTGATAATAAATTGAAAAGACCTCTTGGGGTTGTGCCTTCTCGCAATTTCTCTCAAAGTCTTGCTCCACATATCGATGGCGTTTCTCATCCCGAGTTGGTCATTGAAGCTTTCCTGTTCTCCTCTCGATGAGAAAAAATCGAATTGAGCTGACACTGTTGATAGCACCAAAAAGGCGCCCAGGAGCCGCTTCATGAAACCTGAAAACGGAACTCTTATGGACTTGTTTGTGAGGGAATTAGCCCGGTTGAGAACAAAAAGGTGAAAAAATAGCAAAACTTGGAGCTACTTCTGAGAGTCTTTTTAGGTAAGTAAAATCTAAAGTCTAAAAATTCTGGTATGCAGGAAAATCAGCCGGATGTGATTAGCGTTTTTGAGTTTTTCAGACCGTTCAAAACTTCTGGCTGAAGGACTCAAACTATTCAAATCAAGAAACACTGTCAAAAAGGTACAAATCACAGAAACTCGTAGATTTACGGTAGCTGGCCCTAATCCACACAATCTTCTCGCCGAAGAAAGAAAAAGAAAGCAGTCGGAAGACCAGAAGAGAAAGTGGAAAGTGAGACTTGAAGCCATCGAGAGTGATACCGCGGGGGCAACGTTTGGGTCAAAATGAAATGAATGGTTGAATTCTATGGATGGCTAACTGGGTCGCGCTCCGGGACGCCGAGAAGCTTCGCATCTCATCAAAACAACCCTTCTAGACAGGTTTCGCTGTCTGAAAATTACCCCTTTGACGCCTTTTGTTTGTCGCCAAGATTTTGATACTTTTTCCGTGTCGTTCGAATTTTTCCATTCGGATTAAGGAAAGAGAAAAACAAGAGAAAAGAAGTGAAAGAGCAGCTTTTTTTTGAGATGATGCGAAATTCGACATAAAAAAGATTGGCCAACATCCCAGCAGATTCGCGATAGTTCTCCGGATGTGCAAAAAATAAGCAATTTTGATGAACGAGAAACTCATAGTATGAAACTCGAAAGGGTCTGTGTAAAAAATGGATTCGAAAAAGCTCCCAATTGAGTACCCCATAGAAGGTTATTTCGATAGAAGAAAAGAACAAAAAATCCAGTTTCAGTCGAATAGAGTTTAGGAAAAGTAGACTCAAGTCAGTTCCTCATTGTTGAAAGTACACTCTTCAATCAAAAGCATGTCGTTTTTAATTCCTGAGGTCTTTTTCAAAGATAGTGTTGATACCTAAGTTAGTGAGGATCAGTTAATTATACAAAAAAGTTGAAAAGCAATGGATCGTAACGAGAAACTCATAGCATGAAACTCGAAAGGGTCTGTGTGAAAAATCGAACCGTATAAGTTCTAGATTGAGTATCCCATAGATAGCAATTTAACCTTAAGTGGAAGAATAAGGAAGATTAGGAGGGTTTCATCGCTCAACTTGGAAATTTTCAAGATTTGGAAACTTTTTCTCTTTTCAAAAACGGCTTTTGGAACTTTTCCAAGACAAATCCATAACAAGGAACAAGTTCCTCGTAACAATCCCAAGTGAACGGAGTAACCGAAAGGGCTGAGCATCTAAATCCGTTCAAAAGCGAAAGTGCACGAGTCGGCGCGCCAAACGAAAGGAAATAGTCCATTTTCGTTTGCAAGCAAAACGAGCGCGAAGAAGAAAAAAAAATTTTTCACGACACGCTGCGCCATCTCAACTAAATGCGGTCAGCGACGACGATGAACTGTTTGGCGGCTAAGCCTGGAATTCCAAGCAGGATCCGCCCCGCTTGGAGACGACTATGTATATCGCGCCGTTTACATTCCAAGATCAAAAATTTTCGTAAGGGGCTAGAGCAACAACGAAGAAAAAAATATCAAGTTTAGGAATCCGTAAAATAGCTGTAACGAACAATAATTTTATGACAAAAAAATTTAAAGTTCAATAAAAATTTCCGAACCCAGTTTGTGGGAAAAAACCTCGATGGAGTCTTTGAGAAGGGAAAAGATTCTTTGGCTACACGTCGTTGAATACAACAAAAATAGATGTCTCGGCAGTTTTCTTCGATTTACCTTCCGTTTTTTTATTTTATCATGATTTAAAAAAATAAAAAGTGATAGGAATTCAAATCCAACAGCAGACAACTGAACGATAAAGGTGAATAAAATCTTCTGTTTTACTTTTTTTAAAATCTAAATTATTCTGTTGAGAAAAATTTTTCAACTTTTTAAGAGGCAAAAAAACAGATTTGAAACATATATTGCAAGACGTTCTTTTACTACTGTTTTTTACGAAACTTGACACAGATTCTCTTATATTTGAAAGAACAAAAATCGAGAGGAAAAATAGACTTCTTCGCAAAATTTTTTTGCCGTAAGTAAAAACTAAAGAGTTTTGTTCACCGCAATCACAGTTTTGGGTGAATAAAACACAAAAAGTGTTGTGTTTACTGTATTGTCTTGTTTTCGAATAATAATAAATAAAAAAATTTTCATTCGAGAGAAAAGATGCAAAGTAAAGAAATCAAAGCGTGGGGCTATTTCAAATCGAGCTAGATCTGGAACGGCGGCAGGTCTTCTTGGGTGCCTCGATTCTTTGCTTCTTCTTCCAACGATTGCGCCGAGAGGCAATAGAAGTTTCAACCTAAAAAAAACTTGGAACTGCTTTATTTTTTGTTGCTTTTCAATAGTGACGCAAAATGTAGAATGAAGACTGTACCTTTTTGACCTTGATCTGAACACGGCTATGAGCTCTCAAGCTTTCACCAGGAGAAGACGTAAACTTTATTTGGAGATTTGCCATCAGCAATGCGAGGTCCGTCGATGGCTGAATTATCAGAATAAGACATCAAATCGTAAAAAGCACGAACATTCGAGTAGCGCGTTTCGTTGGGGAAAAGCCCTGTAGATAGATTGACACGCGGAAACTTGGCAGCTTCGCGCATGACCCTAAAAAAAGGCAATATGAAAGAAATTTGTTCATTCTTCAAATTTTTTTTTAGATATTTTTGATTAAGCTTAAAATAGTCAAAGTTTACGGGTATTCATGTTATGACAAAGAAAGAGCGTGTAAAAATTAAAAGATAAGTTTTTTCCAGATCTTTCGGTCAACCGCCCGATTCTTTTTTCTGATTCTCTGCACGAACGTGCTTGGACGGTTTCCATTCATAAATAGACGAGCCTCAAGAAGTGTCCGAATCTGAAATTGATTCTTAACTCAAGATTATAATCAAAAATCATTTTTTTGTCAGTTGCGCAAAAAAACTTCTTTTTTTAAGATGAATCGAGGAAAAAAAGAAATAAATAACGACAAGAAGGGGAGGTACACTAATTAACCTTTATCTCTCTCAAACACCCGCTGGCAACGCGACGACTGACTCGGCGGTGTGACTTTGCGTGAGGCGTTTCGGCAATGAGCTGGTCGATCTGAAAGGTATATTTTTCGGATTTCAAAAAAGTTTGAAGATTGTTCTTGTTCAAACTGGTTCTTCTTCTGGCTATTTTTTCTCACGTCTTCAGAGTTACAGTTTCTGTCATATATTCATTTCAAAGCAGTGTCCTGATATCTCACAATTGAAAAGTAAAAGGTTGTTTTTCTTTCTTTCTGAGAATTCAGAATTCTAACCGTTCACTTTTTGATGATTAGTTTTTCTTAACCCTGTGAGTATAATTAATCTTGGGAGCCTTCATTTCCAGGGTAGCGGTTCAAACGATTCAGAATGATGTATCTTTTTGATTTTGTGAAAAATGATGAACTTCAAATATGATATTAACTTTGGTGGCGTCTCAATGTTATTATTAAAAATAAGAATCGGCGATTTCATCAGAACCACTTGCGACTTGAGGACGCCTGTCCGTCGAATCTTCAGAAAACGTCAACATCTCACAATTTACCAAATCCTGCTAAAAACAAGAGAAAAAAAATCTATACGAAATTTTACGAAATTCAAAATATAATAACGTTTTTTTCAACGAGCGGGACATTTAACGAAACCCTATCGGAGCGAAATGAAAACTTTGATGATTATTGGAGAAATGATGGAACGAAGTGACTTTTTTGAGAACAAGAAGAGCGATCGATGAAGAGCCACACGACAAGAATGAACGTTTCTGAAAGGCCACGACGAGGGAAGGGGCAACGCGTTCGCGCCGCGGGTTTTTGGCGCGGGGTCGAAAAGGTCGATCATCTCCTTCTTCGTGTCCTCCGACGCTTGATTTTCGACTCGCTTTTTCCGCTTTTTTTGTTTTTGAAAAAAGTCCTAATCTTCATCTAAACTTTTTCACATTTCCCGATCGTTTCTTCGATTTCAAACTGTCAAACGGCAATCAAGACGGAGATTTCTTGAAACCGTCTTTCTCTATCATATAACTCATGCATTTGGAATTATTTTATTATCTTTCTACAAGCGAGAGTCCGTCCAAGTTCCAAGTATTTTTACTCAAAACTGGAACATTATTTTAAGGGAGTTAGAAGAATATTAATCATTTTTTTCTTTGAAAGTTGATGTCGATTGCAATAATTTATTTCAGTTTCAAAATGTTAAAATAAAGAATATAACTTGGGACACGCGGAACGAACCGGTAACAACTGGTTTTAATAATATATATAGATATATGTGTAGCATAGAAAAATGGGTCCTCAATCTGAGTTATTCTTTGAACCAGCTGTTTTCCTGGTGAATCTGGCGCTCTTCTTCAGGAGTGAAGTCGTACGGAATCATGTATTTATGACGAATCTCGTCAGGCGACAGTCCCTGAATTACTTCTTTTTTTCAAAGCTTGTTCAGTCCCTTATCACCTTGAGACTTTTTGCGACTTCTTTGCACAAGAGGTCAAACAGTTTTTGCACTTTCAAGTTGTGCGCGGCCTGAAAAACACCAGAATGCTAATCTAGTTAAGTTTTTTTTTTTTTAATCAAAAAACGATTTTGTGATTCTTCATCATATGACAGACAATGAGTTAACCAATTCCCATCTTTTAAAACTTCAAGTTATTGAGACCTATCAATAAAAAGACGTTCATCAAGATAACTCACGAGCAGCACGCTGAGCAGAGTGTTCTGGGGCATCTTCACGAATTCAGCGTCGAATCCGCCGTTTCGATCAGGCCTCTGAGGATTATCGTCGACGTGTTGGGTGCAAAATTCGTTGATCTGAAAAGGAAATATGTTATGTGGAAGTTGAGATCTTTCTTCGAGCTTTGAGGTGACACTTTTTCCTACAAAACTACTGTAAGAGTTGTCCCGATCTGTTTATATGATGTTACACAAGTTTCAAATTGGCTTAATTTTCATCAAACAGCTAAAGTTGGTGAATGAATTATTAAGAAATCTAACCTTTCTCATGTCAGCGAGAGTAGCATCAACCTCGATGGATTCGTTTGGATCACGCTTCTCGTCTTTCAGGAGCTCATTGACGACTTCAGATTGAAGGATCACGCGACGATCCACCTGGAAACGAGTTTACAATTGACTACAAAAAAAATTTCAAAGCAAGTTTTTACCTCGATAACCTCTTTGTCCGAGGTGAAGAGCTTCACCGTGCTCTCTTCAGCTCCAAGATTCGACATTCCGAGTTTTCTGAAATAGAAGTGTTTTCGAAATGTTAAAGAATTGACCGAGGAAAAAATGTTCGACTTTTGAGAAGGGATGAAATTTCTAAGTGGGATATTATGCCATATCAGGACGCGAGTAATTCATGAGTACTTGAAATAATGCACCAGTTCGAGAGAAAAAAATAAGAACAACAAAGATCGAAAAAATGATCAGGCTTATAAAAAGCATGACTCATATGCTACCAAAAAAGAGGAGGTGCAGCGCGGTCGCGTCGCGTTTTTTTTTTGTTTACCATTCGATTTTTTAGTCTTTACGTCATAAAAGTGATGATTTTCAATGGAGCGCATTAACTGTTGTTTTTCGATTTTTTCTCGAAGTTTCGTTTTCCGAAATAATTTCGCATTTGGTGAGTAACTTTTACGATAAAATCAGATTTTAACAAATTTGAGAGAGAAGCATGATGAGACCAGTTGCATTGCATGGAAATAACGGCTTTTTCTTAGAAAACAGTCTTCGCTCGCTTGAAACAACGGCATGCATCCCATCAATCAATAACTAATATTGTATTTTTATAGATGGATTCATTGGGTTGGGCGTAAGAAAAAGAACTTTTGAGCTATAACAAACACCGCCTTCACCGAAAAAGTTGGACGGATGATCTTACGGTCATTCGCCCCGCTCTTCCGATGGCGTGTCGACGAGCTCAAAATACAGCGGATGTTGAGATGGAGCTCATGACCTGGCTCTAGATTAAATCTTGTCCCTCATCAGGGCGCAGGCCAAAGCCTCGAATTGAGAGTATTCACTTTTAGTGTAAACTTTATTCAGTTTAACAAGAAAAAAATGGAAAAGAAGCCTAAAAAAGAAAACTGAAACAAGAAGCGGAAGAATGGTCTGCCGGACAAAAACCGTGACTTATAAGCTGTCTCAAAAGGGGAGGTGCGGCGCGGTCGCGTCGCGTTTTCATTCTTTTTCTTCATCGTTTAACATTTTCAGTCTTCACGTCATAAAATGATGATTTTCAATGGGGCGCACTTTTCCGCTATTTCTGATAGATTTTTTTCTACGTATCTTTTTTCAAAAGATTATTTTATTTTTGATAAGCCACATTTACATTTATGAAAAGATCGTTAAACAAATTTTGGGACAATAAGACATTTAAATCATTTTTTTATGTTTGATATGTAACGATTCTTCGTAGACAAATATTTTTGATGAAAAAAAGAAAAAAATTATCCTGAAGTACGAGCTAAATAAAATGCTAGAATGAAGTCTTCAAAAAAACCTAATTTCCCAAAAAGGTTTTTAAAAGGGCCTTAAATCATTACTAAACTGTTCAGGATGAAGTAAAAATTTTTTTTATGGCTTTTTTTATGTGAGATCGGGCGATACTACTAGGAAAAAAACAATAATTTAAAAAAATTGAAGCAAAAAAAGAAAAAAACGAGAATAGCTGCCCGAGGTCAAACATGAGGCAAATATGAGCAATTCTCGTCGAAATAAACAATGACAAGTTATGCAAAAACGGTTTGCGTCGCGGTCATCTCGATCCTCGATGGTCCAAATTCGCTATTGTTTCTTTTTCTTTTCTCCTAAAATTTACTTGCACAAATTTTCTCCTATTTTGTTTTTATCATTTACTCCAATTTCGCATGTTTCGTTTTGAAGTTGTACGTTTATTTATCCCATTCACCTTCTTGTGAGAACGAAAAGTACATAAAAAAACTTTAAAAATTCAGCCCTGATTGGACTTTTTTTATAACAAAGCTCTTTAATACTCTTTTCTGCTTTAATAATACATGATTCAGCAAACTTATATTCTATTTTGTCCTGTTTTATGAAAGATTTTGAACTTATTTCAGAAAGAACTTTCAAATAAAACTTTTACTCTCATTTTTTTTCCGTAAATTCAAACATATATGTCTTCGACAAGTTTATTCACAATTTTTTGACAGCCAATGTACAAAGATATAAACAATGTATTTCTGAGAACATTTTTTTTCGATGACAAATACAGAGAGCTTCATGAAACAAATTTAAGGAAAGATGAAAGATCAGAACGTGGAGTATAAAAATACATTTTCATCAGATTAATCCTCGCACCAAGCGTTCTCCCTGCGGATCTGCTCCTCTTCCTCAGGCGTGAAGTCGTTCTTGATGTTGAAGATTCGTCGAATCTCTTCCGGCGATTTGCCCTTGATCATGTTAGCGACGGTCTTGCAGGTGACGTCCAGAAGTCCCTTGATGTCGAGGTAGTTTGCAGCCTGGAAAATATCGTATTGAATTCAGCCTTCAAAAACTGAGAGCTTTTAGGTGCCATCAAACTCAAGAAAAAGTTGATTTCAAAACGGCGAAACTGATAACATTTCCATGAAGCTGTTAGAATTTGATCTAGAAAAATTTTGCTAATATTAGAAAGGCTAATCTTCAAAAAACACCCATTTCTTGGCGAAATCTTTCAGATTTATCCTATAAGCCGATAAGAAGAGATTTGCGTCTTATATGGGAACTCGTCATAATCTAGCTGTTAAATAGAACGAATCTGAATCGGAGTCCTAATCTTAATATTGAGCTTTAGTCTAAAAATGAGATGTTATCGAATCCAAATACTCACCAGAATCAGTTCGAAAAGAGTTCCTTGGTCGACTTTCAGGAAATCGACGTCCCAGCTAGCGATGTCGTCGGCACGTCTTTCCCGGCTGTCGTTTTCTTCAGTTGGTACTCCGTCTTCGCGATGGTGAGTGAGCCACATGATGACCTAAAAATTAGATTTGCAAGGTTCTGGAAAACGAAAAATCTTTCGTCTCCAAAAAATTCTTTTATTTTTGCTGTTTAGTTCGTACTCATGAAGCGTGGCGGTCAATTTTTTCATTAAAATTCAAAACTTCCTTCCTAAGGAAAATCTCGTTTTTCGAAATTTTCAAGCTTTATCAATTGATTGACTGCTGAATGACTAAATTAACCTTCACATATATTTTGCTTTAAAATCTTCTCGATTATACAAAAAAACTACTCATACCTTCTTCAAAAATCGGCGAAGTGACGTTAGAGACCGGAATCGGGTCGTTAGCAGAACTTTCGGTGTCATCAAGGCCCAGATCTTGGAGCAGCGTGTTGATGGTGTTCGAGAGACGGATCACATCACGAGGTACCTAGAAAACCGTTTTCTTATCATAGCCTTATCAATAGCGTATTTTGACTAAAAGAAAAAAAAGTGATAAGAAGTACTTCAAACGTCTCGTTATCAGCAGAAACGAGCTTGATCTTGCGCTCGTTGTTCGTTTCGACGTTCTCGGCAGCCATTTCGATACGAGAACTTTCTGAAAAATATAATTAGAAAAATTTCAAAATGACACAGGATGAAGCGACAAAAAGATGTCATAGCCCTTTTACGGCTGGCTTGGGACAGCTAACAGGCGGTTTAATTTTTTTGCGTCAAAGGTAGATCATGACGGCCATACATGCGCCTTTAATAAGGGCCTCATTTGGTCAATTACTCCTGTTTCTATTGAACTCAATTTTTTTGTTTACATTAATTACATTGTTTTTTTAGATTTTCTTAACATTGACGAATTCCATTTTATGGCTTACTGGTTTTTTTCTTATAATTCGTCGATTTCAAAAAAATTTAAAAACAATAAAATTCATGTAAACAAAAATTAAGTTCAATACAAACAGTAGTAGTTCATTAAATGAGATTCTTATTAAAGACGCATGTATGGCCGCCATGACCTGCCATCGCCGCGCAATTTAAAGCGCCCGGTTGCTGTCCCAAGGCAACCGTGAACAGACTATAAACAAAGAAAAATCTACATACTTTCGAAAGATCCAGAAAAAAAAGAAATGAATTATTTCGCTGTTTTAGGCAATGTGAAACGCTCCTTAAAATATGGAGACACTTTAAGAAAAAGGTTTCATCCTACAAGAACAACTTACTGGGCTATAATTACAAACTAAAAAAATCAAAAAAATTTTGTAAAAAGTTTTTTTCGAATCATTTGCAACATAGAACGTCTTTCCGAACTTCAATAAAAAAATTAAACAAAAACGGAAATATATTTTTTTCGGAAAAAGCAGTTTGGAATTAAAGTAACTTTACTGTTTCAAAAATAAACTTAATAATTTCTTTTGATAACAGGAAAAACGTTTTGTGGCTTTGCGAAATTTTTGATAGCTGTGAAGAATATGAAAGTTCATAGAGTTACTCAATTACTTCAAAAAAAGCTTTTTTTGCATATTATAAACATAAATTACAAGTCAATAGACAAAAAGTAAAAAAATAAATGGCAAAGAGGACGAGTACTTGAGGAAAATGATGAGCGGCCACCAATGAGCCTCACGTTATATAGTGGCCGCGGAACGGCCGCGTCGCGTGTTTTTTTCGCGTTGGTCCGCCTCTTTTAACGTCTGAGGCAAAGAAGTCCGGGTGCTAATTGTGCGTCGATCACTCGATGATGTCCTGCGACTGACCTCGAAAAAGTGCCAACGAGCCTCAAGCAAAAAAACTGCTCAAAATTAGAGGCGACGACATGGGAAAGTGATAGATACCCTTGATTCGGTCTTTACTCTTCTTGATGATTTTTCAAAACTTGAATAGCTAAAGAATAGACAAATTTGAAATCTAAAAAAAAATTTAAAACTAGACATAGTGACCGTGAGAAAAATCGCGTAGCGATTTAGTTTATTTTAAATTTAGAAATTACATTTTAAGCGAAATATGAGCTTTGATAAAGTATTTTAGATAATTCATTTTTCAAAAATTATTCCGAAGGACGTTTTCACAAGATTCTCATGATTAGATGGAAAAAATGCGTGTGAAATATTTTAAAACTTTTTATGGGCTGCCCAAAAAAGGCGGTATGCAACAAAAACCATAAGTTACGTATTTACAATTAGAAAAACCAAAATAAGGAGATTCTTTTAAGTGTCTTCTCTGCTCAATATAAAAATATCAGAATAATGTTTTGCCTTGTTTGAGGCATCCGTAAAATATTGACAAAGTCATTAGGACTATTTAAAAAAATACATAATTCTTTTTCAAAAAGAGAATTTTAAAAAAATTCCAAATGGTGACTGAAAAAAAGAAATTGAGTTTTGCTCTAACCACTTCTAAAGAGAGCGGCTTATTTTCTATTTGATCCAACTATACTTCAAAATGGTTCATTTATTGAATTCGCTTGGAAAATTGGGTTGAAAAATCAATGATACATGTTGGAACATAATTCAAATTTGTAATTCCACAGCATATGAAACAGAAAAGACGAATAAATTTGTGAATAATTTGAACAGGAAAACGGAGGAGCATATTGGCTACACAAAAAGTCGCACAGAAAATAACCGAGATAAGAAGAAAATTTTTGGCGTTGATAGTTTTCGAAAATGTTTCAATAACTAGCCGATATGTCATGGTATGCTATGGGCGACAAAAAAAAACGCAGAAGCAAAGAAATAAAACTAAATTGAGCGCGTCCAAAATAAGAAATGATTCAAATTTTACTATTCTCAGAAGATTCAAAAGGGCATGATTTTATTTAGATTTTTAAAACCTCACACATGCTGCTTTCAACTACCCAGCAAGTTTTGCAAGTCGAGTTTATCGTAATAAATAAACGAGGTCCCAAAGAAAAAGATGACTTTTTCAAAAATTAAAAAATTGCTCAGACAATAGAAGTGGGAGAAATGTTTTGAAGCGGGATTGAAACGTTAAAATGATGATCTGAAGTCGGGGAAGGCTCCGATCTGGAGTCGTCGTTGGCGTTTCCCTCGTCCATGCTGCTTGAAGGCGTCAAGGAGCCTTTCTTCTTTCTCATAAGGTTTCTTTCTTTGACCTGAAAAATAGTATATCTTTCTAAAACTTCAAAATAAGAAAACCTTGTACTCCAGGGTAGAATGCGGTACTCCATAAAAGCTTCCAGCCCGATGGACGCTCATTTCACCACGTCGGACGCTTTGAACAGCCTCGTCCAAAGCGTTTTTGTCGTACTTTCTGAAGAAGATTATTGTTTGAAAAAATCTTTTTTATGTTCACCTGTACTGCCCTCTCTTCGGGCGACTTTTCTTCCACTCTTCCATAGAATACGAATCTTCTTGAGCGTTTTTGTCTTCAGAACAGCGAGCCTGGCTGACGTTCATGACATCAGCGGTCATTTGGGTTCTCTGGCTCTTAAAAAGGCTTTGCCATAGTGCCGCCGCCCATTCAGGCGAAGGAGTGAATACTGGTGGCTCTACAGGTTTTGGGAAATCCTGAAAATTAGAACCATCTTTATTAGAAAAATAAAAGTGGGCTACTTCAAATTTAGTGACGGAAAGAAGGCTTTCGACGCTGTGGCCACTACTATCGCTGTCTGGAGAACCAGGTGACTCCGATCCGTTCGTCTCAGAGCATTGAGAAGCCGATCTGCAAAGCATGCCAGTTATTCATTCCTACAATGGGTTCCTACAAACCTTTTATGTTGCTTCTCAATCTCGTCCGCCATTTTCTTCTCGGCAACGCTCTGTCCTCCCGCTCTGCGTCTCTTAGGAGGGGATGCTCCACTTGTTTCCTCGGAAGCTTCCAACTTGTAGATTTTATTCCGAAGAGTTGATCTTGGAATCCCATAAACCACGGAAGCTCTGTAGAAGAAAGTCATCAGCTTGGGACTAACAAAGCTTAGATAATCACCTTCTTGTCCCCAATTTCCCACAACGAATATCTTCAACCGCTGACGCCAGATCCTCGGCGCTATAATTCCTTTTTGCCACTAGAGATTTTGCCAAGAACTCTTCAGGAGTCAAATTTCTGCAGAAGTGGTAATGATTCCAGAGGAAGCCACTGAACCAATACTTACCGTTCATTTTTTTCAGTTTCTTGAACAAAAATTTCTTTTTTCGGCGTAATCTCGTCGGGCTGTAAAGTTAAGGATGTTTTTTTTCTCTTGGGGAAAAAAAAACCTTTTTGCTGAGGTCAAGAGGAATTTCGACCTGTTTCTGGGCCAGCATTTGGTCTCTTGCAAGCTGCTGCTGCTGTTGCTGCTGAGCTTTTTGCATGTTCATTATCATCGAGGTCCAAGGATTTTGAAAAAATGGAGGTGGATAAGGCATTTCTGAAGTTTCGATTTTCATAAACGCTGGAGTTTGATAAGCTCACGATTCTCCAGAATCAACCTCTGCATCTCGGAAGACAAAGGAAGTTGTGGAATGGTTGGTTGCTGTGGTAAAAGTCCGAGTAACTGCATTTGGTTCATGATTTCCACTGAAAATTCATATTGCTAATGTTATTCTCCTATCTTTCGATTACTCATATGCCGAAGATAATTGTTGAATCAAAAATCTGGCAGTTTTCAATTGAAATTTAGTAATTGCTCCGTGTCGCTAATTTGTGAATCACATGAGTCTTCAAATTGGTAACTAATTAACCACTCTAGGGAAAACTTTAGGAAAACAAAAACAAGTCTCATGTGCCAAACATCAGGTTTTTGTAGACGTTTTTCTCAAAAAGCTACTGAAATTTTTTTTAGTGATGTTTCCGGAAAAGATTATCGCAAACCATTGAGTTGATATTGGCGGATCAACATCGCTTGCTCTTGTGGCGTGTTTGGAATTGGAGACTTCTGATAGAGACTCCCAACATTTTGCAGATGACCAGAGGGCAGTCTTCCAGGTTTTGGTGGAGTCGTGAAGCCGTTAGAAGTACGATTTTCTAGCGGCATCACTTTTTTTTTCCAGAAATGAAGCAGTTAGCAGAGACAGAAAGCCTTCACCAAATCTGAAAATGAAATGAAAATTATTTAATGAGAATTGAACTCGAAGTGAAACGAGGGAAAATAAACGGAAAGTCCAAGACTTCAAAATACATATGACAAGAAAAATCTTTTTGTGAATGCGTACAAATTTTCGTCGTTCAAACTCTTGGCTCTGATTTTTGACTTTTCGATATGAAGAATTTGCGAACTTTAAGGAGGAAGTTACCGAAGCGGAACCAAACAGAACAGCCACAGATCCTTTGTGAGGACCGTCCCTCCTAGGACCTATTGTTTCGCTCAGAAACTATCTTTTTTGCCTGAGTCAAATCGGAAACGGCCTTTTTGACTCTTCCTTTTTTTTGACTCATACCGTTTTTGACTCGCCGTGTATCATGGCCTTTTCATTAAAAATGCGCTGTCGCCCCTTTGGCTGTACGGTATTTTTGTCGCCAGGACCGTTAAACTTAAAAGAAAGAAGCCTTTTGATGAGAACAAAACACTTTCTTTCGCTTTTTATTCATAAAAGGGATTTATTGAAGTGAGTTAACGTAACCATTTTCAAAAAGAATGTTCCTTTCATAATCGGATGGTGGCAGCGTTTGTAATAATTAAAGTCAACTGATCAAAAAAACAATCGTTCTTTTTGAATTACCATCCGTAAAGTCCCTAAAAGGTGACCTATTGAAGCCTAAATCTTCGATTTGGATTCTCTGAGATTTTTTGGCTTCGTTTTCAGCTCCAGAATAAGTTTTAGCTCTGAAAAACAAAATATTTAATTCGTTCACCAGGTTGTTCAAAAAACTATCTAGCTTTGATCAGATGAAGCGGAAAAGAGGCCAGAAAACAATGAACAAAAAATTGAATAGAAAAGTCATTGTTTACGCAAGGGTTTCCGTTTTAATTAGGTTCCAGGCAAAAGATAATTGCCCTAAAATTGCCATCGGCGATGGGGCCGCCGGTTCAGGCGTTATCGCACCGGAATACCCTGAGGAGACATTCTATCTAGCATTTGACGTTTATCGCCAGTCCTCCTATTTCGTCTCTCAAAACCCATTTTCGCGCCCTGCGATTAATTTGGAGCACAGCAAAGGCTTCGAAAAAAAAGACTAGGGATACGGTAACTATTTTGGTCAGACGACTAGATCATCAGTACGTAGAGAAAAACTATCCTGAAAAAAAGATTACAGCAAGAAATTTTTTTCAGCGGCTTCTTCTAAGGTGAAGAAAAATGATGACCAGAAGCACTGCCCAATTTTCCAAAGGCCCATAAAATTTATGGGGCTTTCGAAAATCTTTCATTCAAATTTTCAAGAAATTTTTTTGGAGTCCGAAGCTCTTTTTTTCATTGATAAATAGTAGGAAAAAGTGGCTTTGTCAGCTCTGGTAATGAGATTTAATGGATAAATGAAATTATAAAGTCTTTCTACAAAATTTCTGGATAGCTGACTCAAATTTGATCGCTTAGCTAATTAAAAAAATTATTCCAAGACGCTCCAAACAATTAAACGGGTATAAAGTTCGTCCTCATATATTTTGAAAGGTTTTCATCAAAGTTCTGAGATTGAATAGGATTTCGTTCCTATTTTTCTTGTAGCAGCTGATAAAATGAAATTTCAGGAAGAGTTTTCCGCATAAATTTAATATATTTGATATTGGATGACGCTTAACTGTATAAAGAAGAAAATCAATAATTCGATAAATCACAAACACGGGCTAAAATCCTTATAAGCTTGTGTCCTAAAAGTTTCGGGCTAAGCGAGTTTTGCCCTAACTTTGACTGAAACTGTTTGACTGTCGCCTCATGGTCAAATCAAAAACATTCCACCACCGTAACCCTCAAGGACATTCAAACTGAGAGAAAATGGGCCAAACACACGAGGGACAATACCCTTTCGGCAGAATGAAGTATTTCGATATTCGCATTTGACATGCGCGTTCACACTTCTCATATATACGTGCTCCTAAGATTCCGGCGGCTGAAGATAGTAATTTAGGGAGAGGCCGACTCGACTGCTGAATAATGAATACAGCGGCGGTCGGACCCGGAAAGGCGAAGAAGGAGCTGCACACTTGGTCGAGCAGCCAAGCGTTTTTTTTCCTTCCCCTGAGCTGGACCAGTCTGTCTAAGTTCCGTCTCACCTCAGAGAAACTGAGCTCGAGGGTTCTTTTCTGGTTAGGTTCTGCGATTGTATTGCTCTTGAAAAACGATTCAGAAAGCCAGCTGTTACTTTCAAACTGATTTTTGAATCTCGAGTGCAAGCTTGTGTTAGGAACAGGTAGAGCTGGACCAACTTGACAATTTTTCCACTCTTCATTCTCGCACAATTCTCAGCTTCAATTTACCTAAGGTGCATTCTTACAAAAAAAGTCACTCACTCACAAAAAAAGGCAGTTTTACTTTGCACTCTGCAATTTTCTGTAAGTGAGCCAGAATGCTACTTGTTGTTCCAAGTCAAGAGTCTGGGAGTTTCGAGCTCCTCGACTTCCTAGTTTTTTTTAAAAAAATAACTGACTTGGTCGGGGAGAAAAATCAGAAGCTTAAGAAAAGAGAAAGTTCAAGGATACGTGCTTGTGTTCATGAATAATCAGATGTGCTTCAGACAATTTAGGAAATTTTTTTTTGTTTTCTTACAAAGCACGCAAAAAAGCTGATAACTTTACCAGTCACTCGGAACACCGATCCACTAGTTACTCTTTAAAGAAATCTGAAGTCTTCAATTCAAACATATTTTCTTTTAGAGTAACTCTCCTAAAGAAAAGAAAACGGAAAATGAACTTGATTCCGACATTCAACCTAGAAAATTTCATAGTAGCGAAACTTTGAAATGAAAGCAGAAAATGGTTTTTTGTCCAAATAACGGCTTTTTGTACAACTATCAATTTCCTAGACAACCCTCCTCTAAATATAAAAAGGAAAACACTTGATTATAGGCTGAGTAAGTGAACGCCGTTTCCGAGACTTTTTGACGACCTACTAGAGATAAAAATGGTAGTTTCAAAGCAGAAACAAACAAACGAAACCAACCTTCCAGCTTCCAACTAGTAAAAGGTGTTGGTAAAAAAAGGGGGCGTAACACTTTCTTACCAGCCGTTTGGACCGCGCGACTCTTCTTTCATTTTGGCCGTAACCCGCCTTTTCAACCACCTAATCTCCTAATTAGGCGTGGCTGGCGACGCTCGAAATTCATCCAACCACAAATTTTCAATCTTTTCTTTCCTCTTTCAATCACCCAAAGGGCTTACAAAACAGAGACAATGGCTTTTGAAGCGCAAATTGGAGGATTTTTGGATGTTTCAGGAGAAGCTAGAGGAAGGAAAAAAAGAAATCTGAAGAAATTCGCAACACGACTGTCGGCGTCGCTGATTGATGGGTGTTGCCATTCAGGTGTATTCAGGACCAACACACAAAAGGCGGCAAACCGCCCACATCTCCCTTAACAATTTGAGCAATTTAGCTCTTCTTCACAGTCGCCGCCATAATCAGACCGAATTGACAAAAAGGCAGGAGCCTACAGAAGTTCTGAAATGCTTACGATTTTCGAGAGGGCAGACTTATTTTTTGAGAAGAATTCAAGTTAAGGGATTAACTTTCGGCCATGAAAAACTTCGATTATTGATGTAATTTTTTTATCTTTTTTTCGAATCATAATTTTCATATTTTAATAGATGCTTTCATCAGGATTCGTTGATTTAGCCAAAAAAAGTTCTGCATGTGTGCCAAAAATGGCCCTTTTCGAACCATTTCAAAAGCCTTTCAAATTTTTTATTCGCTAAGCACCCCTGAGGTGGAAATAATCGCGTTTTTCACTAGCTCACTTCTCTGTATCAGAATTAAAATTACAAACTCTGCCGAATTTATACAAATGTTGCTGCCCTCATTGTAGGCGTCACCCAAAAGGCCAGAACTACACGTCAAGATCAAAACAGATAAGAAACACCGCTCTTTTTGACTTAATATCTCTGAACTGTCGCAAATCTCGGATTAAATGCAATCCCTCCTAAAGATATTTGGAAGGACTACCGAGAACTACACGGCTCCGCGGCGACGATTAATTTGAATTTCCGGTGTGCGAAGAGGTCGCTTCCCACGTGCATATACACACGAATTTCCTACCCCCAATCATCATAAACACGGAGCTCTCGGAGCACTTTTCCAGCGCTTCAATGTATGTGTGCCGATTTTGGCCGAAAATCCGGCAAGAATGATATGAATAGCCATCTGCGACAAACTTAAAACTTTCTGAAGCCTAGATTGTTTTTGAAAACGAATAATGATCGGCAAGTTTGATTTCTCCAGAGAGTATACTGACTAATTTGAAAGACTCCGTCAGAAAAAAAAAATCTTGAGTTTATCTGCCATGTGATCGAAAACAATTAGTATAGGCTTCTGAAACTCAGTGGAATAAATCCAGAGCTTTGATAGATGAATTTAAAGTTCGGAGCTTCCAGGGAGAGCTATTGAAGACCAGCCAATGAAAAAGTCCTTTCCCTCTCTTTGCGCGCCGCCTCATGCGCTTTTCTCGTTAAATTTTGGGAGAACCGCTTTCTGCCCTTTTTCTCTCACTACTTCGCCTGGGTTATGGTAGCCAAAACTTTTTGTTTGTTTGGCTAGTGAGCTAATAAATCAAGCAATCTTCGATGTTGGAGTCATTAATTCTTGGAAAAAATCGTGAGAGGCTTTTGTTTGGAAACATAATGAAAAGCAATGTTGGTAACATTAAACAAGCTAATTAGGCGAAAACATTGAGAGTCAGGTGAACTTTTCCAGAAAAAGCAAAGAGAAAGAAGCTTTTCAGTACTTCCAGCAGAAATGCTGAATTCGTTACTTGGCCTGAAGTAAAACGAACACGAAACTAAAAGTAAAGCCTATAATAAAAACAACGAAAAAAAGAAAAACATGAACGCCTTCTGAAAATTGAAGGTTCCGTCTCCGACTTTTTTCTGAACTTCTCAGGAACCTGACTATTAAACTTTCTTTCCTCTTCTTATGGAGCGAACTTGAGAGAAACGCAACAAAAGAGCAATTATCCGTGGGGTAACTGAAAATTAATTCAAGGTTCACTTCATTCGGCAACAAGGGCGACTCTTTCGAATGGACACCGGCAGATTCATTAGCGAAGATTACTGATACGGCGTCGAGCTGAAAGGACGCGCACTCTGCGACGCGACGCTTTATTAGCGGTCGAAATACTCCCCGGATGAAAGGAATTAAGCTTTTGGAAGATAATACAACGCAACAATATTACCTATTTTCATTCAACAGCTAATGGAACAGAGTTCAGAAATACAATATAACTTCCCTGAAGCCTTTCAAAAAGAGTAGCTACCTAGAAAATGAGAGAACTTGACCAACACAACTGAAAGACCGCTTGCGAAATGGGTGCAAAGCGACTGCAACCGACCTAAAACGACTTGCGTATGTGAGCATTCAGTTTTTGAAAGCAATGCGAAAAATAATCCAGTTTCCAGTTTCACAGGCTTGTAATGGTGCTCCTCTGAATTGTCAAAAAAGTTATTATTAACATGATATTTCACAATCAGCATCAATTTGAACGATTTTTGAAATAAATACCAAAAATCAATTGTTCCAAACATTCGCACATATCGAAGTCATTGAAGTAAAGCTTCACAAACTACATGCAAAAATTAACTGACGCTTCACAAAAACATGTTTTCAACTTTCAATTAAAAGCTTAAGCTTTATCTCAAATGTCAAATAAAAAAATTGGTAGATGGATGAAAAGAAACTTTTTATACACAGTAGTATCCACTGACATCTAAAAAGCGAAAAAAAAAAGAAAACATGTAGATCAGAAAAGAAAGGCTGGAATGGAAAAAAAGTTCGAAAAAAAAATGGGTGGTTTGAAACTCAATTTAGTGGCCGTTCCATTCTCCCCATTTATGATTTTCAACTTTGATTTGATCAGTGTGGGAACTCGCTCGAACTTTTGGCCGCTGGTTAATGGTTTTTAGTGAGAAATAAAAGGCCGAAGCTTTTAGGCTGTGGCCAACCGTACCGTCGTCACAAAGGTCGCATGCGTCAGAAAGGACTCCAAAAACATTTTAGCTTGAAAAAAGAGAAAATTTGGAGGACGGATGTCCTCAAAAAAAAAAAAATTTTTGGGACGGATGCATGTAGGCGTGGCCATGGGAGCTTCATATCCGATGAGGTGCAACTGACAGATTTGAGTGCTACATAGTTTCGTGTTTTAATAAATGCCAAAAACACAAAAACTTTTAGGATTCTGCTTGAATTTATGGAAAAACTTCCTTTTTTTCCAGGAAGAAGAGAAAGTTTTTGTTGCAAAAAAGAAGCGATCAAGAAGTTTCGTTCAGGAGTGGTTAAAAAAAAATTATGAGAAAGAAAATGAGAAGTTCATATCATATGTTTCTTTTTCAGTAATGATCTGGTCAATCAAGGAGTTTATTCCACCTGTTTTAATATTTGTCAACAGTTTGTAGTTTAGTCTGAGCTCTAAAAGGTTCAAAATGAATATTGAGACAGCCTCAAAACGGAAAAAAGCGGCACACAAAAAAGTTCTCACTCTCCCAAAAGTTGGCTTTTGATGGTTGCACTTAGTTAATTAACCAAATTCAGCCAATCTCTGGAGAATTGAAAAAAGTCAAAAACTTTTGATTTTTTTCCTTTGATAAGGTCGTCTGTCACAAGCATCAATGTCTGGAAAAATTATTTGAGCTTTGGAGTTTGGAATTTTGAGATCCTAAGTTTGAGGTAGTAATGGAAACATCCCGAATAATTTTGATTCAAACAAGAAAAATAGGAGTTCACCCAATCTTCAAGTTATATTAAAACCAGGTTTTCAAGATGCTTACTTGAGAAAGTGGAAAATCTACTTGTAATCATGACCAAAAGGTCGGACAATGAAAGAAAAAAAATTTGAAACGGCGACTTCCATTAAATATTTTCGAAATCCATCCTTCAAAGAAGCAAGGAAGTTCTCACACACTAATTTGGAACTCTTGGAAAACGCTCGAAATTCGGCGAGTTCTCCCTTGCAACAAGGAATAATATTAAATGAAGATAGGCGCGGTTGGTCGAGAAATTTGAAGATTTCAAGAGAGAGAGATCTGAAGACGGAGGTTTCAAACAAATGTGTATGAATGTTAGGAAGCATCCTGCACAACCCATAATCCTTGAGCTCGAACACAAAAGGGCCGGTTGTGCAAATCGAGGTAATCCTGACGAATTCAAGGCCCAAATCACCACGGGCATCGTTAACAAGCGGTAGGGTGGCTAATCCGCGCGGCCAAAAGCTTTTTCGTGGGGCTACCTTTGGCTTCGCTTCTGATTAGTATGCTTTTCGGGAGATGCCTGGCTCCGACCTTAATTCGAGTTTCTCGACGCTGAGATTTTGCATAAAATGGGTTTGGCAATAAGCGATTGTGACCCATCATTATATGTGAATTTATTCGCACTTGACACCAATGTTGGAGAAAAACAATTTTCTGTTTCAAGCTTGAGATATGATTGCAATGAAGGCTAGAGAGTGCAATAGCTTGAAAAATTATCAAATATCTAGATAGTTTATCGATTTGGGCCAAAGTTTTATTTTTTCGAAAAAAAAATTACATCAGGAAAGGTGATAGAATCGAAACTTTATCTGAAAAATGAGAAAAATAACCTGAGAGAAAGTTTTGTCAATGAACTCAGCAAGATTTGGATTTCTGAAGCTTTTTTGAATAGTCAAGGGAAGACAATAAAGTAAAAAAAAACCCTAATTGTCAATGCAGCAATCCCGAGTTTCTTTCCATGGATCGCAAATGAAGTAGAAATTTTGATAATCAAAAAAAAAGTTTATTTCCAAGTGATATTTGGTTTTAAGACTGAACGCATTCAAACCGAACACGAGAACAAACGAAAATCACATCTGCTCAGGAGTTTCAGTCCATGGAGAACCGAAAAAAAGTCCTTCTGGTTCGCATCTGCCATTTTTTCATGCTCGCGCTTGATCGCAAACTGTCTAATAGTTGAAGAAAAGAGGACAACTATAACGAGGTTCAGGAAAGATGTAGTCGGGTTCAATAATTGTGTTGGAACACATTTTTGGCACCTGGATTTGCAGCGGAGGAAATAAATTTGGTCGTGATACCCGGCTATTGCCAAAAATTTAATCTGCGCTGTTCTCAAGTCTAACTAAATCATTCAGTCCCTCTGAAAATAGCAACCTTCTTTTATGGTTTTTTTGTTACACGCTTGGTTTTTGTTTATCGTTCTTTTGACGAATTATAACCTTTCGGCTGAAACTGCAAAAAATTTCAACACGGAAAGAAAATTCTTGAATCTTTCAAGTTGAAAGCTTCTAGGTTCAACTTCTCTCAAATCAGACTTAAGAAATTGTGTTCACATTTGGAAACAGTCGAAACGTAGGGGTCACGTAGAGGTCGATTTGAAATCCATCCACTTGTTCCTACTTTTTCCCAAAAAAAGTTTCATTTTTCATGAAAATTTCAAGCTTTGTTTTATGCATTTTTTTTCCTCAAATTCAACATTCACTTTTTTTGTAAAAATAACTTTTTGCGTGAAATATTCTGGTTGGCTAAACACGATTCAGGCGGCCTTACTTTGCGTTATTTTTGAGTTTTACGGCATTTTTGCTACATAAACTGCTTGAAGTACTATATTTTTCAAAGTGAAGACGCGTACAAAACGTACGGGAAACGCTCAGACTGTTTTGGAAAATGCCGCGACTTAGCATTTCAGTGCCGCCTCGGCTCGTCTAACACACCTTGGGAAGATGTCTCGAAAAGAATTGTTTGATCTTTTTGCAGCTGCTGTGTGAAGCCACTTTTTAATCATCATGATGAGTGCCTCATTTTTTTCAGAGTGAAAAAAATCAGAGTAAACTTTCCAAAAAAATTTATTCAAAAAAACATTGAGCACAGAACAAAAACAGAAAAAAATGCAACAATTACAATCAGAATTTGTAAACAAGTCCGTGCTTATTTCTGTATATTGATCCGGCGCTCAAAGAATTAGGAAGTTTCAGAGGAACCGTCTTTTTGTAAAAAATCGCCCATAGGGTGGCAGCTCCACCGGCCACGAGAATTTCCATTATCCATGCAGGTCGCGGTCCCCAAGCCGTGAAAACTTTTCTGAAAAAACACTATTTTGATTCAAAAATTCCTTATGGAAACTCACGAAACGATAATAGGGCCGCACATGCGGGCAACGCTGCCACTGAGCATTAAGATTCCTTGCATGGTTCCCTGAAAAAAATTATTTAGTCACAAGTTACGTATTGACAAAATATATATTATTTCCTAGAATCAACTATTCATAAGGTTTATTTCAAAAGAAAATCTAGATTTAAAGATTTTCCCACTGAAAAATCAAAACTTCCGAAGTGAAATTAACTCATGAAAATACTTATCAAACAATGAGTTTTTGAAAAGTCTTACAAAAAGCCTACTAACCTGATTTCTTGGTCCAAGCACAGTTGAAAAAACAGTGTTCATGCAAATATTTATGGCGCTGAAGGAAAATGCGAGGATAATGCTGTAGGATATGACGAACAGATATTCGTTGATTGGAGGAGTCGTATCACACATGAAAACAAACATTGACAATCAAAATCTCCGAGTGGAACTGTTCTTCTCCTTTAATGGCCTCAAATAAATCAGAATCAGCCCGACTAAAAACTACTCTAGTGCCGATTATTAAGCCATTCTACATGCGGCCATGTTTTATCAAACCGATAAAGCAAAGTTATACCATTGATAGCCAGGACGACAGCCAATCGGGTCGGGGTTCAGAATGGTCGTCCCATTGACATTTATATCTGAACTTGACGCTTTCAATGAATTATATGGGAGGACTCACAAGTTTCTTGATAGGTGATCTTTCCAGGAAGACCCCACCAAGGAAAAGTTACCAGGTGGAAAATCACGATCCCAATCAGGCCCATTGCTGATCCGATTCGGTGGTTAATACTGAACGTGTAATTACTTTAATAAAAAAAAAACCAAATAAAGAAACTCACTTCTTGCCCAGATTAAAGAAAACATTCAAGGCGTAGAGTATGAAGCTGATGGCCCCAAAGCCAGCATGCATTATCGAATTGTAGGTAACTGTCTCTTTTTTGTTCCAGTTGAACATTGTCATTGCTAAAGGAGCTCCTATTCTGAAAATCTTCAGCTTGAAATCCAAAAATTGGTAACTTGAGGCATGATCGCATGGGGCTGAAAGTAAAGCAGCAGCAGAACGATTTTTTTCAAAGCGCGCCCGACCCCAAACTACATGCGCTCAGTGACATAAAAATCATGATAAAAATTGATCAACGATTTTTTTTCAATCTCTAAGCCATTCTCAATGCGCCATGAATTTTCAAGGCAAGGCCAACAAAATTCAAAAAATTACTCACGTTTCGATGTTCGTTATGACGAACATCTGAGCGAATCTCGTAGCAATGCATGTTGCAATGGCAGCTTTGCTAGGCTTGGGCAAAGCAAAAAATCGTGTGTGTTCGTCTTAAAAGAATAATTATCAAAGAATAAGAGAAAAGGCCAACCATTTTCAGCAACCGTCTTTTTCATTATTCCAACAGAAGACTCCTTGAAAAAGAAAATAATCAAGCTTATACAAAGGATGTTCAGGAAGATCCCGAAATAGGCAGGAGCTGAAAAAATAGATTTGAATGAAAGTGTTTATAAGACATAACATTGATATTAACAAACTATTTTTCTAAAACCAGCAAGGAATTGTTTTGGATTGCCTCGGGGGAAGATATTTTATTACCTGTGTACATGTTCATAGAGAAGTCGCCAATCAAATGGAAGCCAGGATATCCCAAAGGGGTGAAGAATATTTGAATGGCTAAACTTTAAACTTTGTCGAAAAGCTATATAAAATAACCTGGTCCGATAGTGAGACCAAGAGCGAAACATCCAGCATTCAAAGAAATCGAACGGGATCGATCTTGAGGGGTACTGGCAAGAACTGCGTAGTTTCTCAGAACGGATAAAACGCCTAGAAAAATTCCATAAAAAAATAATAAAATCCTGGCCGACCTGCTCCGATCCCAGTGGTGAGTCTCGAGTAGAAAATGACCCAAGACGGTGAAATCGAAAGGACTGGGCTCAATAGGTAGAGAACGTTTCCTAAGGTCATTATGACGACTCTGAAAGTGAAATTCGACAATTAATTTGATTGAGATGAAAGGGGAGGGTCTCTAAATACAGCGATACTGAATTTTGTAAACGTTTTTGAGGCAGGCTTCTATTTTTGCTTTGCAGAGCCCCAAAAATTATTTTCTTGGAAGTATATATTGATTCTCAGGTTTTGAGGGCCAGTTCACACTGATCACATCGGCTCAAAATAGTTAGGCCGCCTTTCCGATATTATAGTGCGCAAGTCGTTTGAAGTCGGGTGCACCATGAGATAACCCATTGCGTAAGCCACGCTCTGAGCTATTTCATTTCTGATCAAGCGTTTCATTAAAGAGAATGGAGTGTGCTGATTTTACAATTTCAAAAAATTTTTTTTTGTTTAGTCACCCCTCAGTTCGAATTCTCCGAGCTTCGAAACCAGTGGAAAGTGTTGAAAGATAACTAAATGGTTATTTTATCCTACCCTGTCAAAATTGGAAGGCGGCTTTGATTGATGCGATTGCACCAGTAGCCAAAAGCAGGGCACATGACGGCTTGTCCCAGACTGTAGACGGCATTGATATATCCAAAAAACTCTTCGGATATTTGGTGGTCAAGCTGCAATATTTTTGACGGGAAAAAGCGAACTTCCAACCTGTAAGAGGTAAGGCCAGAGTGAAGCGAAGAAAATCGTGAATTGAACGGCCGCGAAAAACGTGATCGAAGCTGAGATGGCCAAGGAACGCCATTCTGTTCCACCTTCTTTTTGCTCTTTCATCCTTTAATATTCCCTCTGAGGTTTTCAATGAGATGAGCTGTACAGTTGAAGTAATTTAAGGTTTCTGGGAAAGTTTTCAAACTAATTTTTAGTCGGTCAAGGTGATCAGAAAAGAGACATCTTCGTTCCTTTTTTGAATTCTCAAAAGACTTTGGCTCAAAAATTTCTTGCCGCATCCATGTGCTGACTTGCAAAAAGACAACCGGGGTTCAAGAAATCTCAAATTAAATATTTCTAGAGTAATTGATTTAAAAATTATTAAAAGTTACTTACTTTATTTCCCCGTTGAGCTCCATCGCCAGAGCAAGGTCACGAAAAGGAAACGAGAAAAAAAACAGTCGCATGCCGAAAAAAAAAGTTGGTCGCTTTTATATACTCATTTGAATATTTCGAAAATTTACATGTTCACGCTTTTCTGAAAAGTTCATCACGTTTTCATGTTTTTCCTATGAACTTTGAAGTTGTGAAAACAAAAAGTGATGTTGTTTTTTGGTTCGAATGGTTCATCTTAACCAATTGCGCAAAGCAAATATTGCCATGCAACCCAATGAGTTTTTTTATATTAATAATAATATAGAGGATAAGGAGGGAATTTTCTTGCAGATGACTGGTGTTGGTCCGCTGCTTCCGGCTTTTTCAGCCGCTGGTCGTCGCTCGGCTGAATGCGTCGATGATCGTTCCAGAAATAGTTGCGGAGCCGGTGGAGAAAGGTCTGATGAGCTCGGTAGATAGGGAAGGCTGTTTCCGAAGACAATCCTAATAGCACTAAAAATCTAGGAAGCTTTTTCCATTCTGCAAGCTTGCATTTTATCTTAAAGTATCTCTATTTCGTGTCAATTCCACTTAAAACTAAACTTCAAAAAATTAAAAACACAATAATTTTTGAGAAGCCATTATCGGTTTACTATTTTTGAAACCTTGCAGTGTTCAGTGATGAAAGTGATAAATGGCTTTTTTTACATAATTTTAATAGAAAAATCTCCTTTTCTATTCAGGTCCTTCAGCAGAAACTTTGAAGTTAAATTCTCAATTAAAGAGTGAGAAATGGAAAATGAAGGGAACAAATGTAAATGTTTTTATGATACTTCCCGGTTTTAAAAAGTATTTCTAAGAGTTTCCCCTCTGTGTAAACCAACATAAAATGTCATTAATTATCAGAGACTCTTCCCAAGGCACGATATTTCTGGTGTCGGCTGCGTTATATTTTGAAGTTTGCGCGTGTGATTCCTAGCACGTGGTGCATTTGCGCGGTGGGTGAAGTCGCACTATTTTTTCATTGAATCTTCAACTGTTAATTGTTAATTTTCGATTAAATTTATTAAGTTGCTAGGTAATCTTTTTATTTTGTTTATTCCATGTTCTAGTTGTTAAAGCATTACTTGAGGTGTATAATTAAATATTTTCACTCATTGACAGTTTTTTGTTTGTTTTTTAATAGAACAAAAAAGCATCTTGGATGGTGCGATGGAGCACTTTTTTATTGCCGCGTTTACGAAGTATTGAACATTTGAGCAGTGAAATTGATACTTTTTCAACCGTCTTATTTTCTTTTTATTGAGATTTTGAAAGCCTTCTATTCATCGAGAACTTTTCTTGTGTTTTGTTTCGAATATGTTGCTTCAAAATATTTTTTTTTTCCAGGTGACTTTGGAAGACCACGTTAAGACTAGTACTGCACCTTTCTGAGAAGAAGCGGTCTTTATTATTTCATTCTAAGCGGTTCATCGAGACGGGAAGCTGATGAGGGATTTTATTTTTTAGGGTTGTTTATTCTCATATAGTACTTTTATGGCAACGATTTTGTCATTTCATAAGTTTTTTCTTCTGTTTTTTATGTGTCCTTTGTATAATCAGCTTTCAATATGCCTGTTTTTTCCCAAAACCATATATAATTACATTCACCTCATCCCGGTGCTCTCCTCCTATGATTTTTCAATTTACTGGTTTTTTTAATGGGACTTCATCTGGCGTTTGATAAATATTTCTAGAGCGAAATATGATGGAATGGTTATTTCAAATAATCATGGGATGTTTCGTAAAACTGCATATTTTAATACCTAATATTTCATAAGTTTGGCACCTTGAAAGCAAGATTGAAGGATTTAAAAACAAAAATTTTGACAGTAAAAAAATGTAGGCGTAATTTCTTAAAAACCCCTCTTTTGAGCTTTTTGAAAGCGTGATACACCACAGCCGTTGTTTTCTCGGGCGTTATTCCTTGTAATATATTCCAAAATTTGCGCGTGTGTTACGCGGCTCATGGTGCAATTGCTCGGAGAAGTGCTTTGCACTGTTTATTTTTTGCCGCATTTCATCTTAGTTAGGTTGGTATGGCAACGTTCATTTTTGTTTTTTCAACTTTTGGAAGCTGCAGCATGATTTATTTTTTGTTTTTCATAAATGTACTTGCTTCTCTGCGAGGAAAAAACAAACCCTTTAGCGTCTTTCAGGCTTCATTTTATATTATAAGCTCATTATTCGTGTATTTCACTCATATATAAAATCTTTTCTGTTCTTTTTTCCCGTCTGCTTTAAGCGAATATCTGAACAAAACTTCATCCAGAGCTGGTTTTGAATCATATTTATTTCCCTCATTTTTTTCGTATTATTCGTTTCATTCGCGGATTTTTTTTTCCTTTTGCCTTCGGTTAATATTCAGGTCTTTTTTCAGATGTCGGAAAGCCCGTCCTCAACAGGCTCTCAAGAGCGCAGAAAATCACCAGTCGTTGTAGTGAGTTTTTGTTATTCTTCTAGGTTTCTTTCGGCTATTTTTAAATTATATCTAAATAAGTACGCCCTGGAATTTGAAAAAAACCAGAAAAAAAGTTCAAGATGTAAGCTAGCGCCTTAGATTTGTTACAGAATTATGAATGGAATTTTTTCAGGGATCGATACCGTACAGACCGCCGAGTTACATGATTCCTTTCGCGCTGAGAGGAAAAGGCCACATCACGTTCTTTCCGGATGAAACGAACATTTTGAACAACGACATTCCGCGACTGGCAATGCACGATTCCCATGAATATTTCTTCGAGGCGAATGACTCATACTCGAACCCTGATGTGAAAATTTTCCTGTCGACGTCCTTCCGGAGCGAGAGCAGAGATCCGCCCTACGAAAAGCCTATCGACCTCTACCCACTCAAGTTAGAGAAGTAAGTTCGGGTATTTTCCCGGGAAACCTGTACAATGTATTACTTCTCAATAATTGGTTTCTTTTTCTGAAATCATTGATTTAAAAAAATTATTGATTTTGTTTTCCAGGCTGCGGTTCCGAGTTGCCAAGGAAAGACCGAAGTATACCCAGCGTGGGAAATTCATCGCTACGCATTTTCTCTGCGGCCTGCCTGCAGAAATGCGAAAGGACAACGTTGATATGTTCCTCTGGAACTGTGGAAAACTGCCAAAATACTTCCAACGCGCCTGTAAAATGACTATCTGTGGTGGATTCGAAACTGGAGAAATCGAGAAGAATGGGCAGTACACTCCGTGCGGAACTTTGACGGTTTGTAATTTTTCATTGGATTTTTTTAATAGAAAAAAACTGAAGAAATATGATTTTTGGCGTTTTTTTATTTAAATGATAACACTTTCCACTGTCATTGTAATTTTTTTTAATAAAAATCAGGTTATTTAGAGTGATTCTAATAGTTGAACTCAATTTTGCGTAATATACTCAAGGAATGATAATTTTTGATCAAATCGAAACAGTACTGTTTTTTCAACCATTTTTCAAAATTCCAGGCCATCCGCGAGAATCTTATCAACAGTGGACGCAAAATGAACGCGGTAAGCAATTCTTCAACATTATTCCAAAAAGAAAACTTGATGGTCAATTTAAAAAGTCATTTCCAGGAACAGAGACGTTTCTACAGTGCCGCTGTCCCGATGAAACTCAGACCTTGCTTCATAAATAGTGAAATTGTTGGGGTCACGCCAGACGATCCGATGACTCTCGGAAAATTCGATTGGGAAGCTGAGAGGGTATATTTTTGTTATTGAGAAAATAATATGTTGAAAATAAACTTTTGGCGTGTTCAAAAAGCGCTTGGATAATTTTTTTGATTATATTGAATTTTATAGATTCTTCTTTCATCAAGATATTAATTTTTTTAATCTGGATTGAGAAAAAAATTGAATATCAGATTAATAAATTGATCTTTTTCAGGCAGCAGCCCTTCGAGCTGAGGCTGGTGTCTTTGACGTTGAAGAAAAGGAAATCGAATGGTGGGACAAGAAATTCTACACCTACAAAGGCTGGGTCAGAGAGTTTTCTCATGTCAAAAGGCCACTTCCGATTGCTGAAGGCGATGATCCGGAAGCCAAAAAACCACGCTACGAAGAACAGTTTTTCCAGAGTTAGTTGAATTTAAAATTCCTTAAAGGCGCAAACGTATTCAGGACCGGCAGATCCTGTCACTCCTCGACCCGAAAGCGATATAGAAGATGAGTACTAACCGGAAATCTGAGGATTCTTTCTTTATTTATTTATCTTACTTTGCTTTTTCATCCTGTAAACCATTCAAGTTTAGATCCGGTTTTCGCTTCTACATTACTTGTATCAAAGTGATAAAATCATAATTTGAGCTCTTTGTGAATACCCATTCATTGTTAAATTATTCATAGCCTTGTTCTAGGATTTTCCTCGGGCTTCTGATGTTCTCTATCCAATCATAATGATCTTGGCGCATTCCTGACAGTTTCTTTTTTTGAAATTTTCGTGATCTTCAAAAACATTCAGTTTGCTTATATTTGTCAAATTTCTTGGTAATCATTCTGTAAATTATATCATGTTGAATGAATTCCTTGAGCCAAAAATATGTAGTTTATTTTAAACAACTTTTTTTGAGTATTTTTTTCAAAAAAATCTCAAAGAAATTCTTGGCTTTTTTTCGCTTCTCCCAGAACTGTTTTCGAGTGAATTTTTTTTCCCAAAGCTTTTTTTGTCATTTCAATCGTTTTTTTGTTGTTTGAAACTTCTTTTTCATTTTATCTGTTGGAATTTTCGAAACTCCGGTTTTCAAAGTCAGTGTCGAATAAATTTTTTTCTGTGAAGTATTTGAGAACAAAAATCATTTTCTCTTGTGATGGCTATTGGGAGAAACTTTCCGGAACATAAAAAGGCCGTTTGTGAAACTCGTAAAACTACTCGTTTCAACTCAAACTATAAAAGACGGCTGAAACTGTCGTTGGGTTATTTTCTGCGGAATTTCCTCTTTATTCGCTTTCTGATTTTTGAACTATTCCCGGTTTTTTTAGCGGATTCGATTTTATACCTTTTCAAGCTTCTTGATTCAATCTTGCCGTTAACAAAAAGAAATCGAGTAATTGCTGGTTAAGGACTGGAGAAAATGAATGAAGAATGGCAGGCTTCTCTGGAAAAACGACTGATTCATTATATGAGCATTGATTCTACGACAGGAATAGAAGGTTTAGTCCAACCACCGTTTCTTAAATTTTTCTACTCAACAAAATCATTTATTCAATCTTGACAAGTGTTTTGACAAAAAAACAGTTGTGCGAAAAAAATAGTTTTGAAAAAATTTCCTGTTCCAAAAAAGGGAGTTTATCTAAAATTTTATGAACTTAAAATTGTATTACAGAAGAGCTCGGAAAGGTTGTCTGTGAAGATTTATCGGCCTTCGGATTTACGGTCACTCGACAGCTCATTTCGGAATCCTCGACGAGGTTCAATATCCTGGCTACTTATAAAGACGCACAGCCATCTGGTGAATTACAAAATGATTTTAGTTTAAATATTATCCATTTCAAGACATCAAAGTTCTTCTCAATACTCATCTCGACTCGGTTCCGCCGCACTACAGCGCCACACAAACCAACGAAATAATTCATGGCAGAGGAGCTACTGATGCAAAAGGCTAGAAAAAATCTCACCGAAAAATCACAAAATCCCCATTTCAACAGGCGCCTTGGCATGTCTAATGACAGCTGCCTTCATAATTTCTAAAAAAGATGAAATTCTGGCGAAAAAGATTGGGCTCTTAATTGTCGTTGGTGAAGAAACGGACCACATCGGGATGCAGGCAAAAATCAGAATAGTTCGAGAACTTTGTGAAAGTTTTTCCAGGTAGCCAACAAGCTAAACCTTCGACCAACACACATCATTGTCGGTGAGCCGACGGAGCTAAAATTTGGAACGATTCAGAAAGGAGCTTTCAAAGTGAGTTTGTAGCTGGATAAATGAAACATTCGAAAAACGTTCAGTGTCGCTTGAGCGTGAAAGGAAAAGCTGGGCATTCTGGATACCTGGACTCTGGAATCAGCGCAATTCACGGTCTTCTAGCGGTTCTCAACGATATTATGAACTGTGCTTGGCCTTCTGACGAGAGATTTGGTGAGGGAAATCGAGAAACTTGGAAAATCCTGAAACTCTTACGGCTCCGAGTTAAATTATCCTAGTCCTGAAGGATCATTGCAATCTGAGCAGGACGTATTGAAAATAAAGAAGACTTATTTAGAGCTTTGAAAGTTCATAAATTCTTAGGCTCTACCACGTACAACGTCGGAAAAATTAGTGGCGGTCAAGCGCTCAACGCTTGGGCGGAAAATGCAACTGCAGAACTTTTCTTCAGAATAACGACTTCAGTGGAAGACGTCAAAGCGACTTTGGCGAAGATTGTCGATAGTAAGGGTTTTTGAGAGTCATTTTGATTCAAAAATATTCTTAGATCGTGCCTCGATCGAATATTTGAGCTACAACGAGGCTGTCGTCCTTGACACCCCACCATTTGAGGCAGAGACCACTCAAGTGGCTTTCAACACAGATTTGCCCTATTTTGAGGTCCACGAGCAGCTGAAAGGTTTTTTTGTGAATAATTTTTTTTCTTAGAAGAAATTAAAGGGCGCTACCTTTTTGGAGCTGGGTCTATTAAGAACGCTCACTCGATGAATGACTTTGTCCCAAAAAAAGAGCTCTACGACTGCACAGCTACTCTCATCCGTCTGATTGAAGACCTTTCCAAAGACTGAGAATTCTGTAGTTTTTTCGCCGAAATCTGTTCCATGTCAAATTTTTCTTGATTTCAAAAAGATATTTTCTCGCGTTTAAGTTGAAAATTTTTTGCAGAATTCGCAAAAACACTGAAAAAGTGAAAGCAAAAACTGAAACCAGCGGCAAGAAATGAAAATATCAGGCAGAGTTAATCGGTTGAAGTTCCATATAGTCCTCGAAAGTGACGTTTTTGGTCATCTTCCCGTCATTTCCATCCAAATTTTCATTTTTCCCCGAATCTTTCTCAACCAAGGGAAGGTTCTAAAAAATAATAAATTGGAAAACATTTTAAAATTTCTCTAACCTCGGCTTCATCAAAATTCATAAAGTAAACGTGGGCCACATGCTCGATTTCTGTGATTTTTTCTTTTAAACTTGCCAGCTCGTTTCTTGAGGTCTGCATCAAATCACCGTAAACCTGAAATCAGAAAAAAAAATCAATTTTGAAATTTTACAGTCACCTCCACGAGAATGAGATCTCCAGTGTGAAAGGTCAGAAAACCTGCGTATCTAACGAAGAACTCGCGGTTCTCCTCTAGGATCTGTAAAACAGGGTCATTAGAAACTTTTCACCAAAAGGATACTTCAATTCCTAGGTTTTTTTTTTAAACTGGCTCAAAAATATTTTCCCAGCATACTCGGTTCTAAACCCAAAATTCCGAGTAATTTCAAGCCGGGTATTTCTCAAAGAATCAGAGAACTGAACGACGTAGATTGAGATGCTCCAAAAAAATATTACCTTACTTTCCAACTATTTCTTTTCGTCTTTTCCTTTTCAATTCCACCAACCTACCTTCAGAATAGCGGCATTTTCTTTTTTCGTGCCGGCGCATCCTTGACTGTTGTTCCAAGAGCTCCAAAGGATTGTCGACCAATTAAAAACAATCATTATTAAAATGAGGGTGGCTCCAATAAGGTCCGCGGTCTGTAGAACTTATTTTGATAGATATTAAACAATAAATAAAACCGTAAAGTATTTGATTGAAATGATGAGAGCAGCAAAGGCCACGAAGTTAGCCACAATATCCACGACTTGATCCTTGAAAAGAACCCATATTCTGGGACTCTTGCGGCGCCTGTACATTTTTTTTTCAAATGGGACACGGAAATCAGAGTAACGTAAAACAAAGAAACGAAAAAAGAATCTTGACGACGATGTTGGCGCCCACCAAAGCAACATCATGAGTTTCGACTATGAGATGAACTCTGGAAAAAAGACTTTTAAGAAATGAGGAAACGGTAAAATTTACTCGTTTTTGACGAATCTTTCCAGACTTCTGAGGTAGCTGGATACCGAAAGCGTCAGCATGACAGCCGAAATGAAAATCTTGAATTTCAAGTTAGTTTCTTTCCAAACGTGGAACTTATCAAACATTTGTCGCGGCTTCTGTATTCCTTCCTCGTGGGTAGGACTTCAAACTGTTGGATTTTTCCTATTCAAATTCTTTTATTTTTTTTCTGTAGAATAAATCGAACTCTCAGCCACTGGAGCATAAGGGTCCCGGAAACAAAGACGTCAGCAGAGGATTCAATGGCCGATGTGGTGATGGAAAAGCTGCCGGTGGAGTACGCCACAAAGATCTTGATTCGAAAAAAATAGATCAAACACAATTTTCATTCAATTCACCTTTGCGGACATTAGAGCGACGTTTCCAATGCTGACAATTACCATAATTATGAGGTCTTGGATGTGCTGAATTTTCATAAATTTGCTCACCGTCTTTACTAGCAGCACATTGAAAACTTGTCTCAGGAACAAAATCAACTGCCATTTCTACGGAAGCAAATAAATAATTTGATGGCTTTCTGAAAGCGAGAGGAGCATCATGAAATTTCTTCGACCATCAATTCCCAATTAATAAAAGAAATCTCAAAGATTTATAAGAAAAAAATATTAAACCTTGGGCACAAATCTCTCAAGCCCGCTCCGTCCTCGTCTTGCAGCCACATCGTTGACAATCGAAGGACCATCGTCCGTCATTGTGGGGAAATATCTGTTATCAAGAAAGCTGAAGCATATAAACTCTATAAAAACAGTATGGATGATTAGAATTTGGCCTTTTGGACGCTACTGAGGTAAAAAAAAAAGTGCTACTATCAATCGTCGGGTGGTGTATTTTCAACTCGTTACCTTCACACTGTGCTTATCACACAGAATTTATGGTCTTGGCAAATTAACGAGGACACTTTTTTATCAGCTATGGGGCTACTGAACCGATTAAAACGACTTATTGGGATTATTTTCGAGAAAAGTGTGAATAATCAATTTTTTTCAATAACTTCTTTCTGACAAAAACACAGTTTTAGTAATCGATGCTTCATGTTTCAGAGCGTAAAACTACTGGAAAAAAAAAGTAATTCAGCATTTATTGCTTTTCCAATTCCAAGTAATAGCGCCTAAACGGACCGAAAAACCTGCCATTTTTTTCTTCATCAATGATCTTTTTACAGTGTTTAGGAGGGTCAATCCTTACTAAAAGATGGAAATCATGACATTTATTTTTTTTCCTTTGTATTGGGGGTCCTGCCAATGAGCAATTTTCCATCTAACTATTTCAGAAGTTCAGAAAAGTTTAGAAAAGTTCAAAAATTCAGGAAAGTTGTCAAAAGTATAGTCGTCTTAATAGTCCGAAAATTCATTGGTCTGATGCTTTGTGAATTTTTTTTTCGTTCAACTCAAAATAAAAATATATTTGATCTTTTAAAATTTCTGTGAAAAAAACCGATTAGAAATATACCAGCGACTTTTTCCTTGAGACTCCAAAAAAATGGAATTCTTACTTTAGGTCTCCACTTTTCTCATTCCCAGTACAAAACCATTAATCCTCAAAGGACAAAGGAAACAAAACCAGCGTTTCGCGCCTCTCGCCCCATTCACATAACCGTTCCCGCCTATTATTATGAGAACTGAGCTCCGAAATTCGTCTTCCCACCAGCCGAATCTCCCCTTAATTGGCTACGATGCGTGATTTACGCATCCTACCTCGGCCTCATCATTGCTCAATTCGGATGTTTTTATCGTTTAATTGATCTTGCGCTTTCCCGGAAATTAGCCTAGTAGACCCCGGCTCCATTCACGAAAGTTCAATTACCAAAATGTCCGTTCGGGCACGATGAAGTGCCAGATTTCTATCTATGGCAGGAAGTGGACTCTTCACGCTATTCCTAGTCCAACTTTCGTGGTTATAGGCTTGAAAGAAAACATTTTCTTGGTCGATGAAGATTGGTAATGAAAAAAATTTCAATTCATCTCTCTCTAATTTAAAAAAAGTCTAAATTATTCAATTGAGTGAAGGAGCTTGAGGCCGATGTCATTTTATTGGTCTCACGCGGATCTTATAATTGAAGCTCTTTCGAAATAAAAATTCTTAAGACAAGGGAACCTCTAAAGATCTGAAAAAAACTTCAATCCGGTCTTGAAAATCAGAAAAACCTTCCGAACTTCTTTCTAACTCGCCTGAAATCCCATCATGGCAATCCCGTTCCATCCTAAATCATTAAAATCAAAATTCATTTTGATTGAGCGGCAATATTTAATAGGATATCATTCCCCTTGACATATTACCATTATTCGGCGCGCCAACCAAGACAAATGAGATATTGCTCAATTTGAAAGGTAAAAAAGCAGGTCGGCGGAGATCTGAGGGATGGTTTTGGAGCGCAAAAAAAGAGGAAACACAGTAAGACATCGTTCACCGGCTTCCGGTACATTTTTCAACTTGCAAAGGAGTCTCATCCATCACTTTGTGTGATTCTTTCCTTTTTTGTGGAATCTTTGAATATTTTTTCCTTGGTGTAAGATCCAAAATTTCAAAGCGAACATCGATTTTTGATCTTTTTCAGTTTTTACTAAACATACTCATTTCTTGAAACTATTCTTGACTCAAAAAAATTGAAGAAAGCTTCGAAAAAAATATTTATTAAGTTCCGATTCCAGAAAAAAATACATTTCAATGTTTCATCTCTCCATTTGCAAACTGCTTGCCGAAGAATTCTCTCGCACAACCTTAATTCCAATCGGTCGTAAATCGTACTTTGCGAGCTTAGCCCATTGAGCTTCGAGTTGCAAATCATAACGAATGTGCGATAATTTGGGTGGAATCCATGCTGAAACGGCGTGAAGATACATGGGAATATCGACAGAAAGATGCGCGTCGGGTACGACCTGTGAATAATTCGCTTAATCTCGGCCGACCAAACGCACTTATCCCTTGGATTTTCAACGGTACCGTGTTTCGAAATTTTCTTAATGGATTCATCTCTCGCAGCGCAGTTCAATAATATATTGGCGGTGTGACCTGAATTGAGAAGTTGGTTGGTTGCAAAATGTTACTAAACAACTCGGTTTTTTTAAGGTAAATACTCTGGAAGAATAAATTCTTGGATTTTCCTGTTTCAAATCTCTTAAAAAATTGGCAGTCATTTTTGTAAATTAGTAGCATGAACTTTTTCAAAGACGTGCCAGGGTTCTCCATTCTCTTATGATTTTCAAAACTTGAAAATTCCTTAATAATTTTTTAAACAGTTTTTTGTAGACCCTTTTCTCTAATAAACACAACAATACGCCTTCGAAAAACAGTTCCCATGTTGCCTTTGCCTAATCCGAACGTATCGCCCGCCTAATTCCATTTGATGCCACCTGTCAGGCTCTTCTTTCACGGAGAGAATTTGCCGCGTTTCGGTGCCCCTTGAAAGAAATCTTTGACATGAGGTGATTGTCTTTTTTTTGGTGGTTTGGCTTAGGCTAAATTGCAAAGATCACTACTATTAGAAGGGATAGAAATTGATTAAAAAAGTCCATAAGTTTTGCGCTTTTTTCGGGGAATGCGTTTTGCTTCCAAAAAAGATTCCAGCCTGTGTTTTTTTCAAAAAAATCTCTAAAAAAATTCAAGCCTTAGTTATCAATTTTCCCATAAAGTTTACCAGAAAAAAATTGAACTCCGCTAAAACTTTTTGGCTCAGATTTTGAAATTGTAAGTTTAAAAAAATGTAGTTTTTTTGAAGGTTTGGAAAAGAAGCTCATATTATCCTAAGATCCTGTTTTCATAAGCAAAGTCGGAAAGGGTTGAAAAAGGTCCCTAAAAAGGTGGAAAGGCTCCTTTTTGCTGCTTTTTTGCGCCTTTTATCGGCTCTTGTGCACCAACTTTGTTGCTTTTACCTTTTTCAACCATTTCTTGAGCCTTCAAAATTCCAGAAAAAATGAAAATTCGATAAAAAGACTCTTTTTTCTGCTTTTTTGCGTCCTTTTTAAGCATCTCCCTTTCCGCAGACAATATATACCATTCCCACTTTTCCCGAGCTTGAAAATAGTTATATTACGAAACATGCAATTATTTTGAGATAATTGTCTTCGTTGATAATTTATTTTTCATTAAAATTTGAAAAAAGCCCATTCGTCACAAATTTTGAAAAAGTCTGAAAGGTGCCAATTTTTTTCAGGCGCCTATATTCGAGGACACTTTTGAGAATCCACAATAATAATTAATTTTTTGGATAAACTGCCAATAGGTAGCTGGTAAATCTTCAAAAATTCTTTTCTCCCTCATCCTTAATAAAAATCACAATTTATTGCAAAGTGCGGTCTGAAAACTGCCACTTTTCTTCTCATGCTTCCATATTCGGTCTCGTTTTCCCGAGGATCGTCCTACGGTAGCGGCTAGAAGGCGGAGCGTCGAGGCGATGGGGCGTTCCGGCCGCAGACGCGCACTCTGGTTTTTCTTCTCTCAGTGCCGGTGTCCCTTTCGTTCTGCTTTTCACACTTCAAACCTTGGCTTGGGACTTGCCGCCAATCAAAAAATATAAAAGTCCCAACACCCCTTGACACCTTAGCTCAAATTCTTTGTGCGACTAAGATGCTCGAGTTTATTTGAAAAATGCTCTTTTTTGGTTTCTTTTTTTCTCAAAGTATGTAGTCCATACGCTCCTGTCTCAAAAAAAAAAGCACCAAACTTCTGAGACGGCTCTTTTTTTTTATGAATTTCTTACTAGATTTTTCCAAGTGATTGGTGAAAGGACTTCCAATTGATGTTTCATTTTGGTCAAGGTTAAAAAAATTTGTCTAATTTGCTTCTACTTTCATTTCTTTCTGGATGTAAAAAAATTTAAGTGTATTGTTTGAAAATTTCAATTTTCCTCGTCGATTCAAGTTGCCATCAGATATCACTCCATAATTTAACTTTCAGTAGCTCTCGTGCTCCCAAACCGCTACAATGGAGCGTTTTGTGATAGCGCTCCTGCTGGCCGTGCCGTCGGTCAGTGGAGCCTACTTTTCTCAGGTATGGACCACAATAAACCCAATTTTTTCATTGTTTGACGTCGCTATTCAGTTCTCGATGCGCGCGCCCGACCATGACCCTTGCCAAGACACGACAGGCCGCCCGATCCGCTGCGTTCCGGAGTTCATCAACGCCGCTTTCGGAAAGCCGGTCATCGCCAGTGACACTTGTGGAACCAGTGGACCCACAAAGTTAGTTTTGAAGAATGAAATTAATTTTTCATCCTGCTGGAACGATTCTCAAAGGTCTTCGAAAATCTCATGTTCTCACATTTTTTCTATCTGTTTTTTTTTCCTTCTGAAACATCTTTTCGGCGATTGAAGTCATTTTTGAGAATATCTGATAACTTTATTTTTTAAATCATGCTCCTTTTTCCTACTTCTTCATATCTTTTTACGACAGTTTTCTCTCATTCATAAATTTTTTCATTTAGAAACTCAACAATCAAAACTTCCGGTTTTTTTCCTCTTGAGCAAAAATAGTTTTCTCCTGCGATTTTGCGTTCAAGTTTCTCACTTTCTTTTCATCTGCTCCCGCTCGGCCATATCTTTTAATTGATCGTCAAGTCGTTTTTTTTTGCGGCTCCAAGTACCTCATTATCGCACACTGCAAACACGTTCAAGTTGCATTGAGCTTTCTGCCCAGTTTTCTCCAACGATTTATCGCTCATTTCTGTTGATTGGTTCTTTGTGAACCGTATTTTGAGAAGATTCCTTGAAAAAAAAAGAAGAAGAAAACAGACAAGGAATTGTATTATCATGGGTCGGTGGTCGCCGACGACTTTTTGCACAAACTTCCTTAATCAAATTAAGTTCTGTCGTAAGGTTTGTGTGGCGGAAAACGGCAGTTTCAGCCGTTCAAAAAATGTAAGTGGCGGCCTGAAAAAGAGTCGCCGCCGTTTTCGAATAAATATACCTAAATTATCGGTTACTGGCTCGAACGGGCGTCAAATTGCACACATAAACACTGATTTAGTGAGTTTTGTTCTATCGAGAGCGCATTTGAATCAAAGGTTTTCTGCGAGAAAGTTTTATTTTCACGATTTTCTGAAAAGTGCTGGAAATAGATAATCTGCTCGAGAACTCTTGCTGAGGTACTTGCAAGCGAAATTTTTTTTTGATCATTTGAAATGACTCAAAAAACAGCTCTATTTCTTGATACTATGACAACTTTTTTTAAATTGAAATTAAAAGGTCACACTCTTTCAAATTTCAAGAACAATAAATTTTAAAACCAATTTTCAGAGAGTTCTGGATCTACTCTGGGATGATTTACTCAAAAATTTATAAATTTTTTTCTAGGTTCTGTACCGTGAATGAAGGCGCGGATGGGATCATGAGGGAACGATGCGAAACCTGCGACGCGTCGGTTGCAGCAACCTCTCATCCGGCTTCCTTGCTGACAGACCTCAACTCCATCGGAAACATGACCTGTTGGGTCTCAACTCCCAGCCTGTCTCCGCACAACGTCTCGCTCACTCTGTCTCTCGGCAAAAAGTTCGAGCTCACCTACGTCTCCATGCATTTCTGCTCGAGACTTCCTGATTCGATGGCTCTGTACAAATCAGCCGATTTTGGAAAGACTTGGACTCCGTTCCAGTTCTATTCGACAGAGTGCAAAAAAGTGTACGGAAAAGAACCGGATGTCAAAATCACCAAGGCCAATGAGCAGGTTCGATTTTAATTCTGAATTCTACTTTTAAAAGGTGGAACAAGCCTAGTGATAATTTGACTATGAAGCTTATTAATTTGAAATAATTCTTGAAAATCCTCCCCAAAAAAAAGACACACGGAGTCAAAAAAAAATACCTCCACTCAAAGAAGTTCCAAAAGCTCGGAATCTGCGAACACACTAAAACTCTTCAAAAGCAGATTTTTCCAGGAAGCCGTGTGTACGGACTCTCACCAGGTTGCGCCAAGTGGCAACCGTGTAGCCTTCCCCTTCCTGGAAAGCCGTCCATCGGCCATGACCTTCGAAACTTCTCCTGTTCTTCAAGATTGGGTGACGGCGACCGACATCCGCGTGGTGTTCACTCGACTGAGCCCTGACCAGGTGAGTGTTGTAAGATTGCGCGTTGCAAGCGTGCGACACCTTCTGATTCATACACAGTCTCATTTTTTGCCTCGTTTCAGGCCGAGTTGTACGGATTATCGAACGACGTGACTGCTTTCAACAATGACACTGAGGACGGAGTCAAACAGAGATACTTCTACTCGATGGGCGAATTGGCGGTCGGCGGACGGTGCAAGTGCAACGGCCATGCCAGCAGGTGTATCGTCGACAAAATGGGCAAGGTCCGCTTTTTCGAGAGCTCTTCGCCAGGATTTAATGGCGTGGCGTCATTGAATGAAAAGAAACAGTGATAAATCAAGCACATGCTAGAATGAATCTACTCGGAGATAGGAAAGAACGTGAACTTCAAGAAAATTAATATTTAATGAGAGGAAAAAACAATTGACAAAAAAAGTAAATAAAAAGTAAAAAAAAACGCAAAAAAAGAAGGTGTCGTATTGTACTTCTATTCAGTTCCTGGAAAAATATTCGCTAAGATTGAAAAATGGAAAGTTTCGGTGATATCTTGGAGTTGGAAATTTTTCAAAACCCATAAAACAATATTTTCATGTATTTCTGTCTAAGCGTTTTTTTTTCAAAATAGTCTTCGAAAAAGTCTGAATAACACAATTCTCTCCAAAAAAGTGATTGATTTCAGTACACTTGCGATTGCAAGCACAATACGGCCGGAACTGAATGCGAGACCTGCAAGCCGTTCCACTACGACCGTCCCTGGGGACGTGCCACCGCTCAGAGCGCCAACCCGTGTGTCGGTGGGTCCAAGTGTTTTTCGGACCAATTTGCAACCAGTAGAAGGAGAGAAAGCTTTTTTTGGCCTCTTTGGAGATTTTTCGCCTTGAGCACTAGAACTCATCTGTATACCAACCTATTTCAAAAGCCCTTTGTCTTGAAAAAAAAAAAAATCAAGATCATCTGTTTTTGAAGCCAAACAGCACGACCTTGAATAAAACCTATATAAAGAGGCCAAAATGGTTTGAAATCCAGATTTTGTGTCCCCTATCAATCGGTTTGCCATTCTCACGTCGTTCCGATTGGGTTGACAGGCGTTCGCGCCATCCCAGCAAGACACTGCCAGCGTTCAACCGTGCGTGTTCAATGGCTTGTGTTGGGGTGGAGGGTGAATCTTTGAATCGAAAAAAAACGAAAAAAAGTGGAATTTATGGAAAAATTCCATCTCATTTTTTTAGACTTTTTTTCGAGGAGCCAGAGTCAAAAATTTTTTTGATTCAAACTTTCGAAATGGGCACTCCATTCAACGCTGGCTTTTGGCCTTTTTCTTTTTCATCACTGGTTAAAAAGTAGCAAAAAGCCTTAAAAAGTGTTTTATGAACAACTAGGAAAATTTTTTCTCGAAGCAACATCTGAAAAAAAATTCAATAGTTCTACGCTAAAACTCAAAATTCCCAGATTTTCTACGTTCTAAAAATCAAATTTGAGCAACGAGATCCTTTTACGAACTTGTTTACTATTCGTGTTTCTCATAATTTTCTGGGCATCCCAGCTGACCACTATTTCACTTTTTTTTTTCAAATCCAGCTGGATTCGCGAAAAACGGTGGAATTGACTGGCTATTTGCCAAGTGGAGAGACAAACCGCTGGTCAAGATGGTTTTCAATGGAAACAAGAGAAGGGTTTTGTTCTGTTTCTCGCGCGACGCATACCCACGTCCGTGCAGTTAATTCTTCCCCAAACACTTGGCACAATCACCGCGTTGGCCCTTATTACTGCCACCTCACATTAAGGCGCCAGATACACAACTTTTTTTGATTTGGTTGGGGAAAAGAAAAGTTAGACGCTTTTTCTTGAAAAAAAAAGGTTCTGAAATGACAGAGTTTAATAGCTTACACTTTATTTCAAAAAAAAGCCATAGCTTAAATAAATTCCTTTTCCTCTAACCATCGCGAAAATTCTGACTGTAATCAAGTTTCATCGGTTCTCGGTGACCTTTTTCACGAGATTTGGATTATCGTTGATTAATCCAAGTGGGGCGGTCGCTTGTTTGAGGATGGGAGCGGTCATTTCAAGGGTGCTTCTCGGCTGTTTTTTGACCTCCACTTGAGAACGCGTGTTCCAGGACACGGATATCTATCTAATAAGCGAAATTGGATTACGGAAAGGTTCTTTTTGGCTTTGTGATGAGAAAAAAAAATTGGTCAGCTTAGGAAACTTTTCAAAGGTAGACGGAAAGACGTTTCCTATTAACCTTCATAACTTTAAAAATGGACTCCCCTAGGAAGTTGATTTTTTTCTGATTTTTCGGGAAGCCTTTCCAAACAAAAAAAAACCAAAATTCATTGAACAAAAATACATGAAATAGGCGAAAGAAGCATGATGAATGGTATTCTCGAAAATGCGGACGGTCTCGGTAGCTGGGCCGCGAACCGTAAACCTTCATAGGCGTCTTTTACGACGGCGTTCACCTATCTGTTGGATGTGGTTTATCGCTTTTCGAATTCGCCGAGAGGCGCCATTCCTTTATGCATATATGCACAAACAAAAGTGATAGGTCAACCTCAAACAGTTGTTTTTTCTCCTTTCTTCAACCTACGTTAATCAATACAATGCAATATTTTGCAAAGAGGGGGTGCCATAATTAGCCACTCGTGCGAAGAACAAGTTGTGACTTGCCTTTTTGAGGTTCAAAAATGAGAAGTTGATGAATAAGGAAAAAAATCGTTTTATTAGAGGAAAAAAATAATAAACTCAGAAGTGAACCCTGATTAACAAATAAAAAAAGCAATATAAATATCTTGACTTTTTTTAAAAGTTTTTCCCTAAAATGAGTAGTTCATGGATTAGATCCCAAAAAAAAAAATTGGTTTTTTTTTTCTGCCAGAGGATCCCTGAGAAACACAGCCTGGTGCATTTTTTTTTCGCCCTGCGGATAAATTTATGATCCAATAACACGGAAAGGACAAGTAAACACGGTTTTTGTAGTTCACGCCGTTTTCGCGCCTTTCAATAGTCATTAAGGCGCGATGAATGGCTTTTTGTGGCCAAAAATTTTCAGATGACGTGAGAAAAATTTTTTCCACACAGTAAGGTTGATTTTCTAGTAATGCTTTTTTCCGAAAAAACGTTCAAAAATCGTCAAAGTGCTTTCATAATGACTTGTTAAGATATTTATAGACTTGGAAGAAGCCGAAAAATCTTTACAAAAAAATCTATTATGATTTTTTTGAGAAATTGAATGGAGCTAATATTGCTCAATGAGTATTTCAGAAGATCGTCGTGAATAATTTAGAATTAAAATGAATGAATATGTCAAGTTTCTGCAAAAGTAGGAAAGAAGCCAAAGAGTTTAGAAAAATCTGACGCGATGTTCAGATGACTAGAAGTACCTGTAGCCGTTCTCCACTGGTTGAATATAACTACCAAACTTTCCAAGCTCCGTCCTGGAGAACGTATACTGTAGTGCCTCCTTTTTCCGGTTGGATATCTCGGCTCGCCACAGGTGTCGGGAGCCGCGACACACAGCCGCGTATTGTTCGCCAAACCCCGTATTAGCCAGCGACGGAAACGATAAACAAACTCGCGGCTTGTTCTGTTTAATGGTCAAAAGGTGTGAAGCCAGCCGGGAGCGTTCGTTCTGCTCTCAAGGTGCCAATTTACAATCCGCAAACAAGCATCCTTTTCTTCTCAAGCCGCTACATGGGGATTAGCTTGGATCAGTGTTCCCTGAGGACATTTTTTGGTCTGGAGTGTAGAATTTAGGAACAAGACAATAGGAAGATAAAAAAATTCTTGGGTTCAAAAATCGGCTTGGTTAACAGTTTGCGAACTGTTTATGAATCAATCAAAAAAAAGAGCGACGGAAACAGTAACCAAACTTTTTTCTATTCTGCCGGAACTCCTTTTAATAACAAGCTCAAGAACGTAACTCATATGTGAAAAGACGATCTTGAAAGCTCCTCATAATTAAAAAAGCCCATCGAGCTCAATTCATCAAAATATGAATTTTAGAAAGAATCAAAAATCCAAAATCCCCGAAAAACAGTTTCATGACTTTCCTTCTCTCATTTCCATCAAAACGAAACACCCATTGTAAATTAACGTCTCAAACAATCAAATTCGACAATTTTCAGCCTGCAACTGCAATATGCACGCGAAGCGTTGCCGATTCGACCAAGAGCTGTTCCGAATGAGTGGAAATCGGTGAGGATTTGAGGGATTTGTTGTGAGAAAGTCGAAAAAACTTGTTTCTTTTATTTTATTAGCGTTTGTTGAGAGTTGCGGTAATTTTGGTGAACAAAAATGATGGATTTTGGGAAAAATTTAAGATCAATTGGATAAATAAGCAGAGGTGCATAAGGACATAATGAGAAAAATGAGATTAAAAATCGTCTTTTTCATAGTCAAAAAGTGAAAAAAACAATTTAAAAATAAGAAAAAAATGACAAAAAAATATAAATATAAATAACTTAAGCAAAAAAATAAAGGAATGATTACTTCAGCGACCGTGTATGAAGTGCGCTCCATAGACAAACATTTTGAAATACCCCGCGCCATCTTTTTTTTTGGTCACAGTTTGGGAAAAAAAAATTTTTTTTCCTTTGTTTCACCTGTTTTTGATTCTTTTAAATTTTTTCCATAGTTTGCTTTTTTTCCTCACTTCAAAGAGCTTATCAATCTTGAAGGAATGAGATGTAAAGATTTACTCACCCTACCTTACCTCAAAACTTTGAAATTCAGAAGTGGCGGCGTCTGCCTGAACTGTCGGCACAACACGGCTGGCCGCAACTGCCATCTGTGCAAACCCGGCTTCGTCCGAGATTCCTCCGTGCCGATGACCCACCGAAAAGCTTGCAAAAGTTGGTTCTTTTCTCGTGTTGTCGCAATAATTCAGCGGCCCTGTGTCAGGTGCCTCTAGAAACAATTAATCAAAGCCGCAAACGACCTGATCCGCTCGTTTTTTGCCTAGTCTTCATCAATTTTTTTTCCGGCCACTTTACACTTGACTCGAGCTTCCACTCGGTTTTTTTCCGCTCTGGACACAAACTCAATGTTGCGACGTGGGTAAAAAAAAAGTTGGAAAAAAGTGAAAAGTGGAAGAAATGAGGGGCTTCCAGAAAATAGCCTCTCCGAAAAACTCCTACCTAAAAATGAAACTGTTTGAAAATGTTTTCTTGAACAGATTTTTTTCAAGAAAAAGAAGTAAGAAAGGCCGTTTTTCTGAAAAACTGTAGGCAACTTTAGTTTCAACCGTCTTTTTATTCGGAAAGAGGCTCAATGAAAAAAACAATATTTTTTTAAAAACCTAAAAAGCTTCAGATTGAATTTTATAAAAAAATTTTTTTGAAAAAAAGTCAAGCGAATCTGAACTTTGGTTGATATCCAACTATTTCCTGGGAACTTTATCATTTTCTTCTCTCTCTCCAACTTCCTGAAACTATCCAGTATCAGGTTACGTTCAACAAACGACGAGAAACGTTGTAAATTCCTTGAGACGAAGAAAAAAAAACATGCCCTTTTTTTGGAGTCCAAATTCGATTACCGCCTCTCTCCCGAATGGGTCTCTCAATCCACGAAGAACTTTAATCAAATATGGCACCCTCATGGCGCGTACTCGAAACGTAACATGTGGCAATATGAGCCGCGAACGGAAGGGGGCTATATGGTTCAATTACGCAACATTCCTGCAATTGTCCATTGGCAAGACCGCCTGGCAATTCAAATGAAAAACTGACCGAGTGGGCTCGTTTTGACCCTTTTGACAACACGAAATGATGCTTCATACACGCCGTTTAGATTTTCAGTTTTCAGGGAAAAACATCGAAGAATTTCCTTGTTCAAGCCCTACAAAAACTGATTTTTGGTTTTTCAGAGCATGGTAAAGACTTTGAGATAACTGAGAATCTTCATTTCAAATCTTAGTTGATAAGGGTTTAAATCTACATTTTGATCTTCCGATCCCTTTTTGATGTATCCCATACGTTTCCATTATACCTGTGAACCTTTGGGAGACATATGGACAATTCTACCCTTGAATAAATTTTTTCTTGGTGGGAAGACTAGGAGAGCCATAGCTTCACTGCCCACCTGTCGATTCGAAACTTTTCAGCGTTTTTTCAGTTTAGCTTCATCTTCTCAAAAAGAATCTTCCAATGCGAATGTGGTTATGGCAACATTTGTACAATTAGCGACGCCCGACTAGACGGGAATCCTCGACGGCAAGTGGGCAACCTTGAATTGTCAGCGGCGCGCGATGAGTGCCTTGTGAGGCAAGAGACTGGCCGTCCGTCTCGGTTACCCAATTGCTCACACCTTCGCTAATCTCTTTCGCTTCTTGCGGGATAGATGCGAAAAAGAAGCTCAAATCTGATGGACAAAGTCATCAAGGGTCATCTGAAGGCCCTTGATGTGTGCCGATGACATGTTACTTGTTGTTCGCAAGAGTAAATCCAGATTTACGGCTGTAGAACTTCGAGCAGCTGAGATGGTATAAGTTGTCAATGGTAATCTGGAGGCCTTTAATGTTCGCCGATAACAAGTTAGGCCGGCTATGAGACTAGAAATCACTGTTTCAACTCACGGAGAAATTCTAAGCTGTAAATAATTATCTAGAGCCTTCTAGATGTGTCAATAATAAATTGCTCGTTTTTTAAAACTTGAAATCCGGTTTCATTACTGTTTCAAGCCTTTGATAGAATTTGAGTTAACGAATTCCTCAAAGAATTTCGCGTTGGATACATGATTTTTTGATAAATTGAGTTGAATTCCAGTGTCATTTCTAAATGATTTTTAAGATTCTTATTTTCTTTCAAGTAGAGATATTTCTAATAATTTCAAATTACAATGAAAGTTGAGGTTGTTTTTAACAACTTCAAAAAGCCCTACTTCTTTCGCTTAATTGACGAATTTGTCGAGGCGTTTGATTCTGTTTTCTCTCTACAAAAACCTTGGTTGATTGAATAACTTTTCGAATGACTGATTTTCCGTCTGATTGCGTTTTTTTTTCTTTCTTCGTTGTTGCTTTCGCGGGAAAAAAAGCTGATGTTTTTTTGTACGGAGGGCAAGTTGGCCGAAAGATTACATCACAAGGCGCCAGGGGCCAAGAACATTTATCAGCGGATGAACCGACAAATTGCTCTCGACGCGGATGAGCTGCTGATCGATGTCCTTCGGATCGTGTTCTTTCGCTAGGCTCTCCACGGAAGAGCCTTCTGACGGAGGTGCTCTCGGAGTTCCGCTCGGCTGCCCCGGAGGAAATTCGATCGCGATCTTGTAAAACACTGATTTACGAGCGTTGCCGTTACGCCGTGAACAGCAAGAGTTTTTGCACTTGATTATGAGGGGAGGGCTTGCTTGGGAAATGAAAAAAGGGAAAGTGCGGTTTTTTCCTTCTCGAGTTCACTAAAAAATGTCACAAAAAAGAAAACAATACAAAAAAGAAAATCCCACAAACTGAATTTTTAGGTTGCTCCTGCCATCCAGTTGGATCCCTTGGCAAAAGTTGCAATCAAACTTCTGGCCAATGCGTTTGCAAGCCTGGAGTTACCGGTACAACTTGCAACCGGTGTGCTAAAGGCTACCAACAAAGTCGATCCACCGTCACTCCTTGCATTCGTAAGTTTCCTTTCACTCTTTTTTTCCAAAATAATGCGCTTTTTTGTCTTTTGCGACCATCCAAGCCGTCATGATTTATGGCCTGAAGGCAGGGCCGACCGTTGCCGGATAATCATAAACAAACAGTAGCCATATTGGTTGGGTAGGAAGCGCAAACCCGGGGACAAACCTATCGTATTAACATATCTAAGCTTATTAGCATGTATTATACCAGCCGAGCCGGTGGCTTTGCTCATCTTACAGCTCGCCGTTGAGAGCGTCATTAAGCCGTTACCAAAGCTGAGGGGCGACTTCATAATGAATTTTTAGAAAATGAGCTTAGATTCATGTAGAGTTTCAATTGGGCTTTAACCCCGCCTTGAACCCGAGAAAAAGTTGAGAAAAAGGCGTTTCTAGTCGGGCGTATTTCATGAAAAACCGCTACCTCTTTTCATATGTAGAGCCATTCTCTAAGCGTTCAGTTTCTAAGTTCAAAAAATCCAAAATGCCACTCAATTTATTCATCAATTTTTTTTCAGGCATTCCAACCAAGGCCGATTTCGTTGGAGAAGATTCTGCCGAGCAAGGTGAGTCATTAGCATAGAAAGCGAGTATGCCACCTTTGGCGGCATCTTGAAAAAGGAAGGAAAGACAAACATGTGCCATCAAAACTTCTAATAGGATCCGCAGTATTGTTTGCCTTTCAGGAAAGTGTGCGAAATGTCGCATCGTCCCGAAACGTTTGAACCAGCGCAAGTTCTGTAAGAGGGAACATGGTGAGAATTATTTGGTGAACTCGAAATGATGATTTTCATTTTCAGCTTTGCAAATCGTCGTAGTGAGCCGTGAGATGGAAAACGGCTGGGCCAAGTACCGTATCGTCGTGGAATCGATCTTCAAACGAGGAAAAGAGGGACATCAGAGAGGAGAGACTTCTTTGTGGCTCTCGGCTCAAGCTGTCGCTTGTAAATGTCCCAAGCTTCGAATTGGTCGTCGGTACCTCCTTCTTGGTGAGCTCATCCTTTTTTGAGAGAAGGGGTGCTTGAACTAGTCAATGTACCTCAACATAGACTTCGATGTCTTCATACACATCTTTCCGGTCGATAGCTCAACACTCAGAAACAGAAAAAGAGCTCGACAACACTTGTTGAGAGGTCGACATGGGTTTTCAGTCGCCGGCTGACATGACAAATGATCAAAATATGCAAATGCAAAGGAGATCCTTTTCCACTAGTGCGTTTTGGAAGGGGTTGTCAGTGCGATTAGCGACACCGCGCTGGATGTTTGAGGGCTGCGCGAACGTGTGAAATCCGCCGGAACAAAGGAAAACAAAAGAAATTTGTAGATCGCTTCAAACTGCCCATAATTCTCTTGATGTGTTTTCCAAAGCGGTGGCCCCAATTTGACCGAGTTTTTTTTTCTGCGGAAATAAAATCAGGGATTTGGCGAAAGGATTTTTTGGAAAAGAAAATATTGGAGACTGAAATCCACTGCATTTTATTTGTGAGAATTAAGCTGAAAAATAATAATTTTTTGAAATTTTCTATTCGTAAAACATTCTGACTAAAAAACAACAACTGCGAAGCGTTTTTTGAAGTTAGGTATTCACACAAAGGACTATCCACACTTTTATATTTGAGTTTGTTTAATTTTAGAAGCTTTATCCAGTAGATCACCCTATTTTCTCGAGAAATTTTTCCATTTAGAGAGCATCCTTGTTTCAGTTCCAATTTATGAGGGAAAAAAAAAGCAGATTCTACCCGAAGAACAAGTTTGTGTCAAGTGCTGAAGGGCGAAAATAACGACAATTAACAAAATTGTCCAATAAAAAGTATATTTTCAGGCAAAGACGACACTGACGACGAACACGAGGGCATCGTCGTCAACAGCAAGACGGTCCTTGTCGACTGGGACGATGACGTCATGGACAAGGTACAGCTCGATTTCAAGTTGAAACGGAGTAAAGTGATCGGTTTTAGGTTGTTCGCTTCTCAAAGAAAGACAAGTTGGGACAGTGCCCGGCGGGACATCATTATTAAGTAACGAAACTCATAATTCATGTATTCTCTATTCACCGTAGCTTGAGAAAACCAGAAAAAAAATATTTTTTTGCTGTTCTAAATGTTGTCTCAAGCCAACGGTGGATCAAAATTCATTTTTCGTGTACAATTATTTTGTTTTCTAGCCAATAGCTGTAGATTCATAGCTATGAGCCTCAGAATCGTGACCATGATTGAACAAACCTCTCTCTTTCCAAACCAATAATGATACAAAAATAATTAAACAAACCTCAACCTTTTCTTGTACCCTACCCCTTGCATCCGTGTGAATCTCCGTGAATCTAGTTTTTTTTTTTTGGCTTGTTATTTCTTTTTACTGTTTCTCGTAGCTGCCATATCAACAGCTGTTCTTCTCCACAGTATCCCATACGGTACGAAACCATGATCTTACTTTTCTCCCATTTTAATTATTGCATAATTAACACCTTCTTACAGATTCCTTGCATGACAGTAATAATCCTTTTCTGTCGTTTTATCGGTTGTGAAGTTCAACTGCAAACTATTTTCTTATGTTGCTTCTTTTTTTGAATCTCTTGACTCTTTTCAAAAATAAAATATCAACATTCTGCGGGATTAAGAAAAAAGGTAACAGGTGCATTGGAAGAACCATAAATACTCTTGAGATCTGCATAATCCCGAGCCTTGCAATATCGGCTCGCGTAAAATGATTTCAGAGGTCAAATATTCTCGATTAAAGATAGCTTTATTCGGAGTTGGACAGTTTTTCCTGATTCATATTCTGAAATATCTAAAAACGACGGAAAAAAAAAGCTTTCAGCTAAGTGCCAGGTACGGAAACGAACTGAACCCAAAAAAAACAACTCGACCACTTTATTGGCTGGAAAGTGCAATACTTCTACTTGAAATTGACTACGGAATAGCCCGTTAAATACAATTTGCAAGAGTAGAAGGTGGCACCAGCTTGCACCAGAAGTTTTTTCTGGCATGCTACTCCAAGATTCCGTGGATTTTTAAATGAAATGTCCCTTCTTATGTTTTTTTTTAAAGTGAAACGTTGAAAGTTCGAAGTTTTTATATTTTATGTTTGAATTCTTCAAAGTTCGTGCAATGTTTTTTTTTCGAACAAGAAGAATAATGCGGATAAAATTATCAAGACGGCCAACTTTCAACTATACAACGAAAAAAGGTCCCAAAAAAACCAATTCCCTCATGAGCCTTGGTAGATGGTTGACGAGCTGTATTTCTCAGAAAAGCGTTGGCCGCACAATGTTCGATGACCGACGGCCGAAAATGAGCCTCACGGGAATCCACGATAATTCATTTTGCCTTTTCAACACTTGTTCTTATCTGGGAAGCCAAGTTTCAGTAAGAATTATTTTTTTCTGCTTCAGCATAATCTATGGAAAAACTCAAAATCATCAATCTTTATTACACTGCGTGCTTTTGAACTTCTTCACAACAAATGACACGAATAATAAATAAAATACTGAGTATTCATGTTTTGATTGGAGCTAACAAAGCAAGTTAGTTGATATAGGTAAGCAATAGATCGTCGATGTGTATAAAAAAGTTGAGGTGATCATAAGAAGTGAACTAATGAAGAGAATGTGTACAGCACCAGGAGAAGTGAAAATTCGCTATTCAGAGCAGAAATATGTAAAAAGGAGAATTTACAAGAAGGTATCTTGAGCCGAGCTGGTGCTCGTGGGATGGGAAGTCTTTCTTGAAGCTCTCCTTCTTGTACTGTCCGAAAGGAGCGCCGTGTATTGATTTGGCTCATCGATACTACTGGCGCATAATCTGGAGCTACAGTTGCCCAAAGACCGGTTGCTGCAAAATATACATTAATTTTATGAAATGCTCTCAAGATCTCTAGTCTATTCACCATCCACTTGCTGATAACTTGAGTATGGTTCAATTTATGCGAGTTTACAGTTTCAAGATACGAAATTTCATTTATAACGGATAGAAAAGCGGTTTTTTAATGTGAGCAAGTGTTTGGTGAATGATCTATCGTTTCAATCCAAAGTTGAGGCGTCAAATTCGACAAAAGCTTGAATAACATTAAAATTTCGGTTTTCGGATAATTTTCTTGATCGGGAAGATCGGGTTTTTATTTGACTCCTCTTGCAATTTTGACGTTTCAACGTGGTAAATTGAAGATAACGATCAAGAAGATTTCCTTTCCGGACTATAAATGAATTTTTCTAGACGAGAACTTTTAAAGGGCAAGTCAAGAAGTAAATCTTCATGTTCGCTATGTACTCGTGCTCTGGAAAAAAAAGAATAAGGTTTGAAGGGATTTTTCTATTTTTCCTATTATTCATCCTCTTTTTCACACAGGTCAAGATTTTGGTAGAAGCTATGCAAGCGATCAAGGGAGATAGCGGACAGAAGTAGCTGGTTTGATGGTTATTTCAAAAAAAGGCTCAAGCAGTTGAAAGGGGAAGGTATCGCCAAAACACACACTCAAGACCTTTCATTGTTCACTTGATGGCGTTAATCGCTTGCCAGAAATACTGCAGAATGTGTTGGTTTCAAAGTAAACTCCATCTGTCTTGAAATAAGAACCAACCTTTTGTTGAGCATACTTTCTCCTTCTTGCTTCCGCACATTTTTATGCTTTTCGAATAAAATAATCCAGAGTTTGGGCGAGAAAATGCACACCAAAGCAACGTTGGCTGACATGGAGATGGAAATGCATAAAGATGTCGTTTGGATCTGAAAATTAAGATTTTCCTATTATTGATTGCAAGCCTTGAAAAATTTTAAATAAGGTATTTTTTACGGAAGATTGAAAAAAGGTTGTGTCTTTATAGTGACGTTTCCCTGAGGTTGATGAAAATTTCAAAAATAGTTCCAGGAGAAAAAAAAACCTAAAAAAGTAGCACGAAAAGAGCCAAACAGATTTGATCCCTGTTAATCCATTTCTCAGGTCTTTTTGATGGACTCAAGCATATAAAATGTTCAAATCTAACCTGAAAATCGCTTCCTGTTCCGAAGAAAAAGAATATCCAACTGAGCCATACAACACAAGTTGTGTACATCGAGAAGCCAATAAACTTGGTTTCATTGAAGTTTTCTGGCACCTTGAATATCATAATAATCAGAACAATCCGAAAAAAACGACTTACTTTTCTAGTTTTAACAGCATAAATTGTGCATAGAATGAGAAGCAAGGCGTCATACGCCAGGGAATAAAGAAAATGATGATCTGGGACGTTACAGGTCAAGACGACCTGATCTCTTGTCGGATAGTGATGCCTCCATCCTGAAAACTCGAACTTTATGCTTTGAGATGTTTTCCGCCGTTTTTCAAGCTGTCACCTGGAGGGACAACGTAGAGCCAAATAAGGCTGCCAATCAGCTGAACACCGGCCAACATACCCGTCATTACTACCTAAAATATCAAATTTTCATAAACAGGAACTATATTATGAACCTGTGAAATAGGCGAAATGAATTGTGGCCTTTGAGCGGTTCTTGTATTGAAAATTCGGGCGATTCTGTTCGTTTTGACGAACATTGCCGCGTACAAGCAGGAGAATGCAAAGCCAATACCTGAGATTGGGTTAATTTTTATCGGAAAAACCGGTAAACCAAAAAAACCTGTTCGTTTGATAGCACAAACCGCCGCGTTTGGCTTGGCTAAGAGGACGAAAGTCATACAATAACACATAATCATTGATATGAGCAAAATGTAGCTCAATTCGCGACCCGACGCTTTTACCACCGGCGTTTCATTGTACCTAAAAATATTCATAGATTTTTTTTTCGAAGGAAAAATTCACATGACGTAGACAACGATGACGAAAATTGTTGAAACAATGCCGATAACGGCCAAAATTGCTGGAACTATGGAGTACATTGACTTCCATCGCATGTACTTTAGATGGGCCACCGCGAGGTCGAAGCAAGCTTTGCGATCTTTTGTTGGCCATCTGGAAAACTCCTCATAGAAGTCTCCAAAATTGTATTTACAAATTTGACCTCAATCGATCTAAATTCGATGCAACATTTTAATAACTGATAAATTTTATAAAAATAATATTTCTGTTCAAAAGGCAAAATATCCTTAAGCTTACTGGCGGCATTGCTGCTGATTCTCTGAAGTGACATCTTATAAAAACCCCTGAGGGAAGTCAGTAATGAGCCAAGATTACAGAAAAAGCGCGCACATTTCTAACTGCGAAATTAAATCCGTAGTGCTAAATTACCCCTTTCTCCACTATTTGCAAAATTCTTGATTTTTCTTTTTTTTTCTTAACCTGAAACGGTTTTTGGTGACATGTTTAATTTTTTTTTCAGGATTGAAAATTCGCTTTTTCCACTTTTCACTTTTCCACTTTTCCCATTTTTTTCACTTTTCGACCCCTACAAGGGCTGTTTTCTTTTAACCCCTATTGGGACCTATGTTTTCAATTTTAAAGCTATCAAAAATTTTACTTACTTTCCTTGCTCACAAGCGACGCAATGAGTTTCGTTAATAAGGTACTCGAAATCTTCGCATTTACTGCATGCCCAGCAGCATTGTTCGTCCTGAACGCTCAATATTTTTTCAAACCGTTTTCCAATAGGAAAACCTTGATCAATTGTTTCCGGTACCCCACTTTACAAGGTAATGAACACACTGAAACTGGAGTTTCGTTCGCATTCCACCAGAGTTGCTCATCATAAATCGTCAACTAAAATTGTTTTCATGCTTACAAATTTCCAAAAAAAGTTTCCATACGTTATTTTCACTCCAATGACCAATTTCCACATAGTCCGACTGGGATTCGTCTTCATCTCCAAGCATCCGCCGCCTTTTATCCAAAGATTTCGGTTTGTAGGTGAAAATGGTGTAACTCGCGGGACCATCTCCTTGAGCTGAGAAGTGGAATCTTTTCCCGACAACGTCTGAAACAAGTTCTTCATTCCTATTTTTTTTCAGCATTTTCAAACTCATTCAAAGATTCGTAAAATTAGAAGCGCTGTTTTCTCATGCCTATGCGAGGATTATTAAAATTTTAATGAGCTTTGAATGACGTCCAAAAATACACTTCCAATAAATGGGATGCGAGTAAATACTTGAGCCCAAGCGGAAGTAGTCACAAAAAACAAGCGTTTTTTTGCAGAATTATATTTATATTGCTCGATTATGTTGAAATGAAAGACTTGATATTTTCATAAAACAAACCTTGTCAGATTCAATATAGACAGAGAGGCCGTTTTTTCAGAACATTTAACCTTCCAAGTGTCATTGAAGCCAGGTAATATTAACAAAACCCCGAAGAATCATGAAAAATAACCAACTCACCATCAAATTGGACTTTGAGAAGGTAGTTTTGGTAAAAATCAGCTCCATCGATATTCTGCATGGCTCTGCAGATCTCCGGCTGGCGACTGTAGCGAGAAATCCAGGAAGTCTCGATCGCGTCGTCCGGACAATGGACATTTTTCATAGCCTGAAGTTTCCTGATTTTTCAAACGGATATTTGAAAAAAGCAACTAGTGAAGTTTCTAGGTAGTGCTCTTCTACCCTCTCATTCTTTTTGACTGTCTAAAAATCAACCTGTAAGCCATGTGCGATCGCGTAAACCGCATCAATGACAAACTGCACTTTGTCGTCGGCTTTGAACCCCTCAGTTGTTTGCCGAATGTCCTCGCATCTGAATCAGAGGCTATTTTTGAATTATGTATAAAAAATCCTGAAATACGAGCCACTACGAGCAAACAAGGAATGTTGCGATATTTGCAAGTGCCGTGTAAGGAACAGACATGGAACTAAGTACAAAGAAACTTTTTGAAAAGGATATTGACTCGATTATTTAAGATTCTAAAAAGTTCTCTAGTTTGTAGAGTGATTCAATGCGTTCAAGCATCTGAAGACTTATGAAGAACACATTTTAAGCCATTCCAAATGCGACTGGAAAATTTCAAGCCTCTAAAATTTGCGAAACCTGTTAGCGTTGGATGACACTGGAGCTCCGAATTCACATTTGTACTTGATTTGCCAAAGTTCTCGTAGCCATTTATTGCGCTCAAACTTTTCTGTACCAGGATGGAGGCTCATGAAGTACTGAAAGTTTCACAGTATTCTCAAATATAGTATATAAAACAACCTCTTCGAAAGATGGGACTTTCTGAGAAGCCAGCATCAAAACAATAGCTCCTTGGACAGCCAATCGATTTTCACCAGCAGTATATTTATCATTGTTCCTATCCCAGCTTTCTGAAGCAAGCCTGAAAAAAACGTTTTGCTATTTAAACTCTCGTGAAAGCAGTGCGTCAGACTCAAAACGACTTGCGCTATAGCTTCAGCGTTTCCAGCTAATCTAAGTGCAACCCGATAAAGAAATCATACCAAATTATGCGTTTTTTCGACCCCGACGACAAATGCATTTTTTCCGCCGTATGTCGGAGCAATTCTGGAATGTACTCCGTTCCAACAAATAGCACCACTACAGTGGCTCCGACGTTCTTTTCCGCTTGTAATCTGAATTTTCGTTTTGCTTTAATTTTTTTTTCGAACGCAACTCACTTCTGAACTAAATTATTTGTTGACTCCGTAAAACTTTCTTGTTTGTTCTGTATTCTTTCTTCCAAAGCGATACATATTCCTTTCTTTCTTGCTTCTTTCTTAAAAGCGTCGGCGCCTGAAAGCGAACTTTTCCGTTCAGGAAGTTATAATGAAAAATTTTCACCTAGCTCCCCGTACTCGTCCGCAGAATAAACCAAAGAAACGTAAGACCATTTGAATTTCACAGCTATTTCTACCATCGCCATCGCTTGATAATCATCAGAAGGTACTGTCCTGAAAACTACAAAGTTGAGAACATTAATCAAGAAAAAACCTCGCAAAATATTCGAATCTGTTTTTGTCCGATAAATCTGCATTTGTACTCGCTGGACTGACTTGAGCTATTCGAAACAACCGTAAAAGATTGGCGAGCTGAAACGGGTAAGTGAACTAAAAGGTTATTTTTATTTTTTCAAAGAGTCTTTTTCCAAGAGAAAATTGACAAAGACATAGCACTCCATCTGAACACTCCATCTGATGGATCTGAACAAAACTTAAAAATAGTTATGAAGGATAATCGATTATGGAGTCACCCTCAGGAAAGAAATAATTAAACCGCTGCCTAGCATAAAAAGAAGTTTTTTTTGAATAAATAACTTTGAACCTGTACAGAAACTGAGCTGTAGCTCCCGCCTACCACAGCCGCTACGCTTTTTTTCTGGCCTTGTTTCCTGATTTGCGGATCTCGACCATTCCTAAACGGTCATTTTATCGCAGCCCAGCTGCTTTTATTTGCTTACTCGCAAACGTAATCTGACGCCTCTGAGGATCCAATCAAATCCCTGACAAAATCCAAACTTTGATTCAGAGCGTAGGCTGGATTTGAACAAGAATCCACGATGAGTGCACCCTGAAAATTGATTTTTTTAAAAGATAAAACTTGCGAAAAATTGATTTTATAATGGATCTTTGAATGATCTCCTTTGAAAAACTCGAAAAAAATTCACCAGCTTATAACCTCGAAGAAAAATCGTTCTGAGCGTTGATTTGATCGAGAGCGTAAAGCATCGCTTCCACACGGTGAACTCCTCTGAAAAATCGGATTCAGTTCTTGAAATTATGTTCAAAAGTTTTTCAAACAAGGTTCAAAAAGTATTTGTATTTTTTTTTTCAGTAAAAATAATGATGCATTTTTCGAACATAAGGCTTTTTTGACCTCCTCATTTCTACGACTCCAATGTCTTGATTATACTTTAAACGGCTCAATGCTAAACCTCAAAAAAGGTATAGTTCTAAACAACCGATCAGAAACGACTTGCGCGCGGAAGCAAGTTATCTTCCGTTTTAACCGCAACTTCTTTGGAGCCCTAACACCTTTCCGAAATCCTTGGACGATTGAACTTATAAGTATAATAATAAGTATGTTTTTTGAATAGGTTTATATCTTTTTTTATAGAAGCTGGCTGGATCACCTAGTCTCAGCGATTTCTCCACAAGGCTCGTCACCACTTTGTGATTTGGTGTGAACTGGGAAAACGCCGCCAATCAAAATGTCGCCTGGTATCCGGATTTGACGCACCTAAACCGTCACTATTTTTCTTAATAATCTTTCATAATATTTGGTTCATTTTGTTATTTGACGCTTATCTTATTTTTCACAGTTCGCGAAGACCGGAAAAAATATGGTAACTTCTCGGTAAGCCGCAGCAAAAGGAATTTTTCAAATTTGCCAAGGAAATCGCTCAAATATCCGCTGGCCGGAACAAAGGCAAACAAAAACATGTCGTCATCAATATCGAGTGTCAATTAGTTGCCCATATGATAGCCTTCGTGGAAATCGATTCAGAAGAAGCTTCAGCCGATGACGTCATCCGAAATCGGAACTCAGTTTTCGAGGAAGCAAAAGTCAAGGATGAAGTTTAACTCTGCGAGAAAATTCTCAGTTTATCACGGTTAAAATTTTCTCGGAAATTAGCTAGACTAGTTGAAAACTCTGCTTAGATCCTCTTCTAAACTTTTCTCTCTCCAAACCTGTTCATTTTTTCTTATTCGAACTAAAAAAAGCCTCAAGGAAACCTGATGAAACCTTCAAAATATCTCTCTTTTAATCACCATCTGTTACCTTTGGCGGTGGGGCGAGGTCGGACTTGTCGGCGTTCTGAAACTGTGGTTGCTCTTGATGCACATTTACCAACGGCACACTCGTCTTGGAGCTCACGGTGTCCTAAGGGAACACAATGTTGCAAACGGCATGCGATAGTGGGAGACTTTTAATCTTGGTAGAGTTAGGAACCCTGGATTTAAAAAAAAACCAAAAACGAGCTTGTTAGGATACGTTTTTCAGAATCAAAGCATTTTCTATGATTTTCGCGGGAAGTTTTGTATTGCAAATGTTGGCCTTGAAGTTCCCAATAATTGCTGTTCCAGGCTTCAGATAAAAAACATCTTGAAGTCGTCTTAGGACTCCTCAATTTTTACTTCTACTGACGCAATTTTATCCTTTTTACTTCACATACTTTTGAAAATGACTAAATAATATTTGAAACCTCATTTTTCAGTGATCGGTGACACAAACACTCCTAACACCAAACGATTTGAGAACTCCGAGAGGATTCAAAAAATATCAAAGATTTAATTTTTCACATTTTCACAAATCCACACTATTTTAATGATCAAAAAAGTTACCTGTGTCGCGAAATTGGCATTGGCCAGTATCTGCGTGGCCAACGCCAACACCGAAAACATGTGTCGGCTATTATGCCGCGTCTGCAATGTGCGATCATGAAACTGTGATGTTATATAAGATTTCGAATAAAGATTATACTAATCTAAAGACAACAGTTTCACTGGTTACGTGTGCCCGTAACTAAAAAAGCCAAAAGAGGCGTAACAAACATTTGATGTATTGAGTTTTTTCTCGGGGTTATCAGCAGATAAACTGGATGAAAAATATCGAAAAGGGGTCTCAAAAATCTCTATTTTAAAAAAACGTTCAGGAATTTTTTCGACTCTCGAAGCCCCCAAAAATTGCCTAGCATTATCAAAAATTAAAACCATGATCAGCTCGGGTGCATCCAATTAGAAAAGAAGACAATTCAGCCGCCGTTCAACTAATAATTAGGAGTTCGGAAGAGAAGCAAATTTGGGGCAAGCGGTGCTGGCTACGTTTAATGGAAGCTTTTCTTCGACTTGCCACCCCCTTTTTCCACGAGGAGAAGAAACACGATATGGGCCAATCTAATGAGCAGCCGATGCATGGGTATCTAACACCATATTTGACTCGGAAATTCTGGAAATTGAGTCGAAGATCTTGAGAATAGCCGTTTTATACATCGATAAACGTTAATATTTTGAAAAAATTCCTAGTTTCTCCAGTATTTTTTTGCGAAAAATTGAAAATGCTTAAATTTTCTAGCAGTTTGATAGGCTTCTTGATGGTTGATGGATTTCAAGGCATTGAATTATGCCACAAATTGAAGAAAATGTGTGCTAGGAAAATCAAGCAGGAGATCAGCATTTGACATTCTTGGACCGTTTATTAGTTTTTAATAACTTATCTCTAAATTATTTTGCTGGACCTCACAAGAAGAAAAAATGGGAATGAAGTGCTTGGACTACACGAACACTCTCTCTACCGCATGCTTGGAGGAAGGGGCAATTAAATGAATACCACTGAAAAAATGGCCACGCGTACCCGAATCCCGGCAAGCTGATCCATATTTGTCTTCGCTTGTACCAACTCTGCGCATACCTCAATCCGAATGTTCACAGTTCAGCTTCACAAGAATGGGTTCAGATTCTCCGGCGTTTCGGATTCCCCTGAATGGGCCGACGGTGCAATCACCTGAACTCAGAAAACTTGAAAAAAAGACAAAAAACAGCGGTTAACAGAACATTTCAAAAAACGTCAAGTTTTGGGATCACGAAAACTGCTGAGAGATCATTTTGCGCCCGAAGATAAAATAAATTTTTTTCCGCTTTAAAAAAATCATAAGTTGCAACACTCTAGCGAAAAGTAACAAACTCAGAAAAAAAACAACATTTGAGATAGAAAGGATAAGAAAAAGTATAGAAATTGCGTGAAAGACACAATTCTCAACAATTCAAAGCAAAACTTGTGTTTGCTGGAGATAATCCATTAAAAAAGGGGATTTTTGTCCCCAAACGAGATTACCGCCGTATCGCACTTTGAGGAGTTCAGTCGCCTTTTGTGATGCTTTGGTTCAAGTTCTGGGAAAACTTCTGCGAGAAAAGGTAGTTCTGAGAATGAATAGGATTATTTTTTGTCGAGTTAAATGAGAGGTTCAGGTTTTCGCAGATCATTTAAGAGAAGAATGCAAAGTTATTTTTTTTTCTCTAAAAAAATTGCTCCAACTAAAAATTGCATCGAGAGGTTGAAAAGCCAGAAGGTTTCAGTCGTAGATAAATGTTTGAAGGTTTTATTGGAAAGTCGTTGGTTCCTCATAAAAAAGATCGCAGGCTTCACCTTAAGTGATTTCTAATTAGCCAGTTGCTTAAGCCTCAAAAAATAAAAAAATTCCATAAAAAAGAACTAAAATACTGAAGTGATCAATATTTTCCGGTTTCAAAAATTTTAGAAAGTTCGACACGGAAAGAAAAACAAAAAATGAAAATAAGGCTATCAGAATTACGTTTAAACTTGAAAAAATTGCATGAAACTTTAAGAAAATGAGAAAATTGTTCAGAAAAACCCGTGAAATGTTTTGCTGTCGAAAATTAATTGGGCTACCATTTGAGCTCCAATTATCAGCAATATTCTGGAGTTTGGTTGAACAACAGCTATTAAGGTTTGAACGCGAGAAAACACATTATTTTTCAGTCCATTCGCCTTTTCGCTCAATCCCAAGGGTTCGACCGGGATCCTATCAGAGCTAGGCTGCTGGCGGCGGCGGCAAAAACAGATACATAACCGCATTCGGAAAAAATTCGCCTTTATTCAGCTTTTAATTTCTTCCTCTCCTCCTCCCCGTTCCAATTTTTTTTTGAACGAGCTATCGTATTTCAAAACACCCTCCGTCAACAATTATTTGTCTATTCTACCTCTCATCTTCTGCCCATTTGCCAAAATAGCGCCCACGGTCGGATGCATTTGGATATCGATGGTCGTTGCCAGTTATTTATTTGGACGTTGAATTAAAAGCCACGGCGGTTTTTCTTTCCAAGCTTTCAGTTCAAGCTGAATCGGAAAATAGATCTTTCTCAAGAAGCGCTGTAAAATCTTGAAAGAAGAAAAAATACAATTTTGTTTGAATAAGCGAAATATATAAGTAGTCAGTTTAAAAAAATTGTCTCATTTCAGAATAAAAACTTTTGTAAAAGGTTGTTATTTTTCTTTGGGTTATAATAATGATAGTTTAATCAACTTCAAGCAAATATTTGAAATCGAATTTATTCATTCAAAAAAAAAATTCCGTTTTTCTTGAGCGTCTTGGCAAAGGCTCAAAAAAGTAGCAATTGCAGAAAAAAAATCCACTCAACAAAAAAATAAAAGCTCCAGTTCATTTTAGAAATGTAAAACCATCAAAGCCTAGATTTGTTTTGCTCATTTTCCGCAATCCTCTCAATTTTATGGGGATTGAAGGCAAAGATTGATTATTGCTAGACAGAAAAGCCAAATTATTCAAAGAGTGTAATTGAGAAAAGCAGACTTCAAAAGACGGCAGAAAAAAACAAAAAAAAAGATGAAAGACCAGTGGCCGAGAAAACTGAGGTGTTAGAGCAACTTGGCCAAAATTTGATTCCTGAAGTTGGCAACAATTTCATTCAGCGCGGGCATATTCCATTATGTCAAGTGCGCGCTTCCGAACTTGGCAGTCAGACGACGTAACATTCCGTTAGACCTTAGGATGGAGACTGAGGCTCAGAGGCGGCCATTGTTTGTCCCCTATCGGTAATTTCGGAAGGGTACATATGGCCATAATAGGATTGGAAGTATTGCGAGAGTCTATACAAACCAAAAAAGATGACTTCTTATTATATAGTTTATTCTGAGGCTATATGCTTTAGTACAAACTTCGAAAGTCCTTATTTCGCTCAAAAATAGTTGAAGCAAAAAAAGCAAATTTTTTAAACATTGAAATACTTGACTCCTGATACAGCGGTGGGTGGGCTCGAATTTGAAGAAAAAGATAATCAGAAGGCCCTAAAACCGCTTAAGCTTTACACTCAACAAATGAGAAAGTAAAAAAAAAGATCACATAAAAAGTAGGTTGAAATTCCCAAAATTTATTGATTTTATCACTAAAAAATCTCCTAAAAATTTAAATTTAGAAATTTCCTCTGAACATGGCAATGACAACCTCGTCAGAGCCTAAAACCACACAAAAAGCCGAAAATTTGAAAATAAATTTTTGTGCCCTATATAAAAAGAAGCGGTTCGAGAAGAATGAATGGGTTAGGCCACTCAGAACTGAAAAGCACAGAATCTAGGGGAATTTGTCATGGGGTCGCAGGAGCAGGAGGCCAAAACAGGAGGAATTCAAGAAGCGGCGACGGCACAAAAACGAGGCGGTAAACTCGGTTAAGTTTGGCAACACGGCCTCCGACGAAATCAAATGTGCCTCAGCCACGCTTCACGCGCTTTATTCGTGTAATAAACGATTTCCTGGCATCTTGGATAGAAATTCCTTCTTTTTCTTCCTTTTTCATGCCGGCTCCTCGCACACCTACGACTGAGTCTGAGAGAAGGAAAGGAAAAATTCTTTTTTAGGATTTTTGGGTGGAACTTTCTGAACTGGATCGGCTCAATGATAGTAACCGCTTAGCTACCGCGACGCTTTTATTTTTTCTTTTCCGATACAACATCGTTTTTTGAGTAAGATCTTTCCCCCAGTTCTTCCAAATACTCGTTCAATCGTCGTTTATTCAAAAAAAAAAAGTTGTATTTCAAAAGCCCCAAATTTACCTCCTTTTCTAAATTAAATGTTTTCGAAACTCATTTCACTTACCAATTTTTCTCTCTAAAAAAAAAAATATACGAAATGTGGTGCCGGAGGCGGACCAACCTCAATAAATGCAGGAAACGCACCATTAGAAATTCTACAACTTGTACCCGGCATCAAATTTTCTATTCAGAATTTCTCACATTCTTGGAACGTCTTCAGATATTTGAAAGGTTTCCTTTAATTGGAGGATCTTAAATCGCAGATGTAAAGAACAAGGAAGCAACTTTTTCAAAAAAAAAAAAAAGTTCAAGAGAATCAAAAATTAAATGAAGCAAAAAGCAGAGATATATAAAAACACATAGGTGGAGTAGAACAAAGGTATCGAGAAGCCCTGGAAATCATTGGAGGTCCTCAACAGCTTCCGACGTTTGATTGGCGTCTTTGAAGAGCGTTTTCCTCTAACCGCAAACATAATCCTTTGAGGGAAAACTCCAAAATGGGGCGTCGTCGTTCTTGTAGGAAGCACAAAGAGTGACAACTCCGAGTTTCACAGCAATTTGAGGTCGACTATAAAGGCAGAGAACTCACTCAATTTACACAATAGGTGGACATATTGCACAAAAAAAGAAGTCTGAAGAGCTGTACAGAAAAAAAGCCTGTTGGGGAGTTGAAGTAAAGGGCTTATGTTTTTTAAACCACAAAGAGGGCTTTTTTTCTTTTTTTTTTGACGGCTGGAAGTGTTTGGGAAAAAGAAAGAGGTTCAAAATAGCTGCAGGCTGTGCTGCGAAGCTCTATTTTTGATATATGAGAATGAAACGATTTAATTATTCACATCCTAATCAAAAAAATTAAAAAGACGTATGAAAGTTTTCTTCTCAGAAGATTTGTCCAGAGATCCCTACTATTATTTTCTGAACCTAACGATGAAGGAGCCGCAAAACCAATTATTGTAAACAATGAACTGAGGTCAGGAGAGTTCATATTGAGACAAAGTTATGGGAAGTAGTTTCAGAATCAAAGTTCAAAAAATCAAATTACTAAACGATTTGCAGTACAGCTTCATGAGAACGAAATTCAAATTCGCTGCAGTTTTAACTCAAAATCTCCGGAATGCAAATGAGGATTCAAACCAAGTCGCAAAGTTTTGTGGAAATAAAAGATTCAGCGAGGTAAAGCAGGGTCGACAGCTAGAGAAGCGTGCGAATTGCCGGATGAAGACGTGGAACAGTTAAGGCCGCACTTCTTTCCAATTGAGCCACTTTTCACCCACCGGCGTTGCACCACCTCGTTTTTTCCTTTTTTCTTATGTTTTTCCGAGCACTTTTTTCCTTTTTTTTCATATTACTGTGAAGATTGATGACAAAAAGTTTTACTGCACTTTTTTATGTTGTTCTTGAAAAAGTTTTTTTGAACAACTTACTATAAAAAAGGAGGGAGAGGTTAGTGAAGAATGTTTCTAATGACAAGCGAGTACTCATGGAGAAAACTTCATTTTTTAGTTCTATTCATACCGATTTTCTCAGGTAAAAAAAAGTAAGAATGAGCAATTAATTTAGAATACCTTCGTCGTAAATAAAATTGCAGCTTTCGAACCGTATTTAAGTTGACGATGAAAAATTCTTTCGTGTGAGAATTTCATGAAATCTCTAATTGCAACAACTTTAAGCTTGTGTTGATGTTTAAATCGGTGAGGTTGAATATTCCGCACAGAAAAGGTGTTTTTTTTCATACAAAATAAATAATGAAAGTGTTGCAATTTAATGAGGTTGAACTCGAAAAATTATCTTTGCTTCTTCAAACTTTGGAGCAAAAGGTTAAAACGAGTGAATTGTTCCCTTTTATAAAACAAATCTACCTTTTTTCAGCTGAAATAAACTTCTTCTTTCCACATACAATGTTGTCGTTACTCTCTTTTTTCGAGAAACACCATCCTTAAGCTTGAAATATGGACTTCAACATAAATTTCTCTCTGTAAGACGGCTATTAGTCTTCGGAGAGTGTGAGGAAGTGCTTCTCGGAAGGAATCGCGGCTGACCTTGTTCTTGAAGAAAAACAACCTTTTATTCTGTTAGCTTTGGCTTTGAGATTTTTCGATGGTGATAAAAATTTAATTGAATATGAGAAAAAAATATTTTTTTATTAATAACGATCTGAACATGAAATCACGTGGAGGTCGAATTTTTTTGATTTACATTATCTGTTGCTCGAAACTTTTGTAATAATTTTTATTTTGAAGAAACTGAAAAATGCGGCATGGGTCAGTCTAAGAAATTATAAGAAACAAAGAGGATCTGCCGCTTCTCTATTGTTTTGAAAACACCGTCTCCATTCTTAGGCATGAATACTTTGATCCTTGAATTTACAAGCGATCAGATCAAAAATCAAAGCCGAATTAGATATCAACGTGTGACAATCACTGTGAGGCAATATATACAATAAAAATTCAAAAATAAGCTCAAAAGCTCTTCTGATGTATTATAAACTCTCATATTCATCTCTAGCAATCTCCAAAGAAAAGTACTCTTGGTAGCACTTGATACTCGTCGCGGCCACGTTTGTGATGATTAGTGAACTTATCAGATACGTCGTGACGCAATCAGCAATTAAAAAGTTTTTCTGAAAGAAAGGGGATTTAGAAATTAAATGAAAAATGAAAAGATTGATTCGAAGAAAGGAAGGAGACTCGAGTGGCTCATCACGCCATGTTTACCGATTTCAATGGTTTTTCTACTCTATTTACCCGAAGAGCCGTTATTAAAGAGTGCCACTTGGAAGAAGTTGGGATAGAAAACTCACGCTGATAATAATGAGGATACTGGAAACGAGGATCGAGTAGGCCAAAATATGGTACAAAACGCCATGGAGCACGCGGCTTCGATGAGTTTTTACATAGATTGAGAGGCTGTACACTGGATCGGACCTCCAAGCTGAAATAGATGAAACAGTAATGAGAATCATTGATTTTATTCGAAAAATAATCAAAGAAAACCCAGGAATTCACCAAAGTATACATATCGTTTAAAAAAATATCGATGATTTCCGTGGGGCAGACAGCCGTGTAATCTTAGGCTTAATTTTAAAAAAACTTTGCTTATAAATTCGAATAAATCCTTAAAGAAAAAGAGCTCAAATATAAAAAAAATATCCGCTCACAAGAGCGGATAGGCACTAGACGGTACTACCCCGCGCTCTTCGCGCGTAACCTTGCGCGCGAAAGTTTGAATCTGATTCTTGCTTTTTCCATTGTTTTCGGGTTTGCCGACTTTTAGTCAAATACTTGCCGTGAAAGTGACCGATCATTTGAACTGTGTTGGTGGCGAGCGAAATAGCCGTACCAATCGAGAGGAAAAGTAGATTTATCTGTAATCAAGGATCTAAACTAATAAAATAAAGTTTACTAACGTCGAAATCCAGAGAAGAGGCTCTCGAGGATGCAGTTAGTAGAAAGATGATGGAGATGACGAAGATTATTATGCTGGAAACTGCGACGGTGATGATTTCTGAAACAAGATAGTGACAAAAAAAAGATTGAGGTGACATCGAATCGGCAGTTCTAAAACAAAATTATAAATGGCGGTCCCAAACTGACGTCGAATTTGGCAGTCCCAAACCAAAATTAAAAGTGGCAGTCCCAAACTAATATCGAATTTGGCAGTCCCAAACCAAAACAAAAATTGGCAGTCCCAAACCAAAATCAAAATTGGCAGTCCCAAACTAACATCGATTTTGGCAGTCCCAAACCACATTTAAAGCTGGCAGTCCCAAACCAATTTTAAAATTTGCAGTCCCAAACCAAAATTAAAAGTGGCAGTCCCAAACTAATATCGAATTTGGCAGTCCCAAACCAAAACAAAAATTGGCAGTCCCAAACCAAAATCAAAATTGGCAGTCCCAAACTAACATCGATTTTGGCAGTCCCAAACCACATTTAAAGCTGGCAGTCCCAAACCAATTTTAAAATTTGCAGTCCCAAACCAAATTTAAAATTGGCAGCCGCAAACCAAAACAAAATTTGGCAGTCCCAAACTAACATCGAAATTGGCAGTCCCAAACTAACATCGAACTTGGCAGTCCCAAACCAAATTTAAAACCGAATATGTATTTAAGCACTCTCTAAAACTTACAAAGTTTTTTTTTCGTGTACAATTTTCCAGAACCATTATTCACGGAAGCTAAAGCTTTAATTATCGTATTCTTCTCCAAATAATAGTCAAAAACCTGCTCTCCAAGTTAACTTCAGTATGCTTGTCATGTTGTGATGAAACAAAGAAAAGCTCACCAATGAATCTTTTGCTAGGAACGGCACTCCTGTCGTACCGAAAAAGTTCCAGATGGTCGGAGAAAGCTCTCGTACCATCAGCGACCAATGACAGGCTACTGGCCAATATGCCGAGGACAATCTAGGATTTCGAGAAGTGCTTATATAAGATATTACTATGATAGACATAAAAACCCATTCAATAGCATTGAAGAATTAAAAATACTGACTTGGGCTATGACGGCGACCATAATGTACGTGGTGCTCAGCTTTTTCCGACATTCTCCTGTGAAAAAAATTATTAATAGCTTGGAATTTGATTTATCTACTTTTTTTATCAAATAATATTTGAGTAAGAAAAATGAGACAACAGCAAAACAACAAAAAAAAAGTTACCTGCGGCCATCGATCGTGTTCACTTGTTCATTGTGCGTTTGAGGCAGAGGATTGTAAGATTTTCGTTCCGTATCGAACATGTTATCTTCCATTTCAACCCTTGAAATAATTTTTTATTTATGAAATTGATGGATATTGGTGACGAAATGGAAAATTTTCAAAAGATCTAGAGATTACAAGGGTTGAAGGGAGATTTCAAACTGCATTGAAAGTGCCTGTTTATGGAATGTTAAAGAACCTTTTTAAACACCAAAACTAAGAAGAAATTACTTCCAATTTTGATAAAGGGACTATTAAGCTTCTGAAAAAATCGAGTCCCAGAAAATAACTCAATAAATTCGAAAAGAAAAACCTGGCAACGACGATTCCTTCGGCGTTTTGGGAGCTCATCACGCGGCGAACGGGTCAATACTGCAATATCAACGCGTCGAATAACTTTATCTTATCTCTCAACGGCTACTCATTCTTGTTTTGTTTATTTACCGTTTTTCAGAAAGTCAGTAACAATTCACTCGGGGGCTTCCCGATGCTCAAAACACGGATCTTCAAAAAAAGAGTAACACAGTAACATTTTAAAATCAAATATTAAAAAGAGCGTGAAAATTGATTATTCAAAGCAATATCCAGGATTCATTAAAGTGATTTGTTAACTCTGCCTGTTCACATATATTTTCTCTCAGAATAAATTTATGTTTTTTTGTATTTTTTTATTCCGTCCCTATATTTAAATGTGTTATATACTATTTCTTCATTTCTTTGAAGTGGGTCCAAAGAACCAAAACCGTTTGATTTGTTTATAAGAAATACACACGGTCGCTCGATATCTGATATTAACAACAGCGTGACTCACTAAAAGCTTTCTCGGCCATCACAATGGATGAATAATATGCAAGAACAAAATTTACGAATTCGACATTTGAAAATATAAACTGTGAGGATGAGAAAAACATGTTTATCATCTACCAAACTGACTTTTTTCACCCAAAGCTTGAAAACAAAGGACGAAAGGAAAAAGCCAAGTATACTCGATCCTTTTTTTCAAAAATAGCTCGAATCGTTTGCAGTATAATATTATTGCCTTCAATTTATAATTATTGGCTACCAGCTGAAATGAACAAATCAAAAATAGGCGGAGCTGAAAATCTCGGTCTACTCGTTCTTTCTAAAGCTTATTTAAACCTGAAGTGTCCAATAGAATTCAATAGTTTGAATACTTTGGCTTGAGCCGTCTGTTAAAAGAAACATCATTCATATTTTCCGTAGAGTTCCTGATCGTAAATTTTAGGCTTGGTCTTCCAGAGTTCAACCTGTACAATCTTCGGTCTTTCCGAGAGGATCACGCCTTTTCATCAAGTTACGGTCCTTGTTTGTAATCAGTCGAACCAATCTCAAAGTTTTCGATGAAAACTTTTATTGTCACCTTGTCTAGACATGTAAATTTTCGTCTTTTCGCTGTCTTAACATTTCCACAAGCGATCGGGGGCAGAAAAAGATCTTTCGCGACAGTCATCGCCTCGGCGCGGCGAGCAGTGAGTAAGCGCATCCACGGCGATCGTTATTTTTAAGAGGATACCGTCTGGAGTAAACCTCAGAACACAAATTTGAATACAAGTCTCGACAGAAAAAGATAAAAAAAGGTTTAGATGGAATCTTAAAAGCTCTCCTTGGAAGGATCGCTATTGGAAATGGATTCGAGGGAGATTTTCGAAAATCTTAGTTTCTCAACTTGAAAAATATATTCTATAAGTATAAATTGAGTGTCAACTTGTCTTTTCTGATTGAAAAACAATTCCATGCTCAAGCTGACAATATTTCGTGCGTAGTCTCTCCATTCAGACATAAGTTTCTGTTTTTTTAGTCGTTATATTATCATTTAATGTACTAATTTAAGCTCTGCCCAGTTTTAAAGTTATTGGAAAAAAATATAAATATTCATCAAAAACTTAGAGAATCTATTTTTGGCCTAGTTTTTTTAATTTTAATTCAAAAATAATTTGATGAAAAAAACAAATATGACTAATAGATATCCTGCAAAAAAACCTAAATAAGATTTAATAAGAACATCGTCAGTCAAGCGTCTTAACCGAAAGGTTCGAGACCTGGGGCTATGAAAGTTTGTTATTAGGGTAAATCTTGAAAGTTCATTTTGAAGACTTTATTTGTTTTAATTCATCCAACTTTTGGTATTTGATATTTTCGAACGACCAAAAGTGCAAACTCAAAATTTTGAGAAGAAAAGGTTGCGTTTCAAAACAGCCTTCTTACATCTAAACGACTCATTTTAATGGGGCGCCACCGAGAGTGACGGACTCGCACCGAATTGCACAGTCGCCCCGGCATGGGAATCTTCGCCTTCCGCTGGTTGGATCGCTTTCTCGCTCTCAAAATTCAATAGATTGTGGGAACCGAGAAATTCAATTATCAATTCAGTATTCTTTGTTCACAGACTTTCGAAACCATTCTCAATCGTTTCAAACTTTCTTTCTTTATAAAGTTAGTGATATTTTTTTTTTGCCTTTTTTGGTTTTTTGATAATGCTGACGTGTCACTCCTTTTTATGCGGATTCCAGAAAAATTTATTAGTCCCAATTTTTTCGTAGGGCTTTGCAACTTCTTTCAAAGTTTGAAGAAGTTCTCAGCGCGCGAAAAAATGAAAATATGTGGTGAATTGAGTAACTTGGCTGAATCCTGAAACTAAAGCTTCCTCGTTTTCAATAACCTTTATAAGGGCTCTAGAATGAGAATTAATTGAGCAATATCGTTTTTTCGTGATGCTCAGTCGACAGAGAAAATTCAACGCCAATGATCAAGAGAGACTTTAAGCTCTATGATGATACCTGCAAAAAAATTGGACTTTCAATGAAACTCTGCCAAAGTGTACTTTAGGACTTCCTGATTCCGGAAAAAAAAAAATTACTTGCAATAGATCTTGTTTTCGACTTATGGAGCATTAAACTTCGCAAAGTTCGAAACTTGTGACTAAAAAGCGCAACTTCAAGAATCGCCTTAACTCGAAAACCATATTTATTGCGAAATAATTTGACTTGTTCTGGATCAAGAGGTCCTAAAGAACAATACAGCGAAATTTCATTAAAAGTTCAACCGGGGGCTCAAAAACTTCCTAGTAAGGTATTAACTGTCTTGGTCAATAGTCTATTCAGTCAGTTTAAAACACTGTGTAGTTTTAGAAATTAGAAAACTCCCAGGATAAGGAATAACATTGATTATCGACTTTTGAAAACACTGTACGTTTTGAGAGCCCCAGACAGCCTAAAGATATCCCGCCTCCGGCAGTGCCATTGATGCGGACGCTGTCTAGGGCTCTGTGTCAATACTGTACGTTTTGAGAAACGCAGACAGTGCACAGAAAGTCCGCCCACGATCGAAACCGAATTATCAGAATTTGTGATAGAAAAAGCGTAGAAAGCTAGGAGAGCTTATGAATCAGCGATTCGCGCCAGAGAAAAAATGTTGAAAACAACGCCCCTCTCGAGCCGCATAAAAGGGCGGATTGACCGTTGACTTCTCACAGTTGCCGTTCCTACTCTCGATAGTCCGCGATGCAAGTCTATCTCCCTGAATATGACTTCACCGATCTCGAGGACGAAATTGATCTGCCCGAGATGCCCCGTAAGTCTTTCTTCATTTTTATAACTCATTGCATTTCTCCGCTTATATAACTTTTCTTCAAAATGTGAATTTACAGAGAAGAAGACAAAAAAACGAAACATCTTCGTTCGTACCTACCGCCGCGTCGTGAATCGCATGCTGGCCATCTTTGCTGGGCCACCACCGGAGTACTTTGAAGACATGCGTACTCTGCGCGAAGCCGAGGCGGCAAGGGCCGCCGAACTGGAGGAGCAAGCCAGGGCCGCCGAGGACGCTGAGGCTGTCCGGCTGACTGAGGCCGCTCTGGCCGCTGAAGCTACTCGGCTGGCTGAGGTCGACTTGGCCGCTGAAGCTGATCTGGCTGCTGGAGCTGCCAAGGCTGCTGCGGAGGCTAAGACCGCCGTCGACGAGGCCAAGTTTGAGGACGTTGAGGACGAGGCCGATGAGGCTGAAGACACGCACGTCAACGACTACTATCGCGGTGTTGCTGAGGACATCGAAAATGTGTCTTCGGTGCCTTCCGACGACGACGTCTTCGCTCTTCCTCTGCCTCGCATCTGAACCTTCTTCTTGCAGAAATTTCATAATAAAATAAATGTTGTTGTATGATGCTCATTTTGTAATTTTTGAGTAAACTTTTTAACTCTCTGTGATCCGTGTTTTTTCAAAGAAATGGATGAAACGCTGCCAAATTAACGTCTCCTCATGTCCTCGTGTTGCGCAAGTTCAAAAGCAACTTGAACTTAGCAAAATCAATAGTAGGAGGTGCCGATCTCCGGTGGCGCCCGATCCAAAAAAGCCTCTTTTTGTCGTCTTCGCTGCCGTGGTTTTCTTCCTCGCGATCATTTTCCCCTTTTGTGCCTGGCGGCAGCTCCCCTCACGCCAAGCTCTCCTTTCTCTGCGATAGATTTGAAATTTTGGCGCGTATTCAATTCACCTTAATTCATAGGTGTTTATATCGTTAAAATTGAACGTTTTTTTGAGCTTTTTCAAATCTACGCTTTCTAACGTTCTCAATCTCAAAAGGCAGTTTGGAATTAGTAAAAAAACCAGTTAATTTTTCAAAGTTTCACGTAGATGCAGAAAAGTGTTCAGCATTCAAAATGAGTTTCTTATTCGAAGACTTTTTCTGGCCTATTCATTGTCGATCGGCAACTGAATTTATAAAATTAGAGGTATAAAAACAGCCAACTAGAAAGAAAGCTTTTAGATTTTCACCATTTTTCTCACGACAATAATAAGATTTTTCTGCACATAAATTCACGGCCTCTCTCATGGAGCTCGAAAAAAACAACATCCCTGAAAAAAATTCAGTAGATTCTCAATTTTTTTCTTTTTCTCAAGTCTCCCCAATGAATCTTGAGTTTTTCGAAATCATATGTCAATTTATTAAAAAAAGTAGAATAGTTCATTTTTGAAGGAAAAATTTTTGTTGCCCTGTCAATTTTTTTGAAAAACGAGATTTTGAAAAATTTTTTTTGTATCTTTCTTCATCAAGTAGTCAAAAAACTTATTTGTTTCTTATCAATAAAAAAATTTCAAAAAAAAAAAATTTGAAGTGCTTACAAAAAATTTTCGAGAGACTACTTGAAAATTTTTCTGGCAATTTCTAAAAGGTAATCGAGATTAGAAACTAGAAAAAAACGCCGGCATTGGCACAAGTCCCTGTTTCGGGCTACAAATTTTTTTTTGGACACGGAAATGAGCAACTCTGCGCATTGTTTTTTTTTTTGAATCCGACCTCTCTAACGGTTTTGTGTAGCAAGTTTTGTTAAAAAATAAAAACTCGTTCAAAGGTGCATCCATTTTTCATGTGTACTTTTTCCCAGGTCAAAAGGAGCTTCATTATATCTCAAAATTTTCCATCTTCTTTTTGTGGGGCGCTCTGCTCTACAGTACGCTGTCGAACCATTTTTTGCGCGACTCGTTTTCTCGTTTTCTCGCGTCGCGGTAAGTGGAAAAAACGCTGGTCAGACAGTGTCAGACTGCCAGAGGGAGCTTGGATACAGAAAAAAAACAAGGCGGAGAGCCGCGAACGGTTGCGTCACCCTTCGGGAAGGCCTCGTTGGATGGTGGAATACAGATGTGTGGCCGTGCCAGAGCTTTTTTGTTTATTAAGATTGTCCTGTTGCTGCGCTTTCTTATACCACTCAAAAAAGTTGGTAAATTAATAATGAGCCCCTCGTTTTTTGATATGCGTTCTATCGAAAAAGTTTCGGTTTTTATGGAATGACGTTGCCAAAAAATGTCTACGATGAATTTGGGAAATAAACTTGTACCAATCTATCAAATTGGAACCCGAGAAATGGCTCATTTCTATTTTACCGGCCTGGTGGACTTGTCTTACCTTGTAAACGTTGATTATCCCCTTCTAGATCCCTAAGTTTCTCTTTACCTTATGCTGTGAAATTGCAAAAAGAGCAAAAGTGATTAAAATTTTGTTCGATTCTTCAACATTTGCAGAGCCTTTTCGATCATAAACTTCGAACCTGTGAAAAAATCGGCCATTTCATTAAAACTCTTGCTTTATTTCGCACCAAATGATTCAAAACATCTTTTTTTTGAGTCACTTTTATTTTTTAGCTCTATCCTAATCTCGCGGCTCTGTCTATATTGCGCTATTTTTGAACGTGATTAATTTTGGACGTGAAACTCTGGAAACTTGATAAAAGTTGTCTGTGAGATACTTCTCAGGCTCCCGTGGATTTTCCCGTCGCAGTTCTGCAAAGTTTGGGAGTTTCATCTGTGATATCCCCTATTAGATCATTTTTCTGTTTCAGTTCAGTTTTTTTCTGGAATTCAAACTCAAATTGCTTCAAAATTTTATCAAAAAATATGATTTTTCCGGGAACTAATTTTCGACTTCATTTCAGTCAAAGTTTCACTCGAGCTTATTTCAACTCAACTGCCTCGTATCACGCTAATGAGGACACATTTAAAGTACATAAACCTATAGCTTCAGAGCATATTAAATCCTGAAAAAGTTCAACTATAATTTGCTTATGACACCTAGCGCTGCACTATGGCAACAGATTTGAGCGGGATTTTTTTTTTAGAAGGAATCTCTTTTCTTCATTAAACAATTTTATCGATTTGCCTTTTACGTAATCTTCTTATTCCCCTTGAAAACTTCAAGTTACAGCTCGGCTCACAGCTTGCAGTTCTCAAGAAGAAGAACGAAAATGGTTTGTTCATTCTAAAAAAAACAGATATAGTTCTTTTTTTTCAGGAGGACGAAGATCGCCCTCGCTGTTGTGTAAATGGCGATGTTCGTTGATTTCTTGATATTGACTTTAAAGTTTTGTTCAGTGCAATCAATGCTATTCGCCAACTTCTCCCACTCCAGAAACACAATATCAACATCACGATTGGTGGTATCAGCAGGTGAAGAAAGCTTGAACTAAAAGTCAATATGGAAATGGAACACGGCGTTTATCATTTTTATTGGATTTATTAATTTCAATTTTCGAGGTCGTAAGGGGTTCGCCATGTTTGAGAGATGACACAAAATTTAACCGTCTTAGACACGCTTAAAAAATATTTTGAATGGTCTTCAGGACGCCGCTATGAAAGTGCTATACTATTTTTTTCTTTCTAATAAAATTTTTTTAGAATGAAGAAGGATTTTGCGGCTCGCCATCTCAGGAATATCAGCCGAATGGTCTCTGTTGCTCGCAATTGGATCAAAACCCAGAAAGAAACGAAGACGTTCGAGAGGTAAACTCGGGTTTTTTTTTCAATAAAACTTTTCTTGAGGATCTGGAGGGAGAGAGGCCCCGTTCGCCTTCCCCGGGTCTCCAGCAAAATCGCGTGGCATCGCCTCAACTGGATGAAGTTCAAGAACAATATGAATACGATCACGAAGCAACTCAAAGTTTTTTTCAATTATTTTTTTGTTTCTACAGGTGCTCGCCACGCCGCCACCGCCACCGCCAACGTCACCGCCACCGCCACCGCCGCCGCCACCAGAAGAAGACGATGAAAAAAAGAACCAGATGAAGATGATGATTTCTCGAGGCGTTCAACGCCACCAATTGGCGGTCGATATAGAAGTCCTTCAATTTCGGTAATTTTGAAGTTTGTGAACTATTCAGTGACTAAGGAACCAGACATTGCTTTTTGACTGTGACTCAAGGGATCAGGTGAAGAGTTAATCTGATTTTGGACTTTATTTTCCAACTCATAAGCAAAGACGTGAAGATGTGTGGTAAAAAATTGATCTACTAATAATTCATAGATCAGGCTAATCAAAAAATTCAAATTCAGGATGGGGTTCATGAAGATGATGCTCCGCTAACGCGCAGCGTCACTCCTGTCTCTCCCTTTGAAGTAACTTTATTTATTATATGCTTTTCAAGTAACTGATCTTCTCCCTTTTTCTAAAAATCTTCCTGACGATTAGGATAATGCTGAGCTTTAGAAAAGGGATGAATCTGAACAGGAGAGAGGTGGAAACAAAAGTAATGAATCGGAGAACGACTCTGAAGACGAAGAGAACAAAGAAAGTCGCTCCATGAAAAAAGGATCGAAGGTAGTTTCCATTCTGCTTCTATGTTGCAAGAACTCCAAAAGTAGTATTCGATTGTGAAGCTTGAAAAATGGAACCAATTTGTATCGAAGTCGGCATGATATTCAAATCTAACACGTAGGATGGGCTTTCACTTCAACGAGCAAATTTCAAAAAGCATGGAGGATGGAAGTTTTCAGCATACGCACAAGTCTCGCAACGTGTCCGAAAGTCCGGACGACGACGTGGATGGAGAGAATAATTCCGATGACGGACACCGTCGCAAAAATCGCTCAATGAAAAAAAGCAAAAAGGTTATTTTTGAGCTCGCATTGTCTAAAGAGAACGCAAACGTTGATTTGTAAATATGAAAAGTAGAGAGAAATTTGATAGTTCTAGAGAATGGAGTTCGCTCAATCTTAAAGATGAGCCTTTGTCATAAAAACTTTCCATCAAGCACAGTTTAAGCCATTAACAGTGAATTGAATAGTTCAATGTTTAATGAAAGTTTTACTTTTGTACAAATGTATTGAATAATGTTTCAATTCAGAAAAGGAGCAGCCCTTCCGATTCGAACGATGATGGTTCTACGGAAAACGGAGATCGGTGCGCTGCTTCGCTGAGAGGAGCTAACAGTGAAGACGAAATTGACGAAGAACCTCATTCTTCCCGCCGTTCCGCGTCAATTCGTCGTCGTCACAGAGGGCGTCCCAATTCGGTAACTTTTAAATTTGCGAGCTAAGATTCTGAACACGAAGCTAATGTACCAGGGAACTTGGAAAACCTAGCTTGAACTAATCAAAAAGATAGAGAAGTTCTGAAAAAAAAAATTTTTTTAGGAGAGGAACTACGAAGGCTCCAGCCGTTTCTCACCGGATCGACGTCGCCACAGAAGGCGCCCTGATTTGGTAACTAAGTAGTTGCAAGCTGTTCAAAGTCTTCAAACACGTTTTTCTTGTTATTGCATTTTATGAAATCAGAATTATTGAACCCTTCAGAAAATCAAGAAGATGTTGAAATATCCAAAAAAGAGGTGCATGAAGCTTGTTCATCTTTGAGACCTGCTCAAAAAAAAAAAAAATAAAAGCCTTAAACACAAGTTATTTTACCAAAAACTTATATTTTTGATCAAAACTGCTGTGAGAACATTTGAAGTTTAGGAGAGCAATTACGAAGGCTCCAGCCGTAGCCGCCACTCTCCGGATCGACATCGCCACCGAAGGCGCCAAAATTTGGTAATTCTAAAGTTGAAAGCTATCCAGAGACTCTTAGAATAGAGAATAGTCATTTTTGTTTTTGCAATTCATGAGAGCAAAAAATTTAGTTAACGGTGCTTGAGATCTCTAGAACTATAGATAAGAATGTCAGAAAAAGGTTAATGACGCTCGTTCATCCGCAGGCGTTCAAAGGAATTAAAGCCCTAAACACGAGTTTAACCATCAAAAAATTAAGACTTTCAGCAAGTAATTCAAAAAAAAAAATGGTGTGGAGAGTTCTAAAAAAAGCTTGAGTTTTAGGAGAGAAACTACGAAGGCTCCAGCCGTTTCTCTCCGGATCGACGTCGCCACAGAAGGCACCAAGATTTGGTAACTCTGAAGTTGCAAGTTAACCAGTAGCTGTGAACCATTTCCTTTTGTTTTTGCGATTCATGAGCTCAAAAAATTATGAAAAACTTAGAGAATACAAAAAAGTATAGTAAACTATCACAACGAGAAGTAAATGAAGTAAATTAATTTTTCTAAAAAAATGGAGTTAACCATCCAGAAAAACTTCAAATTGAAGCAAATTGTTTGAAAAAAATTGCTGTTAGAAAAATTTGAAGTTTAGGAGAGCAACTACGAAGGCTCCAGCCGTAGCCGTCACTCCCCGGATCGACGTCGCCACAGAAGGCGCCGAAATTCGGTATTTCTGAAGTTGCGAATCATTCAGTGAATCTCGAAGACCTCATTACAAAAAGATAATGATCTGAAAACGAAGTTAATCTACCACTGAACTCGAAAACTTTAAGAGCAGAACTGCTTAGGAAAATTTGAAATTTAGGCGAGAAATTACGAAAGGTCTAGCCGTTCCGTGCCGCGTCACCGTCGCCACAGAAGGCGCCTGGTTTCGGTAATTTTAAAGCCATTGTTGTTCTGACCATTTCTTCTATGTAAGATATACTGCGTCGAATTTCAGAGAAACGTTTCTCCGGATCCTGAAGAAGATGGTTCTTCGGGCGGAGATCAACGCATTGCTTCTCCACAGCAAGGAATTGAGAGCGAGGAAGACTCACGTGCGAGCACGCCGATCCAAGAATCATACAACAAACGGAAGATTTCAGTGAGTTTACCTCATATAAGCTAGCCAGAAATCAACTGATTAATTTTCGAAAAAATCCTCTTCGCTAAAAAAAAAATGACCAGAATCTTGAGTAACAAGTTCGTTTTTGAGAAAAAAAATTGACCCGATATCGGAAAATCGACAAAAAGGAATTCAGGAGAGTTCTTCGGAAGACGAAGTCAATGTCTCTCCACAAGTCAGCCCCAAGTCTGACTCTTCTCCTGAAAGCCCTGAAAGTCCGGACGAGCTCGTGAGTTCTTACTTAGCATTGGCCTTTTCAAACCGTGATATCGAAAAATTCAGAGTGGCGGAGAAGATAATAACGAGTCAGATGATGGCGGAAACAGAAACGACGAGGAAGAAATCGAAAACTTGGAGAACGGGGCAGAAGAAAACCGCGAAGAAAACGATTTGGATCGTTCGGTATAGACTTGAGTTTCCGGAGAGCATTTTATTTTAGGTTCTAGAGAGATTCAATCACTACGCTGAGTAAGGCGCTTTAATCTTATGATAGACTTTTTTATCCATGAAGCTAAGAATAATGAATCGAATGTCTGATTTTAGAATAACCGCCATGATCCGTTGGAACGCGGTCCCAACGGAGTAGAGAACAATGCTGAGGATAATATTATTCACGACGAAGATCTTTTTCGCTGAAATTTCGGTGATTTTCAAACTTTCATTGCAGTGATAACTTTTCATGAATCTTTTTTTATTATAATTTTTTTATAATTTTTTTCAGGGAACAAATACTTTGACGCCAGAGGATCCTATCGTGAATCGAAATGAAGAAGCTCCTGCGGTACAAATTTGATTCTTTAAATCTTTTTTTTTCCGAATTTGAGTCTTCGAAGGACCCGATTTTAGAATGCAATACTAAAGAGCACCACTCCAGGATCAAAAGCTAGCATTTATTCTTTTTTTTTTGAGTTTCGAGTAACGCTTCTGACTGTCAATATTGTTTCTATATCAAAAGATACAAATTGTAACTCAAAAGGCTAATTATTCAAATCGGTGTTTCATTTCTCTTATGTTTTCAGGAGGTTGCTCCGTTGGCTGAGAATGGCGGAAATGCCAATGAACAGCAGGTTTCTTCTTTTCTTTTTTTAAAGTTTAAATTTCTTGTTTTCTGAAATCATTTATTTTGAAAAAAAATAAAGAGAGGAGAGTCTATATTCAAATTTGAAGACCTCAAAAAAGTTAGCTCTCATCGCGCAGAAGACGCCTTGGAGCATCAGTGACTATAACTTTTTTTTAACACGAAACCATGTTTTTAAAATGAATTCTAAGAAATAAAATCAGAATATCTTCAGTTTTTTTTCTAATTTTAAAATTAAAGCTTCGTCCTCCCGATGCTCCCGCACAAGAAATGCCGAACGTCTTTCTGCCTCCTCCGTTGATGCAAAACGTACTTTTTTCTCAAAATCATGAAATTCATACCAAGATAGTGAGATTTTTGTAAACCCGAGAAATGATTGCTGAATCTAAGAACCAAAAGCCTCGAAAAATGAGCAACTTCGAGAAGAAGATTACTTGACTTTTATCTCGAGTAAATTTTTCAAAAGAGTCATGAGAAGAAATTATGAAAATAGTTCAACTCTTTTCATCAACTTTCAAATTTCAGTTCAATCCTCTGAACTTGGCGCTCAATTCTCTTCGAGTCAACCCACCGCCACCGATGATGCCGATGCCGTTGATGCTTGGAGCTCCTCCAATGATGCCAAACGTAAATTTTCTGTTTTCTTAAAATTAGAAAGCAGTGCTCTACAGTAACATCAAAACGAACAAAACTCTGTGACAAAAAAAATCAGTCAGCCTAGGTTGAAAATAAGTTATCAAATTTCAGTGGAACCCATTCCTCGGACCGCCTCATCCTCCTGCTCCTCATCCTCATCCTCCGTTCCCTCCGCATCCAAGGATTCCCTTCCAGAACAACTCCTTCAATCGCCGCAGACCTTTCAACGGAAATCCGACCGTAATTCCACACTTTGAAACATTTGACAAAGAGCGCTCTTTTCAGGGTAACGGGCAGCCGCCAAAGAGACGTTTCACTGGTCATTTCTTCCCCCGTTGAGAATCGAATGATGAACTCCTCAGCTTCCGCCGACTTCATTTTCCATATCCGTACACTTTATGGATCAAAAAGCATCCTTAACTTTTCTCCTACTTAAAAAAAAACCAAAAAAAAAATATAAAAAAAATATAAAGTTCGAGAATCCACTATCTCATAACAATAATCCGTTTTCAATTTTTCGTCATTTTTCAATTTTTATTTGAAGTGTTGCATGTTAAGAATTGTTTGATTTTTTCGTACTGAACTCACTGGTTTGCAAATCAATTTTAATCTGTTTGGTCTCAAACCTTTTCATGAATCTACTGTTTCCCAATGTTATTATCTTACTTGTTAACATGATAAAAATTTTTTTTCTGTGATCAACTGTTTTTTTCCTCTGCTCCAATGGCGAAATTTATCCTGGAAAAACTTCGAGAATCTAAGATGAGTTAAAAAATATAGAAATACCTCTGGAAGACTATTGCTTTCCACAAGATCAAAGTTATAATTGTAATATAATGGAAGGCCTCTTTATCTATCAGTGATAGACACGTTCGATACCAAAGATCCCATTTTGTCACGTAGGAAGAGGAAGAACATTTTTCATTTTGCGTCAGTCAGAAAAGAAAAAACAGGCGGAAGGAACATGAGTTTATATAGACAGGGAATCCGGTTAGTAATGGTTCATTTTTGACCTTATCACTGAACTGATCGATAAGTGTGCGGTGTTACACACATGCCCTCGAAACCTTCTTTTTCTATCTTTCGAATGGCCGTAGAGGCTTATCTGTTTGGTAATGTCAATTATTCAACAGAGGTATGAAAGAGATCTGTTTTTTTTCTTTTCAATGATTTTTTAGTATGTTGGCTACGTCGACCTCGAGAAGATCGATGAAACGACGGATTGGAAAAAGTTGGCAACGTCAGTATCTTTTGACTCAGAAAAAATTCTGATTTTCATAGTTCAGAGCTTGCACGTCTTCTTTATTGAACGTTAATCATCCAACCGCCCCAATCAGAAGAGAAAACTGCTTTGTGAGTTATTCTCTATTTTTTTCCATTTTATCAAAGATTTTGACGCGATTTCCACTCTTCCATTTGAACTTTTCCTGGCGTATTCCTTTGGTGATCAAAAAGTTATTGAAAAAAATAAAAGGAGTCGAAAAAAAACTGAGCTTTTCTGTCATCAGCTTAGAATGAACAAAAGTTTACCTTTACCTTTCTGAAAATGTTTCTTTCCAATTCAGAGAAACAATAATCGATCGGAGCTTCGAGCTTACAGTCATACAGCTATCAGCTCGAGAAAACTGACAATTTACGATCGTTGTGACGCCATCGATGTGGCCAGAGCTAAGTATTCATCCAGAAACATTTTGGATTGCAACTATGTGTCGGTTGGAGTGAGTTTCTTTTTCTAAGTTCTTAGTTTATCTTGCATTTTTTTCGTGGATAAGCTCACAATTCAAAAATCACTTCTCATGCAAAATAAAAATAAATCAGTAAGTCTTGACATTAAAAAAGGATTTTTTACCTTTGTGGGAGCCGGAAATTCGAAAAGAAAGATTTACTTTCTCAGAAGGATCAGAAGCCTACTTTTTTCATAAAACTCGAAAAACAACGCTTCTCTGTAAATTTTCATTGACATTAAAAAAAGGATTTTTTTCAGGGAAATAGTTATTTTGTGGTGATAGCGAAATTGGAAGACATGCCGACCGAATGCATTGTATTGAAAATAGAAAGCGAAGATCAGGTTTGATCTGAAAAATTTTACATAAACGTTCATATCGTTCACCTCAGGCTAATAACATGTTGAAAAGCGTTGCAAAAATGAACAAGAAAGATTTGCCGCATTATATAACTCCGCCTATCGTGGTATAAAGTTAATCATAAGAACTAAGCCGAAATTTGATTTTCAGAAATCTGCACGCAGAACGAGACTCACCATTATTCGACATATCAATGATGAGCCATATTTCTTCAGAAATTGTTCAAATAGTGAAGCCAGAGTGGTTATCAGAACACCTGGTGATTTTCTGTTCAGGTGCGATAAAAATCTCTATTTTGAACCTTCTAAGGCTTTTTAAAGATATTCATCCTCAACTGGACAGATAACTCTGGAATGCATGCTTCAGAACTGCTCAATAAAGAGTTACCTACTGGGAACAGATACAACGAAACCTCTGGAGGTTTGAAATCTTATTTTCGTGAAAAATACAAGTTCCTTCAGACTGGAGATGGGCAATTCGAAAGTTACCGGGACTTCATCGATTTCTACAGCAGAAAGACACTGGAAGTGATTAAAAAGAAAGCAACTTCAAACGAATTTCTACCGTTTTTAATAAGACCTGTTTTCTGTCCCCATGAATGCTCCATGGCGAAAAACATGAAAGCCCCGATAAAATAAAAAAATTTTCAAACTCGTTTAATCGAAACTTTGCAATCGATGAGCAAAAAAATTTTTTTCTCTTGCTCCGCCACGTTTTTGTCAAAAAGACATACTTTTATCAAATATTCTTTTCAAGATAAGATGAAGAAAACTCACGCAGTTGTTTTTTTTTCATAGTTTTCTCACGAGACTTTTATTAGCCTCAAACTTGTAATAACTTCCGTGAAAGTAATAAGCTTGATTACTGGAGGGCGTCGGGCGCATCTGCATGCAAAGACATGCAAGCAGCCCTAATTACCCATCACGAGGGTGCATGTAAATTTTTTCCCATTTTCGATACATGTCCATTTGAATTTTATTTAAGCCCTTATCAAAAAAATTTTCAAGAAATGAAATTGAAAAAAAGGGAAATAAGCAAACTTCCACTCCTTTTTCAACTTTTCCCCAAAGGTTATTAACAATTTTTCCGATCAAAAAAAGTCAAAGTTTTTCTTTTATAGGAACCCTTTTTGTCCTTCAAGTTCATAAGCGTGAGAATACGTGACGCGAAGATAGTCTGAAAACAGACTTTTTCTCAGGCTAAGACACAAAAAATCATTTATCTCATGAAATCTTTATTTTCCGGTGCGAGAGGTTATTTTTTTCTGAAGGCGTAAAGCAAGGTTTGAAATGTGCATTATTTCATACTCTGCGTTCAATAAGGATAGGACCCCCCTCGATTTCGGACCTTCTGGCAAAATACGGAAAGATATCGAAAATCTGTAAGTGCCATTCGATTCAGAGTACAAAACAACCCCCAGAGCCAAATTTTCATTATCCTAGCACTTTTCCTACGAAAATGCCATCGAAAAAACGGTTTTTCGACCGTTCAATAAGGATAGGACCCCCTGGAAATTTTGACTTTCATTGGTGGTTTTTGGTCAATTTCTTTTTTCGATGAGTGGCTTTTTTGTCCTCATATCATTTTTCATCAAGTTTTCTACGGTTTTACTTTCATATCTTCCAGGTTTAAAAAATATTTTATATCGAAAATAGGGAAAAATGACGTTTTTTTAGGTTGCATCATAATATTCGAGCGAATGAATTTTTTCAGTACTTTGAATGAACTTATCCTGTCAAAAGAGACATTTTAACATTCGGAAAAACAAAAAGAAGTTCGAAAAACATTTTTTTAAAAGTTAGAAAACCAGTTACAAGATGGTGTATCGTGACCAAATTTCAGACTGTCGTCGTTTTTCGACCGTTTCTCTTTCTGTATGTAGTCGGAATGGCGATGTACTTTTTTTAAAGGATTTGTGAAGGTACTATCAACATATTTCATCAACAAGATAATCTAAAAAAATTATATTTACCCCGTACAATGCCGAGAAAATGTGGAGAGAAATTGGTACCCGCGCTTATCGAAGGTATTGTTTCAAATAGAGCGTTTGGCGGGTTTTTAGTTTGTCAACAAAATAAAGCATTACTGAAAAACGTGCAATAAAAACAATTTTGATTAGAAATAAAACTTTTTATATGATTTATTTATACAGTACCGCAAAAAGTTCGAGTAGCAGTCGGAAGGGTGATTTTCCCTTTGATTTCCGAGGATCGCCAATTTTTATCCAATCCAATTAAGTGTCTTTTTGTGATGGGAGCACCTTCACATATCCTTTAAAAAAAGTACATCGCTATTCCGACTACATACGGAAAGATAAACGGTCGAAAACGAAGACAGTCTGAAATTCGGTCACGATACACCATCTTGTAACTGGTTTTCTAATTTTTTTAAACGAATGTTTTTTTCAAACTTCTTTTTGTTTTTTTCCAAATGTTAAAATGTCTCTTTTGATAAGATAAGTTCATTCAAAGTACTGGAAAAATTCATTCGCTCGATTATTATGATGCAACCTAAAAAAACGTCATTTTTCCCTATTTTCGATATAAAATATTTTTTAAACCTGGAAGATATGAAAGTAAAACCGTAGAAAACTTGATGAAAAATGTAATGAGGACAAAAAAACCACTCATCGAAAAAAGAAATTGACCAAAAACCACCAATGAAAGTCAAAATTTCCAGGGGGTCCTATCCTTATTGAACGGTCGAAAAACCGTTTTTTCGATGGCATTTTCGTAGGAAAAGTGCTAGGATAATGAAAATTTGGCTCTGGGGGTTGTTTTGTACTCTGAATCGAATGGCACTTACAGATTTTCGATATCTTTCCGTATTTTGCCAAAAGGTCCGAAATCGAGGGGGGTCCTATCCTTATTGAACGCAGCGTAGTATCGAGAAACGCAAATCTTGCTTCTTTTCAGAAAAAAAGCCCAAAATGCAACTCGATTTAAGTACTCCTTTCAAAACTTCTCAGTGAAAAGTAATTGAAACACAAACCAGATTGCTTTTTTTGAGCCTCTCAACCCAAACCTTCCTAGAAGAAGCGCCTTTTTTTGCTTTGTGTCAGTTGCAATCATGAGCCAGTGACGTCGTTTTTTTACGTATTTAATTGTTGCGTGAAGAAAAGCAAGTAAAAAAGGTCTGAAGTGCGTTTGTCGTGGAAAGCAGTCAGCCGGAGTAAACTCTGACCGGAAAGGCAATACTTTTCGCTTCCAGTCGACTTTCCTTCAAAAGAAATGATTCAAACCTGGCGAGATAGTCTGTTGGAATACGCTTGTTGATGTAGAAACAGTTTGTGGGCTCAGATTCGATTATGCTTTTTTTTGAATTCTGATCCATTAGATAATAGTGTTGGTTCAGTCATACCAATTGGCAGCCCCAAATGTGCAATTTAAAAGTGGCAGTACCAAATATTGAGCTTAAAAATGACGGTTCCGAGTTCAAAATAAAGATTTACAAAGTCAACAGGGATTTTTCATTCGAAAAATATTTCTGACTTTTAAATTTCATATCATGAATTCCACGCATCAAGGGGAAGAATTCTAGAGAAATCTAGAAAAAAATCTAGAATTTTGAATAATTCAGAGCGAAAAACCCATACGTTCGTTAGAATACATGTATTATGCATAAAGCTGGGTTTCTTTTTTTCTCTACCAAATAAATTCATAGAAAAAAACCCTTGTTTTTAAAAATAAAATAATTGTTCAATACTTCGTTTGTGCTCTTGCTCGTGCTTTAGGTTTCTAATTTCAGCGAGCTTCTGCATAAAGGTTCATCCCACTTATTATCGTACTTTTTGTCATGATGTGATGAGACACTTCTGTTGACTCTTCTCTTAATTAATTTTTGACCGTTTGTGTGGTAATGTCATGTGGAAGTTAATAAAAAGCCAAAAGTTCGGGTTTTTTTCAAGGGAAAAATTTTCAGTTTCTATTGAAACCGGAACAGCACTTTTCACAAAGAAAATGAAAACAAATTCAAAATTTCCGACTTGCATAAGCATTTAAATAATGAAAAGTAGTGTCTAAGTCTACTATTTGCTCAATTGCAAAGCCAGTAATTTAAATTTTAGACATAACATGACGCATGTGAAAAAAGAGGTAACGATTGGAGCCATTTCTTCAATGTGCAGTAAAATATTTTTTTTTTCGACGGGCTTTAGGTTTAATTATTCAAAAGGACTAATCAGATGAGGGCGCTTCTGACGTCTTTTATGGGCCGTATAAAAGGCTTTTTTCTAATTATTACCATATTCGTTGTTTGGAAAGTCGGGTTTTTTTTTTTGCAAGCACTATGTTACCTCAAGAAAAGTATAGCCGCTTTTTTAATAAAAAGGATAGTCGATCCATTTTCAAATGTAATTTAATAGATAAAAAAGTCTCGAAAACTTTTGAGGTTGGATCTTTGGTGACCGTTTGATAACGGAGATGCTTCTTTTAAACAATATTTTTTGAGGCTGAAAAACCCATTTTTTTGAATTTTTGAGTTTTGATTAGTGTATTTGTCGAGGTCCTTTTTTGCGCTTTCAAGCACCTCAGAAAGCTCTTTCGAACAAACTATAGCATATAACTCGTGCAATTTGGCGCAGACACGCTCTCCCTTGGCAAGAAGAGGATAAGTGCAAATTTGATGTTCTCTGAATTTGACGAGAATGATTGGATTTTTTGAGGGACGGATAGGAAAACGATCATCATGGGGTGACCATTATTTTCGGATGGCGGATGAGTTTTTGGCTGCCGTGAGAACTCCGACACGGCGCCGCCTCTTTTCAGGGATTTGGCCAGCGGCGGTCGTTTTGCTTGCCCCGCTCAAGCCTTGTCTAAGGTCTCTTCTTCTGCTTCAACTTGTACTTGTTACTTAAATCTCAGTGAAGTGTGTTTTTTTTCTGAATTAATAGGATAAAACGGAAAAGAGTCAAAAGTATGAGCGTGATTCGTAAAAGACCCGTTTGAACCTGAGCTCATTCCATCTCAATACAGAAAAATCTCAATACAAAAAAATTTGCATTTTTTTAACTTCTTTCATACGCAAACAAAATTGTTATGATCTTTTGCCCTTTGAGCAATATATTAATATCGTAAACCTGGTAATTGAAAAAAATCCTGCTTATGTCACAGTTTGCAAGATTCACCTCAGTTTCAATCAAAAAACACAAGTTGGTTAATGTTTTCAAAGTTAATTAAGCATACAGTATCTCTATTGAATAATGTTTGGCTGCATTTTCATCTATTTTTTCATCTCATTTCCATCAAAGGTAGGCTCAGCACGATGACAAACACTTTTCGAGTTTCAACACCTCCATTTTTTGTAATTTTGAGAGCTTCTTGAGAAAGATCAGCTCTTTTAAGAGGGTTAAAAAAGCGAAAGTCCGCGACATCTATGAATTCTCGATTATTCATGTTATAGGCATGGGAGTGGTTCATCTCCTAGATTTCTTTTTCGTTTTAAATTATATAAAAACGGAAAGCCAAGAAATATCAATGTAAGGCTGGGATGAAATAACTTCAATTTAGTATATTTTGGGAGATTTAATCACGGTTTTTTCTATCCCTCGAATTTCCATGCATTAATGATGGTGCTTCGAGATGCGTTGCATTTGAATTTTTCTCATATTTCTTCCTATGTTCCACCTATTTTGCATTTATAATTTTTCTTTTTTTGCTCATTTCCTTTCGATTTTTTTAGTTGAAAAAAAGCTTGGAAAAACACGTTCATTCCTGATCAAGTAAGAAGAACTTGTGAAAATTTTCTGAATCTCCAAGGCAAAAAAAAGCAATTTGGAAAGCTTCTGTCAGTAAGCTCTGACGTTAGCGCGAGGAAGGCCCTACTAAAAATTTTCGCCTATTTTAAAAATTGAATTTGCCGAAGACTTTTGTTATACGTTATTCGTGTTCGTGTCAGCAAGAATCAAGAAAAAGAGAATCCTCTTAGGTGTGGCTTCTCTTTTCTGAGAATGACGCGGGTCGTCTTCCTCGTTTTTTTCTGCATATTCAACGTCTTCACCGAGGCTTTTAATGACGTTGACGAGCTGTCGCCTTCTCAGGTTCGGGCTAATTTCATTTGAAGCAGTGTTCTGCACTGAACCCAGCTGACTGGGTCTAATTCTCTGGGGATTATTGGAACGCTTTAGTAAGACCATTATATGTCAATACTTCTGTAGATATTGTAGATTCACTGTTTAAAAAACGTTCCGTCTTTCATAAAACAATATTGGAATATGTAATGTTTGATCGAACTCTCAAGCAAAAAATATATCACAGGAGATTTCTCAGAAAAAAATTACGTAACCGATCGAGGATTGCAGTTGTTTTTTGAAGATAGTGATTTTCTCTATATAACAGGTAGTTTACTCTCATAAAAAAACCTTTCAAGCTGCATATCAGTTACAAAATAAATATAAAATGCGCCTTCCGTTTTTCGTCTTGCCAGGAACCTTTATATAACGTTTTCCCATTTTGCGTGCTTTATGGCAATCGTTTCATATTCATCCGCTTGAAGGGTTTCTCAGAAAACAAAGAAAAAAAGAACTAGTAAGCCATGATACACTTCCTCGTCTTTGGATGTCACATCTCCGAGCTTGATAAATACGATCTTGAGTCTTGTTGAGGGTGAATGCAACAAATGAATCAATGAACATTGAACGATTTATTGCTGAAAGTCTCAAAACCCATTAAAAACAACTTTCTAAATGTATATTTCAGCGATTTCTGTAAAGACATTTCATTTAATCTCAGAAATCATGCCTATTCAGCAGCAACACCTTTGGGACATGTTCAAACTGCAAAACGTCTACTTGAACGCCAAATTTGAAAACAGAGGCTTCGGGACCCTCTTTCAAGCCAAATACAAGTCCCAAGAGCTTGTTGACGTTTCTGTAAATGATCAGAATCAAGTAAAATATTCCACAACGTAAAAAGATTACATCAATCTTTTTCAGTTAATCTTGCTTTTTCCCGATCAAAAAGGTTGGCAAAAAAGGATAACAACCTTCCTTCCACCAGCCGTGGAAAAAACTTACGATCTTACAATAACGCTCAACTCGGAGAACATTGAAGTCTACGATGGTTGCTTTGAGCTTTTAAAAGTGGGACTGAAAAATCCATATTTCAAGTACGTTAACGTAAGCAATACCATAAAAACAATGAACTTAAGATTCAATAATCCGGAGCTAAGACTTTTACCAAGTTGGGAAGGAAAGTCGCCAGAAGAACTCAAGATGGACTCCGGCCATCCGATAAGCAGCAAGTGCTTCAATGTATCCCGTCTTTTCCAGGATTATACTGTCGAAAAGATTGAGAATGATTTTGCGGTTATTGCAATGAGTAATAGATTGGTTTTTAAATGGAAAGAATTTCAGACCGTGATACCTTCAATTAATTTTGGCGCTATCGATGTGGTCGCGATTCCACCTTCTGGTTTTGATGGCTGTCAGGTACAAACTTTTTGATCTGAGAATAAAAATTTGAATATTTCAAGATCGATGGAAAGTTACTCGAAATAGGGCAAACTTCGACTAATAGCTGTACAACTTGCACATGTGTTGCGAGGTTATTTTTCATTTGCCAAAAAAAAAAAACAAAACATAGGCGCCAATTTCTTTTCTTGATTAGTTCTCCACTAACTTACAACCAATGTTCAGTGACAACGTGGAATGCACTGCCTTAGAATGCTCAAAAATGGAATGCTCTCACTCGACGACGCAATCTCATCAGTGTTGTGCATCATGCGGAAAAGAAGTGAGTTTCATCGCTCTGTCCAATAAACTCGATTTACGAGAGCCACGCGGATATATTGTATTCCTTTTTTGCGGGGGCGCATGGCTTCAATAACTTTCTTTTTATGAAAGAAAACTCGACTATCCCAGAAGCCAAATTTACGAAAAAATATTCATCAGAATAAACTTTCCAAATGCTATCCGTTTTTTTTTTGCAAGCCGTTTTACATCGGTCGCAACTAAATGATAGCAGATAAAAAAAGTTGCGTGCTTTTCTTCTCTTGACTTCTCTCAGCCAAAAATAGAATTTTTGGCGGTTAAGAATTATCTCGAAGAGAAAAATTGTTTCAAAAATAGAATTTTTGGGTCAAACACCCTACTTTTTTTCGGAAAAAAATGATTTGTATTTTTTTAGTTGATCTTGTTTTATCTGATCAGCCAATCGACTCATACACCATTCTCTGCTAGTTTGAAGAAATTTACTTTTGCTAATTAATAATAAACGTTTATCAGACGTTTCTTTAATCAGCGATAATTCTACTGAATATTATGAAAAATCTTGTTTTTAGTGTAATCATGAAGGCCGGACGCATCCTCACGGGGAGATTTTTTGGAGAGCCGAATGCATCCGCTGCAATTGTAACGACGGCCAAGTCACTTGCCAATACCAGTCCGTTTGAATTCCTCTTATTTTAGCATGAAGAGCCAAAATATTTTCCTCGGATTTGAGCAAAAGTGTGAGTTTTGCAGGCACCCGAAAGAATGTCCCGTTTTGGCATGTGCAAAGTTGGACCAGTACATTCCGGAAAATAAATGCTGTCCGATGTGTCGAGAAAACAGCGACTTTTGTGCTATGAAACCATGTCATCAGGACGCAGAATGTACGAATGAAACTCACGGAGCTAAATGCAGGTGTAAAGAGGTACATTCTTGAACAGTTTTCAAACCTTGGAACAATCAACTAAACAGATTTTAAAAGAAATTACTAAATAATCACGTATTTGGAAAAATTAAGAGTTTTATTGGAATAAAACGAAAATTGACAGAACCTTTTTTCAGGGGTTTTCTGGAAACGGAACTTGGTGCCAGGATATCAATGAATGCGCGTTTGGAGATTACGCAAAGGCCCAGGTGACATTTCTTCCGGTTGTTGATTGTGTGATAGGAAAAAAAACACATCCTGTGCTAAGAATCGCGTAGTAGTTCAGTGATCAAAAATACCGTAGTCAAATAGTCATTTATCATTGGTTTGAGAAGAAAAAAAAACTAATTCTCTCAAGGTTTTTCAAGAAGTAACATGGCGGAAGCAAAAAAAAAACATATTGCCATGGGAATTCAAGCAAAGTAGCAAAGGTGCCATGATGGATAGTTTTTTTCTGGCTGTCGTTGTGCCCTGGGGGTTTCTTGTCAGGACCAGCCAAATATGGCGCGACCTAAAAACGGATTAACGTAATCCATCGAACATTGCCCTAAGGAATGCTTCTTTCTACGCTTTCAGAAGCCTTTTCGCGAACGAAAATTATTCCTCTTTAGAGAAAGACTGGGGTCCGGAATATTTTTTTCGAAAAAGTTTTCACAGTTTTGTTTCGAAAGATTACGAAATTTCTTGGCTTTAAGTTGATTCGCTAGTTCAAAGGTGTTTCCAGCTAACTACATAAATCCAGTAGTTTTCCTAAAATCAACCGGAATTTGAAAATTTAGGATCATAATCGTTTTCTTACAGCTTGGCGGATGCTCTGACGGCACCATTTGCGTGAATACGAAAGGAAGTTTTCGTTGCGACTGCATGACAGGATTCCAACGCTTGAATGAAAGAATATGTGCCCCTCTATTCAGAATATAAGAATTATATTCTGTAAGGCGAAAACATTTGGTTAATGGAGTTTTTGTTTTAAATATTCTGAAGTTCAATTCACCGTTATGACAAACTTTTTCATTTGCCACAGTGGACTTTTATAGCTTTTTACCTCCGAAAGCCGGTATTAGAACTAGGAATTGAAACGTCTTCCATTTTTATGGGTTTTCTCTCAGCTTCACTATCATTTAGAAAATGAAAATTTTGTCTTGTAAATACTGTTGATTGACGACTTCACTGCACATCAACGTGCCAATTTGCATAAACACTTTATTCGACTTTATTCATGTCTACCACGCATCTAAAGCACATATTGAAGGAGTAATGAATAGAAAATAGCATAAAGATACAGGCAATGAATATAAGACAATGAGATTATATGGTGAAAGATATTACTGTTTGACTGTTCTGAACATTACTTGACTGTAAGGAAAACTTTAAACATTTCTAGTCCACAAATTTATTTTAGCTTCGAAAAAATCGGAATTAAATTATAAACATTATTATGACATTGTCTTAAGGCTCTGGCAATTCGCTGAAGTAAAAATTGACAGTTATTCAAAGCAACCGGTGTTGACACGCTTCGAGCTAGTCACAATATTTTCATGATTGTGGGCATTGACACATGGGGAATAAGTTAAGTTACCTAAAACAAGCTGAGGCAAGCTGGAAAGTTTTTTTCTGAAAGAAGCTGTAGGGTAGAGGGTTGAGACGAATAAGCGGGGAAAAACCTAAATTTCAAAAAAAGATTCGTGAATAGAAATTTTGCTTATCTTAGTCGTAGTTTCTTTGAAACAAACACGAGAATAATTGATTGAAAAGTTTGGTACTCATGAAAAATTCAAATATCATCGAAGTCTTCGAAATCGTCAGTTTTCGCAAGCGGTGGAGCCGCTCGGAGAAGATCTGCAACATCGAATCCGGCCTCATCTTCAGACGGCGGCTTCTTCTCGATGTGTTTCTTGCAGGTCGCCAACTTTGCTTGCATTCCGTTGAGAACTACTTTTTTTGGTTTTGTAACAAAGAGATCCATTTCTTCATCTTCACCCAAAGAGTCGCCATCAGATGATTCCTGAAAAAAGACGGATCAGTCAGGGAATTGTTTTTTTTTTGTTCAAAATCTTTTCGAGACATAAATTCGCAAGTATTACGCATGGAAAGGTAACTGAAACTAACAAATAACTGTTTTGATGCATCAGCTATGAACTGGCAGTCATAAATTCTTACTAAAAACTGGCAGGACAGGGTTCAATTTCAAAGTGGCAGACCCAAATTTACAATTAAAATTGCCAGTCCCAAGATTGAAATCAAACTTGGTAGTTTTGAACGCACAGCTCTCATTCCTTAACAAAGTGCCCCTCGTTAAAATTTGAATGAGTTTGATTAATTACATGATAAACATCATCTCCATTGACAGCTCTCTCAAAGTTTCTAAGTTGTCCTGAATTTGTCGGCTGTGGACGTTCGTGCTCCTCCTCTGGTAGTTCACTGCAGCACACAGATTGTTACAATGTCATAAATATCAAAAAACTCACGGAGCATTGTTTTTCAGAGCCACCTGTGCTAGAGTCCGTTTTTTTCCAAGTTCTCCTCGTTTCTTTTTGAACACCTGAACATGAAGAACAAATTTTTGCCAGATGCGTTTTGATTTGTGCGGAAAATTAATTTTTGTACATTTCGCCTTTAATCAATTTATGAAACTGAAATTCTTTGTCTGAACCAAGAAAAAACCTGTTTTCGAGCGTAAGTGACTTTGTAAGATTCATCGTCCCCGGAGCATACTGAGTCATTTTGCTCATGTGATGATGAACCGTCGTCTGAAATATCACCTTTTTCAATTTTTGCAGCTAATTTTGTGACATTTGGAAAAAGATATGAGTGGTTCAATCAACTCTTAATTGCCACAAGCCTGTTTTGACGTCTGATTTCTTAACTTTTGAACCTTCAAACCTTTAAAAATTACTTTGAATTATTGCATCATATTATTTTGAAGACCTTTGTTTTCTACAAGTAAATCAACATTTCTATTTCATATGTTTTACAAACAACATTTAACGTTGCAGCGTTATCAAAAACAATTCTCATATTATCCAAAGATTTCAGTACTATTAGATAGAATATTATTTTTTTAGTCGTTACAAACCGCGTTACAAAAGCGACGACACAATACTCACAAGCAAATTTAATGAGTAAAGCATGGCACTGCGAAAGTTCGTTTGACTCTAAACTAGTGGTAAATCATCAGAATCTACTCATAAGCCAAACAAAAATTGAAAAGTTGGACAGAGGAAAGTGCGCACCAACAAACAGCTTTCGGCATTCGGCATGATGCTTACTGGTGGTCAGCGCCTTGGCCATCTGATAACGATGAGCCAATGAGTGAGGAGTGCCGTACAGGGCGGCTTGTGTAGATTCCAACTTTTCGCGTTCGAAAACGTCCGGCTAAAAAAGTTTCAATATTTATATTTTTTTCAGAACGGCATCAAAACAACTATTTTAATATTAACTGAAACATTGGGAAACGTTCACTCTCAAGGAAAATAAAAAACAGAAACTCAAATTTTTTCCTAGATGTGTTTTTCTGATTTTTTGGGCTTTTTACAACTTTTTCTTTAACCAGTCATTGGTGATATATGTTACTAGAGCACAAATTCGAGTGGCTAAATTCATGTTCATGATTTTATAAAGCGCGTTTTGCGCGAGATAGTCAAGTTTTTAAAGAATAGAAAAGAAAAAAATTTCGTGAACATAATTTTTTGCTTTACAACACTGCTAAAAATACATCAGAAAACACAGGTCCCCTTAGAAGCGAAGATGCTCAATTTTGATCTATTTTGGTAAAGGGTGCTTTTAACAAAAAGGAAAACGGGACAACGTGCGTGACTATATCCTCAAATAGAAGCTTTTTGATCACTTTTTTGAATTCACTTTGTGGGCATGGAATCTCACTCAATACAAAAATTTCCAACGAAGATCCTCTAAGAATCTTTTGCTTTATGAAATAAACGAAAACTCACAACGTCTCGGAATATGTTGGAAGACGGCGTATCCAAACCGTTCTCAATCTTGGCGTATTTTTCGTCGAAGGCTATCATAGCCAGTGCGGTTCGATGCGAAACAATATCACAGGGAGATTCAATGTCTGCGAACGCCGTCACGCTCTGAAAAATCAAGAGAATTCCCCTTTTATAAAACATAACAACACAAGTGTTCGAAATTTGCATAATCTTTTTTCGGAAAGGCTTACTTTCCAATCCGTATCGTTCAGCAAAATATGCACCATCACGCAGTCGCTCTGTTCCAGCACTCTCTCGTGTTTCTGTAAGATCAAAAATAAAGTTTTCTCTTCCACGATTTGACGCATAACTTGAGTGAAAACTCATGCATATTCATGATCACAAGGAGCACAAGATTCTCACATATCGCATTTTTCCGTTTCCGTTTCATTTTACTTTTTTTTTCGAGATTCTATTTTCACAAAATTTTTTCAAGGTTAACCGAAAGGTAGAAAGCTATTATCCATTGCTTTTTAAGCTATCAAAGTACATCATTTGAGTAGACCGTTCAACAACAAACATTCAACTTTTTGCTCGAAATTATTTTTTTGAGCTCGAGAAAGTTGGTAGAACTTTCCGAGATGAAGCAGTAAAAAAATTGTTCATTTATTGATGATTGAACTAAAAATTTTTGAAACTTTATTGAATTATAACGAACCTTTGATTCTTGAGGACCAAAATTCGAAAATTCTCGAATAGCCGCACTGAGAAGGTCGGGTCTTTGTTTGGCAATGTAGGCGACGTTTTGTGGCAAGTTCACACTCGTCCGCTGCATCCCGAAATCGCGCGCAGATTTTGCATCCAATATCTGAAATATCTTTAATAAATTGATGTTTTGACTTGACAATATTCAAAAATTTTTTTTGGTTGATGCGAAATTGATAACAAAAAAACTATCGTGCCAGGGAAATGATTTGTGCCCCTCTTTTTTTCCAACGTTTTCTTACTGCCAGTTTTTTTAAAAAAATGATATTGCCAGTTTTTTTACCCAAAAAAATCCTAAGATATTCCATAAAATCAATTGGCAGGGAACTTATTTTTTTGAAATAATGATTAGAAAAACATATTTTAAAGAGCTTGTGGAAGCATTTTTTGTGTTTCAACGTTTTTTTTTCAAAACTCAGCATGCTTTTATGAATGAAATGAACCTCGAAAAACAGCAGTTCTGAACGAGAAACGTTTTTAATTCCCCTTTTTTCTTTTTTCTTTGAATTCTTCACCAGATTAACGCTCATACCTGCTTAACGCTCTCTGTGATAAGAATATTCCTGGTCTCTCGGTTGGCGATTCTGATTATTTCAACGTCGCTGACGCCAGGATACTTTGCCCTGATTTCCGGTGAGATGACGTGCAAAACTCCGGCGTAGCCAAAGACCTGAAATGTTTTAGTAATTCAGTTTCATTCACATCTAACGGTTTGCAAGTTGCTCGAAGCCGTTATTCATTGAAAATTATTAGTTATTCTAGCAGAGCGCGGAAACGGAATAAGAAATGAATCCGTTGGGGTGATGGATTGGACATAAAAGTTGTTCTTTTTTCTTCTTGGCTCTCCCAGACTAGAGAGTTTAAAATTACTTTACGAAATCTCTATTGAACATTAAAATTTTGACAGCTTTTTTGAATCTTTTAGAAATGCAAAGAATGTTATTCTGAGGTTTCAAAAAAATCTCAAGATTACATCAAGTAAATTAACGGATTATTGGTATTATTTATTAAATACGTTGAAACGGCAAAAAAGTTCCAATAAATGACAAGTGAACTAACATTGGTCGCGAAATCCTCTGGAGAGTTCGCCCAGCGGGGAATCACATCGTTTTTGACGGCTTCAATATAGAATGGGTTCAATGCGATGTTCGCTGTCGCGATTCTGAAATATGAGATTTTTCAAACAAATTTTCTCAGAAGATGGATAAGAAAAAGGGTTGCAATTGTAATAGCAAAAAGATACCGGAAAACGAGCCCGTCGACTTTGTGTGACACGCGGAAGAGAACGTCAAGAATTTTCCAAAGGTCATCCTCTCGGCAATTTAGTGCAGTTTGACCGACAACTGGGATGCCAGAGTACCCTGAAAACTTGCATACAGAAAAAAAATGCAGGAATTGAGGACGGTTTAGAATAACTTTCTGAATTTTTTGAATGCCTTTGTAAGGGCTTTTACTGGTCCTGAAAACGTGGAAAAATCACAAAACCTTGCGGAGACAAGACGATTCCCTCGGCATCAAAGACAAAATGTTTGATTTCGTTGACAACAACCTGCACAAGTTCATCATTGCTCGTATTCGCGTCTCGATATAAATAGTAATAAAGCTGTTGTCGGTCCATACCTGCAATTTGGAAACTGCTCGTTTTACGGCCGCATAAATGATCGACCGAGGGAATGAAAAGAAGGACAATCCGAGGACAAGAAATGGAAAATTCCAAAGAAAAAGTACAATTAGGTGTACTTTGGAGGAACAGGAGATTGAGATCCGCACTGGTGTTCTAGGAAAGTTGGAGGGAACGGAAAGACATTCATGAATAACATGGAACCAGAAAGCACCAAATTTTTATGAAAAATTGTGTTCACCAAGAAACCTGAAATTATTAAATTAGCTTTTACGCAAAAGGAAAGTGAAAAAAAAAATTACCGAAATGTTTTTGGCGATTACACAAACACGAAGAAGGGAGACATAGTTCAAGAAGTCTCTAAAAATTCTCCGGAATTATTGAAAAACTTGATATTCTCAATGACTACTTGAAGGAAAAATTTGGCAAAATATCTATATCAATATCACGGCTTAATTTATTTTTATATTCTCATGGGAATTTCGAGAAAAAGGTCAATTCTCTGACAAGCAAGTAACCAATAATTTCATCGAAATTACAATTCTTTTTCTCGACCGCTTTTAATTCAGACAATAAAAATGAATGGGAATGTTCTCGGTAGTGGTAAAACTGAAAAAAAAAAACTAGTCGAAGCTTTTTACGAAACTTCCCGCTTCCAAAGTGAGAAAATTGCCTAGCACCACAAAACAACGCCGTAAAACTGGTATTGAACCAACAGCTCTTGTTGGTTTTTCGTCCGAACCATATTTTTTACAGGAAAGGTCCCTCTTCTTCTTCCTCTGGTTTATAGAAGAATAATTGGGAGAGCCAAACGAGAGCCTATAATCTTCATCTACTGCTATTTGAATAATCTTGGGGTAAATTGAGTTGAATTAAACGAGCTTCTCTTGATGGGAATCCCATAAATTTTCAGTGAAAGCTAGGAAAACGGAAAATCGGTCGTTAAAAGAGATTTATTGAGAATTGGGTAATTTTTATTTGAAATTGTTTTTGGAGGTATTAAGTATGATTTGAAAAAAATAATTTTAAATTAATTGGTTAAAAAAAGGTTATTTTTCGTTCATCCGAAATAAGATCAAAATTTTTCTTTCATTATTCGAAATGAAAAAAACGGTAATGGTAGAGTAAAACACTTAGAAGATAATATTATGGTGATACCTTTTTTTCATAAGAAAGAAAAAAAGGAAAAATTCCCATGAATTAAATTCTGAATAAAGAGTATTTTTTTGTTGTTTAATAAAAAGTAAATTCAACCAAATAAACAACAGAGTAATCAGTAATTAATTTTTGTACACTCAAACGAGAAAGAGAATTTTTTTGGTGTATTTCAAGTATGCAAAAATGAACTAAAGCCTACTGATTTAAAAAAAAAAGAAGAAAGAAAGTGCAAGTGTTGAAAACTGACAAAGCCTAAATGAGATTGCGGTTTCAAACCGAGTGATTGAATTAGCAAGGGAAAGTAGTGGGAAAACCAAAGGAAGGGGGACAAAAAACAGCAGACGGACCATTGGAGACTTGGCGGCTCCTACTCGGAACCGTCTGACCAGTGGAGTCGTCTCTCAAAAGCGCGTGCTCTCTCGGCAGGCAGCCTCAGTTTGGCGGAGAGCGCGTGTTGTTTCCTATACGTTAGAGGGCGGACAAGGCCTGCGGCGTTGCTCGCGGTCCCTCAGAGGCCATGGCTATCGATCGGTTCGACTAGAGGAGGCTGGTGGTGGTGGTGTGTGTGTGATAGCAGTTGAGAGAGGGCGCAGGCCGGCGCCGCCTAACAAGCATTCTTGGCGGTCTCTCACTGCGCTGGCGTGTCTCATCTATGTACTGACGACAGCTGATTCGCGTACTGCTTCCCTAGAGTGACCACTCTGGTACTGCCTAGGCAGCTTCTGAGGCATCCGGCCGCGCTGCGGATCGTTTCGGCGGTTGCTCTCCCTCCTCTTTCGGCTGGCTGGCCACACCCCATCCAGTTAGCAGCAGCCGCCGCTGCCGCTCTTTTGAATCGGCGGAACACGAGCTCAGGAGTTGCTCTCGTCCTTCGCTTCCCATGGAGATTGAGAACATCGTCGCCAACACCGTCTACATCAAGGCTAGGGAAAGTGAGTTGTGTTTGTTTCCCATGATTGTTGTGTTCCTTTCTTTTTTTCCTCCTCTTCCTCCTTCCTCGTCGGAAATTAGTTTCCGGTTTTCTATTTTTTTTTTCCACGTGTCTGCGAGCCAAGGTTCAAGTATTACATTTCCCGGTTAATTTTGCAGTAAATTCAAGTCTACGTCTCCGCTCAAATCAGTTTAACTTTTTCTTCTTTCCACTTTTCAAGATTTATTGGAATTGTCATTTTTCATGACAACTGATTCCAATTTTGAAAATCCTTATTCCGCTGAACTGAAGTCAGAAAAAGGAACAGTTAACTTTTTATTAGTTTAAGTTCTATCAGAAAGTACATCTGGTGACAAACCTGTTGGATTGTGCCAACTCTTTCTGATGTGAACGGTGATTTTTGAAGTTTTTCCTTCCCCTAAATTTTGGATTTCGAATCTCAGAAAATGAAGAAAAATTATAAAAACTTTTTACATCCATATTCAGCTAATTTTTTTTCCTGTCCTGAAAAGATCGTTAAAATTTTTTTTTTCAGTTTTTTCAAACTCCTTATTGAGTTTGAAAAAATCGTTTGAGCTGCAATCCCAATTCTGAAGTATTCAATGTTTATAACACGTTTTGAGGTAGCTAGCATTTTTTTTTCAAAATATTCTCTCTCAAGACCTTGTTCGTGCTCGACTTTTCTGTGTATTTTTGTTCTGAACATCATTTTACAAACCGAAAACATGTTTACCGATAAAAAATAGGAAGATTTATTCTAAAAAAGTTTTTCTAATCCTACAGTAGGCTCACTTCTCTAGAACCTTTCTTTCTGCTGACCATGATTCTGATTTCCAACTTGTTTTGTAACTTACTCATCAAATTAATCTGTAATCATAGTTGATTAATCATTTGATTTTCTTCATAGAGAAAGTTTTCGCAGGTGGTGGGCAGAAGAAGGGCAAGAGCAAAAAGTGGAAGAACTACCTGCAATTCCCACATTATACCGAATGCCTCCCCATCAAGTCGGAAATTGATGCAAGGTTTGTGGCTTGAAAAGACATTAATGAATATTCCACGTTGGTGAAATGAATTATTCTCCATAATAGGTGGCTCGCCTCAGCGGAAGAAACCAGACCGAGAAGTAAAAAAATGCCGAAAAACAAGCGGATCAAAGTTACCTATGAATAAATCTAGCGTTCCTATTATCTACCTACTTTTATTCTGCTCAACAAACAGATGTGTAGTGTAGTTTCATGTATATTCTACTCATAGTCGTTTTTGAGTACTTGAAAATAAACAATAAAAACTCTGAGAAATTTGTTTTCTTTCTCAAGAAACTTTCAAATTTCCTCAAGCTGATGTGAATCAACCATGAGAACAAAGCAAGCAAAAGCAGACATTTTCGATTCTTCGAAGTTCGATGGCGTGTTGCACTTTTTACAACCAGCAGATGATGTAAAAACGTCCTTGTGGGCCGCTAATAACCTTGGACTTCCGCATGTGAATCATTGAAAAAATTTTGGAGATTTAAAATGTTTGATCATCTGGCTCAAGTTGTACAGCGTTAAGTTCGTGTTGAAAAAAGCGTCTTCTTGGAAAAAAATCTTTTTGAGAATCGCTAAACGCATGCGTTATATGCATTTAAAGTTCAGACTGAACCATAGAGCGCAAGCCGTTTAATGGTCGGTCGCTCTTTCAGTATAAGCACAGTGTGCTGAGGTTTTCATTCCTGAAACTAGTTTTCCGCAGTTCGGAGTAATATATAATTACGAACCCCTTGGAAAAAAGTTACTGAGTTCTTGGAGAACCTTCGTACTTTTAATTTGCACCTTTGATATAAATGGCATGTCGGAAAACCTCCGGTTGAGAAATTTTAAAATTCTGAAGTAATAGTCTTCCTTGAAAATGGAAAGATTTGTAGGTTTGAAGAAAATTTTTCAATAAGGATTCACCCGGTTAAACAAAGCATTTCTTAGTGTGCAAATCAACTCTTATTTCAAACTTGATAAAAGGTTTTCCAAATTCATAATTTTTCCAGTTATGCCTACATCGTGGAAAGACAACCGATCGGCAAGCTGCTATTTCATGAATTTTGCCAATCTACCAGTTCTCAGTACCATCAGTGCTGCGATTTCCTGACCAAGGTTCGGCTTTTTCTCTGATACACCCTACTGTAGTTTCAAATGCTTTTGTTTTCTCCCAAATATTTTTCGTAGTATCTGACACGAAAATGTAAGTTTTTTTTTTCTTTCTTTGTTCTGTTTGTCGATGTTTTTTGAGCCTGCAGACAACGGTATTTGAACGCCCCCAAAATTTTTTTCGCCAAATATCTTTGAGCTTCAGAGAAAAGGAAATTGAACTTCCTTCTGTCACTGGGAAAATAAGAGAAATTTAAGAGCTCATGGGAGGTTTTTTAGCTTTACGCTCTCCGCGTTCTCATTTCTAAACATGATGCTATTTATTGGGAAGAATGCAGTGGCTGTCAAATTACGAGCTGTGCGAATCATCATGAGGTCGAGAGACGATTAAAAATTGCGTCCTTCTTCGTAAAAACATGGAGTTGAATATGAATAGCCAGTCAAAGATCAAAACCCGGTTATTATTACTTTTTTTTTCTCTCAGTTACTCTAATGAGTTTTTTTTTCTCCTACTCTTAATTGTAGCCTACATTGAGCTGAAATTTGAATGCTTAAAAATTAGGCCGAGTTGTAGTTTTATGAGATAAAGATCTCGAACCATTGAGAAATATGACCAAAAATAGAGTTCACATTAAGGTCGAAGAATACGAAACATCTGACGATGACGGTCAATCGCGAAGAGATTTGGCTACGGCGATATTTGCTCTCTTGGCTCCCAACGGCGAAACTCCCTCAGTAAGTCTGTTCCAAATAGTTTGAACAAGTTTTTTTTTCTCTTCTCTGGGCTTTCCTCCTCACTTTTTTCCACCAAAAACGAATTTTCTCCAGCCTTGGGGAGTGCATCAAGACGATGTTCATTTTCTTCACTTCATTATCAGCTAGTTCTTCTCTCTGAGGTCTTTCAATGGAAGTTTCTTGGAATGAATGAACTATGTTTGACAAAAAAACGCCTTTAAAATTGGTTTAAGTGGCTTCCTGTAAATGAAATTAAATACGATAGATAATTTATTTTATCTCAATTCAAATAACTTGTTTTGGTGAAAGTTCAGTTTCGGACAGCCTTCTATGCGTCCGAAAATTCCAAAATTAGCTTTTGAAAAGTGAGATTCCAATATTTTCTCGAAAGAAGAGGTTACCATAAACTCGATTACTATAGTGACCACTAAGTTGAAAAACCATAAAAATGACTGAAAAGCTCTTTTCAAAAATCGTATCTATTCTTGTCGCGAGATCTCCGCCTCAAATCTCATTGCACTTTTCTCTCCTAAAAGCGTGCCAAAAATGGGAAAGAAAAGAAGAAGAAGAACTAATTTTGCAGTCATCGCAGGACGAGCACGCCGTTTGGTGCTCATTTTTGCCTGAAGATCTCATCTCGACGATGCTCGCCACCGCCGACTTGGCGACCCATGAGAGCGAGCCGCGCAGCGACATCTTCTCTGAACCCTACAGGTCCGCCGGCGTAAATTTATGCGAAATGCGCAGGGTTTTCACTAGTTTGTGGAGAAAATGTGGGAAATGGACAAAAGAAAAAAATAGCGGAACATATGGGAAAAACTTCAGAAAGCGACAAAAGGCTGTATATGATTCATTTGAAACAGTTAACTGAAGTTTCTGTGGATGTGAGCGTTGTAAAGAAATAAGTTATTGGCTTCTCGAAAATTGTATCGAATTTTTCAACCAAATTTTCTAGTAGTGGAAACAAAAAAAAACTAAGTATTCAAATGCATCAACAGAAATTATTAAATTTAACCAAGCTGATACTCTTTTGAATAAAAAAAAAGGGTAAATATCTTTATTCCATGTCTCAAACTAGCGGTGAATAAAATTTAAACTCTTTTTCTCAATAGATCGCATATCCTTATAACCTTGATTCTTCATCGAAATGCTGTTCAAAGTTTCGAAAGTTGTTTTTGTCGAGCTATTTTTAGAATCTTGGAAAACGAGTGCAACTTTCGTAAAGAGGGCCGGCACAAAGGCCTTACGGCGGTCCACAAGTGCGCCAAAATATGATAGTCTGTGAGACGTAATCGAATCCTCAGACGTGTCAGTTGTTCTCTTCTCGGAGGAAAATAAAATCAGAACAAAAAACGAAAATGGGATTTTATTTTAGCCGCTTTTAAATAGGATAGATTGGTTCTAACGTGATTAAAGGGGAATGGAAATTAATTATGAATTTTTTTAATTTATAAAATTTTTTTGATTTCTATTTTGTTTGACTCTAAAAAGCTCTGGCCAGGCTGAGAGTTTGTTAGCGGTCGAGGCATAGCGGTTGCGAAGCGGCTGCCTTGCGCTGCAACACATGGCGACATTCCAGACGCATCCAAAACTTGTCGAGTTACCAAAAGAGATAATTATTCAAAAAATCTCGGAGTTCCAAAAAAAGTTGAGTTTGGCTCTGGAATTTTTCATGGCACTTTTCTTCGGAATATGTACTTTTAAACATCTCAACAGCACAAACGAACTACATTGAAGTGTTCCAGACAAAGTTTGCCACTTTTCCGCTGTTCTTACACCAATTCCTAAAGACCACTGTTCAGCTCCAATCTTTGACACACAACAGCGGAAGAAACTTTTTTTCAGTCTGGAGTTGCATTCAGCTCTCCAAACGGAGCCGCGAATCAGGCTAATCGACGCCACTTTCTCCCGTTTTTGGTCCTTTTTTTCTGGCAATCATCTGAGAAAGGAACACTCAAGCTGCGTCAAATGTGCCTCATTTGTTTGGAGGAAGATTCCTTTCTTGGCTGGGTACTTAGCCGACACGGCGGCATATGAGCACCCTTGCGATAAGACAGAAGTTTCTGCAAGTCTCCTTTTTTGTCCTAAAATGCGGAAGTTTCTCGTTTTTTTTTTTTGACATTCATCCTGCAAGCGGATCAGAGCGGTGTCCACTTACATATCTTACATAAGACTTCGATTTGATTTAGCCACTTCCGCAAGTTTTTGAAGTGCCTTTTTTTCGCAAGAAAAGCTTGCTCAAAAAATCTGTGGTTTGAGAATTATAGTTAAACCGAGATTCGGGAAGAATTTTTTTTTAACCTTACTGCCTAGAATTCGACGAAAATTTATTTAGATTTCTCTGGGGTGCCTTTATAGAAACCGCTTGTCAGCTCTCATACTTGAGCCTTTTGTCAAGCATTTTCACCGTTTGAGAAAATATTCCATGTTTTTTTGCCATATGCCTTTTAAGCTTTTAATGGGAGGGACGTCGAATCGGAAAAAATCTCCTTCCCACAAAAATAGGGATTTCTCATAATTGTCGGTCTCGGAAGGATAATTGGTAGCTTCAACCTGTCGGCGCGTTCAAAACCCAAACGAGCATAGGAAATCCGCTGAAACCAATTAAAAATCCCGAAATTACAGGCTTGTCCGGGATTTCCTGTCAGAAGAGCCGTTCAAGCTGTTCTCCGAGTCATTTTACTTCTTTCGGTACCTGCAATGGAAATGGCTGGAGAAACGTCCAGTCGACAAACATACTTTTCGACTCTACCGAGTTCTAGGGAAAGGAGGGTTCGGAGAAGTCTGCGCTTGTCAAGTACGTATTTCCCAGTTTATTAATGATTTTTTGGGTCTCTCGATTCAAAAGGCTTGAAACCGCTTTTGTTCCAGTAGTGTATGAGAAACATGCCACCGAAGAAGATGCAAATAGAGTCTGAAAGGATAAAATGTAGATGGACGGCTGGTTGCCTCTGGCAACAGCTCGAAAATTCTGTTTTGTTTCTTAAATCCGAAAATTGTTGGCCGGCTCAGATTTTTATGATGATTGGGATCGTGTCGTAAGCCTGCGTAGGAAGAATAGAGGATTGTGAAAAAAAAATTGGAGAAAAAATTTGATCTGCCAAAATTCAAAATAGTCCTCTTTGAGGGGTTTCTTGATGTAGAACGGAAATCTGGATAACTGATAATTTGATCATTTCAATGATTTAATAATTATAATTTTGAAGTGAATAGTTTCTTTTGTTTTTTCCACTTTCTATAGCCGAGACATCCACTTTGGAAAAATATTTGGCTGAGAGTAACTATTAGTTTTTCTTGTATTTTTTGTACTTTTTCAGGTTCGAGCTTCCGGAAAAATGTACGCACTGAAAAAGCTGGAAAAGAAACGAGTGAAGAAAAGGCATGCCGAGACGTTGAGCCTCAATGAAAAGCAAATTTTGCAAAGGATAAATTCTCCTTTTGTTGTGAGTTTCACTGTGTACACTAAAAACTTGTAGCCTCTGTAGATTAACAGAAAATTTTGTAGTTTCAGGAAAAAAGGTGTCTGCTTCTTATTTCCATAGTTTTGCATGAAAAAATTGTAGCTTCCGAACCAGCAAAACGACTTTTTTTCTGTTTCAGGTGAGTCTGGCGTATGCATACGAGACGAAAGACGCTCTTTGTTTAGTTCTAACGTTAATGAATGGAGGTGGGTTCTTTTTTTTCGGGAAGTTTTTCTTTGGAAATAACGAGGATGGACGCCGTTTTTCCGCTTCCCCTGGGTGCTATTAATCGTCTGGAACGAAGTTGGCCGGGCCAGTCATTTAGTCTGCATCAATCCAGACGTTTTAGCTAAAGTGCCATTTCATATCTAAACGTTTTCCCTTTTTTGAATGCTCAATGGGGTTTAGCATTATGGATGGATATGGAGATTTATCAACAAAAACAAGGCAATTCGAAAGTTTTTTTAAATCCGAACTACAGCATAGCGATTAAAGAAGAATGAGCAACGCCTCTATTTCGAGGAACTTCTTTTCACGTTTGTAGAATCACCTAATTTTTTTCATGAAAAGTAACATTTCTTGTTGTTTTTCACGAATTTTGCTTCAGAATTAGAGAAAAATAAAAACAATTTTGCATGTATATTTAGACGGACTTCTTCACTTTCTCTCCTTGATTACAGCCTGGGGAACACGGCGGGGGTTATGACTTAGAATAAGCCTTAATTGCATTTCACGCTTCTATGGCAAACGTCAGAAGCAATAAATAATGAGGGTTGCGCAAATGCCAAATGCTGCGGAGTGAACTGGAAAAGTTTATTAGAACACATTGCCGTTTTAAAGAAAAAGTCACGCTGAAAATTAAAGCCAGTTCCTTTTTTTTCAGGCGATTTGAAATTCCATTTGTACAATTTGATGCCGGGTGGATTCGACGAGAAACGAGTGCAATTCTACGCAGCTGAAATAACCCTAGGCCTACAACATCTGCATAAAGAGCGGATATTATACCGAGACCTGAAGCCTGAAAATATTTTGTTAGACGACTACGGTTAGTGGTTAAAGATCAAAACACAGAAAAAAAATGGAAAATCTTTTTTATTGCGATCAAAATATTATTAAATTTCAGGACATGTACGGATATCAGACCTTGGCCTAGCAGTAGAACTGAAAGAAAATGAGCCCATCAAAGGCCGAGTTGGCACTGTCGGATACATGGGTAATTTTTTAAAAGACTTTGTGACTTAACAAAAAACTGTCCAATTACTAAATAGAACATTTTTCAGCTCCGGAAATCGTCAAAAACGAGCGATATTCTTATGGAGTTGATTGGTGGGGCGTTGGATGTCTGATATACGAGATGATCGAAGGAAAGGTGAAATTCCTGATATTTTCTTCGAAACTTTGGAAAAAAAAATTTAGGCTCCATTCCGACAGCGAAAAGAGAAAGTGAAACGGGAAGAAGTTGAACGGCGGGTGAGAGAAGATCAGGAAAAGTATTCCGACAAGTTCAGTGAAGCCGCCAGAACGCTTTGCAGGTTTGACCAGCCTCAATAGAAAAGTTAATAGATTTTCAGGGGATTGTTGCACAAAGAACCGACTTTTCGACTAGGGTGCCGGAGAGTTGGAAAGCCGGAGGAAGGAGCTGAGGAAATCAGAGCTCATCCATTTTTCAATGCGCCGGATACCAACACTGGGCGAGAAGCCGTTCCTTGGAAGAAAATGGAGGCTGGGAAGGTTTTTTCATCTTTAACTTCAGATTCGAATTGAGAAAATTTCAAGGTTACACCTCCATTTTGTCCGGATCCTCGAGCAGTCTACGCCAAGGACGTGTTGGACATCGAACAGTTTAGTACTGTGAAAGGAGTCAGATTGGACGCTAATGACACCCAGTTTTACGGAAAGTTCAACACTGGCTGTGTCAGCATTCCTTGGCAAGCTGAGGTCGAGAAATGAATTTTTACTGTTTCAAACGATGAAGATTTAGATGATTGAGACAGAGTGCTACGCCGAGCTGAATTTGTTGCACGAAGAAGACGGGAGTTTAGTCTGGAACCTGAGAGCCGATGGCTTTGCGATAGAGGACCGGCGGAACGGCACCAGTAAACCTGGGTTTTTCAGTCGCATTTTCCGACGGAAGGTGCGCACTTTTGACTGCTGCTCTCTATGCTGATCATATCATATCATGTACGATTTATGACTCTTCTAGTCACGCATTTTTCACTTCTTCTCATTGTGTTCTGGTAGTCCTTTCAAGACAGCCTTTCCACAAGATAATCGATTCGAAATTCTCACAAGCTGTTATGAATGGACTAAAAGTCTTCAAGTTTTTTGTTCTGCATTGGTAATATTTATTGAGTTCCTCTTCAAACTTCTACTGAGCGATCGCTAACTTATGATTTTTCTGTGTTATTTCATCAAAGACTGTACGCCTCGATTCTTACGATCCGTAAAAGCTATTTTATGGGTTGATTTAAATATTTGGAAGCTACCGGTCTTCCCTGATGGCGAAATTGAACTTTCTGGTCGCATGAAGAATGGCTCTTGACGTGGAAATTCCCTAAAAAATCAGAATTTCTTGAAACTCTATTAAACAGTTTCTCGAGTATCAGATAAGTTTTTTGAAGGTTTTGTATTTTCGTGTATTTTGTGAACAAGAATATCGGAAGTCTATACAATAGAGTTATTTGAAAAAAAAAATTGAAAGAAAAGCGGTCGCGCATGTAGGTCGAGACTTTTTGATTATAAAATTCACCTTTTACATTAGAAAGTGTTTCAAAAAATTCTGAAGTTGCAAGGGACGTCAGGTTTCAGCAAGCGGGAAGTTTCCGACGCCAAAGCGCGACAATCGCTTTAGGTCGGGTGCAGCGTCTCGGTGCCAATCGTGCGACCAGAAAGGGTCATTTTAAGACAACCAAATCTTGAAACTTGAGTTATTTTGTTTCTCAACTATTTTTCCGGATCGTTAATTTTCGTGCAAAAAAAATACTCGGCTCTTGTTTCTTCATTTTTTTTGTCCTATCAATGCCCCTCTCTCGGCTCTTATCGTTTCAATTGCCAAGGCACAGCTCGCTGATATTCAGGAACCGAACTCTGCCGCTGGCAGAAGCCAATAGAGATTATGGTGGGTTTGAACAAAAGTGACGTGCCTTCATCAAATCGCCTAAGCGCTCAATCGGTCCCCAACTCAAGTGTCATAGCTATCCTGTGTAAGTGAGATCGTCGTTCTCTATACTGTTTCAGTACAAATTCAACTTCTTTTTTTTAGAACTGAGGCAAAGTTGAAAATACCTTCAGTTTAACTCCTAAAAAATGCTTGGTTTTCAAAAAAAAAAGTTTAAAGGATAGTTCAAGCATCTTCGAAAAGCTTGGGTTATTGTTGTTTTGATGAAAAGTTAATGAGAATAATTAGATGGAGGATCAACGAGAATTCTGAGAATTTTTTTGAAATATAATGCAAAGTACGCGAAAAAAATCGATGTTTAAAAAAATTAGAATAAATTTTTCAAAAAGAGAGCTTTGAATACGAAAAAGAAAAAAAGACTTTCACAAAAGTTAATGGAATAAGAGACTTTCGGTCTTTTCTCTGAAATTTTTCCGGATGGTGATTGCGTACTTGACACTGTAATCGACGACAATGAATGTATTACATTCAGCGAAAATTTGGTTCTCCATCAAAAAACTTTTCAATACTTGTTCTTCAAAGTCAAAGGGGATTTTGGCATAGTTTTCGAGATGGAAATTTCCCGTCAATTTTTTTTTAAACAATGTCCAACATGCTGTGCTTCCATTTTGTCATGCGTTTGACCACTTCTAAAAGCTTCAAATTCACCTCGAAGTCTTCTGCTCCTAATGTGCCCGTGTGTCAACCGCTTTGTCTCTTTCCACTGTAAATTTTCCCGCTTTTCCATGTTCACTCCAACTTTTTGTGTGCTTTCGCCTTCTAACTCTGTCTTCTGCGTAAAACGGCATTTTTCAAAGTTTCTCGCGTAACTTTTTCACCTTGCTCGTTTGTTGTCGAAATGTCTATCCTACAGAAAACTTTTCACAAAACTACAATATGAGTGAAGCTCGTAGGCATGAAGCAATATTTCCTCTCTACTTTCACTATATTTTCTGGGATTCCGTGATTTTTGCTTTACTTTTTTGAACCGTAGTTCGAAACTATGCGCCTGTTTCATAACTTCGAGTCGCACGTTGGATTATTCCATTTTGACCTTTAAAAGTCATATAATTCATTCCTTGCTGGCTTGAGACCATTTTTTTGACAGTCTGTGAAACAGTGATACTATTTTCGTCCTAAGCTATCAGTGAATGAAGAATAGGTTGAAGAGTAACTTCTGCACGCGTAGTTACAGTTTTGGCTGGATGTTCATCAGTTTTGCGGGTCTTGTAGCTGGAAAAAAGATCCAAATTGCCTACAGGAATTTTCCAAAGTGTTTCAAGGCGCAGCAAAAAAACTTGAATTGTAAACGTTCATTCAAAAATAAATTCCGAAGTGTTTTTTTTTCCCTTTTTTTCAAGCTGAAAATTTTTAAAAACAACGCGAGCTGAAATATTCAGACAGAACTGTACCCTTTTCAAAAAAGCTTCCATTTAAAGATACTGAGCCGATCGTCAACTTTTAGTCGAACAAAATCTGTTGCTTCGTGTTGAACTAATGTTTGATGTCTCTTTCGAAGATTTTGTGCTCTAGAGTTTCATAATGAATTCCTCGAATTTTGCAGAGAATGGCGCTGACCAAGTCACTGCACGATCTTCATCTGACGACACTTGAAGCCGGGCCTGGGCCGTCGTCTTTCAGGCCAAATCGGGCCGTATCGGCCTCCGGTCGGCCTTCTAACGAATGCGCCGATGGCCCTTCCACTTCCAACCATCAGCTTCCCTTCGAGTAGTGGCTTTTTGTTTCAACTTTTTTTCAAAGCAGTATAATCACATTTTTTCAATGGTTTCCCGAAAACTGGAGTTTAACAGAAATGGTCCAGACTGTCCTTTATTCAATTTATCATGCAAAATCAAAAAGTTGGACCTCCTGACGTCATTATTATTCTGTATAACTTCAAAATATTCGTTTTCGCTTATTTCTTCTTTTTTCTTGTGCAATTGATATTTCTGTGAAAATAACCCACTTTCAATTGTTCTTTCTGAAATAATTTTAACTGATTTTGTTTAATGTTGAGTTCAGTTCATTTCTTGAGCTACGCTTCACGCAAAATTGTCATTTCACTTCTCCCATCAAAATATTTGTTTTAGTTTCTTTCCATTTGCCCTTTCTTGCTTCATACTGTCAAAATTCAGAAATCAAAACTTTCCTACTTGTAATCATAAAAGTGTTGATGCCATTGTTAACGATTTCGAATCAGCTCCAAATCATTTATAGTTGAAACTAATCACTTTAGTGGAAATGTAAATTATTTGATCTTATTTCCGACTTTCCATGACTTTCAAGAAACTACTTACGTGCTCTGAAAATTCCTCCCTCACTAGTTCGAAGTTCATTCAAAATAACTTCCGAGGTTTTTCATAACTTTAAAAAAGAAGAGAAAGTTGTCCTGAATGAACTTTCTGTGTAAAGAGATAAAAAATAACGTTTTTCTATGCAACAATTATCATTTGTGCACAGGTATAGTCCAATAGTCTATTTTAGGAGTGAATTCAGTACAAATTTGTGTTTCTGTCGCCTATCAAAATAATCATTTTAATTTCCCCGAAATGGGTGGTTAGACTATCTTGCTGCTGTGTTATTTCCGGTTCTCCTTTGTAAAAAAAAGCTTCATTGTTCCTCTCATGCTTCCAGTTCATATTGAAAAGCTTTACTTCACCATCGGATTTATCATTGTTTTGTTCGTGAACTTTCTAAACCCGGGCTTTCTTCTTTTTTCGCCCTATTTTCAACGATAAATTGATTATTTTTGTTGTTGCGTTTTTTTCTTTTGTTTTGACATGAATCTGGTTCATTCAAAACATTGCATTTTTCTACAGATTATCGGAATTTTCAAATTCTTTAGTATAAAAAATGATAAGTCTTATATTTTAACAAGCTGTATTAAATTGAAAGGTTATATGAAGAGGTAAAAAAATTCTGTCATAGATTTAAAAACATATTCAAAAAGACTTCAAAAACCAGTTTCAGCTTCTTTCCAATTTTTTTGTTTTATTCAATGTTTCTATTGAAACAAAAAAAGCTGAAGTTCAAGATATAAGAGAAATGAATTTTCGTTCAAAATTTCTATCAGGTCGAAAGACTTTATTTTCTTTTTTTTAAGTGACATTAACTTTTAAGTCAAAATGAAACACTTCGGAGCTCGTTTTTTTTTAAGAATAGAAAAATATTCAATGCAAATATCATTTTGCTTTATTTGACGCCTGTTCGAACTTCGATTATTCATTGTGTTGTCGAATTTTTTGTGCTTCTCAAAGACTCAAATGTTCACACAAGATTTACTGGCAAAAAAAATAGCCAAAAAGGAAACACACACACACACACACAGAAATAAAAAAAATTACAACAAGTTCAAAACAAATGAGAAAGCGATATCAACTATCATTGAGGACATCAAAGCTTTTTTTTTCCAAAAATGTCAGAAACTTCCAAATTATCCGTTTTTGTGAGCCACAAGAAAAAGGGCTTCAAAGGAATAGTTAGTTTCGAGAAATTTTCGAAACCGAAAAAGGAGAACTCTTTTCAAATGCATACTGTCAGAATTTTTTTTGTAAATGTGAAAACTTCTCCAAACCTATATTTTTCGGCTTTTTTCAAGAGGAAAAAGATTTTTTTTTGAAAAACGACAAACCAACAACAAACTTCTTGAATTTTTCTACTTTTTGCTTTCTAACCAATCCAAACTAAAAATAGAAAAAGACAAAAAAACGGATGACTTCCAATGAGACTATTCTGTGACAAAACTTTTATAAGAAATAATTTTTGAAACATTCCGTTTTCCTAACACAAAGTTCTATCACAGAGGCTCTCATGGTGGGACCGATCTTCTATCCCGAAATTACGAAGACAATTGTCACATGGGCGCTTTGAAGGACATCTTGTTCGTTGACAGTCCATCCCGAGACATGTATAACAGAGTTTATAAATTTTCACGATTTCTCTCTTATGGGACAAGGGTTTGTTGCACCCGCTGCTAGAATGAAATCTACGGCAAAAAGCACACCGATTATCCGTAGAATTTTGCACACTTCGGGTTTCAAATCTCGAGTGAGCGGGCGTTCTCGAAACCTCTCCCCGAGCTCTTTCATTTCGATCGAAGCTTCTAAGAGAATGACCAATCTCAGAACACTTGAAATTGATATCATCAAGCTTTTTTTGCTGCGACCCAAAATGTTCAAATTCTTCTTTTTCGTGGTCGCGAAGAAGAAGTTTTTCCTGCAAAACAAAATTCATCAATTTATTTTTTTCTCAGTTCTTGCCTTTTCCAAGAGATCGATTATTGTGCAATAATTCTTGTTGTGGGCGATGGCCATTTCCTCGAAATTTTTTGTCAAAATTTCTATCGTGTCGTTTTGCTTTTTTACAAGCTTCTCCAGATATTCTAGAGTTGTGACTGAACGATCTCCTTCCGCTGTCAAGGTTCTGAAAAAAAGAAGTTAAGGTTCCTTTCACCGTTAATATGAGTGAACTTTTCTTAAGAGACGAGATCATCTTTTCTTCAGCAAATCGCTCGATAAATTTCTCTCCATGGACATTAACAGAGAAATTTCAGCTTTTGAGCTTTTTTCGCAAAGGATTTTTTTTATTGTTAAAATCGCAAAATCGCAAAAGATTGAATTTTTTTCATTGAAACATTTGTTTGTTTGCTATTAGAATTAGTGTCTCTTCTTTTTCATAATCTCGATATTGATACAAATTTGTAATTCTAAAAAAATTTTTGTTTGTTAGAAGTAACCTGAAATTTGTTTCCAGTGTTTTTTTGGAGTGTTTTTTTGAAGAGGTCCTTTGTTTTTTCTTTTGTTTGCGTGACGACACTTTCGCCCGAATGGAGGACTTCTGAACTTCAAATTTTTCCAAATCATTCTATTGAGCCCCGCCAAAGTCGTCTTCTTTGTCGCTGCCAAACTCGAGATAAGTTGTCTGAAAATATAGCCTTATTTTGCGTATTTGTTACAAATGAAAAAAGTCAGAAAGAAGCATAAATACGCAAATCACCGTGCTGTGTATGCTTCTTTTTGTCTCAAATCTCGTAAAGTTATATACGGAAAAATTTTATTTTTTTTCCAACTCTCTATGATTATTTTTTTATATGATTAATATTATTCATTCAATTGTTTTAAATGATGTTATTTTTAACTACTATCGGCCTCATTAAGACTATTTAATCTTTACCAGCCATGGACAATGATATTATATTCAACTTTTCATTTATTAACATGCTCATTATGCCTGGTTTTTCATGATTATTGCAAGAAAATCCTTGTCTTGAAAATATATCGAGTTTTCGATTGTCACTGAAATCAATCAAAAACAGAGAGACTTCCTGAATTTTTGGTGTAATTTTTATGTATATACTTACTTACTTACTTAGATACTTAGATGGTCCATCTTTTTTTATGTATATATCGAATATAAAACCAAAAAAATCGATTCTTTTCTTCAATTTTTTTGATTTTTTTCTCCTCTTGAAAATGACAAAATAACTGAAAAAAAGTAAGTAATATTTACTCGGAATTTGTCTACATGAACCGTCAAAACTAATCTATTAGATTGTTAAGAAACGGATTTCGTTTTTTTCAATGATTGACTTCAAACAGTCATAACTCGTTTCAGAAGGCATTTTTTTGACTGATCTAAAAATTTATGGATTACTTTGAATACTTGACTATGAGAAAAATTTATATAATAAAAATAAATGACCGACGTGCCTAAACTACGAACACTCATGAATTCATCAAGGTCGTTTTGACATCGTGTTGTATTTAAGGGCGTTTCTCACTTATAAAAATTTCAAAGTTTTTTTAAAAAATTATTGATTAAATAGTAGAAGGTGCAATGAGATGATCAACACAAGAAACTTATAAAAAGTTCTTTTTCCAACTTTTTAGAAATTTTTTTAAGGTACTTCCAAAGCGGAATTTTTTTCGGAATTTTTCCCGACCACTAGTTGACTAACTTCTATTAGTTAAAATACTTTTGCACACATTTTATATTAAAAAAAAACAGACTCAATCGTTTTGCTTTTTTGCCTGAACTGGAACAGAGAAATAATGCAAAACTGCAACTTTTTATGCGAACTGCGTAAAAAAATTCACTCTACATTTTCGTGAAAAACTGTTATCTACAATTTGAAGAACGAGCATCGAGCTTTAAAATGGTATATAAAACTCGAGTATCAAAAAAAATGTTTCGTCCTAAACTTCTTGTCAAAGTTGAAGCATCAAAAAACGAAATCCGTTTCTTGACTACCTAACTTGTATATATAATTCACGCTCACGGCATTCCAGTGGATAAAAACTCCTTCTACCGCTCCTTCGTACTATTTTAAAAATAAGCCCACCTCCTCATTTTCCCTTTCGTCTTCTTCTTTGTTTCCTTCTTTTTCTGCTATTTTCTCTTTAACTGTCGATTCGTTGGCTTCGGAATTGAGGTCCATTTTCGTCTCTGTTCTTTTTCTGAAATAAATTTTTTAGTGCTTAATTTAATGTCTATGAACTCGAAAAAACAGTTTAAAACGATCAAAAAATAAAAAGCTCAAAAATCTGAAATTTCCTGGACGACCATCAATTTTTCATTGTTTGATAAAAGAGGGTCCCATATTTTTAAGCAGACTTTTTTTAGCTGGCGTGTTGGAGCAAAAAAAAAACTTACTTTTTTGATCGTCGACTTGGTGTCTCGAGAAGTCTAAATGACTTCTGAATATGATTTATAAGCTTTTCTCAACAAATTACAGCGAAAAAAGAATAGATGAAATCATGATTTAGAGAAATATGAAATGTTGAAAAATGCGAATGATTGAGATTCGTAGGTAATCTGAGATTCTATCACATAAGACTAGATCAAAAGTTGAGAAGAACTACAAAAGTCCTGAAAATAAAAAAAGAGAAGAAGAAAAACTTTAATAAGCAGAATTAAAATTAAAATCGTTATGAATTTATTTATTGTGAAATGTTCGTAATACTACACTGTTCTTACATCCTTATAAAGCTTTTTTTTTCTAATACCTACGAGTATCAATATCTTTTTTGTTATGAATAGACGTCTGCAACTTTTTTGGATTGTACTGTTCTAAAAATATGAAACAAATTTTCCAAATTACAACTTGTTAGTTAACCATAGGATTTGAAGAGAAATAAGATTGGTTAGCTTTAATGAATTAGAGACCGGAAAATATTCAAGACTGTTGCTAACAATGTTCCCTTTCTCAGAAGTCTCATTGAGAATTAAGAAAAAGCACAAGTCTAGCAAAACTTTAAATAAAACTGAAAATGAGCTCCTCGGAGAACCGCCACTCGGCTATTCGAAAAGACTGAGAATGCCCTCGATTATCAGAGCTCGGGCTACAGTAGGCCAACAAGAGGGCGTTCTTTCTCTGTCCGTGTGCTCCTAACCTTGTCCTGCAGTTTTTCGGCTGAAAAACTTTCCTCCTTGTTGTCTGGAAAGTCACGGAGCAGGATTTCCGTCAAACATTGGAAAACCTTCATAAAAAAATCATTGAACTGGCGTACCACTGGAGAGACCGGAATAGAAACGCTTGCCTTCTCATCTGTATTTCAAACTTTTTTTTCTGTTGTAACTTCATATTTTATATCCACCATCTTCCGAAATTGAAAGAATCTGATTTTTTCTGTAAAAAAGGCAAGGAATAGAGCTTGTTGGGAGCGTCCTTTGCCTTTCAGATAAGCTTCACCATTGTCCGCATGAAACATTTTCGAACCAGAGACGCTTGTTGTTGAATATTTAGGATCCCCGAGTACCACAAGGTTATTGATCCATGAAATTTCTTGTAAAAAACCCCTGATTTAAAAGTCATTCCATAATCAATCGAATTGTTTCATTTCTCACACACGACTACTAAACTTAAATAATTAATGTAAGGACATATATAACATATGAGTTCGTAGCATTTTTTGAATTAAATATTGACTGTCGTGAAACGAAATTTTCGGACTCCTTACTTGATGAAGGCCGCCCGTGCTACACAGAAGCTGTCTAGTTGCAGACGATTTTCCGTACTGTGTACTGACAAAAATAAACGATAGAGTTTCATCAGCTGGAATCCTCGTTCTATTGTGAAAAGCTAGTCGGACAGCAGAAAAAGATTTCTCCGTTTTTTCAATTTTATGATAATTAAAAAGCCCAGAAAAAATCGAAAGGCCTTCACGTCCATTGGAGTTTCATTGAAGACCATTCATTTTCGGAGCATTAAATGAAACTTTTATAAGTTTCGATAAGTTCCAATTCTTAATCACACATAAATAAAAGGCGTTTAGTCAGAGTGTGTCTTGGACGTATATTTGATTGAACAGAGAGTTTCTGCGTGAAGAACGTCTCATGGGACGAGAGGCTTCTGCGTGGAGAGCGTCTCATGGGACGTTGGGAAAAACTTTGAAAAATCGTCCGGGCACATTGTTTCCCTGCAACAGAGAGAAGAAAAATCTCCCAAATCAGTAAAAAGTAGGAAAACCTCCCAGAAGCAAGAACTCCTGGAACAGAAAGAGAAAAAAACCTCCCAGGAGAAAAATTCCTCTGAAAAAGACGTATTCGCCTGAAGTTTTGGTCAGTGCTTCTTACAAAAGTGAATGGAAAATTTTTCTATTCTTATTTATTTCCCGCGTATACTTAAAAAACCTCCGATTTGATACATATAAAAAAGATGCCACCGAGGCAACTTGATCAATTACAAGGCAACTGCCAATTTTACGATTTTTTCCGTGATACGCATCGAGCGATCGAGTTTTATCAGTTGGAGGCCTCGTTGTAAAAGACGGCTTAGATATCTCTATAAAGTATTTTTCAGTTTTCCAATTTGATGAGCTTGAAAGACCAATAAAAGTTATACATTCGAACTCAAACTTCATCCGAAATTTAGAGAACATGTCGGCTCTTTAAAATTTAGTTTCAACCGAGTTTTTCTAATTGTCTGGGTTTAGATAGTCTCATAGTAGTCGGGTGCGGTCAAAAAAAAATCATTCAACTTGATCATTTTCTGGGAATCTTCAAACAAAACCTTCGAAAATGAACACATACAGAAGGCTCAATGATCAATCAAAATTTTGACCAGCATTTTACAAAAATTCAAATGAGTTGAAACCAAGTTTTTCATTGTCCTCGTCTTCTGATTATTCTCTACTGAGATCTTAAAGGCTTGGAAAACAAAAAACCAAATCAAACTGTACCTTTAAAAAGAGGTTTTATCTGTTTCAAACTTAAATTGGACCTTTACTACCTTTAAACCACAGTAAGGCTTCTTGAACGCGCTAAGAATGCACTCGATTTTCCCACTATTTTCTTGAGAAGTAGGTGTTTTTACTGCTCATGTTTTTCCTTCTCCACATCCTTCGATTTTCCGATTATCCCAGAAATATCACTCATCCTTGTTGACTGGAGAATCGCGCAAACTTTCCGTTCAATGTTACAATGTATCATACCCCATACATTAATCATCAGAATGAAACAGAGCTTTACACTTTCGCAACACTCGCATGACCTTTTTTTTGATCGAGAAAAAGTTGCAACTCGCCTGTTGGCTCGATTTCTCGAAGCTTTAGTCAGCGCTCAAGAAATGTTGGTTTTCTCTGCCTTCTGTTATCTCGTCCTGGTAATTTTTTGCATAGATTAACGGTATCAACTTTTTTTTTCGAACTTTAGTTGAACTTCACCGTGGCCAGTTATGGAGTCAATCTTGAACTGCAACCACCTGTCCCAGGATCAGCCAACGAAAGATTGGGTGGAGGTGAGTTTACCTTAAAATTCCAAATTAAAGCTTTTTCGCGAAGGAAAAAATTACCTGTTCGAATAGCTTTGAATTCATCTACTTACAAAGTGTTGCTCGGGAAGTAATGAAGAATTGAAATTTGAATATTTTTCAGAGAGCTTTCCATTGAATTTCGAAAAAATGTATTGGTTCAGGTTTCTTCCATGCATTATTTTCTGCAAAAATTTCTGAGCTTTGCTATTAAAAAATGCAACTTGTAGCTGAACAGTGCCTGATAACTTTTTTCATCCAAGATGCGACGCAACCGCGTCACTTCCAGAAGTTTCTACACCGTTTCAAAGCTCCGAAATTATGATTCATAAAGAAAATGATAAATAAAAATCTTTTTTACCAGTTGTTCGAGACTACTCGCGTCGTCAATACGAGTATCAATATAGATCAAACACAGGAATCCAGTGTTCGTTTTTTTTTTTGATTCATATAAGCTATAAGGATACATTTAGCCGACAGTCGCTGTGGTCTGAACGAAATATTCGCGGAATGCGTCCAAACCTGCAATCCCACTTGCGTCGATCCCATGCCCTTCTGCCAGTTAGTTCGAGTTGAAATCATAAATTGAAGAAGGAAGTCTTTTTTCGGCTTCAAATTTTCTGACGTGGTACAGTGATGAAGAACATTTTAATGCTACGCATCGAAAAAAACTTTGCTACGAGGCCTGATTATTCAAAATAAAAATAACAGCAAGTGAATCGCGTTTTTACAATTTTCCCTGCAACTTTGTTGCTGCTGCCTTCATTGCTAGCAAACTGAAAAATTAACTGTAGACAGCTGTCAATAAACTAGAACTAGCGCTTACGAATTTATCAGTGGATTTTGAAATGAAGATCGAAATGAGGGGTTTGTGTAACCGAGAATCGAAACTTAATGACCTCAGAACAGTAAAAAATTCTTATTCTAAATTTTCTCTCTAAAAATGGTCTTTTTGAAGACAGAACTGCGATCGAGGCGGCTGTCAATGCCTTCCCGGTTACGTCCGTCACATGGGCCGATGCATTCTGAGAACCGAATGCGCTACAAGGAACTCTTTCGCCTCCCGCAGGTCTTGTCAATTCAATGCGCAGTGCTTCCGCAACGAAATCTGCGGCACTGACGGCTTTTGCGCCTTCGGTCGTTCAAGTGAGTGGGAAAACTTTGATATTGAAGTGATTTGCATGGCAGAAAACTTGACTACTTCAAAAAACGAACTAAAAAAGGAAATTAAACTGATCCACACTTAAAAAAGAAAAATATTTAGATAATACGCCCAGGGATCTTCTTGAATATTTCTCAGATATATTCTTTCCTTCGAATATATTTTTGTCGCAGTCTCCGAGTGTGTTCGAACCATCCTTGCTCCTTGGTCTTGGTCCTCCAAAAAAAAACGTCTGGTGAGAAAAAAAGAGCAGTTGTTGTGGGAGATGCGAGGATTCTTGGGGTTCTCGATGGCGCTTCCCGGTGCCCTTCGATTAATCTGACAGCAGTTGCTCGCCTCCAGATATTTTTTCCGAACGCGGTCGGGACAATTGTTCAGCGATGAACTCGGAGTGATTGGAAAACTTTTGAGGGAAAGTGGGAGATTTTAACAATAGTCAAGTTTTTTTTGAGCAATAGCTCAAAAAGTTTGAATAAAATGACTGTCTTTTTGAATTTAAAAAAATTCAGTGTCAACAGAATTTCTGAATTTAAAAAAAGATTCCAAGTTTTATATGGAATATTCAATAAACCATGACTTTTTTTGTAGTTTCGGCCAGTATTTCCCGTAATTCATTCATACGAATTCATTATCTCTGATATCTGCAAACTCTGGAAAGATAAACCTCAAAAAAGTGCCGCAAAGAAAAAAGGCCTCCGATTTGATTGATTGGGAAACGGCGGCCACTGCAAGATTGTTTTTGGCTTTGGCAGTCTGAGGTCTTTATTTTTGTAAAACAAACAGTTTCTTAATTGACGTTCAAGTTGTACTATATCTTTTTTCAATTGGTTAGAACTGAGAATAAAGCAAAACATCCAAAAAAAAAAACGGGGAATCTCGATGTCATCGAACAGTGCAAAGATTTTTTGTTGAGCGCCAAAACTGCTTGAATACTTTTGTTTTAGCCCAACATCGCTCCCATGGCGTCCAAAGATGCACCAGAGACAATGACTGTTTCGATGGACACATCTGCCTCGAAGGAAGGTGCTCGCCATACTTGACGTCCAAAACCACTTTCCACGGTTCGACAACCTTCACCCGCACTTTCGATTGAGTTAACTTTCGAATCAATGAAATTCATGCAGAAAATTTATTCGCGTCATTCAACAGTTAAAACAATCAAATCGTTAAAATTCAAAAAAGCACCATGAAAAAGTCATACGGAGCGTGGGGATACGGTACTACAAACAGCCGGGGTAAACAGACGACGTGGGAAACTTGCGAAACACGGGACGCTCTCACACGGTTCAAAAACACAGAAACATGGCAAAAAGTTGTTGTTGGCGGGGAGAACGATTTTCAGTCCATGTCATCTTCGATGCTCAGGAATTCGAATTCCTCTGCAAGTTGAAAAATCAGTTCAAGATGTTCTGTGATGAAATTTAAGGACTTCTGATATGTGAATGAATTTTGAGCATAGTTGAACCGAAGCTTTGATAGTATGTTCATACACGGAAGTTGACGAATAAACTTGTTTTTTCGCTTTATTTGTTTCTGAGCTTTGAAACAACCGTAAAACTGATCAAACTCAGTTGATTCTGCATTTATGAATTAGTTGTTTTTAACATGGTTTCAGAAAAAAATCTTAGAGTAGTTTTAGTACTAAACCTTCAGTGAAGTAGTCGCAGTGAGTGAAATCGCTGCCAGTGTCAGTGTATTTGTCCTCGTTGTCATCATGATCAGCCTCGCGATCCTCATCCATGACTTCGACCATGTCCATGTTTTCCTCCTTCTTCTCATCTTTCTTCTGCAAGAATATTTCCAAACAGAGGTTTATCGAACTTAAGGAATAAGACAAACCTTGATATCTTTCTCCAGAGGAATTGGCACTGGAGCAGAAGTAGGCTTCTGTACAGAGATCACGACGTGCTCGTCAACTTCGATTTGCTCTTCGGGCTCCTCTTTTTTCGCCACCTCGCTCGGTCTTCCATTGATCATCATAGTGTCGATCTTCAAAGTAGCGCCATAATTCATCTTCGTGCCACAGTCATCTCCTGAAAAATCGAATTCCATCCGCGAGAAAAGACTAATTTTGAATTTTCGAATGTGTTTTGAATCAAATTCATTCGTTAGATATTTTTCAACTAGAGATTCATGTGAAACTAGACCATTTTACAACTCTTGAGGCTTAAAAAAAGCCGAGAGCGTGAAAATAATTTTCGAAAATTTTTGGGACGCTATACTTCGACTAGAAAGCCACTAGTCGACTGAAAAACTCACGGCTATCTCCATAGTAGTAGATCAGCATGGGTTCCATGTTTCTCATGTGCACGAGTTTCGAGAACATCTTCGCCGGAGGCGGCACTGTAATTAAGGAAATGAAAATGTTGTAGTATACTAATAGTTGGTTTAAAAATTCGAAAAAAAGGAAGTATAGATTTTTTTCTCGCGTTTCGAATTAGTTTCCAGAAAGTTTTAAAAGATTTTGAAGACGCAATGATATTATTGATATTGATTTCAGGTAACACGGACCGAAAATGTCCTTTTGGTTTATTTTCAAATGGCTGAAAAATGCTGAATTCACCTCGAGGAGATCCTGAAAATCAAAACTCGGAAATTACTCCGTTTTTGAAATCCAAAAAAGTTCAACAAACTGTAACTTCCAGAACCTCCATCGGTCAATTATCGAAAAATTCCTAAATTCAACCTTTTGGTGATAAAACACTTAACTGCCAAAAAAATTAGCGAACTTTTTCTATGCAGCTTTGGAATTTCCATGAAAATCTACTGAAGGTAATATAAATCACACAAGTATGAGAGACACAATAAATCTGATAATAAACTAATCCAACGAAAAATCGTGAAAAAATTGCGCGAAATTTGAATTTTCCGTTCTCGAACCAGTCTTTAAATGATTAAGATATGAAACTATCTTACACACGATGTCGTCGTACTCGGAGCGTTTACTTTTGCGGGCGTTGTTCATGACTGCTGGCTCGGTTGCTGGTTCGGCGCGTGGTAGAACTGACGGAGGAGGGACCATTCTTTTGGGTGGAACGTCGGTGACGTCATCCAGCGCGAGAGCCCAGGAGACGGACTTTTTCGCGCGCCGCCCTTTTCGCGGTCTACAGACGTCCGCGGTTGCTAAAAACAGATTTGTTTTCTTGTCGGTCAAAACTTTTCAAATGTTGGCAGGCTCTGACTTACGGGAATTTTACAGTTTTCGATATTTATAGCAGCTAATTTTTGATTTTTGAGTGGAATAAGCAAGATTTTCTTTTGATCAGAGCTCGAGACTATGATCTGTAATTTTTAAATCTCTGACTTTTTTTCATGGAAGTATAGAGATATCGAAAAAAATTATGAGAAAATTCTTTTTACTAGAATCATTAAAAGACGTTTCTACTCTTTCCACGAAGCTTCACGACGTTTGAAGTTTTGATTAAAGAAAAAAGAAAATTTTTCAAACACCTTATTCATTTCAACCGTATTTTTTGGGAGAAAAGGAGATGAATCTTATTTCAAAAGGACTTTATACAAAGCGGAAAAAAAGCTCTTCATATACATAAGTTAGAGAATTAATTCAAGATCAATGCAAAAAAATTCTGAAAGTCGCTTAATTTTTTCAATTTTTACAGATTTTCGAAATGAAAAAATAACAAGTTGTCGGTTTTTTTTGTGAAAAAAATTGTCACCCAAAAATCTTTTTGAGGAAGCCATTACCATATTATCACCCTGTGCCTTAAGGAGAAATATTATTTTTCTTCGACATGAAAACTAACCTTGAACAATTTCATCCCTTATGGTTTTCCCTCTCAAAGAATCTAATCTCAGCGAATAAAAGTACATTCCTGAAAAATCATGAATCGGGGAAAAACTTTTCAAAGCGAGAAAATCTTTTAACTGAATGAACAAGTTCGTTTGAGAAAAGCAAAAGTTATTAGGGTATTTTTTCTAACTTTTAAAAAAGTTTTGCGGTTTTTGAATAGTGTTTGCAGTGTAGCCAATTGTCAGTTCAAAATACTTAAACAAAAAAGATAGAAATATGAATAATTGGAAGTAAAGCATCAAGAGCTTTTGCCATTTAAGGGACCAAAACTGCTGTTCTGCAACACTACGGAATCGAAAAAAATCAGAAAATTATCTCAAAAAGGTGTGATACCGCAATTATGTGTTTTTATCACATTGAGTCAAAAAACACTACAAAAAAACGAAAACTTCGAAAATGTCCAAGAAATTTTCGTAGAACTGTACGAAAAGAAAACTTTGAAAGCGATGTGTGGACGTATCCCTTTATGGAACATTAAAAAAATGCATATTTTGAGATTTTTTTCTCCTGATTTGCGTTCCTGGGAATTTTTTCTTCCTAGTTAATCATTTTCTCATGGCTTGATCAGCACTGAATATGTGTGGAGGTAATAATTATGAGTTAATCTTTGATTTGCTTTCTTTTAAACTCAACCTGTTGAGGCGCAAAGTTTTTGACTCTCTTGGATCAAGATTTTCAGACGAGGTAATTAATTAAATTTTGTGAATTTGAAAAGTTTGGACGATCGAAGATCCAAAAAGGTTTTATGATTTCCGGGGTCAAAAGTTCCATTCCGCTTTTTTTCGTCTTCACCGAAGTTGGAAGCTGAGAAGTCTTAAATTCAAACTTTAAAAATATAAAAAAATTCTGTTTTTTTGCGATACTGCTTTTGAGAAAAATAAGCCAAGTTTTTTTAAGATTGAAGAGAACATTTTTCATATTTTCTTTGATTTGACTTATAAACTTTTCTGGATCATACTTGTACAGTTTTCCGTTTTCAAACTGTGCGTAAATATTATTTTGCACTTTCATGACCAGAAATCGTTCAAAAACTCACCACAGTCTTAAACTGCTCATGAAACTCGCATGATCAATTGACACTCTCACGAAATTCTTCAAATTTCTTTTTTTCTGTAGAAGGATTCTCGTTCTGTTCTTCAGTTTCTGAAAACAAGACATGTGGATGGTGAACCACTTCTTCAAACTGCAAAATACTTCAAAAAAAACATTCTTTGGAATCGCGAATATTAGCTCAGGTTGAGCAATTTTAATGGCCCAGCGAGCAGTTTTAAACGGACCATTTACTTTTTTCCAATTTCGATTCACCCATAAAATTTGCGCTCTCCCTGACAAATTCTTCCGGTCGTAACTTCCCATATGGTTGGATAAAACAAAACGGTCGGGGTGAAAGATGAAATAGAGCGGCTGCAGGTGGAGAGGGATCGTTGCGCGGTACCATTAGCGGGGTAATTGTCGCTTAATCCAACGCTCCGTTCTGTAATTTGACGCGCGGCGCTGGCCGTTTCGGAGGTCGTTGGTATTCGGCCATCTGATTCATTGCCGTTCAATTGGGCATGTTAAGTTTTAGAGCTGTCTGTAGTGAGTTGATATTCAAAGAGTTCGGAAACGTTTTGAAAATGGTCATATAAAGTTTTGGATTTTTCGAAGTAGTCCTGAAAGTCTCAAAGGTTTCTATTCTTCGAGAAGACTTCGAAAGACCCTTGGCTGGACACTTCGCGTGGTGAGGAGGACTGAAAAAACTTTCGTTCCTTGAAGGTTAAAATTTTTATGGGTCTTGAAAGGGTCATTCACCAAAAAATAAGATATGCATCTTTAAAAAAATTCCGAGTACACAGAAATGCTACAATCGTCGATGAAAAAGTATTCTGAAGTCAATAATCGACGGAAATCATCTACAACTTTGCAAATTTTGGCGTTCTGCTTTCCACGTAACCATTGGATTTCAATTCAACAGATCTTTTAGAAAGCGCCAACTAAAATTTTTAGAGGAGTTGATAGCACTAGTACTGATTAATGTTAAAATAGACGATTTTATGAGTTTAGACTATTGTCCGAGCATTAAAAACCCAAACTAAACCCCACAAAATAACATCTCTCTTTTTGCCTGAAGTTTTCTTGGATGAGAATAGAAAACGAGTGGTCGGCGCCCCATTTGGTATTCTTCCGGTTTTAGGGGTCGGACCACTTAGAAAATGTCCTTGAGCACTTTTCGGCCGGTCATTACAAGAAGAGGAATAGGAGGCCTCTTTATGCACCGGTGGAATACGCCATTGTGTCTCGACATCGTCGTTTTAACTTCTTTGGAGCCCATATCCTCGGCCCGGACTATTGCTATTCACCATTCTTTGTCAAGTGTTTTTTTTTTCATCATGTGACCTTTTCCAGCCCATCCTTAATCGCGAAACCAAGTTTTTCATTTTTTTGAATGTGTAGTAGTGATTTTGCTAAACTTTCGTCGTTCTCTTTCCCAGCTCTTTTCGAATTTCTCAGCCATTGTCAGATCTGAAACAATAGCTGGGAACCATCCGACGGTTTGTCGCTGGTTTCGTCGTATAAAGGGGCACCTGCACACACGTTCAAACCACGATTCCTTTTTTGCCCTAGACGTTGTCTAGCACGTGTTCTAAGAAAGAGAAGACAGACGCATCTCTGGGACTTGCACTTTGTCTTCAATTTCTCATCGTACGAGTTGGGGACAAAGGCTTTGATTTGAGCAGAGCAGATATTTCACGTCCTTTTTATGGGTTTCTGAAAGAATTATCCATCATAGAAAATTTCAAAGGTTCTTATTTAGTCATGTAATATATTATCTGGGATAATTTTACGGAAACTGTAATTTTATCTATGAATGATAGACCAAGTTTTTTTCTTTTAAATCAAGCTTCGAAATTATAGAAACATTTTAAACTTTTTCTGAGCCTCCAGAAGGTTTCAAAATATTTTTCAAGAAGAAAGACAGAAATTTTTAAGTTCCTAAAAACCGGAGTCTTTCGTTTGCCTACAAGCATTTTTTTGGAAGGGATTCTCTCATATTATCAACACCTGATTTTGTGAAATTTCTTTTCAAACCAGAGACGCTGAAGTGATTCCGCGAAACTCAAAACAGCGGCCAGACAGTGAGAAAGATAACTAAACACTGGAGATTCAGAGACAATTTTGAACTTCGCTGAAATTACTTTGAAGACGGCATAACTCGCGAATTTTCCACGTTTTCCCCTCAAAAAGGCGGCCCGCAACGCTTTGAGCACACATTGACGCGTCGAACCATTTTGAATGGCGGCCGCTTTTTCCAATCATTCCTTCTGATCACGCCGACATCGCTCTTTGCTGGTGCGCGGCCTTTCAAAAACATAGCGCCAGCCGCTAAACTTTTGACCAGAGCAGAAAAATAACATTCGTAATGGCTTTCCAAGGTTCGCGAGGGACAGAAAACATTTAGAACACTTTTGAAAAATGCACTTAGCAAAGTGACTCTTAGGAAAACTGATAAGTACGTTGTTCCTAAGACGTTGAAGAGAAAAAATTGAATTTAGCGGTACAGTAACTTTTGAACTTAGGTCTTTCAAATTAATATAATATGAATTGCGTTTCTTGGTTTAATTCCATTTTTGAAATCTCTTTTTCCGTCACGAATATTGATAGATAATAAATAAAATTGCACCCAAAGCCTGAATAAAAACTTGACAACGTAACGGAAGCTCTTGTTTGAGATAAAATCTGTAAAAACTCCTTTCCAACATGAATATATGGCAAATGATAAGAAAACTACCTAAGCAGTCAAAAAAAGAAGGGAGAGAGGCATTTTTGAATAATTCTACTCAAACGGTCATCTCTTGAAAGTTTTTTTCTTTGAATTTCTTTTTAGAAAAAAAGTGAATATATCAATCAGAATTCCTGCGAAGTCACAGAAGCCTTTAACTAAAAAAGGTATTAAAAGCTAATCTCTGAAAGGAATTTATGAAAATGGATTAAAGCTACATGAAGAGCCAACTACGTCAAAGAAGCTTTTGTTTGAGGCCTAATCTCCTGCTGATTATTTTTTCAGAAACCTGAAAAACGCGGATTAGAACGCATGAGAGTCCGACGACGTCCCAGAACCTCATTTTTTTTTTCCAAAGTCTGACTCCAAAAGTTCATTCCACGAACTGCCGTCGCCTCGATATGATCGCGTCGCGGTTATCTTGCATCGCGGCTGTTTGTTGGGTCTTGGACCTGGATGGTATCATCTCTCAGCATCTGCGCAGAACCCCTAGTTGACCTGTTGGCCGTCGTGTTCGCCTTTCAGCGTTTTGACGGGGCAGCGTGTTTGCACAGTGCGCCATCCGATACCGTATAATCCGCCATGAAACGTCCGCTTGTTGAAAGAAGGCTTGATGGTGCTTTTTAGAGCTGAGTGTTGCGCTAAAAGTTCTTATGGCAGAAAAAACTTTTACTGGGAAAGTTGAGATTTTTATTGGTTTTTCATGAAATGCCTTTTATAATCCTCGCATTGCAAAAAATTGAGTTTCTTTTTTAATTCGGACTTTTTAATGAAGTTATGTCAATTTAGAAAAGTTCGAATTATATCAATAATGAAAATTTGAAGTTTGCAAAGCTTTACCTGCTTTGAAACAAAATTTATAATTTTTTTCACGCGATTTTTCTAGTTTTGAGTAACAAATTTACAATTGAGAAACTACGAATTTTTCCAACGTTTTGTCTCTGTTTACGAAATTTCGAGTTTTCAAAAGCATTCACATTATTTTTGAGACAATGACAGCCCTTGAAATGACTGTTAAGGCTGAAAAAAATCTCAAATTCATTTTGAAACCTTTTTTCATGCTTCTTCTAGTGATTTTGGATAGACAAGAGCTATACATTTGTATCGAAATAATGACTTTCAATATTTTCGTTCTATCCTTGTGATGTGAAAAATTAATGAGCTCTGTTTCGGATTCCCAAGGGAGTCCATCTCATTAATCAGAACCCAGAACGTTACTATGTTAAAAATAATCCTCATTAGCTGATTGCTCACAAATCTCGTGAGCTTCCCACTGCAGGTGCGCAAACTATTTTAGGGCTTTTGTTATGAATTACGGCTCATGTCCACACAGGTGCACGCGCTCCGTGTACTAGTGTAATCACGCTGCACTTGATTATTTTCCCCTTTTCTGCAGCGCAAGATGAAGCCTTACTGAGAAGCTGGAAGATTGCCGAATTCGAAGAAAACCACAAGAATTTCTATTTTCAAAAATTTGGAGAATCAGAAACGTAAACACTTTTTACAGCCGTTTCATGACGCCTTTTTGGTAGGAAATGTTTTCGAAATAAAAATTGACGAAGGCTTCCAACTTTATTGAAGCAATTCCGAAATTCAAAAAACGAGAAGTTTTTCAAATAAAAGTTGAAACTCGAAAAAACTGAATGGCGTCTGGAATTAGGTCTCTTCTTCAACGGATTAAAAAAAATCCAAAAGTTCGAGAAAAAAAAACTTTTCAAATGTCAACCAAAATAGAACTACCAGTTCAGAAAAAATCCCGAATCATTACTCATGCAGATGAAATTTCTGGAAACCTAGTTTATTTATTCTTACAGAGTTGGGCAGACTAGATTACTTTGGAGATGTATCAAGTGATTTGTAGAAAATTTTCGTATTGGAAAGTATTATCACTGTTTCTATCAAGAGTTTCACTGCCGTTGATAAATTTATTTTCACAATTTTTCTGGCTGTTTAGATGAAAAAAATATTATTATTGGTTTCGAAACACTGAAAAAAATTAATTTTTTTATAGATGCATCTAAGTCGTTTTTAGTTACCTTTAAAAAAACCCAAAAATTAGGAAAAATAATTATTTTTTTCTCGGACTTGATGTTGAATCTGTTACTGAAGCTTTTTTCTGAACCCGTCAATATTCTAGGAATTGGTCGGCACAAGCCATACCTCCCGCCTCTTTTCCTCTCTCGTGTTTCACGTCGTCATATTCGGAGCCACGCCCACAATTGGCGCACCTGAGCGTTGCCTTTACCATTCGATGGATATGTCCGCAGCGACAAGCAGCCAAATCTATTCCCTTCTATTCATCCAGATGTCCCAAGTATTTTTTCTTCATTTTTTCCATTTACGGCCTACAGGAGTATTGATGGTTCTAACGTCAGTATTCTCATTAACTTGCCAGGATTTTCCAAAGAACGGAAAGGTTTCTAGGAAGAAACTGACTCAAATTCGGCCCATCCCCCAGCAAGCTGATGAGAAAACTGTTCATTTATCATTAACTTGAAGAACCACGAAATTTCCTGTCTCAAGCCAGCGATGATTGGAGTACTTTTGTGTCGTGTCGTTTTTTTCAGCGTCAATCATTTTAATGAGCAGTTTCTATGCGCAGTTTTCGTGTGCGCTCCGCAGCTATTGGCCGAAGCACCACGAAAAGCTGCTCACGGAATGTTCCACCATTTTTTGTCTGTTTTGTCCAGTTTCAGATGATACGAAGGTATGTAGTAGACACAGCCAGCTTCTTGAGTGTGAAGTCTTGAGTAAAAACTCCGCTCTGCGGAGTATAACGGCCTTTCTGTTAAGATAACATTAGATTGAGGTCTTTATTAGAGGAACATTGTAATATTTAGAGATTTCTGTAATACTCCGGATTTCAAAAAGCTTAAAATTAAGAGTATTTTCCTAAAAGAAGAGGATCAAAAACGAATGACTTGGATATGGCTTCATGAAAGCAGATAAAAGTTCTTGAGAATCTAAAAAGCTATGTACGCTTTTAAGAATCCACTGTAAAAAAAAGCTCGCTTTTTGTGACGCGTTCCATTAAGCTTCAAATTTTTTCCCTACAGTAAAAAGGCTTTTTAAAGCTGTTTTCTTCAAAATTTTACAGGTGTAAAAAATGATTCGAGCCCAAAGTGCGTCGAATTGTTTGATTTGCCTCTCCACTCTCACACGTAGATCTTCTCGCCCGACGGCGCAACGATGACACGGTCAGATAAATCCTGCAGAACTGGCGTCGATGAAATCTCTTCGACTGAAAACATAAAGAAACTTTTTCCTTCGCGTTTTCTTTCTGACATGATACGATAACATTTGCTGATAAAAATTTTTGCATGATAAAATGTGTACAAATCATTATGATTTCAAAATTCAATTCGAAAAAGCCAAGGTAATAAGAACAAAATACCGCGTTTAGGAACCGCTACTGGAAAAAAATAATTTTTGCAATTAATCTCATTTCGAGAGCGTGATCAATAAAAACAGGCCCATATATCACAGTTTTAGAAATGAGGGACTATTAAATGAATCAAAGTGTCAAAGACCATTGAGCAGTTTATACAATTCTTCTCTGCACGAGCATAAACTTCGAACCTTGAAATTTATGAGAAGAGATAAATTATTTTGTTTTTTTCAAAAAAATCTAGAAGTTTCAAAAATTCGAAAAATTCGTTAAATTTTTAAGCAACAATAAAAATCTTCCCAAAATCGAAAAAAACAGAAAAAAAGATTTAGAGCCATAAGGATATTTCAATTACAGTCTAGTGTCGGTTATCAAATATTCTGAATTCCCAACAGGATTTTTTCCGTCGGCATCAGAGAGGCCAGTTAGGGAAGAAATACGCTGGGCGACTTGTTGAACAGGTAACGCGAGAGAAACGACTGCGCTCGTGGCTGATCGCTTTCTGATGGGCCAGTCACCGTTGGCATTAGTCTTTTGCACTTTTTTCTGCAAATTCCGTGTAAAATCTTCATTCCGTGTAAAATCTTCATTCCGTGTAAAATCTTCACTCGAAGTGGTAGCTCTCATTCTGAGGCTTCCATCTAGAGCACGGTCTCCGGGCTCCAGCACAACATCCGCTACATTCTGAGCTCGTCAAGGCGCAACTGGATACACTACGCGCAGAAGGACGAGACGAAGGACCGTAAGACCATGCTTTCAACTCTTTCGACTACACGTTTGGACTTCTAGCTCGCCAAAGGCGGTTGTTCGTTATAGCTTTCAAAGTTCTTGTTCACCGCCTAGTCGATACATCTATGACTAAACCAACAAAATAAATGATTTGATTTGATTGATTGAAATCACTTGAATTTTAAAAATTTAATATTCACTTCATTGCTGCTTTGCATAAATCTGCATTCTCTCAAAAATTAGAAAGCGCTTTTGAAGAAGACTAGGAAAACGTTATGGCAAAAAGAAAAGAAAAATTCCCTTCAAGCTAGATATGAATCAACTATGCTCCAATCTAAACATTTCCTAACAACTCCTGCACTATTCTGACGTGTCAAGGTGCGAAAAGAACCCAATCGTAAGAACGAGAAAAGATATGTTTGCTTGGAAACGCCTCGTTTTTCTTCTATACAATTTCAGCTTGTCTGATTTTTCTTTTTCCTTCAAGCTGTTGTAAGTTTCCAGAGAAAAAAAAATGAGCAGAAATTCTCACGGTTATTTTGAAATGCTCTTGGATAAGAGTTTCATCTCCATTGACTCCAGTTACCGCGACAGTGGGAAGCCTGAATAAAACGGTTCTTCGGAAAGATCGAAAAATTTTCACAAACCTCAGTTTTCTGATGAAGCTAGTTTGTCTTACAGCATTCAACAAGGCAGACGCCGGAAGCTGAAAAAATTTGCGTCATTAATAAAATGATTTTTAAACCTGCAAAAAACGGCAGTTTTGATGAACAACGACGTCAAAATCCGGCACGAAAAAATAGCCGTCTACGGGTTCTGAAAAGGAAAGTAAATAAATATTGTTTCTTAGCCCTACCAGTTCCGTTCTTCAAGTGATTCTCAATAAGTTTTAGCAAAGGTTGGCCAAAGGCTGACCAGGGACCGACTTCAAAAGACAGGCGTGACTGATCATCTCCATAATATTTTTTATCATCTGATGAAACCAACTTTTTGAAACGTGGCAGTAGCTTTTCCTTCTAGAATCAGTAGGAAACGATTACTAGGTACCCCGATCTGATAAAGATGAACGGGGCTAGGGACTAAGTTGTTCTTGGTAGGAGAGATTGAAACCTGTAAGTTATCAGCTTGAGAAATTATTAAAATGTCCTAACCTCACGAATGTTTTTTTGAATGAGCTTTTCTTGAGCTTTCATTTCGATGATTTTTATATCGAAAACAGCGCTTTCTTCGGCTAGGAATTTTTGAGTCATCTGAAAATAATGAAGGGGAACTGAGTTTTAAAAGGACATTTTAAGGCTACTCATCCCTTAGCCCCAGCTTTCTGAAAAATTATAATGGTCTCTTAAAAGGAAAAAAAACCTTCAAAACGTTCCACGACAATTGCTCGCTTTCGGCTTCATCATTGGCTTTGTCTCCGAACTTTGGCTGAAAATCACTTTTTAATAATTCAATAAAAGAATTTGTCTAAACTCTGTTTCGTCTGTTTTTCTGTACATTGTCCAAAACGGAATCCGTTTCGTCAATGATCTCAGATTGGAGAATTTCTTCTAAAATGTCTTCCAATGTCACCTGTAAACATTTTTTCTTATTCTGCAAATTTTTCCTACATACCACTCCAGTCAATGTTAAAGCGGCCTCTTCACTCACATCCACAGGCTTGAGCAAAGTCGTTGCGGCTTCAAGGAGTTTCATGGAAGTCTTAGAAAGACAATTCCATTCAAATGTCTAGTTTTCAAAAGTTACCATGAAAAAGTCGGACTTTTTCTCAATCGTAGTTTCTCGTTTGTAGAAATAATTCGATTTGGCAACCATGGCTAGATGATAATCTCCCTGAAGTTTTAAATCAACGAAAAAAAAAACCAAAATCAAAAAAAAACCAATTTGAACTCTTCGAGAAGGGCGGTCAGAGGCATATGTTCGTCAACGACTCTCAACTTTCGATGGTTATAATTGGCCACGGCTTTTACGGGAATGTTGCTCTTCTTGTTGATCAACGCCAGGTCGCTCATGTGCAAAATCGATTTCACCTGAATTTTATCTATTTTTTCTATTCCTGGAAAATTTCAAACATCATTCCGGTCATTTCCAGCGTAGAGCGGGATCCTTGAATAGCCTCTTTCTCCGATTTCTTCCAGAACGGCCGCATTTATGCAGGTATCTTCCGACAACATGAAAACGTCCTAGAGCTGCTATGTAAAAAGTTTTAAATCCAAGAATCACTTCAATTTTAGTCATGCAGTCGATAGCTTTCTTTTTGCTCAGCTCCATCGCACCGACGGCAATTCTAGTTAAATTGGCCATGTCCTGAAGTTCCTTGAAATACAAAGAAAGTTATAATGGCTACCAAATCATTCTCGTCTACGCTCATTTTCAAAATTTCCACCAGTCTGTTTCGATCGAAATTGTCGACTTCAACGCCAAGAATGAAATCAAGGATCTAGAAGTTTGAAATTGAAATTTTGAATTTCTCTTGATCGAAATACCTTACTGAGTGGCCAAGCAAGAGGGAACATCAGGAACATGAAAAATCTGACAAGAGGCATGGTTCTGGCCCCGATCGCCAAGCCATACCTGAAATTATTTCATAATCTAAAACAAAAGACGGCCAACTTCACACAAATGCTCTGAGGTACGATCTCGCCAAACACGGTGATTCCGGCAGAAGAAATGACGAATGCTGCTAAGCCATGAGCAATATCTTCGAAAAGAATCGAAATTCCGGCATTGACCATCTAAAAAACTGGTAGGTGGAGAAAACTGCTAAAGAATAACTCACCACATTGATAAGAATCAAAGTTGTAATCAAGTAATTTCCATTTTTGCGTGCTGGTAAGATCGTTTTTGCATATTTTGCTTCCTCATCGGTGCCTTCAAAATGAAAATGTGCACTGTTCGACTTCGATTTTTAACCATTAATGTTCAAAAATGACATTTTGAGCTTTTTTATGCATATTTACCACGTTTCTAGTGGTAAAAAATTCTCGCAAATAATTTCCAATAACCTTACCACTATTCATAATTAAATTCAGCTCCATTGTAGACAGCGCCATCAATCCAATATTCAGACCCGAGCAGAGGGCTGACAGGAAAAGGAGGACAACAATGAGAGGATACTGAAATTTGGACCATATACGTTTCTCCGCTCATTAAAAACCTGAATAAACCAGGGAAAATAAGGCTCCTCAGTTTTGTAACTCGTTTGGACCCACGTTCTATCGTCGTCAATCTGAAAATTCATATAAAACTATTTTTTAATTATTCTACCTGGATGCTATCTCGCTTCCCTTTTTCTCTCACGCAAAGTCTCCAAGGCGTTGGCCATCTGAAAATCAGCTTTTTTTTCCAGTTTGAACCGATTCTCACTCCAAGAAAGTGTGAGAAAAAACGATGCGGGTGCTCTTTTGAATCGAGAAATCGCTACTCGAGATGTTGAACTCCGAAGTGAGGCACACTGAATCGGTGAAACTGGCGGATTCAACCTGAAGACTTTCAAGTTCCAAAGTCTCAAAAAAGAAAATAACATTGTCTAGGTTGTAGCCGTAAATGGAGACAGTGACTTGTGCCCCAGCTTCCACCAAGATTATTCCAGAAGGGATTCTAAAATAACATTTAAAAAATGGAGAAACGTCGAAAATAGACTCACTTGTATCCAATGAACCCTTTAGTGCCATGTGGATTCTCAACTCGGACCCCTGATACGATTGGATTTCTTTCCTAGAAAAATTTTATTGCTACATATGAAGGTGACTGTAATGTAAATAACGATAATCCTCTTGAATGAAACTGAGAAAAATATTCAAAGAAATTTGCCAATCTATTTCTGTGATCTTGCAAACCAGATCCAGTCATTTGATTTTGAAAAAAAAGGAAGTTAATTGGAAGTACTCAACCTGAAACTTGACTTTGATTATAAATTCTCACCTGACTACCAGAAGAGCCAATACAAATACACAAGCACACAAAAATTCCCAAAGAAAACATCCGAATGCAGCCGTTTTCAGGAGCTATCCTGTAAAAAATCGCTAATAACTCAAAGTTCGCTTATCGTTTTTATGAAATATCGCCCGACGCAAGAAGGGTTTGATTGATGTGATAAAAAAAATTTGAAGCTGATAATGCAAAATCGATAAGTGGTTAGAAATCAAATGTGCGGAAGACGTTGTTAATCAAATCAAATGGAACGCTTCGCATATCCATTAGCGAGGAACACTTTTTTGCATGCTACTCATACTCGATTCACAGCAAAAATCATAGTACTGGAATCACAAAAAAACAAAGATTTTTAGCCACAAAAAGTTTGATTTTTCAAATAAGAACTATTCAAAAATGTTCATACATACAATTTTGAACTATTGTCCATCATCTATATCAAAAAAACGGAAAGTCTGGATGTAGATGTAAAAATCTCATTTTCTTTTTGGAAAAACTTCGCAAAAAGCCGTCAATTTTTTTGCCTTTTAAAAAAATCATTTCATCATGCGTTCAAATCACCCCTCTGAATTTTTCAACCCAACAAAAATCACAAAAAAACTGTTTTTATGGAAAAAAAAAAATCAAATTCAACACAAAAATCAGTAAATCCGGGAAAAGCACAATTTTAAAAGGCAAAGCAAGCAATAATAAATTTTTCAAAATAAATCTCAAAAATTTGAGATAACTATACAAGGCGTGAGATGGATCACGAAGAAAAAAAAAGTCTTTCAACAAAGTTCCGCATTTCGATACAAAATGAAACAAGGCAATCAACAATTGAAATGTAACACAATGTACACTGGATGTATAGTATGTACAAATGTACACTTTGGACAGTTTTTAAACAAACGGATAGAAAGGAAAAAAGGCCACGTGATCAAATCGATATTTTTTTTTGTACAAAAATGGGTTAGAAAAGAGTGAACAGTGGAAAAATTATTTTCCAGAGCCTCCCGGACGTCTTCTTCGCCCCATTTACGGCGTTCATCTTGGTAAATATCGGGACGCAATTGATTGCGAAGTCCTTCAAACAAAAATTATGACATATTGAGAATTGAAAAATGAGTCTTCCGATTATGAGAAGATTAAAAGTATAATTACAGGTGTTTGGGATAGGTTTTTCCTCAGAAGCTTCAAGATAATTATAGTTTCATCGCTTCACCATTTTTATGAATTTATCGCTGCTTTTTTTCATTTCCAACAGCAAATTTCATCTTTCATCTGAAGTTCTCTAAAAACCCGACCAAAAGCTCAAAAAAATCTTTTTAAATTGAAAAATTGATTTTTGAAGCTGCTGGAAAATATGACATGGAAACAAACCTCCAAGGAGTTGATAGGTGACTTGAGATGCCATGACGATAGGACCAAGGAACGTCGGCACAGCATAGCGGAAAGCGCTGCGGACGACAGAATGACCCGAGGCTCGATCTTCTTGAGCTGCGAGCTCGAAATCATCACGGGTTTGGCGATACCCCTAGAAGTCATTATTTTAATCCCTCAGATAATTTATATTAGATTGCCGAACCTCATAAAGAGTTCCGTAAGCAAGTTGGAGACTGTGACGAACGTCCGTGGGGTTCACGGCTTGGGCTCGTTCAACGCGCCTGTTTCTGCGGTTCATGTAGGCTCCGTCAGGTTTGACCTCGTGCATTGTCATCTCCGCGATTGTCTAGATTATTTAAATAAGATCTCATCGGATTTTTTGCAAAGATAAAACATTTTTGGCTTGAAACTTTCTATCAATCAATAAATAAAAGAAGTTACAGAAAAACCATCCTCCAGACCATCAGCAGTAAAACCAGAAGCTCCAAATAATGTCGAACAAAGGGTCCGACGTTCCTTCATTTGCTGCTTTTTGAAACCCATGGTTGCTCATAAAATGACTCAGTGTTGCAGATACGTTGAATTTTCAATTGTTTTCTTCATTAGCCGAAAATTCAGCCGTACTAAATTTTAGAGAAATCATTGAAACTTGACTCATTCTTCATGCGGTCGTGAATTTTACATTTTTTTAAACGTATTTCTTAAAGTTCACCTGCACGAATCCAGCCACCGTCTGAGCCATGCCGACGATTCCAGCTGCAGAAGAAACGCCAAAAGAACCGACGCCTTTCTGAATTCCTTTCACGACGCGCCCATCCTCTTTTCTCATTTCTTCCATCGGCATCCAGAAAAGATCGACGATCCCCTTTCCTGGAAGAAAAAAACTTTTTTTCAACTTCTCACTCTGACAATCTCACCAATTTGAACAAGTGGGCTGATTGGTCCACAACTGGCAATGACCGTCGGCATGTTGGCCATCAGATCAGCAGACCATTCATTGATAGCGTACTGAAATCTTCCATTCAACCTTGAAAATGAAAATGAATGAAAATTACATTGATGCATCTGCCAACGCCCAGCATGCCGTTACGGTTGACCAATTCCCTCAGTTCAATTGGCATTTGGTTCAGCTGACCAAAAGCCATGAGAAGAGCTGCAGATTGTTTTTTTAAATATTGTTTATTGCATGGAAACTTACCAACAATCGCACCAGTCTTTTCCATGCTGATTTTTCTTTTTCCTTGGTAATCAACGTAGATGGAAATTGAAGGAGAGAAGACGAATTCCCTGAATAAGAGCGTTTTTGCCTTTGCGAACAAATCCACATCGTTATTCTCAATTTTTACCTAGGCCAAGCCTGACCATTTCACAGGCTTTGTAGAGTTTCACAAAAATTAAAAAGTTTCGGTCAACCAACTTGAAAAAGGTGTGCTCTCGAGTCGGAAAGTCGTCTTGTGGAGCTTCCATTTCTTGCTTTTCTTCCTCCTCGTCTTCTTCTCTCTGACCTCCAGTACAAGTCATGCGATCTTCTTCGTCGTCGTCAGCTGCCACGTCTCCGGAAGAATCAAGGAAATTCTAGAAAAAAAAACGTCAGGAATCTTCGCAGGACTTTCTAGTTGTACCCCATGCTCTTCATTCTCGTCAATGTCGCTGCTGGTGTCTATCAAATTATCAGCGAGATTTGGATGAATGGACCCCGACATAGTAGACCTCGACAAAAGATCGTCAACATTTGGCATGCGCACTGGATTAGGGAACACAGTGTTTGACGAGAAACTGGATATTTAAATTATTTTTAATGATTAACTACCTTCTTAACATACCAGATATTGTTGCCGGCCCAATCTCCATCGAGACCATCCGCAAGTTCGTCCTCATCCAAATCCGTTCGAATCAAATCAGGGCTCGAAGACTAAAAAATTTGATTCTTGAAAAATTTCAAGGTTTTTTCACTTCAGAAGAAGATCCTGAGTACAAAATCGTGTCTGGCGCAGCTTTTTTGGCTCTTGAAGGATTACGTGAGGCAAACATGTCTCCTAAAAAGATTGATTAGTTCACAATTTTTAGAAAGAGTTATGTTACCAATAGAAACAGCTGAAGCAGTTAGAGGCGTTGGATACAGTGGCAGTTTGACAGGCGAGTTGTGGGTCGACCCACGGGATTCCAGGTACGTGAGGTCTTGAATAGAAATAGGTTCTTTTTAGTAGTTAATTCAAAGCGCATAGATAGCAAAAGCTTAGTGCGAACTTCGGGAAGTAGAAATAAATTAGTGAAACTAATTTCAAATTGGAATCAAAAGACAGAAATAAAATAGCAATGAAAAACCTTGTTCTCCGAGAGATGTAGGAGGCACAACGGGAGAAGGCGTCAGTGGCTCTAAGCTCAAGGACGGCCGGCTCAGATTCGGATAAAGGTGTCCAGAAGAAGAAGATGAAGCTTTTCTGGAGGCGCTGATGGCAGCCGCCTCTCGGACCTCCGCTGGGACCTCGATCATCGGACGGCTTTGCATTGAAGACGTAGCTGAAAAAGAACTACTTGCTATTTCTCATCTAATTGTCCATCTACCTTCTTTAGGGAGCTTCACCAGTTTGCCAAGCTCTTCAATGAAGTCCGTGACGAATTCAAGTGTGTCTTGATCGATGTTGATCTTGATTGGCAGCATGGAAACCTGAAAGTATTAAAAAAAAAAGGTTGGGAAGGAAATTATATCGCGAACCCTCATTTTTCCTTCGTTTTTCTGATTCTGAGCTATTCTTATTGCAAGCATAGGAGCAGATGTTCTTCTTGGCTCAGAGGCGGTCGAATACTGAAATATTTTTTTGAATATTTTCATTCGTTTGTCATTTTCAGGCGCACCATAAAGCAAACGAAAAAATTTCAAACTTGATAGAGCATATCTTTGATGTCACTGGCGTGAACACGATCTCGAACAACGACGTCGCGTATCGAGAAAAGCGTGGTGGTCATGAATGGAGCCGGCTTTTCGAAGAATTGATGCATGAAAGTGATCTTAAAAAACACTATGGTAAGGTCATTTTTTCGTTTCAGGTAACCTTTGAAAACTCCAAACAAACGGCGACCGAATGATCACGGAATTCCCCGCCACGGGCTTGAGGATGGATATTTTGGCCCTTCCCACGGCCTTCTCGATATTCATCGGTACTGTAGGACTTCGGCTTGGGAGGATATTGTGACAAGTCACTTCCACCGTACAGATTTACTTTCACAGTGAGGTCCTTCAGAAGGTACCTGGAAATTTTTTAAATTTTAGGTTGAGAATGATTTTCTCACCGAACGATGGGTTTTGGATGACCATCTGGAAGTTGTGGGAGTCCATCAGCGCGCCATTCATCAGGAATAGGAAAGTGATTCAAATTGATCACGATTCCCGATCCATCCGGCCCTGCTTTCGGGCCAACATGACGGACTCTCGCTTCACCGGCAACATTCTGAAGATTCAAAATAATGTTCGTCTCAAAAAAATGTTTCTGACCGTGATTCCAGAGCCCAAAACATCTTCATCTACCATGCAAAACTCCTCATCATGTGAGCATGAGAAATTTCGTTCCGAGGGAGAATAAACAAGGTGAGGTGCGCCGTAATCCTAAAATGAAGAGAAATTCAAAATTTCGATCAAAAAGTAGCTCACCTGTCCTTGAGGCTTGAAGATTGGACTGAATTCTTCGACGGCATCTTTACCCACCTCAATCGGGCGATGATGATCTTTGTCTCGAGCTGCCTCTTCGATAACTTCCTAAAAATTTGGATGAGACTTTCGACTTTTTGATTAGCTATCAAGCGTTTCAGGAGAACTTCAGTTTTTGTCAAGAAATTTCCTTCAATCTCTTAATATATTTTTTCTTCCAATAATAACCTTCATGTGTTTCTCGACATGAAGAGGAAGCGTAGATCCTTGGTCCAGTCTTGCCCTTCGAAGAGAAGTCGTATGACTCCAAACCGATTCTCCAGCCTAAAACCATTGACCCATTTTTTCTTCGCTGACAACAAATCTTCAAACCTCGCTTTTAACGTCATCTTCGCTCGACTGGCTTGGTTTCCGTGAAATCGGCTCTTTTTCCTCTTTTGGAGGCGTAGGTTTGAACTTGTCTGACTCGGTAATTTCAGAAACAACGTTGATGATCATGGCAAGAGAATCAGCGCAGGCCCACATCTGAATTGATCTTATTTTCATACAATATGAAGAAATTAGACACCTGAACAATGTCGTTCTTGCACTTGATCTCGAAAAATGGCGTATTTTCGCCGCCTTCTTTTGCCATCGCAACCAGAACCTAAATTTCCAAATGAGTAAAAAATAAGTAAGATCATCATTTGCCTCTAGCTGAACCAGACCAATATCCAGAACTTTCATGAAAGCTTTGCGACCTCTAGAATCATCGAAACGGACCGTATCCCTTGAAGCATCATTGCTCATAAGAAGGCTCGCTCGTTCCAAAATGCAGAGCGTCTGAAAAATTTTTGTATTTCGGAGGCTTCAATTTCCAACTATCACCTTGGAGACACTCATGTTCTGGATCATTGAGCTGCTGAAGTTGCATTCTCCCAGGACGACCCGAAATTTAGTTTTGCTCTCCGGCTTCACCCAAACGTGGTTGTATCCGATAACCGCGTTTTCCAAATTGAAATGAACGTCCGTCTTGAATTTTCTTTGTACATTAATGCAAGCAAAATTTTATAAAAACCGTAATCAAGGGGAGCTCGTATCCAGGAATGGCATAATCAGTCAAAGTGAACAGTTCCGCAATTTGAGAGGCCCAAAACTGACCGACGTCCCCAAAAGGACGAGCGTGGAGCAGAGTATTTCTCAGAGCAACAGAAAGAAGAACATCCTGCAGGATTTTTCGATGAAGAAAATGAGGAATTATAAGCACCTTGACATTGATATCCGGTCTAGAGTGCAAATGGAGGGCCACCCCGATAGAGTCTTCCAAAGATCCAGAACTGAGTTCATCATTCGTATTGATGAACTCGGCCTGGGTCTCTTCTTTTGTCCACTTTCCGAAGTCTTTCGCCTCCAGTCTCTTCGTGAATGCATCGGGTTGATCTGACACAATTCTTATTTATTTTAAAACCTCTTGAAACTTACTAGAGCTGCCAATGGACGTTCTCTTTGAAGTGAAATGGAAATAAGTGTGATTCAGATCGCCATGATATCCCACAGTTGTTCCCAGATGGGCTTCTTGGAAATCCAAGGATATTTGTCCATTTCCAATTGGCTGAGAGTTCTTAAACTCAAATTCAGAAATAGATTACTCGAACAGGAAACCTCTCGGACCACGGTTTCACACAGGATTGCACATTTATTGACGTTCAGGGTGAGGCAGAAGTTGTGTGAGCGATTTCGGTCAAAGTCTTCAACTTCAGGGACAATTTTGCTTGTTTCCTCCTCAACATCGGAGCCATCACTGTCGTCTGAAAAAATAAATTCAAAAAATTCGAATAAATCAAAACGCCACTTTCACGATGAGAAGGCGTGCACTCGTGGAAAGCGTCCAATGCATTTATTTTGACATTTTCTGCCGGAATTCGTAGAGACGGAGCGGCAGGTTGCCACAAAGCCAAATCGTTCACCAGTCGATTGTACAGAACTTCCAAATGTTGCTTATTTGGAAGTCGCAATCGAAGAAGAGGGACGTCGAAGCGAACAGAGAGGGCAGACATCTTTATACAATTTTCTTGGAAATCAAGCATCTCGCCTCGAGTGCCGGCTTGGACAATCTAAAACATAAAAATCATATGAAAAGTAGAGCGAGATTTTTAAGAGGAAGGTCGCAGTTAAATTTTTTCTCTGATTTTTTCGGTAGGGTAGAAAAACCAACCTTTTCATGATCATCGCCGCAAAAAGCTCTCGGAATCTGAGAGAATGGTCCTTCGCACTTCTTCTGGGTGACCATTATCGGGGAAGAGAACGACTTTCGCATTTCATCGTCAGGTGAATTTATTCTCGTCGTTGTTTCTGCCTTCAGACACTTGTTCCTCGGATCGTATTCCACTGTGATACTGAAAACACCTTTTTTTTCATTTCTCTTGAAAAGTCATACTGACCCGACTCTGTTTAACTGTGCGTTACTGGCATAAAGTAAGTGAGATTCTTGGGCTTCTTTGATTTCGGGACTGATGAAATCACCTGGAAGATTTTCATTTAAACAAAAAAGTTTTCTTTTTAATCAACCTTTCAGCTCATGGCAAGAAATATCCAAAGAGAAGGATTCGTCGTAATTTCTGGGAATTTTCGCCTTCACTTCTTGCAGATGAAACTTGATAGATTCTGGATGAACATGCCGTTGGTAGTACGGAATTCTGGTTCCTGTGGGATCTCGCAGATCGGCCTTGGGAATTCTGAAGAATTGAGTTTCAAAACGCTCAATTTATGTGACATACGCTAGATTGATTTTCCAGTTGGGGCAGACGATTTCAATGTTGGAAGAAGCTGGAGGACTGTCATCGGTAGGTTCAGGGCTAGCGAATAGGTCTTCTCTTAGTGGCGGAGGCTCTTTTCTGTAATTTTTTTTTTCTTACGAAAAAGGATAATAAATGAATTAACTGACCTGTACATGTCAGGATATTTGCTCCGTTCGAAAAATGGCCGTGTGACAATTAAATCGGCAATTCGATCGACGATTGAAAGGTCTAACTCTGTCTCACAAGGGCTGATGAAAGCGTCAATTTTCAGCTAGAATCATTTTTTATTTGGTTGAGCCGGAAAACCAGAAAAAAAACCTTTCCTTTAGCCTCGGTTGAAGTAGAAGCAATAAGTTTCAAATGAGGGTCGTTGTCTGGGTTTTCCATGTTCGAGAAGTTTAACAACGGGATATGGGACGGTTCAGAAGATGTCTAAAAATCTTTCTGATGAAAACATTCCAAGTTGAATAACCGGCACGCTGGCTGTTGTGAGATATTCCAAAATGTCACAATTCGTCAGAACCATTTTCGCCAGCATATTTTCCGATCCAGATACCCGCTTCATAGAATAAGCAAAAGTCACAGAAGATGCGACAATTCTAAATAAAAAATGAGTAAATTAAAGTATTCACTAAAAGGTACCTCAAATGATCTTTTGTGTAGAGCTTATCCGCATCCTCTCGAATGCAGTCTAACGGAATCTTTGACGAAAACTTCAGATTTTCAGATAGAGCGAAGAATCTGTTGAATTCTATGTAGTCTCCAAAGGAAAGTAAATAAAACTTCTCCGCTTCATCAGAGAGCTCTGAAATAGCGATGTGATGATTCCGATGATTCGAGATGTTGTCGCAGGACAGAAAGTCATAGTGAGGGATGTATATCAGAACGGTTCCAAATTTCGCTTTCAAGTTGATATTTTCGTTTGTACTCGGAGGCGGGCTTTCTGAAGACAATTTTTGTTTTTTTATGTAGAAAAAAACTAACTGTTGTTAGGGTAACCGTTTCCGTTTTCCTCGCTTGTGCAGGGACCGAATTCATGCAGATCGATCGAATCGAAATCTTCCACCTTCCGCCAGTTTCCTAAAACTGAGACGCAAAATAATTTATCCAAATTTCTCCCAAGTCCCAACCTCCAGAAAGACCTGCTCCAGCCTGACCGTTTTGAAATGAAACTTTTTCAATGTTTCGAATCATGACTTCATAATCTTCTTTTTGCATGGGTTTGCCGTGTTCCGATGTAGATGGAGTATCGGGCAGTGCTGCTAGTTCGACGAATCTGTTGTTCATGGTGAAGTTGAATAAAGGGAAAATAAATATTACTGTTTGATGATGAAAAGCTGAGACGGCGTGAGGAAAACGTACAAGCCTTTGAAGAACATTTCAACTTCGACCTGGAGCATCGAACAATAGGTTCGAGACAATTTTCAAATCTCACTTTATTTTCTTCAACTCCCGCTTGAGTCTTGCTTTTTTCGATGTCATTTTTGATCCGGGTGACAATTGTCGTCTCACCAATAACTTCCGCAAACTTGATCGGGCTACTGAAGAGCCTGTAAAAGTTCCTATTTTTATTTGAAAAGCCGGACTGAAGCTCACTCTGGTTCCGCGACTTCTTTGGGATCATGTTGGAAAGGAGATGAATCGGCGGTCACTGAAACTGATAACCCAAGTCAGAGCCGAAAAGATGACAAAATCTTACAACTCGCATAACATGAATGGAAAGCGGTTGCGTTACTAGCCACGGAAGTGTAAAGGTCGGCGTGCAGAGAACTTTGGGGAGACCTGGTGGGAGACATCTGAAATTTCCCTTTTATCCATGAAATTTTTTTTTCAAATCTACCTGCTTTATTTTTTCTCTTCTTATATGCATACTCGTAATTAACACGTTAGCCCCGTTAACCATGAGGTCATCTGATAGCGGCGAAAAAACATCCGTATACATGGTAACACCTGGAAATCATTTCCAATAAGTCCTGGGAAACCTCAGTAACCATAAAAAAATTGAAAGTTCTATTAAAAGGGTTTTTAATTCATAATTTCAGAACGGAAAAAAGTCAACTTTTTTGAAAAGTCCTTTTTAAACCTAAAAAAAAACAAAACATACCGTTGATAACAAGAAACTTATTCAAATTGGTAATATTGCCAATCCCGTGCGGCTGACTTGTAATGGAATCCGATGACTGATGTTCTTGCTCACATGCTCTCATCTGCTCATCCATGAATTGGATTCTAAAAAAACGAATCAAAAAAAAAATTCTCCAGAACAAACTTCTCAATGCGGAATTCGAGAGCTGTGCACATTCCAGAGTTCTCATCAGGAAGGCTTTCGACGCGAACTGTCGTGTTGCCAAAGTCAACGCAAAAGCGAGAGTAAATCGCGTCGATGATCTGAATGAGTCAGCGTTTTTTCTAAGTTACTCTAAAATAAAAACCTTGGTGAAAGCTGCAATACCGTCATCGACCACGGCCTCCGTTCCTTCTTGCAAAGATTCTTCGTATATACTTCTTGCCAATTCTCGCGAGGAAACCAAAGAACCGACAACGCTTCCGATCATTGAAGCGACTGAAAATGAATTAAAATTTTTTCTTGTGTTCGAAAGCGCAAAACGGATCTGATCACATGTTTTGTACTTGATCTTTGATAAGACGCACTGCCGTGATAGAATTCAGAACAATTGGAACGAAAATTCAAAATTTGAATCAAATAAATATTCAATCGAAAACCTCACCGAGATCCTTATCATCCAGCTTAATTTTTTCCCGAGATTGGAAAGTTAGCTGCAAATCTTCGACCCGAACTCTGGTGGGGTTTGACATGAGTGAAAGCCAAGGGACTTCTGGAAAATTCATTTCTCAACTTGTGACAAGATTCCTCACAAACTCACCAACTGTAATTTTACCAATATACCCGTCGAGCAAAACAAATGGGATGTTGAACGTCGTCAACACATCGTTCAAGACCTAAACAAATGATAACTCACTAAAATAAAGGTTACTTTGAATTTACCTGTACATTCAGAGTGATTTCTTCAACTTCAACGTTCCCTTGGGTGAGATTCAAAGAGAGCTGATCTAGAGATAGTTGACGCTCTAGAAATTTGCCAAGAAACCGGTGGATGATGTGCCTAGCGCACATCTTCCGTATCCTTTCTTGTATCATCCTAGAAAAATAATTTATTTCGAAAGTGGAAAAAAATATTGAAAAAAATAATTTTTAACAGGGAAGGAGAAAATGGAGAAGGGTTTGAAATCCGCTGAAAATTGAGTAATTAAAACTTTTAAATACCTCGGAAGAAACGCAGAAAACATATTTCAGTGCTTGCCTCTTGGTTGAGTTATGACGCTCCAAAATCGACACGCAAACGACGCGATAAAGGGGTGGAGCAGTTGTGGCGTCTTTTGGGCGTCATCACTCTACCACAGGCAAGTTGGTCTTGATCCAAAGTAGGTCAAAAAAAGCGAGGGAGATCATTTTCGTTTTCTCTGCCAGTTTTTAGCCAAACTTTGTTCAAAAGTCCTTGAGGTACCATATATGAATTTCGGAATTATTAGCCTATTCAACTTTTATGAATTTTGAAAGAATATGGTTTAAAGTCTTGAAATTCACCACTCAACCGATTCATGACGGTTTTATTAGACTATGAGTCATTTTTTTCTAGAAAATCTTAAAGTTACGTAGATTAAAACGTTCAAAGCTTTTAGCTAACGTATCAAGGAATAAACTGGCTTCCTTTTTTTTTATTTGATTTCCGAGCGATACTTTTTTATATTGTTTTTACTTCCGATTAGCCTTTTTGCAACATTATTATATGGTGCCTATAATTGGACGTTTATAGTCCCCAACTACAAAAAACCAAAGTGTTGACGCAAGATATTAAAAAAAAAGCAGTTTTCTTTTTTAAGTTCACCAAAAAGAATTTTGCTTCAAATCCAATAAGTTCAAAAATAATTTTTGTAAGTTTCCTGCAATTTCCACTCGTTGTATCTGTGTACCTTCCACCGAGAATAAAAAAACAATTTTCTGATGTAATCTTTTGTATTATCGCGTCAGACTCATCAGAAAAAAATCTGGCAAGCTTTAGAGTCGGAAAACCAGTGTAGAAAACTTATTGGATTTTTCGGGTTACTAAGTGCATCAAAACTTTTTTCAGATATTTTTACGTTCAAAATAAGTCTGAATTCAAGATGAATACGGGTTTTTATTTGCTATTTAAAAAAAATTATAAATTTCTTATGCTGACAAACATCAGGCTTAAAGCTACAAGTCACGAGATCATAGAGATTCTTGAAAAAAAGAAAAATTTTATGTGGTCTCACATATACTTTGTTTCAAATAAAACATGATGAATTCGCTAGACATCTTCTATGTTAGTCAAAGATTAATTAATAATTGGAGGGATCATAAAGAACTTAAAAACTCGGGAGATAATTATTAAAGAGAAAGAAAGCGCGTGGGTTACAACGGCATCAGACACGCGCAAAAGCACGTAACACATGACCGAAATTTGACGGGCTGCTGTGTATGCACACAAAACGACGCTGCTTTTTTACGGACCTTAGTACAGATTTTTTAACGATTTTATTAAGGTAGTCCAGGTATATAAGATTTCAGAATCAGTGAAAACATACACTCCAAATCATGAAATTGCGAAATCTTTTTACCGCTTCAAAAATGGGTCTAAATGAACAGGAATGGAAGTAGCTGAAAGAAAAGTGAGAATTTATTGAAGGTCAGCTGGTTTTACGTTATCTATCGCGCAATCGGGAAATACAGGTTTTTCACGTTCCTTGAGTTTTTTACTTGGTTTTTTGTCATTCTCAGCTTCAAAAAAATTTAAAATTTAGAGTTTTTCATTTATTTCTCTCTCAGCGGTACATGAAAAATTATACACTATCAACAAAACATTATTTTGCGAGTAAAAGGTTTTTAAAAGCCTTCAGAAAAATTTTTGAATTTAGATATGAGCAAATTTAACGTTGAGTGGGTTTTTAATGTTTTTCAGTTCATGAGATAGAAAATTTTCGAAAAAAGTATAAAGTAGAAAAAAATTAGCCGCCAGAGCGTAATGTAAGCCCTAAGGAGTTCAACTCTTATCAGAAAATGAACAGTATTGATACTGGAACGTCCGTTGTAAGACCTTAAAATCTTCACAAACATGTTTACAACTGTTTCGAAACTATCCCAAAATCCTTTCTTTCAGTGAAATTGAAACTGAATTCTCTTTTGACAGAACTCAAGGGAAGGGAAGTTTTTAAAGGTTCAAAACATGTTTTTCAGCATTCCAATTTTTGTGATCTCTCGGAGCTTCATAGCTAATGTAAGTCTTCACGGCGAAATTTTGGAAGCGAAAAGTTGTCACTGCTTGAAAATCGAGAAAAAAATTTTCATGTAAAAATGACAAGTTTACGTCAGAGCTTCTATTGTCCAAAATTCCAAGATATGAAAAAGTTTAAAAATATGAACAAGGGAATTAAAAGTAAAAATATAATTTATTCATTAAGCAAAGCGAAATTGCAACAACTGATAATATAGCTCTGATTAATTTTTGTGTTTGTACATGGCAAGCGCTCAAAGATCGGTTTGACGTGGAACATGTGGAGGCGGTTTGAAAGTCGAGATCTGAGAGTTGAAAAGTTATTGAAAAGTTCGTTTATTTCTTTGAATTACCTGACGCTCCTCCAGAGATCTTTTCAACTCCTGCTGTAGAAGGGAAGCCATCGACTTGTTCTGCGAAGGTGGTGACATCAGTTTCTCCGACTTCTCAGTCATGTTTATAACTCTAAAAACATAAACTTATAGAGAATTCAAAGGAAATCATACCGAACAAAGTCAAAATCAGAGCTTGCTTCCAAATCTCCTCTTTTGTTCTCCTTTTTTGTTCTAGAAAAACAATTTTGAAAAGAAATACAGAAAAATCTTAGCGGCTAACCCTCGCAGAAAAGATTTCCGGTTAGTGGGACTTTCTTTCTTTTGAACGTTTTCTGTGGATTTTCTCAGTTCTTCTTCGACGACCCTCCCGATGTAGGTTTGTTCTGCCTGTACACTGGTGTGGGACAAGCTCAGAGCTCCGTATTCGTCTGAGTCGATCAGATTTGAACCAGTGCTCTCCATCGTTGAGTTGTTGCTGCAAAATTTGATAAAAAAAGCTGAAATTTTTACAAAAAAAAACCTGATGATTGGACTCGCGCTTGTGCTTCCGGCCTGACGAACTGGATGATAGTAACGGTTGAATCGGCAGATTGTCTTGGTTCTTGGAGGTGTAAAGTTGCAGCTGAACTTCAAGTAGCTTCTGCAAAAAAAAAATATTTTAATTCACAGAAAGTTTTAGAAATTTTTCATGTTTAGGTCTTTTTTAATTGGCCTCGACTTGATGAATTTCTGGTCTCGAGGAGAAAAAAAGCTGAAAGTTTTTTTATGTCGAGATCTAGATCCACACTTGCAGGAGAAAAAGCGTAAACTGTTTCAAAGTCTGACGCGGTGTAAAAGCTTTGATATTTGATATCAGTTTGCTTGAAGTCTAGAAAAATCGACTAGAATGCCGAAATACTTGACCCTGAATGAGATCGAGAACATTTTTGCTTTTTTTTATGCCAAAATTGATAATTTCGAAGTATTTTCTTTGTGAAATAACCTGAAATGCTCGATGATTTGCAATGGATCTCCCGTGGCGAACTCCATGATTCCATAACGATCAGCTTCGAATCCAATACAGTGCTCGCCAGTTGCAACCCTGAGAAAAGAGAAAAAGGGTATCTTCGAAAAAAAGACAAACCACGTGAGGGATGTGTACGGGATGCACTGGTTGCTGGTTTGACCTTTGACGAGCAAACCCTCGCCGAACTGCAGTGAATACACGCCTTCCGTCGCCTCGCGAGAATTGACTGTTTTGAGTTTGAGCAGGGGGTACTCTTCGGCTGAAACAGAGAACTCATTTAGTCAAGATTTCAAAAAGTCTGGAAAAGATTTTTGAATAGTGATCTCACTTTATTTTCATAAAATATCATACAAAAGTATTATTTTTTCTTCATTGTAATCTCAATTTTATTCCTCAAAAAATCCAGTCACAGAAATTTGACACAATAAAAAAAAGTTTTGAAGACACCCTATAGGAAATTTCAAACGAATATTTTTCAGATAATGATCTGGCTCTTGTGAATAGACTGGTTTGTAAAAATCAAGTCTTCTCCCAATATTTGAATGGTTTTTAAAATCAAAAAAAAAATGCTCACGAAAATCAAGGATTTCAATATCGTCTGAAGGACTGTCCAAAAGATGTGCTCGGCACGATTGCCACATACTAAAAAAATATGATTTTCATATATGTTAAAAAAATGTTTGCCTACTTTTTTTGGGAAGCAGATGGAGCTCAAAAGCTCCACAACCTTGGGGAGGTTTTCATGAGAAAACTGGAAAGATGACCCATCTTTAAACTGCAACCTGGCGTGAGGGACCCCATCTGAAACCGAAAAATGATTTAAAAGAGATATATTAAAACGAGAACTCACTCTCCATCTTTCCTGGCTTTATGGATACACAGTCCTCGAGCATAATCGTTCGGAGAACTTCCAAAGCCTTCATTTTAGCCTCAGTAAGATACAGTTCAATACGCGGTTTCCCTAGCCTACTGCCAGAGTAAATGCATGCTATTTGTGACTTCCATTTCTGAATTCATTTTTCGATAAAGTCGGAGAAACTTCAAACCTTTCCCATCAACTTTTCTTGGAAGATTTGTATTTCTGTTGATAAGTCCGGTTCCATCTGTTAATTATTTTAGTTGTCTGTTTGAATGTCGGAGTTAACGTGAGCCGCATTAACATAGTTACGTAAGACAAATATGAAATATCACAGTTGGAAAAGGAAACACATTTGAAAAAGCAAAGAGAGCACTGAAAAGACTTCAAAAAGAATTTCTGTAATTTGAACTTTTAATGTTTTGGTGCTATAGGGCTTGATTTCAGAAAAATAAAATGAACATTCTTTATCATCAATAGCTCTTGTAATGTTTTTTTATCTTACCAGAAATGTTTCTCGTTCTGACCGAAGCTCTCGCAGAAAAAAATGCCAACAATTTAAAAAAATAAATTATTCAATGAAATCAACCAAGAAAGTAAAGTATAATGAAAAAAAGAGCAAATAGAGAACTAGTTTGAACCGAGTAAATATTAGATGGAACAATGAACAATTTGACCGCAAAACACAAGAGCGAAAATATAAAGGCGGTTGATTGAGAAGCGGGGAATCGTATGGTAGTAGGCGATCCGGTAGTCGCCGGGCTGCTTGATTCAATTCAGAACGAGGAAATAAACAAATCGGCTGACAGTCTGTCAATTTCCGAGCGCAAAAAGCGACACCGTCGTCCAAATATGTCATTTTTTGCACAATGATTACTGCTTCTGGCGTTGTAGGAGACCTTTCTTTTTGAATTGTTCGAAAAGAATGAAAGTTCATGAGAAAATAGAAACTCTCTTTGAATGCAAACTTTCAATGAAGTGATTGTGACAAAAAAGTAAAAAGTAAAATTCGTTTTTTAAAAGGTTCCCCGGAAATTTTAGATTAATTCGAAGGTAATGGAATGATAGAAAAAAACCATTTCAAGAAAAATGGTTTTTTTTTCTATCATTCCATCACGTTAAAATTTTGAAATATTTATGACCTACCATCACATCTAAGAAAAATTAAAATTAAATTAATTAGTTAGAGATTTTTTCGAAAAAAGGTTTGGGAACTTTTTGAAAAAAGTTAACCTCTGGAGACTTGAAAAACATAGAAAATCAGGATATTTGCCAAGACGTCATAAAAAGTGGAGAAAACAATAGGATCATCATACATAGAGACGTCGGCAAGTGTCTACGAAAAGATAAAAGTTGCTGGACCGTGACAAATTTGGGTTGGGGGCGAGCTGCCGGTCGATGATGAATCACGACTATCATGCTGATAATACGATGTTTTTTTCCCGCTTTTCCATTTTTTTTTTTAGTTTTTTCTCAGAAATTTCATCACTTTTTTCTTTCATTAAAAAACAAGGAAACGCAAAAAATTGGTGAACAATCTAACAAATGCTGGTGGTTTTAGTTCTTACAATGCCGACGGCGCCAAGGCATTTTTATCAGTAAAAATGGGGGGTGATCAGCCTTGCTTTTATCGCACAATGGCCTGAGAAAATTGTGCGGAATGCAAAGTAGCGAAGGTCCGAAGAATGAGTAAAGTGGGTTAAGCAACGATTTCCGCTTGTAAACTTTGTAGTCATCCAGTCCCCACTCGTCTTTTTTTTTTGATTGATCCTTGGGAAAAAAGTGGGGAAAAACTATCGGAAAAACAAATTAGGAATTAATCAATTATTACACCCGGAAGACGAGTGCAAAGACCGAAATGAGAAGAAAGGGAAACATGAGTTTGCCGTTTTGAAACATCGATAAGTACAAATTGCAGAACAATCTTAGAGAGTGATTGTGTTGAAATTGCGAAATTATACAGGCGTTCAAGACTTTAACGTCATTCTGCACGAAAAACCAAAAAAAGTTTATGCTTTGAATACTCAAAAAAATGGAAAAAAATTCTTTTCCATTATATTTTACAAGTATTTTTGAAGAAAAAAACTTGGAACTGGCTGTAAGGAATTGGTCTCGGATTATAAAAAAGTTCTGGATGGCGATTATGCTCATGAATACATCGATGAGTCATGATCGCGCCCAAGCCTGAAAGGCGTTTTAAACAAGTATTTTTTGGGCCAGTGTCCAGACGGCTACAAAATAGAAGAAAATGTCTCATTTTGCTGTTTCTGATAGAGTCGTTTTTACCTATTGAGTGAAATTACAACGAAATTAGAATTTATTCTTTTTTGCCGAACTTTTTTTCGGTACAAGTTAATGTTCCTTATATTCAAAAAAATTTCTTAAGATGATAGAAAGCCCTACTTGACTAGCAAAAAAAATTCTGAAACTCACGGAAAAAAAGGAAAAAAATGGAGAAAAATAGCCCCGCATTCTAGGATCAAGCGCAAGCAAGCGTAAATGAAGTGAGAGACAAATTTTCAACAAAAACTCAAAAAGTGCCGGGGGTCAACTCATTGTTGCTCGTTTTGGCTTTTGAACAAATTTGGCAGCATGAAGATTTTTTTCGATTCAATAAGAAAATTTATCTCTCAAAAATAATTGAACTATAACCACTCAGAAAGGTTTATTGAAAAGTAAAAGCCCTAAAGTTACCCACAAGAATACTTAGGCATCTTCATTTCTCCGCTGTAATAACATTAGCGCAGTTTTTGAGCCCAAATAATGGGGTCCGCTTCCAATTGCGACGGCGGTGGCTCCAAAAAACTTTTCTTTTGGATAATTTTAGCAAATAGGAAAAATTGAAGATTTGAAAAAAGATTTTGAAGCAGATCCTTATCTTTTTTTGGTATAGAGCCCTCGCACAAAAGTTAAATTTACTAAAACCCTTCAATTGAAAAATGTTTGAGATATTTTTTTTTAGCAAAAATTAGTACTTTTTCCTTAGTTGAAGATAAATGGAGTATGAACTGAGAAGACAGAAAAAAAGGGCATGGCATTCTTTCCATGGTTGTTATTGAATCAAAAGTTCCAGCGCCACACGGTTTTCGCGCCGAAAACCCATTTATTTTGCCAACACCGAAAAAAAAAAAGTCGCGTGAACTGTCGCTTTTGGATAATTAATGAGGACGAGTGTCACTTTCGATTTGCGAACTTGATCAAAAAAATGAAAAATCTCGAAGGTTTATCTGCCACTAACTTTCTGAAAAATAATCGAATCTAAATTCTATAATTCATAGACGGTTTTTTTATAAAGTACTTCTCGAAATTAGGTTATTGTTTTTTTAAACTTTTTGAGTTTCGTTTCCTTAAATCTGCTTCCGTCCTAGTGAATACCAAGCCGCCACTTTTTCCGAGATTTATCAAATTTGCCATTTTCCAGGATTTATTTCATTGGGAAACTAATCTGTAATGGGTCGCGCTTTTTTTAAAATCACTTTTAGCCAAACGTGATCCTGGAGTTTTGTATAAATTTTTTTAATTACCCTTGATACTATAAGATACTTCGCGCGCAAGTATTTTCTAGTGGGGTGCGTAAAAAATAAAAAAAACCTGGAAGCTGTCGACTTCATACAGCAAAATTCGCATTTTCAGAGCTCTCATATCTTGAAAAATGGCACTGCGGGCTTTTAGGACGCTTCTGAACAAAATTTTCCTGACCAAACATTTGACTTTCAAAATCACTTAAACGTATTTGGACGATTTTTTTTTCAAAAAAACGTATCAAACTGAAAAAAATAATAATAACGGGAAGCAGTTGGAAGTAATAAGGCTACATGCTGTTGTTCCTCATTTGATGGGAAGGCCATAAGCCGAAAAATAATCTGCGACGATCACGCTTTTGTGTACACGCGGCCTCCATGCGTTGAGACGAACAATGTAACGGAAAACCGTGGACGATTTCCAGAGGGAACAGTTTCAATATCCAATCAACGTGAAGCCGGAAGGAACTGATTGCAGTTGTTTTTGTCGTTATGGGAAAAGAAAAATTGGGGTTTTCCTAATAATAATGAAAGCCTTGTTTGTCGCGAAAGCATACAGGCTTTGGCGATTGATTGAGCTAAGACGCTTTTGAGGGAAAACGAAACCTGGATGCTACAAAATATGACATTTAGCCTTGACGCTTCAATCTTACACACGTGAACTACATTTTTTCTATTTTCAGCTACTTGACTTGGGGACAATTTTCAAAAAATTGTATTATTTTTTCAGGGGTAGAGGGTTTCAAGACTTGATTTTCAAACTAAATGAATAAATAGTTTCCTATTCACCTGTGATACCTGAGCAAATTTTTTTCAGAAGGCATTTAAGGCTCTAAAAAGGATAGAGTTTCGAAAGTTCATACTTTAAAAATTTGATGCTGTCACAAAAATGTGGAGAATCTTTTATTATGGTATTTCACAACTGTTTTTCAAAATTATTGGGTAAATTAATATTTTTTTAAAAAGACTTGAAGATTTTTTTCATCATTTTCTGTAGAATTCGGGAAAAAAACTTTGCGAAAAAAACAACTTTTTTTGGGGGAGTCATACAGGTTGGATTCAAAAATTCCAAGGCTCAAAGATTTGGATATATATTATTTTATTTGAAGATAATCAGATGACTGAATTTTTTTAATGGACTCAAGAAGCAAACCGTATAGATGCGCGAAACGTTGCCCCGCTGTGAAGGACCGAATTTCATCATGAGCGATAGTTTATAAAAGAAATGACTCGGTGGCTGCAAGAGGCCGAATGGACGAGAAAAAGAGCCTTTTGGATGGAAATAGTCAGTCCAACACCAGCTGGGGTAATAATTTTTTTCAAACCCCGGAAAAAGATCGTAGCCTTTTGCGGAATGACAGTTGCAAACCACCTGCCGATCTACTGGACCCTTTTTCAGATCTTCCGCGCGACACGAAACGTATGAAAAACGGCTCTGGTAAATGCGCAAATTGCCGGCCAGTCATTCCAAATGATTCATAGCATTTATGGAGTCGGGAAAAGTTGAAGTTCTCAGTCGGGAGTGAAAGTATAAAAGAAGAAGCAGCAAAAGAATTTTAAGTAAAACTTGAACCTTTTTAAATGGTTGTTTCGGTTCAGCTCGTTAATTTTTTTTTATAATTTTTGAAGAATTTTTCAAAATAGTCAGTATCTTTTTCTACTGTTTCAGAATAAAATTATTTTTTCAAACAAAGTTTTTGGTACGCATCCATTAAAGTTTCTGCAAACGATTTTGTTATTCATTTTCTCGATGAGACGTCATTTGGCCACTAACAAGAATGGGACAAACACTTTAATTTAATATTCTATCCTTTTTCAAAAACTGTTTACGTGTTCGAAAAGCACTACGTATCTGTTTGACATCATCAAAAATTTTACAAACTTCTCCTGTTTCTTTTGAAATCTGAGCAATTTTTCAAAACCTCAAGGTCTTCAGACACAAAACTCACTTGTTTCCAAAAGTCAGCGGGAAAACGATCGGCTCGACGGTGGAGGTGGAAATCAAATACAATAACATCTGCCAGGGACAAGGCAAGAATCCACGCGCGAATCTGTATTTGATGATTAATCGTCCGTCGACCTCTCGAAAAAAAAACATTTCTGCTTTCTCTCTGCTCTCTTTCATCAAAAATATGACAGAAGAGTTTGCGAACTCCTTTAAGTACAGGTTGAGTGCCGGTAAATATGGGGTACACAGAAACTTTGCGATTGATCCTCAACAACACACTGGACTCTGGACATCGACAAAAAATGACACTTTTTATTTATTTCTTAATAAAGAACCACGAAGTTGCAGATATTTTTTATTTTTGGGTTTTTTCTTCAGCAAAGGTAGTTTTAGGTAGCTTGAAATTGTAATAGAGTTTTCAGTGTAAATGGATGTCTCCTTTGGTTTTCAATGTAAATGGATGTCTCATTTGGAAAAGCGTCTTCGACCGGAAACGGCTTGGCGACTTCCGCGTGAACTGAGGAGAGATGTGATATTTCAGGCTCTTTCCGAATAACCTTACAACGCGACCTTTACACAGCCAATGAATCAACGTCCTCTGGGCGATCAATTCTTTTTTCCGGCAGCTCAAAAGCCCCCCTTTCTTTTCTCTTTTGATACAAACATTTTTCTGCCACCTCTATTTCTTGTCAATGAGTCTCGGATTGAAAATATCTGACCAGAATTATCTAAACTAGAAAAAAATTAACCAAGAAACGTTTTTTTACCCCCCTGTTGAACTTTTACTGAAACTTTGCTTAATTGTACTTTATTACCCCGTGATTGCAGATCAAGAAAAAATATTTCGCGATAGATCTTGTTTTCGAATTATGGAGCTTCACTGAAATTAAGGGGCCCTAAATTGCAATTTAGCAAAGTTTGAGCAAAAGTTCAAAGGTGTAAAAAACGTTCCCTAATAAGCCAAAACTGCTTCTAGACCAGACTTAGAAAGAAAAATCGGTGGTATGAAAAAACCACCAGCGAAAATTCAAACGGCGACTTTTCCGATTTTTTCATATCGCTAGGGAACTTTCCGACGGCCACTTTTTCGACGGATCCCTTTCCGACTTTTTTCCCTTATGTTTTTCAGTTTATAAAACATCTATAAACACTTTTTTTCCTATTTCTTTGTGTTTTAATCATTAACCAACTACCTACTTTATATAGGGAGATTTAAAACGAAAAAGTTTATCGAGAAAAAAAGTCGGAAAAAGATTCATCGGAAAGGTGGCCGTCGGAAAGTTCCCTAGTGATATGAAATAATCGGGAAAGTCGCCGTTTGGATTTTCGCTAGTCTTTTTTTCATACCACCGAAAAATCGGAATTGCGCTAAAAAATTTCACGTTATTTTTCCAAGTTTTCAACTATTTACAAACTTTTCGAAAGTCAAATATTGAATCAATTAAAAATTTCTAAGTTTGTCAGAAGTCTAATACTTCCTAATTGTTTTCTCGCCTGAAAACCTTGTACATTGGAGCTCGAAAATATCGAGAAATATTCACTATGCCTCCGAGGTAAAGTAAACCCATTCACATGTGTTTATGGCCTGGGAACGGCCGCTTACTCAGTGTTTCTGATGCAGTCGTTCTTTTTTTTTTGCAACGCACAAGGCTCGAGCCTGCACTTTATTGATTATAAGACGGGCCACTGTTCGATCCTTTTACCAAGCAGATTTTCTTTTCCATCAAAGCTCTACGTGAAAAATGCGCTTCTCTCTACGTGTCTTGCCGTCTGGTAGATTTCATCGATATGCATAAACACATTTTTCAATCCTTCTGTCTCATTCTTGTTTGTTGCGTGGTTTCCGCGCGCTTTCCCGCATTTTCTCTCCTTTTTTTCATTTCAAACAGTTTTACTATCTTTCAAGTTTTCTTTTGAGACTCTCCAAACATGAACAAAAATGAAAACAAAAGATCAGACATGCAATTTACTATGAAATTTCAAAAAAAGAGATAAATTTCGCTTGAAGTTTGGAGTAGTAAATATTTGCAAAAAGACCTTCTGAACTTTCATTCGAAGGTTTTTAATCGTCTTTGCCTGCCCAAGATTTTAATTTTTGGTATCATTTTTCGAAAATTCCAACCATCGAAAATCAGGCTTGCTATAATTAACGGACATAACTCCTTCAATCTTTTTTTCTAGATGTCAATTTTTTTACAGCTGCTTCGAGACTTCGATTCCAACAGTGTTATCCAGAAGATTTATTTATTGGAAGTAAAAAAATAAAAAAAGCCAGAAAAAAACGGCTCTACTCCAAAAAAAGCCGTCGCCATAGTAATGACTCTTCCGTCAACTGTGCGCATTAAACTTGTTTCTCTCTCCCGTTGCTTCAAATCAGCTTTCTTTGTTTCTTCCTTTTGATCAGCATCAAATCAGTGAGAACTCCCACTTTGCAGGCCAAAATGAACTACGATTGGGCTTCATTCGAGAAACTCAATGATCCAAAGGTTCCTGAACTGCCGAAGCTGCATCCTCACTTTCCGGTAAGAACAAGCTTTCGCTCTTTAAAATTTCGGCTATATCCGTTCATCGGCCAAATATTTCAGTGCGTGTCATTCGACGAACAAGATTTCTTGCTCAAGGAACTCAGTAATTGCAAAGCGACGGTTTGCGTCACCGATTATTGTCGCAAAGGCATCTACTTCGAGAACCGGTATGTCGATGAACTTTTTGAAAAACTATTCGAAAAAAGTCTCAAAATTGAATCTGAATTTATGATTATACTTCAAATAAAACCGTCATTCTACGTAGAAATTCATGCTCAAAAGGATTTTTCAGATTCCAAATAAGGGCCCGTTGCATCTTCTGCCTTTCTGATTTTTGCAACGTGTGCAAGAAAAAATATCACGGAAACACTCCGTGCGCTAAAGATGGACGTTAGTAGCCAAGAAATTAACTGATTTCAAAATCTTTTTTTCTAGTCACCCCTCTCGAGCACTACAAACACCAAGACGCATTTGATAGACTTTTGGAAGCAGAGGTCGACAAATTGGTGAAAGAGTCTGACGTAAGAAGCCAGAATTAACTAATCGTTAATAATTTTCAAAAATTCAAGGGATATTCGGAAAAAGACGCCTGGGAGGACTTCGAGAAGCTTGCTGCGGACACCCCGCGTAGGTTTGAGAAGAATTGGGAACTGATGCTTGCCAAAAAAGCTGCTGTCGAGAAGGAGGAAGATAGTTTGGAGAAGCACGAAGAAATGGAGAAGAGTCAGGCTCCTGTAGATATATCGCAATTGGCTATGAAAAAAGCGAGACAGATCTTGATGTTCCGTGCCCTTCATGAAAAATAGGACCACAACTAAAAAAATAACTCGAAGAGGAATCCAATTTATTAGTTAACATCATTAACTTTATTGGTTTCTTTTCTTATCTATATGCCATTTCTGAATATTTTGAAGCGTGTTAAACAATTTCATGATGGTACTTGATTAATAAAGTTTCATGTAATCCCCCCCTCTTAATATCTGAAAACGAATTAACCTTCTCTGGTACAGCAAACTTTGTGATTTTTCGCAACCGGTTTTTTTAATTTTTTAAATATCGTTTTTAATAACTTCAAGCCTTCTTTTTTTTCTAAATAGTCATTTCCTAATAAGTTCCTTATAAGCTTTTTTTTGAATACCTAATACGCTGTCCTATTTGCAGGTTTTGCTTTCAAAATCTCTTCATCTACTTCTTTAATCTCGTTTTTTTTTTTTCATTTTTCTTTCATTCCACGCTTTTTTAAGCTTCTTGCTTCTATCTTTCATAGCAGTATTATTATTTTTGCCTCTTGAAAAACTGTTGAATCATGAATTTTAAACACATGAAATCAATAAAAAAAACAAGCTTTGTAATTTTTATAGTGAAACAAAACCAAGGGGACACAAAAAAATGAGATTGCATCAGAAAGCTACAGGAGTCGCGAGTTTCTTAGGCCTTCTTGGCGGCGTTGGCGAAACCAACTCGCTTGTTTCCATTGTCGAAAACGGAGTAGAAGCGACCGATGAAAACGTCTCCAAGGATCCAGAGAGGTCCTACAGAATTTCCGAACATTTTTGACGCTTTTGGATAAATCTTACCGTTAGGAGCGGGGATGTCGAGTCCCATGAATCCAGAGAGGCAAGTTGGAGCTCCTTGTCCGTTGGAGAGCTGAACAGACCTTATTTATTGGTTGATTCTTCCGGAAAAGTACCTGAAGAATGTAGTCCTTTCCTTGGAGGACGAAGTCCTGTCCACCGAGGTTGAAGGTGATGTTGGGGAGCTTAGGAACGTGACTGCAAATCACTTCGTATTCGCCGTTGATGATGGGAATGGCTCCAATCTTCTTTTGGATCTGAGAGAACAAGATGCATTTTCCGAAAAAGATTTTTCTGCTGGAACCTTCTTGATTTCATCAGAAGGTCCGGTGAGAAGAGATGTTCCGGTGTCGACGATGGAGTCAACTGGACCGTTGGTGTACTCGGTCCCGTCGATTTTGACAGAGCTGAGCTTGATGCGCCAGTAGTCTTCAGAAACGAGCGGCTCCCAGGCGATATCTCCCTGGAAAAAATGAGCTATTCACGGTTTCATTACGGGTCAAGTTGATGTGAAAAAATTAAAATGAACTAGTTTTAGAAATTCTGTTTTTTCTGATAAGAATAACAGGCAAAACTTTGAAAAGAACATGATTTCAGTTGATAAACAAATTTTTATCATTCAAAACATGGTACAAAACTGTTTATGTAGGGTTCCAGTTCATTTATCGCAAATTTTATGGCATATTTCAGCTTCAAAATTAAATAAAGGTGATTGCATCCCCTCATCTCAACATTTCAGATAACATAGAAGCGTGTATATTATAGCCAGCCTTTTTGGGACTATTTTGTGAAAACTTTGTCTGCAGCGACTCTACCTGGTAGTGAGCGCTGTCAGTTCCGCAAAGTGTCATTTCTCCGCCGTTGGCGACGTCATTGGCGTCACGGCTCAGCCAGAAAGCGAAAAGAGGCTGTGGGCAGATAGCCTACAAAAGTTGAAATTTGCATCATCAAATGTGCTATTTCTACCGAGTTGGCGAAGATCTGGTCCATTGGCTGGGAAATGTTGTTGACGGAGATACGATCCCAGCCCATTCCGAGGACACCATCGAATTTGGCTCCGACGAAGGCGAGTCCAGGCTCAGCGGTGGCGCAGGCGAATCCTTGGGTCTTGTCAGTGCACCAGGTTTTGTCGTGCGAGAACTGAAACCAAACTTCAAGCAGGTATGATTTGGGATCTTGTTTATTCCGATGAAAAAAGCTGTATATTACTTTTTTTTCAGATTCATCGAAGATTTTTTGTTCTAAAAGCCTACACTAGGCTTTTGGCGGAAAGAATGAAGCTTTTCAAAACAATTTTTTCAAAATCAACGTTTTTTCAAAATAAAACTCACGCAAACAACGTCGTTGTCGACGACACCCTTCATGGATCCAGATCCGTACTGAATCTCGAAAGGCGCTCCGGTAGCCGTGCAGGTCGACGACTTTTGGCAGTTGTACTTAAAACGATCTATTGTTTTAGTTCGGAAAAAAAAAACCAAAAGTACCTTGGTGTGAAGTTGGCAAGCGATATCGCCGAAGGGGCAGTTAGCGCAAGGGACCCACAAGTTGGAAGATCCAGTATCGAACAAAACTTGGAAGTTTTGAGGAGGAGTTCCGATGGTGATGGGTCCGTAGTATTGAGCCTGAATCGAAAGTTCCATTGAAGCTAGTAAAAACGATCGAACATTGGAGTAGTCGGAAAGACCCTCGTTGAAGGCATCGTTGTTGGGAATGTAGTCAGGAATGTACTTCTTCTTCAGATGTTCTCCAATAGCCTTGAACTTGTACTGCTCACGGGTATGGGTCACCTTCGTCAATGGAACTCTGAAAAAATATCAGTTGACTCCTGAAATACAATCAATGCCTCCAAATCACAGAAGCAAGGAAATAGATAAAGTTATTGTCATCTTTTTTGATGATAAAAAAATGATAAGAACTATGGCGATAAAAAAATAGGAGCTTCTAGTTCTTTCTGGAAGCTTTTTTTCGGTCAGGTGAAAAAGTTTTGACGAAGTCGAAAACAACTTTTTTTTCACTGATTGTGAAGTTTTGAACTTGTTTCAGATGACTTTGAAGAAATTGAAAGTTTCAGAAATTTTGTAATTTGAACTATTGAAATTTCGTCCAGAATGTTTCTTGGTGAGGCAGATAAGTGTTCTCAAAATTTCAGATTTCACAACTTTTTAATTTTTGAAGGAAAGAATTTGAAAGCCTTAGAAGGCCTGCTTCAAAGGATTCAAATAGTCATTGACCAAAAAGTTTCTCCTTCAAAAACTTGTTGACTGAAGAAATATGAACTTCAAGGGTATTATCTGATACTAAAAAGTTTATTCCGACCGAAAAGTTCTCAACCGCAGGCTTCATTTATTGTCTGCTTAAATGGATTTTCAGTAACTAAAATGATGCAAAAAAAAGATACGAGCTTTTCCTTCAGCCCAGTTACCTGGTGATAGCGGCGACGGCAGCGCAGAGCGCGAGAAAAACGACGAAGCGGCTCGCCATGTCTGGACTCACCGTATCAGTAAATTGAGCCCGATTTGCTAGACCTTTTATAAGCGAAGCAGGCTCCGGGTCCGATAAGAATAATCAAAAGTGGTCCGACGTCAGAAGCAACTGCTCAAAGGACGAAACAAGCTAACAAAGAGGGAAAAATGATGTGTGTCTAATGAAAAGGGCTACTTTCAGAGATTTTTAGAGAAAATCAATTTTTTCCCACTATATTAATGAAGACATTCACTATAGCGTTGAAATTGTAAATTAGAGGAGATTTTTTTAATAGAGTATGTTGAAGTTTTTCAAAAGACTCAGGTCTATAAAAGCGCCGGTAGAAGACAAAAAAAAACTAACTATCCTCCAAAAACAAAAAGGTTAGACATTATTTGTCATTCTGAAAGTTTGTTTTGAGTTATAAAATAGGATTTATTTCATGTGCGACAGGTGAGTAGACAATATGTACTCCGCCCTTGTCAGATTATGTGAGCGCAATGATTCATCCTCAGAAATATGAACTGTGATCTTAATTTCCAAAAAAAAAACTCTTTTTGGATAATGTTTGAATCAAAATCGGAAAGTTCAAGATTTTTACAAAATTATCTTGATGTCGATCTGTGAGCAGAGAAGATGTGAGCAGAGATGTTCGAGATGTACTTTTTTAGATGAAGTTTGAAAAATTTTTCGAGACGAGATTAAGGTGAGGGGAGTTATTGTCTCGGAAATTCTCGGGAAGCCAAGAAGAGGCCATATTTAGACATGAACCTCTCTTTTCAAAAATTTCGAAAATTTCCAAGAAATGAGCTCGTTTTCCGAACAACCCTTTTCTGAACTGAACTCATTTTCATCTTCTTTCCAGGCGTCAAGTGCACCAGATGCCAGAGTTTGGGCAACAAATCAGCTGGATCACCTTGCGGCGTCGTGTTGTTGCTGCGGCACCTATCAAGGGGCTCCGGACTGCCGGACATCGCGTCAGTTGTGAGCCGCAGCACGTTGTAACCGACTGGAGGCCTCGGGGGCATCGAACGCCGCGGCTCAGCGGCTCAGATCCGGCATTTCAAGCCGCCATGTTGCTTTTTGCACTGCTTTTTATTGAGCTGCCGATTCTTCTGATTGCGTTCAAAACGCAACATCTGACCACGCCGAAAGGCAAATTTTTTGTTCACACTCTTCATTCTGCTCATTTCTTCCCAAATACGGGTAAGTCTTTTTATTTATTGTTCAACTTTTTTTTTCTTTTCAAAATTGAAGCTTGATGTAAGCCTACCCTTCATTTTAATTTATTTTTTTTCTTTTTTTTTTCGTCTAAAACTTAGGAAAATAGTTAGAACCTTATTTTTGCAGAAATGACGATTAATAATCGCTTTTCCCATATCTTGGAATATGCTTCTTTGGTCATTGCTTGAAAGTTGAACTTTTGTTTGGACTTTTGATTACAATGTATGATTATTTGCAGTGAAAGTAAAATGGGAAGCGACACTTCGGAACAAACCAGCACTTCCAAATTGGCTGCGAGTGATGCCGTCGCGGCATCCTGAGCTGGCCTACTTGATAGGTTGAACTCCGCTCATTTTATTTTTAGTGATTTTTCATGATTCAGGAACGCCAGTGACTGACTTGACGCAGGTCACAGTTCATGTGATCGCGAAACGACTCGAAAATTTTGAGATTCAGCAGCAACATCTGGTGCTTACACTCGTCGAGGACCGTATGTTTTGGATTACATTTTGTTTCAAATTTCACGCGTGCGTGAGATGCAAATTATCATTATACGTATCTCAGTTTTCAGTTCGTTACACTGAATCCACGAAGCAAGTTATCGATATTCATCTACGAAACTTGGGCGCAGAAGAGCTGATCAACAATCGAGACCGAAAAATCGGTAAATTTGAACTGTACAAAACCGTCAGAAAAAAATCACGAAAGAATGTTTTTTTGCTCAAAACTTTCTTGTAGGAAATTTAATGTTTCTGAAACTTTTTTGAAGGTGTGATGATTTTTATTCAGTTTCAAGAAAAAAAAGGCTTAAATGAGAAGTCAAGATTAAACTACTTATAAGGCCAAAACCGCGTTACATCGTAACTTTTCGTACGCGAACCTTTCAAAATTGAGCTTTCGTAATTGTTCGTTTTTCGAAAGACCTTAACTTATTTCATAGACGTCCGCGCCAATTTTCAAGATTAGATCTGCGTGTAAAACTCCATTCAGTGTCTTATCGAAAAGTCGAGCAGAAATCCCTGCAACGTTAAAAACAACTTTTAACCAACTTTTTTTTCAATTTGAGAATATTCTCTTGATCATAGAATTGTTATAAATACCACAAACTAACTCTTTCACAGAAATGACTTACTTATTCCATATTATAAATACTGCTCTTCTTTTTCTCTTGAACAAATAATTTAAAAAAACTTCGGTTGAATTTTTTTCTTTTACTTTGATCTTTTTAATGACACATAGTTGAGTGAAAAATTAGAAATTTTAATTGCAAACCTGAGAACCAACAAAAATCAGAATTGGGCTCGGCCAAAAATCTCGAAACTCGAAAAACTTTCTTTTTTTATTTTTTTCAAAAAGTTTTTTTAGAGCAGTTTCTTGTTCAGAATTTGCCGCACAATTCGAAAAACACGACTTTCATCTAAAACTTCGCGATGCGTGCAAAGTTATGCCTTTTATACCAAAAAAGACTGAGCCTAACTTATGAAAAAAAAAGAAAGTTTTTATTATCCAAATTACTCGAAAATTCAAAGCTGCGTCTTATGCACAATTTCCTTTAGTTTCAAAAGTTCAACTTTCAGCTTCTACTTTTAGAAATTAACCTTGTTAAATCATATTTGTAAAAAAAAATGTCTGCTTGGCCAAATACAATTCTGACGGCCTTATCTTCCGTTATTTTGGAGTTTTACTATCGTTTTGCTACTTAAACTTCTTGGTAACATACTTTTTAAGAAACCACGTTTTATGCGTTTCCGGAGCGTACGGAGAGCGTTTTGACAGTTTGAGATGATCACGCGACGTCGCACGCGACACTGCGCCGCCGCCTCGGTTCATCTAAATCTCAAAAATCGACGATTGTTCTCTAGTTGACTTCTGACGGAGACTGGGCTCACTAGATGTCGTTCTTACTTTTGATCCATATTCTGAACTCGAAATTCATCGCGTAAACCGTCTTTGGAAAATATTAGCAAGTACTCAAAAGACGGAAATTTTAAAATTTCTTTGTTGTTTTAGAAATTTTGCTAAATTACCGTTAACACGGAATTAATTCTCGACCCAGTCATCATAGAAAAACTTTACGTTCTTTTGGAAAAAAATTTTAGAGGCATCATTTTATTTCTCTGAGATCCGCAGGAAATTACACTGCGAGCGGAATTCAAAACGTTCTAAAAAGTTGTTTTTGTAATAACATAGCCGAAAATCGCAGTTCGGTTAGAAAAAGTACGAAAAAAGCTATTATATCTCAGCATTTTTTTGGAATAATTTCATTCTTTGAAAGTTTCTGTAGCTTTTCGATCCGTAAATTTTAACAATGACGAAATTTCAATTAACTTTTCGTTAAAAAAAGTCCACCAGGTTTCAGAAAAATTGAGCTCCAAACAAGGAGTGTGTGGGCAAGAAAACTGTACTTTAGCTAGTATTGATCCAGATTTTTTTTTTAAATTCAGAACAACTCGAAAATGCAGCCAAATCAACATTTCGAGGCAAAGGAGTCAATCCTTACATAGTTAATATTCGCCCTGCGTTTACTGTTCCTTTGGAGAAGGAGCATTTGTTCCGCAACCGCATCGGGTAGACCGACTTTTCAAACTTTAACGTGTCCCGTTTTTGTTCAGATCAATCGTCACAATCGGGACCCAAAAAAAGTTTTTCCCAACAACGTTCACCATGGTCCACAATCTACGAACAAATCCCAGTTTTTGCCGGAGGAATAACGAAATTGCGATGAATAAGTTTTTTGCTCCAACCTTCGAGATCGACTGGTGTAAAACTGATTTGGTGAGCTTCCTTTATTGAAAACTTCAGCTTCTTTTGATTTTTAGAGAAATGTTTCTTTAACAGAAGACACCGACGTTGAAAAGACTGCAGCCCGATACACAGAACCGCCGTTGCTTACTTTGGGGGTCAATTTTAATTCATTTCTTCATATCATTGAGAAGATTTTTCAGCCGCTACTCAGAAATGGGACTCCAGAACCTCCACCTCAAGAAATGTACGGGTACAGCGGCTACAACTTCTGGAACAGCGTTGTTCTCTTTCCATTGATTGGAATCATCTGCGTTATTTTAATTCTGATTTTGAGCGTTATTTTCTTTGGCTGCAGAGAAGGACAGAAATGGCGAGATTATAAAACTTCCAGGTTTTATTTGATGCGGTAAAATTAAAAATGAAACTTTCAGAGAGAAACTGGAAGAATACATGAGCGTACGAGAAAGCCAAAAGCATCTTCGTGAGCTCTCAGTTCAACGCCAACTGCTGAGCATGGCTCAGGATTCAAGGAGTACGGCTCCTTCAGGTTTCTCGGCGTAGTTTTGCCGAAAATTGACTTTTTTCTCAGGAATTCATTCATTTTTACAACCGAGAAGCAGAGCAACTAGCAGTTCAACAGCTCGATTCAGCAAGAGCGCCAGTAGGCTCAATGATAGAGGTTTGTGGTTTTTTTTTTGAAAATCTATTCCAAGTTGCATGTGAATTTTCTCTTTCTTGAAAATACTTTGAACTCTCAAGTCTCAAGTGATGAATTGAACGTAAGTTTCCGTGATTCCTTATCATTCGGGTATCAACTTCAAAGTCTAGCTGAGAACAAAGTCCGCTGGCATTGGTTTTCTTGATGGTCTCATAAACGTTTTTTTAATTTTTCTAATAAAGAGTAAGCAAATGTGACTAATTCATAAAAAAATTGAATGCGGCTATTAAAGTCAAAAACCTCTGAGGCAAGGTCAAAGAACATTTTTTTACCAAGTTTTCTGATAAATTTAATAATTTTTTTATCTGCTTTTAAAAAGAAGTTACTCTTGCAGAGGATACGATAGAACTTCTGCCGGCGACAGAAATGCTTCCAGTGGGAAAACAAACAGTAGCAGAAGCTGCAAAACAATGCGGAAGTTCGTTGCATTTGTATCGAAATCCGCTCGACAGCGAGAGCGAAGACAACGACAGTGATAGTCTCGAAGACAAGCACAGCACCTGAAAAATCTCAACCAAATCAAGTCTTTCCATTTCATTACCAGTCATAAATAGTTTGTTTCTAATGTACATTTATTAACAAAAAGTTCAATTTCCCATGTAATCGCCAAGAACTGACAGAAAACGAGCTAAAGAACAAACGGAGAGTGATTAAATAAGTGCAGTGCAAATATTAAAAAATAAATAAAATAAAGGTGCAAGTGATATCTTTTTTTTTCAAATTTTGAACTTTTTTGTATGCAACCGTTTGGAATGGTTAAAGGCCAAGAGATATAAACAACTTCCGAACAAGTGAAGCTTTAACAAAAAGACGGAACATCTAACAAAGGTACAGCCTGTACAAGTGGGTATTTACAAATGATCTCTAGGTTCATTAACATGTTTAGCATCAGCTCCTAGTTGCTACGATTGCTAGTAGTCGAGGTCGAGTTGCGCTCAGAGCGCTTCTTGGCGACGTATTCCACGTTCTCCAGCTCGTCGTCGTTGTCGAAAGTCTCGTCAAAGTCCTCCATGTCGTCGTGAGAGAAGCCCGAGACTGAAAAATCTATTTCTTGCCCATAGAAAAACTGAAAATTTTTTTTTAAACATAGAGATTTTATGAAACTTTTACTGTGAACAAATTTAGCCCTGAGCTTTCAGATTTCAAACTGTCTATGTGAAGGAGCAGCACATCAAACAAAATTTATACTCCAATGACTCACACTTCTTGGAGCAACATCCGCTGACGCCGCGTTGACGCTGTTTGCGAAGGTTTTTCGCCTGGTTGGCCGTCTTTGGCTTTTTCTCTGGAAAGTTCAACGTTTCGTCTGCGAATTTCATGTTTTTCAAACCTTCATTGTTGGTGTTGACTTTGTTGGCAATGGGGTTAGTCACTGGCTTAACAACAGCTGGTTCAACTTTGACAGGGCGCGTCACCGTGAAAGTCGGATCGATTTTGGCCAATTCAGCTTCGGCAATCAGTTCCGGGTCATCTTCATAATCAATTTGTTTCTGGATCTTATCGTAAGGCATTCACTTCTGAAAAAATATATTCACTTTCACATAGGAAAAAATAAAGCAATGGCCGACAAGTACTTAGATGTTCATCTTCGAGTTCAACGGACGAGAATATACTGGAAGAAAAGCCTCGAGGAAGTCTTTTCAAATTATTAGAAACGATATGAGGAAAAAATGGTCATGAAATTGAGTGTAAAGTATGAATCTGGGGGCCGGACGGATTTGCAGAGATAAAGCGGCTTTGTCCCTTTGCACAAAATCTCTTCTGAAAGGACAAAGTTGGAAAATGTCCTACGCAGTTTTGCAAACGGATAGAACTGGGACACAGCGTCCAGTTCCTGTGAGCCCCAAAAAAAGCTATAACGCAGATTTACAGCTGGCTTAAGGCAGAAACGACAATTTGAACGTCAATGTCGTTTAGCAAACTCTTTTTTTTTTGTACTCATTTAATGAAGTAGCAAATTGATAGGTTTAGGAAGATTCGAACAATTTTTCAGCTCTGTAATGCTTTTCGCGCCAAAATGATTGATTTAAAAAGTTTAGCTGGGAAAGAAGAAGACGCGGAGACTTGTATGTTCACCGTTATCTGGGACAAAAACTTTTCAATGATGTCCGAGGCACTATTTTCGACACCCTATCGCTTATCGTGCTAGGACCTTGTTTAAATTTTGTCAAAATCAAACGAAAAATGGACTCTAAAACCTTGAAAAAATAATAAAGTAAAAAAGGAGAAGAAAAGTTTCGAATATCATCACTATTTGAATATAAAAAACACGTGTCAGTGGGCCATGTAAAAACAAAAATTGCGTGCAGATAGGGACAATAAGCTGGTTGGCCGCGCGTGACCTTCCTACGGACCACGTGTGAGGAGGCGATGGCGCGGCAAGTGGCCCTATACTCCATCGATTGGATTTTTCACCAAACAACTCCAGATGGTTGTTAGATACGCTTAGAAGTTTGAACTAAGGGTTTCGTAAATTGTTGGACGTGTTAATTTGAATATTGAAGCTAAGCATTATTTATAGTCCGTTCGAAGTCTCTTCCTGAGCTTTAAAGTCTCATGTTTATGGCAAAGAAAGGTGAGAAAATTTGAAAACTTTTGAACACCGCAGCGAGGATTTTTTTTTCTATGAAGCTCTAATTAGCCCAGATACTTCCGATTAAGAACTTCCTGAGCCCATTAAAGCATTAAAAGTATCTTAAGTGGCTCTTATTATCAGCTGATCGCTCAGCGAGAAGCTTTATTTTGAAAAAGAATCTAAAATAAAGTTACTCAGAGCCTCATGGCCAAAACTAAAAAAGCTCTTGGTGGTGAATATCCTGAAGTCAATCAAAATAATCTCTCAGTTATCATAATCAAAGACTAATTCTTGAAAACTTTATATAAATTGCTCAAGATTCAATCTTCTCAGTGAGTTTTCAAAATACAAGCTAGAAAAAAGTTGTTTTCCTGGAAGAAAATGAAAAGTTTCAACTCAGCCAAGGGTTGAGCAAATCTTGAAGTTAGATACAATTGAAGAAGGCTCCAGAAAAGGAAGATAGGAGAAGTCGAGCGAGTCGAATCGCGTTTGCAGTTTGAATTTGATTGCCCAGAGGCGACGCCTCACGCCCCGTTAACGATGGCGCGCGTTTTCCTCCAAAGTATTGCACATGAGAAAAAGCTTTCATTAGGTTCAATTAGGCAATTAGAGCTTCTCTTTTTTGAAAAAAAGCCCTACATGTAACTTTCGAGTTTTCATTCTGAAAAAGGTCAAACTGGGACTTTTCGAGAAATTCTGAGAATGAATTAAAGATTTTTGGAGCAAATAGGCTTTTCTTGAGAGTGAAAGAAAGATGCGAGCCGCTTTTAAAGGAGATTCTGAGAGAGATTACATCGGAGGCGGACAAAATGTTGCCGTAAAAGTGTCCCAATTTTACTGCATCGCGTGAGACGTTTGATGTTCAAAAAAAATTCTCGACTTTTGGAACAGAAATGTGTACATTGGTCTCAAAAATCGAAATCCATGTCGGAATGTCAAAAAAGGCCCTTCAAAGGAAAAGCAGAAAAAAACCTCAAAAATGAAAAAAAAGCCTTCCCGGTCTTTCGAGTTCTTTTGGAATCAAGAAAACTTGCTGTCAGACCCGCAGTTTGCGTACCCAACACTGGATTCGACGGCATTTTTTGAATTTTTGAAAAGTTTTACCTCCAAATGTGACAGGCGCCTTCACTTTCCACGAGTTATGTTCATTTTTGAAAAACTAAACACCTTTTTTTGTACTATCCATTTTGAAAGAGCTTCTGTAGTTTTCCATTTTGTTATCAATATTATTTTTCAGATCAGGACTCTTTTTCCAATATGTATATGTTCAATAAGTTGGGAGATTTTTTGGTTTTTCAATCAAACCAAGTGGTTTTTTTGACTGGCCATTCAACTGAACTGCCATAAGATTAATCACTTTCAAAATCACGAGGTTCTGGTTTCTCTACACCCTGCTCTCATGAATCATCAACTATACTCCGATGATTTCACCCCAAAAACGACGTCTTCTGATCTTTATGTCATTTTCCAGCGGCAGTTTTATTGCTGGCGCCTATGTGTCGGAGGCTGATAAAAAAATGCAAGCAAATATATAATCAATGAGAACGATAAGCTATATGTTCGCAAACAGTTTGTAAGAGCAAATGGTTAGTTATCAGGTTAATGGAAAAGATAAGAGCAAAGACCAGTCATAAAACTGTCAAAATCATCTTCAACTTAACTGGAAAAAAATAGTTTAGGTTTGAATGATAAAAAAACCGCTGAAATAAATAAATTAATAATTCGAAAGCTTTCTCGGCTATTTAAAGTTGTCGAAAGTAGACTTTTCTCAGTTTAGAACACTGAAAGGATCCTTGCCTTGAAGACTTTTTTAAACAATCTGAGTTTTTAGATTTTCATGCTCCTCTGGATCTTTTTCATCGATATCAATATGTCTATAGGGTTCTGAATAATGACGACATTTTTTTTTCAAGTCATTCACAAAGAATTAAAACTTTATTTACATTTGCACCCATTATGAACATACACGTTTGTCTCATTCGAAAAAAACAGTAAGTTTTAGCTGAGCTCAACTTGAGCAACGACACAAGCGATTTCCTCGTGTTTCGTGTTGCCCTTGTTGTAGTTGAACAAACGGATCTGGAGCTCGTACGGCTTCTGGAAAAATGTTCTGAAGAATTGAAGCATGGAAATTCGGCTTACGTAAGCTGCCAAGAGATTGATGATAGCCGAGAATTGAGACAAATCCAACGGGAGCACGAGGAAAAGCGGACCAGAAGTCAGAGGGCAGTTGTGAGCAAACTGACAACCGTCAATTCCGTTCCTTGAAATCAATTCTCACAGTGGATTTGAGAAAAATCAGCTTACAATAGTCCGAAGGAGGGAACTTCGACCCAAGTGCAGGTGTTGGTGTTGAACTGATTTTTGTATTGGAAGATCTTGACATTGACCTTGTTGTCGTCGATCTGAAACTTGCCAGTCAAGACCTTCAATATTTATGGGTTCAAACCTGCTCTCCATGATTGTAGGTGGTGAGGTTCAAGATGAAAGGCTGACGAGGGTCGATTGGGTACAATGGATTTCCCTTCACGTCTAAGGTTTCAATGTCAGTGATTGTGAATTGTTCTCCTGCAAAAAAATCGTTTTCCGAGAGTTTAACCTATAAATTCCAACCTTGAGCACACATGTAGGAGTGGATTTGCTTGTCAGTGCCGTTGGGGAAACCGCAGTCCATCAGATTTTCCACCGGAGCCAATGGCGCAGTCGAAACGGTAGCAACCAGGAAAAAAGCAAAGCCGAGAATGTGAAGCATGGTTTAGGAGAAACTGCCACTTTTCCCGATTTGTGTCATATTTATAGGCGCTGATAGCATAATATAGGGCTCGGACCACCTCTTATCAGCATAATGAGCGCCCAATTTCAAGGATACAAGGCATAGTCAGCGAGTCTTGTTTGTTCTAGCAAACCATTTTATGCAATTTTATGCCTTGATAAAAGATAAAAACTATCAGGAATCGTTGTTGAGCTGTGGCCTGGCACATACAAACAATATTTGCAGCTGCAGATTTTTCGAAAATTTATGCGATGATGTTCTTCGGTAAGACATGGAGAGAGGATGAGAAAAAACTTCGATTTGAAATTTTCTTTTCGTGAATATTTTTTTAAAGACATTTTTTTAAATAGCTGAAAGTCTGCGGGAAAGTTCAAAAAAAGCTTGATCAAAACATATAAAAATTTTTCAATGATAAATTAAAAAAATAATTATATGGATGCTATTATTCTTGAGAAATTTTTTTCAACGGAGTATTCTCAGGAAGAACCTTTCTAGAAACTTTCAATCAGTTTTTTTATCGGAGTCATGTAAATATCTCAGGTATTTTAGTTTTTGAAAAAATTAAAAAATGTTGGAAATTTAAGATACTTCATTGTTTTTATTATTTCTTTCAACCATCCAAAATAAAAAAAAATGCATCTCTCTCTCTGATTGAGTAATGAGAGGCGAAGCCAGAAACGTTCCTTTTTTGCAGAAAATGCGCCCCATCGCACCACTGGTTACTCTTTTTACGGTCACGTTTCCCGCATCGCTGCAGTTGTTTTTGCTGGTTTTATTAATTTTTTTAATGTTCCGGTGTTCTAAAGTCCACTCATTCATTTTAAATTCAACATTGATTTTTAATAAATTTGTTTTTATTTCAAGTACATCATTTACCTGACATTTCGGAAATATTTTATTAAATTAAATTTTTTCATTTTTTGTTCCAGCATTATTTTATTTTGTCTGATGGGCTTCAAATTTCTTTTTATTTTAATATTTCGGTTTCAGAATGAGCAATGAAGCTTCTGACAGCCCGGAAGACGGGGAAGTTTTCGAAATAAACGATTTCACCGTCATAACTGACCTCGAAGAGTTTGCTGTTTCTGTCGACGGTCTTGTTACAAAATGGGATTTGGTTGGCAGAAGACCCATTTATCCGGTTTTTTTCTTTAGTTTTAAATTATGTAAAAAAAATTCGTACAGGATACAAAAGAGATAGTTTTCGAGCGTCTCAAAACTGAGCTGAAATATGGCGATGCTGACAAAGTTATGGATGCCGTCTATGTTTTTCCTAAGAAAGTTGGTTAGAATTTTTCTTCTAAAACTTCTTTTTTTTTCCCGGAGGAGAACGAGGAAACGGTTAAAAAGCACTGTTTCGCATTGAGAAAGAACCTCGAAAACTCAAAGTCGGATTTCAAGCATAATGATTATATCACTAAGATGGTTGGTTTTTCTAATTTTTTTCTTATGTAATTGAGAAAATTTTTAGTTTGGCTGCACTGAATACGTGCTTTTAACTCCACAAGGAGAAGAGAACAGTACCAGCGAAGATGATAGAAATTTTGTGGTCAGTGCGATTCGTTCAGCTCTTCACAGCATCCGATGGTGGGTATCTATAGAAACTTCTCAAAAAAGCCAGGAGTTGAAAAATTTTAGTGAGGTTCCATTTTTCGTGCAGTTTAACGGCGAAGAACGACCCCTTTACTTTGGCTTCTCGTCCGATGGAGAGATCAGTTATCAGTTTCAAGTTTCCTATTTTCCTCCTTACAGTAAAAATTGTAAATTAATTCAGATGTTGTGCCTTTATCAAATAAACAAGCGTCATACAAACCTGAGCGGCCTTTTATCTCTTTTCAAGGATCATTTGGTAAGAAAAAAGTCACTTTTCTTGATTTCTGTGTCTGTTTCAGCGCTGTCCCCCTGAGATTATGGATACGGATGACATCAAAATTTCAGCTAACTTTCACTATTCCTTCGAAGTGCATACTTTTGAACTTCTTCAAAAAAAAAAGTTAATTTTAGGAGTATAACCGCGGCGAGATCAAAGTTCTTGACTCGGAAACTTTGCTCGGCCCTCCGATTGGTTTCAACAAAAGACATCCATTGTGAGTCTTCCACATCAAAAAAATCTACTCCAAATATTATTCCAGAAAAGTTACAGTCACCGCTGGCTGGACCAATTTTCGTGAAGATGCTCTAATCGAAAATGAGGTAAAATATGAAAACAAAAAGCAAAAAGGAGCCTTTTTTTAGTCGCACAGCGATTTTGACCCGATTCATGCGACGGACTGGAAGCTCTCCACCAACTTCGAAATAAATCCAGGACTGCTCAGTAAGATTTTTACTTTTTAAACAAAAAAACGAATTGTAGGTGCAGCCATGGATGATTTTGCCAAGAGGAAGAAGGCCGATAAAAAGTCGGCAAAGGACCAACTACGAATGGTTGATTCTAGAGGTTTGTAAAATTCAAACCTATGAATTTTGTGTAAATTAGTGATGTTCAGCAGCAGAAGCACTTGGACTTTTGACCGGTCGTGACGGGATTGCCAGCCTACGGATTGGAGAAAAATCAGCGCCTTCGGACCCGATTTCTCCAGATTCTCACTGGCCTCTACCTGGAGTGACAAAAATGTTACCTTCATTTTTGAAAATATTCTTTCAGACACTTGTTGTCGCTTGGCTTGGTATGATTTTTCATGGCGTTGAGGATTCGCGCGAGATTATTGATGCTGAATTGAAAGAATACTACACTGAAAAACATCACGTTGCAACGGGCTGGCAGCGAAATGATGCACCGGTAAGATAATTCTAAAATCTTTGAAACATTCGAAAAATTTGCAGAGGTCTCCGGAAGAATTCCTGAAGCGGTACGGGAACAGTGAACCAGTGCCTGATATGAAATCTCTGGTTATTTAAAAAAATTGTGGAATTTAGTTTATATCTTTGTTTCAGTTTCCGGAGCTTAGATTAAAAGCAGCGCCAGAAGACTCCATCAGTGAACGCTTGGCAAACGCTTTCGCCCATGCAAGAGTTTCTTTCCCTGAAACTCACATCGATTCTCAGCTGTGGTTGGCGTTCACTAGAAGGCTTCGTAACTATTACGACACAAACCAGAGCATTGGGTTTTCAAAGCCCCCTTTATGTATAACTTTTCTTTTGAAGATTATCGACCGATATCGATCTCTCCTCGAGTCTGCTGAATCAAAAGTTACAACTTTTTGAAGCCTGCATTGAGGCGAAAAAAAGACGCCACTTGCTTTTGGATTCGGGTCATGTAGATACAAACGACGCGGGTACCGGTGAGTATTCAGAAACTTTTCGAATATCGTACAAATCTTTATAGACGAAGACGACTTTTTCGATGCAAATAGCGATGTTGGCAGTGAGCCTTCAGATCCCGGAAAAGTTGAAGAAAAAGAAGAGCAACGAGGACCGAGGCCTCCTGTTGGGCGCCTTCATCAACTGGGAAAGCTTTGTCTGATTGACAACCCCGAAGAAAAGCTTTACGTGCCGATCACTCAGGTGTTTCAAATATTATGAACGAATCAAAAACTATTTTAGGATCGGAGTCCGATGACTGAAGATATGCTCGAACGGCATTCTCAATATCTTTTTTCACTGAGTGAGGAGGAAAGAGTCGAGGTTGGTTGGGAAGCTTATAAAAAAAATTTTTTTAATACCAGGCGCAGCTAGATCCACTTCGCAGTGACATGTCGGCCTTCAAAGCGGCGAATCCTGGGGCTCAGTTAGCCGATTTTCTCAGATGGCACTCAAACAAGGATTATGATGAGGAAACTAGTGAGTTTTTTTTAGGCTTTTGACATTTCCTGTAGCCTTCAGAATGGCTGAGTCCACTCCGGGAGATTTCTGAACTCAGTTCGGAATATGCTTCTAGCGCGTAAATTATATCTAAGCATCTTATTTATTTTGCAGCGTCATTCCAAATGCAACCCAAAATTTATCATTTAAATTATTTCTTCAGAAACCATGTCCGAAAGGATGAGTACCCCTGGGAATTCTTGGATCCGTTGCTGGGAATCCGCGAACCCCATCCCAGTTGTTTCTCAAGCAAGACTTTTCAATGAAACTAAATTAGCGGAAGAGGTAATAATACATTCGGAAGATTTTTTATTTTTTTTTTCTTTCAGATTCTTACCAATTTTGAGAGTATTCCTATGGAGAAAGTTTGTGACCTCCTGCGTCCCGTTTTCTTTGCCAATGCTTTCCGCGAACTTTGCATTGCTGGTAGGAAAACTGCAAACCATACTCGTAACTCAGTTTTTATTAGCCAACGATTTGAATCATGATAAATTGAAGAGCCTTGGAGATAAGATCAAAAAAGCGACTTTCAGTGGACACGAGTGAGTTTTTTTATTTCCGTTTTTGAACCTTCCGGATGATTTCTTTACAGTGACGATTATAATGATGCCGTCACGGCTGCTGAAGAACTTGACCAAAGAGCTTTATGTATTCTCCAGGTCAAGAACAAGTTCTACTCTTCGGTACGTTTCTGGCAAATGTTTCAATTGCAGAGCGAACTTTTTCCAGGTTCCTTCAACTGATTTGGTCAAGGTTCCCGGGGAAATCGACAAGCTTGTACGCAACTGTGTGGAAAACTTCTTTTTGAAGGAGTAAGTGGACTTTTTGAAACGAAACTTTCAAGTTTCTCTAAGAAAAACAACAATTTTCTGAAATGATACGATGATGTAACCCTAAGAAATCATTTTCTTTGCAGCGACGAGGATAACGGTCCACTCGGTCTACCTTTTCGTCCGTTGACTCCAATCGGCCGTTGTGTGCAGAAAATGATGGCCACTTACTCGAATGACTCAATGGCCACACCGGAAGAGTGAGCTTTTCTTTTCAACTTTCAACTTCTTGATTGAAAAAATATAACGCACATTCCTGTTTCAGACGAGAGTACGTTTTGCACTGGAGTATTCCCCGACCGCTGCTTGCAAGCGACAAAATGCCTCATCGCATGTATGCGTCCATCGGCAACAACACCAAGAACATAATCGCCACTTCCGTTGGATCTGATGTCAACTTTAACATTCAGCCCCAGATGTAACATTTCTTGCCATTATCTTCTTCCTATTTGAAATCATATACCCATGTTTTTTTTTCGGGTTGTTTCCATGATTGCACCGGTAATTTCTAGTTTTTCAACCCTGTGAAATGGTATAAATTGTGGTCTTTCAAAAAGTATTTATCTGTTATACCCGTACCAAAAATACAATTTCACAAATGGAACGTTTTCACACGGCTTGCTGCAACGATGGAGAGGTCTGCAATGAAAAATAAGACATTTTTTTTCGGTTTTTCAGAAGTTTTACCTGAAGTTGAAAGTTTTCGTACATGGTCGCATCGTTTGATGACATTGAGTGGCTAAGCATAGATTGCCCTGAGACTGACTGGGCCATTTTTGATCTGCAATAAAAATTGATTTCGATATTTCAAAAATATGGAGTTCAAAATGAAAACTTACTCTCTCTTTGCGACATTCAATAGGCTGAACCTGGCGTGAATGCAATTTCCACAGCAGAAACAGCCGATCGCAACAAATATTATACTGAAATAAGAAGAAATAAATCTCAAAAGGTTCAAAATTACCTTGAAACAACTAGGATTTCAATTCCCATCGTTTGCATGAAACTTTTTACTGGTCGAGTTCTCTGTTTTACGCAGGTACTATATATTTCCGTTTTGTCATGCGAGAGAACCCATTTCGAGGCAGATCTTGTACTCCTGAACTTGTAAAAACTTTTTCCTTTGAAAAAATGGCCAAATATGTTCGGTCGCTTAATAAAACTCAAAAGTCGCACCAGATAAAAAAAGCCGTTTTAAAATTGAAAAAGATGTTCTAATATTTACCTTATCAGGAGATAAATTTATCAAATTGTAGCTGCAGTACATGTTAAACAGTGACAGTTGAACTTCGCGCTTGAAGTCGCTTCCGCTGTAGGTTACAACTTGTAGGGCCACCCTAAATCTTTTTTTTTCTAGATAATCGTATATTTATCCAACTTGTCAACGGCCTGGACGTGTAGGTTTTTGTTCCATGCCAAATGAACACTGGTCACGCCAACCTGAAAAAGATTGCTTTCTGCTTGACGATAGTTTCAGGAAATTGAACATGAAAATGTATACCCCTTCTTATATTTCTCATAAAATTGTTATATCTGAAACAGCATTAAGTTGATTATAACTGACATGTGTGGCATTCAGAACAATGTCCGGCTTTTTGACGATCAGATGAATTCTCTTGCTGGCACTCATTCCATCTTTTCGTGAGGTACATTCATACGTCCCATTATCAAAGCCCAAAACGACATCAATACTGAAACAACTTTGTTAATCACATATCAATAAAAAGCTTCAACCCACCCAAAATACTCTGTGGTCGCTTTCGTTCGGTTAATAACTTTCTCAACAGAAGCAGGCTCAAACAAAGAACTTGTGAAATAATCGAGCCGAGGAAGGGGGCTGGCCAGCTAAAGAATTTCTCATAACAACATTTATTCATTTGTAAGACCTGTGGAGGGAAGGAGTGTAGGGTAAGATTTTTCGGCGTTTTCCAAGACATTTCGACGTCATCCAAGTTACCTGGATATATTTTCGGAATGGTAAGAGAGAATTCACTCACTCAGACAGTGAATGTGATAAGTGTCTCCAACATAGGCTGTTTGGATGCTGTTTTGCGGAATGAAGAGGTCAGGGCGACATGTGTCTTCTGGTGTCAGTGAAGACCTTGTCAGCTCAGAAATTCTTCAAAGTAAACTTTTTTGTTCCAAATTTATGGAAAGAAAATTCATTTTTCCACACAAACTGCCACTAAACTATGAAAATGAACCAACTTCTGAATAGCTCCCTTCCGCGTCACACAAATAGCACTGTCCCAGTCCACCATCGTCGTAGTCCCCATGTCCTCCAAGCTTTCCAGAATGCACCCACAATCAAATCGAGTTCCGCCAATTTTTTTATCTGAATTTTTTTACTAATTTCTTTTTTTCAGAACTTTACTATCAACTCTTGATACGTAGTTGAACATCGCTGCAGGAATGATCCGTAGGGCAGTGTTGGAGATGTCCATACTGAATCAAAATAATCGATGCTTTAAAGAGAGGGTCGCGTTAAGAATCACAAAAAAAGAGAAGGTCGCGTTAAGAATCGCTTACTCCCCTTTTTTGAAGCATTCAAATCGCAACTTTTCTCGTACAAGCACGATTTTCCAATGTTTTCCCTATACCTAGGCGTCTAAAAATAGAAAACCTGAAAACAATGCTATTATTTTGAAAGGCGAGAGCTGAAATAGCCAGGAGCAACTTGTTGTTCTGCAAGTGGAGGGTGTGCAGGTGTGGCAGGTAAGAAAAAGCCCCAGCTTCTACGACTCGAGCCAAAGTGTTGCTCAGGTCGAGGACCTGAGAAAAAAACATTTATGTAATTCTGAGGGTGTTTTACAATTTAAAAAATCTTCTAAAAACATCGGAAAGAAATTTACCTGCAAGTTTGGCAGACGTAGCGCCGCATGAGGTATGGCGTTGATTGGGTTGAAGCTCAAGTTGAGCCTGACAATTTGTTCCATGTCTCTCAAGCCATCTCCAGGCATTTCCGACAACTCGTTGAAACTGAGGTCCAAACTTTCAATCTGCATTTTAACCTTAATCTTCAAAAACAAAATTTAAAAACCGCCGGCATCTGAGTACTCGTATCACATTCGATTGTCTTTATCTGATTGCGGTTGATGCGGAGGATCCGCAAAGTTGAAGCCGAGGAAAAGTCGCTCGTCTATTAATTCGCAATCATCGAGCTTATGAAAAATTGAAATTACCACCAGCTTTGTGAGCATATTGGAGCTCAGGTCAAGTTCGAGGAGCTGTGGCATGTAACGTAGGATGTGCACCCCTAGCACCTTCAAATATCGATTTTCGGACACGATTTTCCTGTTAGTTCACTTCTATTCTGTTATTATTGAGAGATAATTTTTTGACGCGAGGAAGATGTATGGAATCGGATCCCAGCGAGAAGATTTGATTGTACCCAAGGTCAAGCTCTTCCAGCATTGGGAAGGCGAGAACCAAACTTCTCGCAATGGACTGAAACTTGGCTTCTGTTTTTTCAAAGAGTTACTCTTACCGTGATGTTGGAATGAATAATTCTGAGTTTTCTGACATTTGGAAAGCGGTTCCTTTGAACCAGCCAGGGATCTGGTGTTGAACAGTTTTCAATAGTTAGTTGACTGAAAATCCAACTTTTGAAAGCATATTGAAAATTTTACCTCAAGCTGGCTAAGGTTGGTAGATCTTCGATAGAAAAATCAGCCGTTGAAACAACATGCAGAGAATCTATGGAAGAATGTGTGAGATCTTTCAGAAGGTCTGCGTAGTTCTGCTTGCTGAGCCAGTGACAGGATAAACTGTTGTCTGAAATAAAGAACAATTAGCATTTTAATTTGATTTTTGAGTCCATCACGCAGACATCAAAGTTCGACCTCCTCTACATAATACATCACATTGACTTTCCAGGTAGGAAAAAATCAACTTACGCTGGCAGGTGCACCCATCAGGACAGCCATTCACAGTCGTTAGAACAACAGAAACCAAGAAGATGGTCAAGATTTTCATTTTACAGGAGCCATAGGAACCAGGAGCCTGAAAATTCTTGCAGTTTTGACCAGCACGACTCATTGAATAAACAATGAGCAATCAGGTAATATGAGGCGGCGAACGCACACAAGACGAAGTCGACGCGGTTCGCAATAATTAAAATGCCGTTAAGGGTCAATCTTGCAAGGGGCGTCGGCTTTTCAAAAGACTCAGGAAGCTTCTGCGTGCTTTGCGGCTTGATATGTCCTTGAGGTTTCCGTGAGAAACAATTTGAGCTGTGAAAAAAATGCATTATTCAATCAGAATTATTAGAAAAATAACGCGTTAGTGAAATACGGAGTAATGGCAATAAAAAATGTTTTTTCTTATGAAATACTTTTCTAAATTTTTGAAATTTGAATTCAGGTAATTTGAGCATTTTTGTGCCCCCACCATCTTAATAGAAATTTTTCTCGAACTTTTCAGAAAACTTTTTTTTAACGCTATTATAGGAATTTGAACAGATAGTGAATAATGAGAAATACTAAAAAATTTTCACTTAACAGAAAAGACTCAACCAATTCCGTTCAGCTCAAAAAAAGAAGATCTACGCTTCAACTCAAGCTCAGACGATTACGATCATCTCATTGGCTCCAACTCTTTCGCAGCTGACCCCCAACATGGCGCAATGTCATTGGGGACTCGTTCCGAAGTCTTTTATGGCTTGGAAAGAGGGTTTACGGGTATTGAAGCTCTGCGGCGGACAAATCAGGCAACAAAAACATAAAAAAATCTGGAGAAGGATGAAAACGAATTTGGAAGAAGAGGAATAAAAAGTTGGGAGAAGTGCTTTTTGAGCTTTTTGATCGCTTTTTGGAGCTTTTTGATCGCAAGATATCTGAAAACCTTTTCTCAATTTTCACTTAAAATAAAGGGAGCTAGAAACAGTGATGAAAAGCCTAGCTTTTAAAAAGTCTGAAAAATGTTCAAGCTTCGAGCCAAACATCAATAGATGGAGAAAGAGAAAAAATAGATTAAAAAGACTTCACAAAGTGAATTATTCAGATTCTCAAACATCATGGGAAAAGAGAAAAAAAACCTGAAAACGGAAAAAAAGCAGTTTCTCAACTCTTGACCGCTTCGATGGTCAGCAATTGAATGAACAAGAAAACAAAGGCTGAGTGCTTGATTGGCAGCTTGGGCCATTTTTACTGCTCTGCTGGTGACAGTCTGCAATTTGGGACATCTAACAAGCCAATGGTCGTGTAATCCGAGGGGACGGGACCTGCCAGATGGCATTTCTACGCGTCGCGCTTCCTTGTGACGGAACATTCATCTGATGAGCCGTAAACCTCGATTCCAACAAATCGGATTCTTTTCTGATGTTTAGTATTCAAAGAATTAGCCAGAAAAAAATATTCATAAAAAAAGCCGAATTTTTTTGAAAAAAATTGACGAGAATGGATTTTACTCCTCTAAGATCTCAATCCACACAAAAATACTATAGAATCTAATAAATTTGGTAGAGATCGGAATCGAAACTTTCTTGAGAAGTTTTTTTCATTCTATTTTTTTCCAATAAGGCAGTCTAATAATGAATATTTTTGATTTTCATCAAAAAAATTTAGAAGTATAGACTTGGACAAGACTTTCTTCAATAAAAAAAAAAACGGACAAAAATTTTTTCAAAAGTCAAACGGCGAAAATTCAACGTTTGAACCTTCATCAAATAATTCAAACAAAGATGTGCTCTGAAATTCTCAAAACGGTCGTCAGGAAGGAGAGAAATAGAGAACGGATCAAAAATTCACTAATGAGAAGCCGCGCCGAACATATTGTAAAATATTCCATTAGTCATCAACACGAGTAATTTGTGCTTCCAAATGAGATCGAAAAAGTCTACTTCTAACTTTTTTCTCGTCTCTTTTTGCTGCTGTCAGTGGGAGAAAAAGTTGAGAAGAACTCATCCCAAGCGCATGATGTGTATACATTTGTGATAGTACGCGTCAAAGGCGAAGGCGAGAAATTACAGCAAGTCGACTGGTCAGTGGCTCACTGAAATTTGAGAGCAGAACGGGGGAAAATGCTCACAAAATCTTGTGCTTTTAGCTAAAAAAAAATACCTGGAGGAAAATTGGATTAATATGAGTGGATGGAAAATATTCTGAAAGGAAAACGTCAGAGTGATCGGATTAGGAAATTCAGATTAGCTTGAATTTTTTTGGAAGCCTGCGTAGTAGTATGGGCAAACTTGAGATTACTAAACATGAAAACATTTGGAATTTCTATCGGAACTGGGCAAAAAAAAAGGCCTGCTGAATGAAAAATATGATCATTCCTGAAACAAGAAAATTTCCCTGTGATTTTACTAAACTAGGAACACATTTTTAAAACAACACGATTCATTAAAAAATTTTTCAGCCTCTCGGAAAGTCGTGGTGAAAAAAAATGAAGAGGGGCACGAAAAACTTTATTAGCACATGTTGAGATCGTCAAACTAAATTAGAAACACTTGAAAACTCGAAAAGGCCTAGAGAGATCATAGTTTTTCCAGATTTTGAGTTTTTCAAACCGCCTACAGTTGAAAAAAAAAATGAATTTTCAGAACGATAAATTCCATTTTTTTTAAAGCACGATCAGAAAAAAAATTCCAAGGGTCTTGTTGCGAAAATTGCTTCCAGTTGTGGACATTAACACAACCAAGAAATACACACGAAAAGACGCGGAAGATCATCCCCCGAGGGCTCAGCTCGTCAGTCATCTTCAATGGCCACTCATGAGCCTCGGTCTTGGTCTTCCCTCCTCAGTAAATGCCAACAAATCTTAACTGTTATTCACATTTTCTCTCTGCTTTTGGTTGGATATTTACAGTAGTAGGAACATCTTAGGGGTTTTCGAAAATAATTTCTTATAAACTTACGACGAGCTTAGTAAAATCGGTACAAAATTTAACAACTTCGGCCCCACTTAATTTTTTTTTTTGATCCTAAAATTTTCTTGAGAAGCATTGGGCCGAAATCTTGATTTTCGAGCTTTTCCAAAATCTCTTCATTCTTTCGTTAATGTTGCGGTCAAAAGAGAACTGGATAAAAAATAGATAAGTTGATAACATTGAGGTGTTTCGAATTGCACATTTCTTATATCCCATTAATATCCGAATAGACCTCATCAATAACTTTCTTCAATTTATAAATTTTTTTCAAATTTTAAAAAGTCAGAACCCACCCGATCGAAAAAGCAAAAAAGAAAAAGAAAATGAAATTTAGCCGCCGTCGATTCTGAACGAATTTAAAAACGTAAACAATCAGAAAACTTGAATGGGGACGGGATTCGGCGGCAGACAACCACGACGCGAAAAGCTCCTGATTTTGAATAAGATGCACAACCTCAAAATCGCCGTCCTCTTGAAAAGCTGATCAAGTTATGCGCAGTCAACTTCTGAATACTCGGCCCTACTTCTGAACATTCAGAAATCAGAAATAAGTTTTACGGCTTGAAGCGAAGGTAAAGTCGGAATTGACAAGCACATAGGAAGTTCTTTGAATTTTTTACATGAAAACCTCTGACGAAACTATAGAGCGTTTCAGTCCAAACCTCCAGAAATCAATTGAGTTTTAAAAAAATCTTAATTGAAAGAGCTGCCAAATTGACTGAGGTGACGCGAAAGGCATGAAAAAAGGTTGTTTGAATGGGGGTACCGCTGAACTTTTTGACAAATGGTGAATACACTCGTTTGGAGACCTTTTGAGCCGCTCGGCTTTTCTGAAAAAAACTGGGAAAACGGGGCTTTTGGATGGGAAAATGAAAGCTAGTGGAACAGAAATTCGCGAAAAATTGTTTTCCTATGCTAATAATTGAAGAGCAGTCGAATTTCGAAAAAGTTATTGCTCATTTTTCAATACGTTTTTTTTCAACGTAAAGTCTAATACAAGAAAACTTTGAAAAGAATCTTCTCCATTCAGAAAGATTTTTTCGTGTTGGCAACAAATAACTCGGCTTGAAAAAGGTGGAACTAAGTGCTCTCGGGAGTTAGCCATGAAAAAAACCTTTGAAAGATGGAGCACCCAATAAAAGAGGCCTTTGTTGGCTTAGTTTCAAAACAAAAAGCGGCTAAAAGGAATGAAAAATAGCACCTGTCGAGTTCTCAATAGCGGAGAATTTTTTTTTTAGGAGGCTTGCGGGGCTCTGTTTTTCCGGAAAAATTTAGAAGGCAAATGATGATTTTCGAAAGAAAGTGAAGCTTTCAATAAGTGATTTTTGAGTTCGAAAAACGGAGAAAATGACTCTGCGCGTCACGATTTCTGGAACCTTAGCAATTTTGCAAATCCGACAGTAAACTGCTTGCCAAGTTTTCTTTTTGAAGTAAAATCATTCGAGATTTTTTGATTTCTTTTCACAAAATTCTTAGTTTAGTCTACTGTAAGGCAACACATTCTCAAGAAAAAGTTCTTCAAATCCTTCGGAGATAAAATGAGAAATGAAAAAAAATATTTTGGTACAAAGTTGAGAGAGCAAGTTGTGATTGGCCTCGTTAGCTGTTCGTCGCCTCATCTTTCGAAGGCCAAGACTCGGGGGAAAAGTCGAATCGAAGCTAATTGAGCCACGCATGATAAGCGGCCGGCCTCCGAAAAGCCACGACTCCAAGCTGCCCGATCCGATTTGCAACAATTAACACATTCGGCTGTCCGCTGCATCCCCCACTGATTCGGCAGCGCGCCAAACGGCTTAAAATTGACGATTTCTGGTAATTGGTTTGGCTCTCTGTGTGTCTTATTCAGAAACCGCCGAAAGTTTCGAAAATGCTGGTATTTGAGGTCATCAGAGGGTCCTAAGGAGATATCTGAAGTTATTTATCTGATAAAAAGCTCTGATTTATTTTAGCGTTGTTATCTTTTAAATTTTGCATTACCGCCAATGTCACATCTCCAAACACTTTTTTAAGAATTAATTTTAAACGTGCACCATAGGCAAGTATTTTCCTTTTTTGCTTGTATCATTCAAACTTTCGAAAATTTATTAAATCGAAGTGTGTAGGCAGTAGTTGTGTGGTGTGGAAAACAAATTTTAAAAAAATCTACGAAAATTTTACTCTTCAGCAGAGTGATATTAAGGACCGGAATTGTGAGGTCGTTCATGTCATTTGTCTTGGAGATACGTATTTTGGAATGACGGGGGCTTATTAAAAGTGATAGCTAGGTTTCAAAGTTCAGAAATTGAAATGGGGTCGCTCTGTGAAGGTAACAAAGTATACGAATCATGAAGCAAGTTTAACATTGACAGTTTGATGTCTGAAGCACATAAGACAAGCGGAAATCAGAGAAACAAGAAGCATCGAGGCAAAAAGAGCAATGAGACCGCTAGCAGTACCGGGAGCTATGCAGACGTCGCTGGAAATCGGCTTTCCGCCTTCCCAACGTCGGCCTTGTGAAGAGTCTGCAAAAAAAGTCAATTTTTCGTAGCTTTGTTTGAAAAAAACATTTCTCACCAATTTGCTCGTCAATATCGAAAATGGTCATTTTTTGCGAAAGGACGTCGACTTCGTTCTCATCGGATTTAACTGACCGCTTGCCACGGAGAGTTGCGGGACAATTATCCGAGGATCTCTGAAAATCAGAAAGCCTCTGATCAATTTCAATACTGCTGAAGTTCCAAAATAAATGCTTTTTTTCCGGTTAGCCTCATTTCCCGATGTCAATTCCAAGAAAACGGTGTATTCTCCGTACTTGTGAGTTTCAAGGACAAAGTTCATTCCAACATTAGCGCCGCTCCAATTGCGTATATTGAGCCAAACACATTGGACACAGGGTGCAAATCAAAAGAAAAAAAGCGATAAAAAGTAACCTTGCAGACGCCATTTTCTTCTTTCAATGACAATCGGATTTGACACTGGAAGAATACGGAAGGTTGGTCGGCGAACTTGAATACCTGTAAGTCCAGCTATGTTTTTTGAAATAGGTAAATATAGAATAATTGAAAAATTTAAAAAAAGTACGTTTATGGAGCATTTTTTTGAAAAAGCAAGTTATCCGACTGGACTGAAATTCTGGTCTCAAGATCACAAGTCGTCAAAAAAATTATTTGAAAAAAACGTTTATTTCCAATAAAAATACTGAAGAAGTTACAACCAAAGATACCTTAATCGAAGCAAATTTACCTGAGATAACTGCCCTCCAGTGAGCTCTGACGTATATTCCAGGTTGTTGATGAGAAACCTGGAAAATTTTTTTTTTATCCGCTTCTTCTATTTTAAACAATTACCTATCGACAGCACATCCATTCTCATCAAAAAGTTGAACTTCCTTGCCAGTTTCGTCTTTCACGCTACAAGAATGTACGGTGGCGCAGAAGGGTGATTTTTCTGTATGCAACCAAAATAAATTTACTTTTTTTGGAAAGGTTCAACCTGTTTTGTTTGCAGGCTCACAAGACCATTCATGGTAAACGGTTTGGCCAACTGTTGCAAACTTGACCGGCTCCCCACTTTTACTATCCGTCAGAACCTTAAAGAACACCCATTTTTTGAGGTTAAGAAATGGAATACCTGATATTTGCACTCTGGAAGTGGCACGTTATAGGTGAAGCGCTCCTCAGCAGGACTGAATGTTTAATAATAATTTTGAAACAGTGAAATGAAGTCCAACTTTCTAGCAAATGCGTCATTCTGAGCGAGAGAGGAAGCGTTCGATTGAGGTTCTTCGTCTCCAATTACTACCAGAACGCTTTTCTCCATATTTGACGCAACGCTGAAAATAAGAAATTGTATTTTGTTTGCAATGTTCTGAAAAGCTCTGGTCGCAAATGGAATAGCTCATCTGCGAGCAAGTTGCTCCGAGGTGCACCCGATTTAAAACGATTCGCGCTTTTTGGGTACTCGCATCTTTGACCACGACTCTTTGAGCAATTCCAAACGCGGCCGATAACTATACAAATAACTAGGGACCGCAAAGCCACGCCCTTTTTCGCGATAGAAAAAGTGGCTTTTTTTTGGTTTTCAACTTTCATTTTGTTGTAGTTGCAAAATATGTGGAACTGGCTAATGAAATTCGACACACATGTACAAAAAAGCTTCCTCTTTCGTTTAAAAAATATTTCACGCTTTTTTGATGCGTTCTCGCGGAATGTCGTACAAAAACGTGAATGGGACTAAACAATTTTGTCATTTTTTGCTTTTTCATGTGTTTTCAGGTCGAACGCACTCTTTCCTTATTTATAAAATAATTATAATTCAAGTAACGGTAATTTTAAAACAATAAAAATAAAAAAATTCGTCTTTGCCAAAAAAATTTTTAGGGAGTGCCGAAAGTCATAATTCAAAAATATCGTTAATAAGCGAATATAATCGAGTTTTTTTGTTTTTTTCAAAATTTAGACCATGGGCTTACTTAAATTTTTTTCTCCACAGCATATGTGCTTGAAAAAAAGTTGTTCAATACGCCAAAAATGCTCTTGAAAAATAGAGAATAAAATTAGCGGCGTTTATCACACAGAAAGCGGTCGAACGCAGGTTTTTTTAAACGATTATATGCATTTATTAGTAAAAAAATCTTTCAATTAAAAAGAATAAAATAAAAAAATTCGTCTTTGCCAAAAAAATTTTACGGGGCCGTTTTAATGCAGCGATCGTTAAACGAGGCAAAGAAAGCACTAAAAAAACAGTTTTTTTCGAAGTGAATTTCCACAGAAAGTTTGAGTAGAGATTTGCGAACATATTCTGATAAAAAGTAGCTAAATTACTTCAAATTTTTTTATTTTTTTGAAATAGGCAATCTGTGCTATTCAAACGGCTCAAGGGTATGGCGGATGAAAGCTCTCCTTGCTGGACTCAACAGCTTAGCGCAGCGCGTGCGCTGCGAATTTTCATTTTGTGGTCGCGAGTTCGATGCCCGCAAGCGCCAGTTTTTTGTTTTCTGGAAAATACCGACTTTTTCGGCAAACTAGCAAATTTTTATCATTTTAGCACTCTATTACGATTTGTTACATCATAATAGACCAGTGTCAAAACTTATTCTAGAAGAAAAATCGAGAAAAACGTCAAAAATGGATAATACCAAAATTCCAGTACTAAAAATTGGTGCGCGGCGCGCCACATTTTTCGTCATAACTTTTTTCATCCTCAATCTTTTTCGAAAAACTAAACGGTTCTGATTTTTGAATCGAAACAGCTATCAAACCATACAAAGCTCAATGCTGAAAAAATTTTTTTGAAAATTCGTCCGCGGTCCCTACAAATAACTTACTTGACATCCAGTTGTTGTGTAACCGTTTTGGCGACCTCTGCATAGAAACATTGAACTTTATAGGATTTATCAATTTTTGTGATGAACATCTGGAAATGTTTTTTTATTTCGAATTCGATTGTTTTAGAACTTACAGGATGAAAAGATACAATAATCGTGGTAGTTATCATGATCCCTCTCGGGTTGTTCTGAAAAATAATTAGGATCAGAATCAACGGTATCGGAGCCGTCAGAACGAATAAAAAAGGTGGTCTCTTTGGGCCTACTTGACCTCTAGGCGGAACATTCATTGAAATGAGAGGAACGGGCAAGGACATTGGCATTTTGATATTTGGCTCCGTTACTCGATTTTTTGACTTTGGGAGAACGAGAAGTTTTTGAAACTCGAGAATCAAAATAAAATTGCTTTAAAATCAGTAGTTTGTAAGACGCGTAGTTTTTTTCAACACAAATGTCCGAGAAGTGAACAAAAATGGTTTGCAATCTGAACTTGTGTCCCTGAAGATTCTTTTAACTAAACCAAAATTCATTCATAATCATATTGCCCTTTATTTAATGCCAAGGCGTTGAAAGAAACGCCCTCTTTTAACTGAAAACATTTAAATTTTGAACTTTCCCTCATGGGAAAGGTCGAGGAGAAAGTTCCTCCGGCTTACCGGTGAAAAAGGCTATTATATGGAGAAGTATCACTTGTAAGGGTGAATTATGAAAAAAAGGTCTAGTTTTTGCCGCACTCTCAGTTTGCTGTTGCCGTATCCGTAGAAACTCAAGTGGTTAGATGCGGAAATGCGCGTCAGCCTAATTAGTTGACGCCAGAAAAAAAGGGAATCTTCATTTTTGGCGAAAATTCAATCATCGTTTCGGCTCGTGGTCGTGAAGTTATACATTCAAAGGAATGGGTTTTGACCGCCAAATCTGCATAGTCAAACAAATCGTTGCGGCCAACAAAGGATATTATAGTTCTTACAGCACACGTAAAAAGTTGGAGTTTATTACCGTTTTTCCAAAAAGGCGTTTCAGAGACTTGACGAGGGTAAAACTTCAAGGTTGTTTTTTTTTTGAGCCGCCGCTCGGAAATAACCGAATAACTTCATGAAAACGAGTGTATTTGGTTTTTTGTGTTTGCGGGGGGTTTCGCTAGTAAGGTACAAAGGGAAACGTGATAAAATATTCGCCGAAGATATACTATAAAAGGGAACAGCTTGATTATTTCTTTGAAATTTTTCAACCTGTAGTCAGAATATTTTTATCTTAACCTCCGCAAAGTTACAGAAGTTTCAGAAAATGATCTTAGCCTTTTCGCATTCAATTTTATCGAAGAAAAAAAAGTCCCACCGATCTTTGCCGGACGACGTCGCAATCTGTATACGGCACGGTCAAATTCACACTCGACTCGAGGGTCGCATCAGTCCGACATTTTTTTGCACTTAATTCCAAAATATCTTCAAAGACCCGTGAATGGACACCTACTTGTAATGTCCTTTAACGTAGGCATGACCTTCGAAAGCTGATTGAGTTTTGAAACGGATCGAAAGGCTTTCGCTGCCACATTGGACATATGGTTCGCCTGAAACAGGACTGGAACATTAATCTTCCAGGTCAGAAATAAATAAGAACAAAAACGCTGACAATACCTATCAATCCATTATCGATGGTGTCTGCGAAGACGATGTAAACATTCTGAAAATGGGAAAAGTGAAGTTTGGTAACAGGAGAATGTTTGGGTGGCTTTCCTAAGTTCAAAAATTTATGAAGAGTGCTGAGAAAGATAAAACACAACACCATCAATAATTCTGATGGAATTTTCATTTTCCTTCAAAGAAAAAGGCAAACTTACAAATAGAAACAGAAGTATGGCACAGTTCACCATTCGAGCTGATACTTTGAAATGAAGCGCGTAGAGGAGTTATATTTAGGTATGAAGTGTTCGATCAGAAGCAAACTATCCTGCAATAACAAAAAAGTGAAATGCTAAAAATATAAAGAGGCTGCGATCGAATCGAATTTCTAGAACCGGGATCGAAACTCAAAGTGGTTATTAGCGTTCTGAACAAGAAAAAGTTACAGAACAACCTCGTGTGTGACCTCCGTTGTGACATGAAAGGGCCCAGATGGAATGATTCAATTAAAAAGTCAGCAGGAGTTTAGACAGTCTACAGTCTTTCAAATTTAGTTTTTTTTAAATCTTAAATCCGGAAAAATATATTGAGAAGGCTTTTTGGCTTTAATAAAATAGAAATGAATAAATAAAGAAATCATATGGGGAATTGCTACTAGAGATGTAAGAAATGAAAAAAAAATGTAAAAATTTTCATGAATTTCTTCCCTGTCAATTAAAAGAAACTGAAAATCAAATGGAACAAATCATAAAATCCCAAGTTTATTCACCATTAGCTTAGGCCAAGGATGACTTCCCAGAAATCGAAAAAAAATTGTTTATGTTCTTATTTTTTCCTCATGTCATATGGATGAAGCGAAAGTAGAAAGAACGAAAAAGGCACGATGAGTGAACTTTTCTGGACGCTTGGAAGGAGAGATCTAGCCGGATGGAAGAGGTCAGGTCAGCACACCTGGAGAGACCAGCCGGCTCACTGGCTCGCTTGACCATGATCCTTTTGTAAAATGTCCGCCGGTGGAACATACACCAAGGGAGGGAAGGGTACAGTGCGCGGCGGAAATGGAGGCGGAGCCAAGAAGATGTGCACTTTTCGCAGAGGTGGGCCCTCTGGCTGGATTTGGGAAACTGTCGTGAATCTTGTTAACTTTATTCAAATTCCCAGCTTTTCAAATGATATAAAAAGTTGAATGTAGTAAGAATTGATATATCAATTCAAAAAATGAATGAATATAGGATTTCAGAGCTTTCATAATGGAGCACAAAACCAAGAAGTGGATGTTTAGAACTTTTGAAAGGCAATATTTAAATAAGAACTTTGAGCAGATTTTTGATAAAGAAGTTATGATGTAGGGACTTAAAGACTTTAACCGCCGAAAATTCCTGAAAACCAAACAAAAACCGGCAAGCCAGACACTCGTTACACTTGAACACCAAAACTACTTCAGTAACGGTCAAACCTTCGAAATGAGGCTGATTACTCAAGGAAAGTAATCAGCGCGCACTCTGTAGAACTGTCATACTTACACTTTTACTTCAAAACACTTTGACTTTTGGACGGTTGGTAGTTTATAAAATTCTAAAAGTGTTACTTGAAATCTTGACAAAAACCAGAAAGAAACTGGTAAATGAGAAAGAGCGGAAAAATTCAAAGAATTGCAATAAATTTGAGACATTGGTGATAAGAACGCAAGATGAAACAGTAATGTGCCGTGTTTACGAACACTGCCACCCAACAAAGTTTTGTTTTGTTGGAATAAGGGAACGAAGACGACGACTCAATTGATTTGGACGACTTCTTGACGTGCCACACGTTTTTCTGTCAATTTTTTTCCTACCTGGGTCCCGGCCTCAATTCACTCGAGAAACATTTCAAGCAATGCCAAGACCAGAAAAAAACGACCTTTCCTCTTTTCTCGGAAAGGCAATGTTCGCATTTTGGGAACAATGAATAATTGAAGCAAATATAATTGTGGCAACTAGTTTTGCATATTGAAAATGATTCCGAGCTTCCGATGGATCGCAAAAAATCATGATTCTCCATTTTCCACATCCTGCCATTATCCCTTGGCAAAATGAAAAGGTACCGTCCAAATTTCAAGGACATTTATCTCAGAAAACAAGGGATCATTACTGTATGTTCATGGTGTCATTCTAATTTCACGAGCCCGCCCTTGAACTAATTACCAGGTTCATTTGACAACCTGAGCAAAAAGCGGTGCTAACTTTTTTTCCTCCTTTAGCCGTTAAATGAGAATTAGCGCGCGTTCTTGGTCATGGTCAGAGGAAATTAGGAGTTTTTCAGTTTTTGAGGTTTGAGAAAGAATAAAACGAGTGAATTTCGAAAAACAACCAAAAAAAGTTGATTCAATGGCTTTTTCAAAAAAAGTTCAATTCGTCCGAAGAATAAAAAAAACGTTCCTTTTAGTTTCAGTCGGTATGGATCTTGCCATAGAAACACCTGTCTTCGGTTCGTTTAACCTTTGCCGAACAATGCGAAATTGCGTCTAGCCTTGTATTTGTCATTGCGCATTGGGCAATGACAGGGCTATAAATTGGACGATTTCCTAGCTGTTGTATCTTGAGGACAGTTCAAACAAATAATCTTTATCCTTAAGGTTTTGATGGGCTTTTTCGATGGTACAGTTGAGGATCATTTGTACTATTTCAGGAAAAAACTTCAAAAGAGTGCGGCTTCAAAGCTTTAACTTCTAGAGGTTGAAGAAACGTCCGACCTAAAACGACTTCAGCACGGAAGCATCAAGAATCAGTGAAGCCTATATCAATCGCCAAACTACGACCACGACTGTTTTTCTCAGACGTCAACATTCTTTCTGCAAGGATTTCTTGAGTCTCAAGAAGAAACTGAACGGAAAACAAAAAGTAAACACAAAAATTCAAAGCAGAAATCAAAACAAAAAACCCTTGAAACGGTTCCAAACTTCGATTGCTCATAAGCGGATCGCGTTTGACCCTATTTCAGCTATATTTATTTATAGCGAGAAACGGCTTCCAGTACATTTGACGGGTGTAGAAAAACACGAATAATGCGCAAACAAATTGGTACAAGGATGTTGGAACTCCGTGAAAACCACATTTGGAGCGGAAAAAACGGTGTTTGCATGGTTTTTCGTACTTTTAAGATCAAAGTAACTCAAAGAATAATGAACAGTGAGATAATAAGTAATAAAACAAACACGTAAACGAATCTTTGGTTTTCAAGCTTTGTTACAGAAGATTTCCAAAAACGATAAAAAAAATTCAATTTTGAAGTTTTTGAGGGATTTTTGACTTGCCAAGATGTCTGAGCCGCTAGAAGGTCAAATCATTATTTGACCAACTCCGAATACTCTGAAGGGCGGCATTTGCCAACGCAAAACAATATCATCACGCAATCAAGACAACTCAACGGCTACTGTTCTTTTCTTTCTTTTTATTTTTTTTTCTGGATTCTATCAATTTTTTTGTTTTGACATTTATTCAAATTTTTAATTGGACGAAGCTAGAAATTAGCTTTTCTCGTTATTTTTTTCATATTTGCGCTGAAAGCTTTTTGTCAGCCGTAATTTTGAAATTATTCGATTTTTTTAGTTTTGATTTGGCGTCATCTTAGTTTTATCGGATTTATGAAAAAAATAATTTGAAGCAATAAATTATGTAGGCGAAACAGATCTTTTTTTGTTGTTGTTTTCAGGTTTAATTCGGAATTATAACAATTCGAGAATGCACTCCTTTCTGCCCTTTTTCAGAGTAACGAAAAATGTCAGGCTTTGAATCGGTCGCTCCCAATTTCCTACGAGAAGACAACGTCAGTGGCTCGGTTGAAGTCCTCCAATTTTTATTTAGAAGCGAAGGATATAGTTTTCACGTAAATTTTTTTTTCAAAATTGATTCTGTTTTAATTCACCGGTTCCAAGAGTTGAATGATTTAAAATTCAAATTTTGATAGAGATGAAGTTGAAAGCTTAATCGTTTTTCTCAAAATTCAATTTCAGATGAAAGCGTTGGAAAAGTCGCAGGGCGAAGACTTGATGAAAGCGCAGTACACCGAAGCGGACAGAATAAAGATTATGCAGCTCACGAGACTCCACCACCTTCCCTATGATGATGACCAAGAGTGGGAGTTCCACGGCCTGTTGGACTCGACGCATCCCGCCGCCTGGGAATCAATCGAACAGTACTTTCAACGATGCGTTTTCGAAGACCTCAGCAACGACTTTCTCCCGCAGCTGACTGATTTTGACGACGAAGTCGGACCAGGCGACGACGCTTTTGAGTTTTGGCTCCGTGACGCTGGCTACAGAAACTGAATATTTCCTACTTCTACCCTTTTATCTCTGATTGCTGTCCCTCCCATCAAAATTGATTTATTTATTTGTCTTTATTTATTCTGTCCCCCAACGTCCAGTTAAATCCTTAAAAAGTAAATATCTTTCTAACAATTTTTGTTCTGATGCTCAAAAAGTTAAATAATCTTTGAGGAGGACCTCAAAAGATCAAATATATATATAGAAGAAACATAATAGAATGTAAAAAAATCATCAAAAGAGCGGTATACTTTTTGTTGAAAAAGTCCAGAGATAGCTTATAAATAAAAATAAAAAAATTATGAATATTTTCAAATTTATACAAAAACTCTTGGGACTTCTGGAGCTTCAAACTGATTCTCCTAACAAACTTCAAAAAGCCCATCATATGAAAAAGTTGACGCTCTCATAACCTTCATCTGAAAAAAACAAAAAAAGTGGTTTTTATAAGAATTCGAGACCGCGAGAGAGATTACCCGTGTGAACTAAAAACTTTCAAAAAAGTAATGAATTTTTTTAATTGAAAGGTGCGAAAAAAACCTTGTCAAAGCAGAAGAGAACATCAGGACTTTAAGTGCATTCATTTTTTTCGAAACAAGAAACACGATGGTTCAATTTCTGCTGTAAATGCTGTAGCAGCCTTTCTGATTTCTTCAAATCAATTTTAATGCATATCGATCAAAAGTGAGTGTAAAGTTTTACTTCCAAAAAAATATCAGAAGAAGGACATGTAAACCAGATATGGCAAATTTAGCAAACAAGTACGGTATGAAAAAAAGTTTTTAAATGAAATAATGAATCGGTCACAGAAATCGATGTGAGAAAGAGGCACATAAAGTTTTGGAATTAAAACGTCACCAAAAAACTTCACTGTGAATAGGGGCGAAAAAAAGTAGAATACTAGTTCAAAGTCCTGGAAACTTTTTTTGGAAAAAAATTCGATTTAGAGAACATTCGAAAAAAATGAACAAATGAAAAAAATTTTTCATGTTTTTTTAAGTTTTGATACAGCCTATCAAGCATTCGAAACTGCTACTGGAAAAATTCTATGAGGAAAAATTATTAAAACGAAAAAAACTAGCGTTATTTATCTGGATCTATAGAACCTATTTCTACCACCAAAAAAAAAATCCAATTTGAAAATTCCGGACCACAGAAAACAATAAATATTTTTTTTACTTCTCAAACATGGGTGGCTTTTTTGATGCCCAGGATTTTCTCAGCTACGCCAATGTAGTAGACTGTTTGTGCGATACCGAAAAGAGGTGCCATCACCATCATACGGCACGCGGCCCCTTTGAAAAACGCGCGAGGACCTTCTTTCTTCAGTATTTGCCTGAAAATACCGGAAACAGTAATATGAACTCTGAACCTTTGATTGCTCAATCTCCGTTATTTTTGAAACAATCAAGAAATCCTTTTGACCTTTTTGCGAAAAACTGGAGGAGAATTTTTGAAAATTTTTGAATTCAAGTTATTTTTCAGATTTTTAACATGCTAATCAGAAATGCTAGGGATATGACAGAAGAAATCCAACAACTTGGACTCTTGTAAAAATTAATTTAAAACTCACACGAACGCATCCGGAACGTTTTTGTAAACGACTTCATTTGCTCCTTTGTTGATTGTTTGCATTCTCGTTTTGATTACTAAAATCGATATACGCATACAAAAAATTAATAACTGAAAAACCATCTAGAGGGGTGACGGAGAAGGAGGAGAACGCTCCAGAGGCCAAGCCAGCAAAGAAACTTCCATAAAAAACGGCGTCTCCACTTCCATCGGATCTTCTTGGGGCCTGAATGTTATAAAAATACACGTAAAAAAGGTTTTCTCACCAATGAATCCAAATAAGCAAAAAGCGGGAAATAAATGACCGAAAAGGTGACGTCTCTAGCGAAGGTTGAACTGAGACCCCTGCAAAAAATTTGACATTTTCAAAACTCTGAGACAGTTTTTACTTGTAAAGTCCAGCGATACCATTTTCCTTGACGATTTTTTGAGTGAGCTCCAGGGCGCTCAGCTTTTTCTGTCCTGGTTCTGAAAATCATCAACTCGTGTGTATTCCTTATTTTTCCCCACTTAGAGTTCTTCCTTGATCCTGCATTTGAATTTTCAGTAACTCCATAGGAGTCGTGACAATAATTTGGAACATTCCGGCCAATCCACCGGCCAACATGCCTCGTCCCACTGACAATTGTCTGTAAGTAAAATGAAAAAAATTTTTTTGAAAAAAATTTTTTTTGTTAAAATATCGAAAAAGATTGACTTTTCAGATTTCTCTAAATAGACATCCTTTACAGCGTAATCATGAATTCCTCAATCCATTTCTAAAACTAGGTTAAAAGCTTTTTTGAAAATTTTTTCGAGTATTTCGAAGAAAATTAAACAAATTCGAGCTTTTCTCTCACTTTTTCCCTTCCTCCTTCAATTTGGTTCTGAAGAAATCGTTGGCGACAAGCTTGATGGCTTTCTCCGGAGTTATCAACAAAATGTTCACTCCCGAGCCGGAGTACATGCCTTTGAGCTTGAACAGGAAAGTAATTTATGAACGAAAAAAGAAAAAAAAACCTTGGCGAAGTTTGTGGCTCCGCCAGCTCGCCAGGTTTGCTTGGCACAGTCAGCACTGAAACACGAAAAACATCGAAAAATGTTGAGCTCCATCAACTTACATTCCTTTGTACTGCACTTCGCCGTTCTTGCCCACAGTTTGGTTTTGAAGCCTTGTTTTCACCAAATCGATGGGGAAGACGCAAGAAACGCCGATTATTCCCGCCAGGCCGCCATTCATTATTTTTGGCACGTAACTGAGAAAATATTATTGATAATCTGGTTATGGTTTCGGTTGGAAACTCACGAAAATTGCTTGTCGCCTTGGGGTGCCATTTTACCTGAAAAACTGGAAATTTACAGCTTTCGATTAATTTATATTGAATTCAACATCATGAAGACGCAAAAAAGTTGCAGAAAAAGAAACGTGGCTTAGTAATCTTTGAATTCCCTCTTTGCTCCTTTGAAATCTTGAAATTTTTGAACTATGCGAAATAAAAATTGCGGTCAGGACCAGCTTCTGCAATTAAAATATAAAATTTGAATACATATAAGTAGTTTATATCAACAGAGAACAAAGTAGAAATTGATAGAATCTGATCATAACAAGAAGGAAACCCGCAAGAAAAGGAAAATTGCATAGGAAAATAATACAAAAAAACTAAATCCCGATAATTTAAAGGCAATAACATGGTTTATTAGATACTTTGAGAAAAGAAAATGTCCCTAAAAGGCCCTTAATAACCCATCTAAAACCAGAAAACACGTTTTTAAAAATGAAGTGTGTAATTCGAACAAGTAGACGCAAAAGGCACAGAAATTTGATTTTTAGAAAGGAAAAAAATCTGAAACCATAACATTTATAACTCTTCAAAAAAAGGTCGAAAAGGCATAACTTAGATAATAAAGAAATACAATCAAAATGTGTAATTTTTCCATGATTGCTGAAATGTGCAAAACGAAACATGCCTAGTGAACTTTAATACTGGAATTAAGTACAAACGAAGTAGGAGAGTCAGGAGACAGAGAATTTTGCAGAGTTTCGTACTGAATTGGAGCGGCCTTCTCTTGATCAGGATAGAAAAGCGAAAGGATCAGTTGAACGACTGAATTTACGATGGTGCTTGTCGCGTAAACGCCACCCAAAATTGAACACAGTCTGATCAAAAACGTCACGAATGATCTGAAAATGGAGCGAAAAAATTAATTTTTCTAAAAAGCACGGTATTATGTGAATAGAACAGGAAAAAAAGACAAATATTTTATCTTTCTTTATTTTCCCAAAGCGATTTTTTATTTACAAAAGTCTTTGCAATTGAAAGTCAATAAATTCAAAAAAAAAAGTTTTAAAAATGGAATTAACTTTGTTAAAATGAAATTCAATCAATTAAATCTCTTGAGAAAGGCGATACAAATGTTGATCTTTGTTTTCAAAGCCCTCAACAGGTCGATCGATTGTTATCGCAACGTTTTTTTCGCACGCTCACGGAGAACTTTATGGTTTCTCGTCCAGTTTATGTTTTTCTGCGGTGGTTCCAGGGGAAAGCGACTACAAATTATTGTGCAAAATATCCAAAAAATATTTGAATTCAAATGATAACGTTTTTAGAACTAATCGAAAAGATGAAAATTTTTGAAGATTTTTTTATGCAAAAAACGAAATTATGAAAAAGCTGGAATCTCGGAGCATCCTATAATTATCATGGCGTGATAAAACTTTATCAGCTTTTTTTTATCACACCATAGGTGTTTGAAAATTTTGAGAATTTTACTGAAATCAAGCGGTTTGGAGTATAAAACTATATGCAAAACGAATTTAATTGTGATGTATAGTTCCGCTCGGCTTGCGATTTACAAACTTACAAATTTAAACAGTTTTTTTGTGAATGAATGAAAGGATGATAATATAAAAACATTTTTTAATTAAAAAGAGAAAACGAAAAAAAAGAAAAGTTGAAAAACTAGACGCGTTTAATCTTAACATGGCTCTAGAACACGTTTGACGGCTTTTTTACACTTCCATCGTCTCAAATTAACAGTAATAAAACTATGACTTTAAAGAAAAATAACCATACGTTGTCATTCGATGAACTTCGATGACGTTGGCTGTGAATTCATACTCGAAAAGGATGCCTCCATGAGAATGTTCGCCTTCTTGCAGCTTCTTCTTCTGGAATTTGAAATTTTCGAAAAATGATCTTTATAGATAATATAAAATAAGATACAAACCAAAAATGTGACAGAGTACTGGTAAGCCATTGTGTAGCTGAAGTAGCCGTAGATTTTGGTGGGGACTATTTTGATGAAGTATCGATAAACGTCTTGTCCTGAGAATCGAGAAAACATCATGAAAAGAATCGAAAATCCAAGAATTCTGTGATTATTTCACGGAGCGTTTTTTCACAAATCAAGGAAATCTCAACTCAATGAGGATTATCCTAATCTCAAAGTATAATTCGAAAAAAAAAACAGTGAGAAATACGAAATCTTCATAAAGACTACTACTGAACTTTTCTCAAGCCCGAGCTGTGAGGACCAAAATTTCATAAATTCGAACCTCCTTCAGAAATGTGTTCAGCTCCGGAAAGGGGAGCAACAAGGCCTCGTATCCTTGGACCAAACGTGAACTTTTTCAATCCGATGGGAAATGTTCCCAGCTGAAAAAAATATGAAAAATTTTTAAAAACTCATGAAATGATTAACGTACGATTAGATCCTTCAAAATGGTTGATAATCATCATAGGGTTTCCAATGGAAATCACAATTTTTTCTTCTTTTGCCTTTCTAACAGGGAATCTGCCATGAATCCGACAAGCGCTGCCTTCAAAAAAACTTTGCATTAGAGAAGAAAAAAACTAAAAACCTTCATTATCGCCTCCAGCATCAGCCACTAGTTGGAACATTCCCATGCCGTTTCCCACAAGAAACATCTGAATTCCAGCTTTTTCTGAGTAACTAACAGATTTTCAACTGACTACTTGACCGCTTGGATGCTTCCGACCGCCGTTTTTTCGTTGCTCCTCTTTACGATGCTCTGCGATTTCTTCAGCTTCTCTTCTTTGTTTCTCATCTGCCAATTGTTCCAAATTGCTTTCGACATCGGAATCGACGTATTGAAGCTGAAACAGAAAAAGAATAAATGAAAATGAGAAAACTAGGAGAAACATCTTCAATTCCTCGGAAGCCTTGTTCATTTATTTTCGAATGAGCATGCCGCAACACAGTCCAATACATTTGTTCTTCAGGCGTGAATTCGAATCTGAAAAAAAAGTTTAAAAACCAATTTTATGAAAAAATAACCTTGTAGGATCTTTCTTTATGGAGGACTGTAGAGGAGAAAACATTCCGGTCGACATTTGTTGGTCCATAGAGCTAGCCACTTGCAAGGCGTTACAAGGAGTCGCAACTATCATGTCTATGTCCAAAATTGGCGTTCTAAAATAGTTGTGTAATTTTCAGTGAAGAAAAAAAACACCCACTCGGTCATCGCAATGTCCACGTCAAACTTGTACTCGTAACGGTTAGAAAAGAAGAATTCATAAGTTTCCATGAAAAATAAAATGAAAATTGCAGAGAAAAACACAAAAGATACTGAAAAAAAATATTGAGTTTGAATAGAGCTTGAATACTTACTAAATCCGGCCGACGCTCTTTTCTCTTCTTTCACGTTTTCTACCACTTTGTCAAAAATGTCCAAATCCTCGACGATTTTCGTTATTCCCCGCCTTTGCCTTATTCCTGACGTGTCGATCTCCATATTCTTACTGTAAAAAATTGAATAAACTAAAATCAAAAAAAAAATGAAAAGATTGGAAGATAAAAAAGAAAAAAAGAAAGTTCAAAAATTGAATTAAGTTTTGGCAAAAGTATGCAGTTTGAGGCCCGCGTGTATGCACAATCATTATTGATTCTTACCACTGGATATTGTTAGACATAAAAACCGATATTATTAAGAGTAACGCTGAAAGTTTCACGATAAAATTTTCTGAAAAAGCATCTCTGATATCGAATATACTTATGTATTTAGGGGAAACTTTGCAAATAAAAAATATAATTTTGTATTGATGGAAGAAATTTAAAATTACCGTAATAAAAGATACGAACAGATGCATAAAGTAAAAGTTTTTTTTTTCTTTTATCAGAGTTCATTTACGACATCGTTCTTTTGCGGAAGCACCGGACGAGGTCCTGGGTTTGAAACATTTAATTTTTGGCGCTATGTCGTATGAGTCTGAGCTCACACTAACGTCTTTTCGGAAGGTAGGTCAAACGAAAAAAGGGCAGGGAAATGAGCAAAGGCGCAAAAAACTATTGAGTAGTCGGCTCTAGAATTAGTAGTCCATACACACCCATACCAATCCTTTGGTTTATTCTCTCTGCCGATCGCTTCAATCAAGATGTTCGCGTCCATGAGAACTTACTACGGATCAAGAACCAAGGTAAATAAATTATACTGCGTATTATTTTTGTTATATTGATTCAAAAATTGAAAAAAATTTTTGATTCAAGTTCATTCCAAAAATAAAGAGACGTTCCAATTTTTTTTGCAGAATCGTTTGAAAAAGCTAGTAAAAATAAAAAAAGTATCAAGACTAAGCAACCCAGAATACAACGAGCAAAATCATTCCTTCGAGACTTAAGCAATATTTTACACAAAAACCAGCGAAAAATTATCATCGGATTTTTTTAGGGGTAGATAAATTTGAGCCAAAAAACCCCTTCAATTTTTTTTAAATAATTTTTTTGATAACGTACAAATGAAATTTATTTTCAGGATTTAAAGCCCATCGAATGTCGTTTGGAGTCCATCAAATGCCTTCCTATTGAAAGTTTTAATATTTTGAAATACGTGCCCATGATCTTGGAAGGTCGATCACCCTTTCCGCATGTGCATCGTCTCCGTCAGATGATTGCTCCTATCAACATTCACGAATACTCTAAACAGGTAAAAATTATAGTTATTTTTCCCATTGTTAAGGGTAACCCCTCAACTTAAAAAAAAAGGATTTTTAACTTTGGCTGGGAAATTTTTTAAGATCGAGATTTGCTGCTCTGTAAATATTACAAAATGGAGCATTTACGGTGAGTAGGTAATAATTAGATGAGAGCAGGCAACAAAATATTTCAAGTCCCACTAAATTAAGATCGCAGAAAAAAGGTTGCTTTCATCAAGAATCTTTTGAAAGCTAAAAAAATTCTTGTTCATTCATTGATAGCTAACCAACTTCACAAAAATTCATAAGACAACTAAATCGCGATAGTTATGAATTAAAATGAACTAGAAATATATTATCGCAAAATTTCATAAAAACTGCAGTCAATAACTTGAAAACTTTTTAGCACTAAATATTACATAGAGACCTTTTATCGAGAATATCCGGAGGAATTGTAATATCTCTTCAAGTTTTGAACTGCAACCATTATCTGAGAAAAGCGATTACTCAACAAAGATTATTTTTTCAGCTTCAATCGTTGGAGGAAATGCGTGCCCACGAAGAATTCGTCGTTAGGTACACCGAAGGAACACGAAGAAAAGCGATAGCCAAGAAATCCTGGAATTCTTTCGATACCGACGAGCATTTTGGTCATCATCCAGCCACAAGCCGTCCGCCGTGGCAAACTGAAGAGGATTTCCAAAAAACCGTCCATTGGCAGTTGGAAGCTGAGATGAAGACGCATTTCTTTTGCGACGGCGAAGATGAGGTCAAAGCAGGCGACTCGGCCTCCGAACACTACCCTAAACCTTCTTAATAAATTACGTGTATTAATATAATAAATTTATTATAGGTGTATTTATTTTCATTTTTCTGTCTTTTTTGTATGCATTCGTTGCTTTTTAGATTGCTCCTTCTCATTTTCCTCAATCTCCGTAATTTACTTTTTATTTTTGCGTCTGCCGATCTCTGCTTGCAGGTCGTTCACCATGTTTACTTCGCGGCCAAGGTAGATGTAGGATGTGACCTCTTGAAGGTCGCGAAGTAGGCCTTTTAATTATGACTACATTTAAAGAATGAATTATTTGATCGACAGCTTGAAAGTGTGGTCTCAAACGGATGAGTATCCCAACATGAAAACCATAATCCGAAGAAAACAGCTGAAACCAGAAAAAAACGGTATATCTAACTCAAGAGAGCCGTCTTGAGCTTATGCAGAAAGAAAGAGAAAAATCCGAGTACGGATTTGCTATCGAGCCGTCTTTGTTTGTGCGTAAAATTTGCAGGATTCGTTCTGACTGTTTGTGAATGTCTACAAAGAGTGCGAAGTATTTTCGAAATTTCAAAAATAAATAATTTTTTTGAACCGTGTCCAGATACGGAGTTCTCTCTTTCTTTTTAACTGGAAACAATTGAGGAAGAAAAGTGGGCGAAAACTCATCCGATCGCCGTGATTGCACCGAATTACTGGCGTGCAACAGCTGAAAAAAGAGGCTAGAAGAAAAGGGCACATGCGATGTATAAATGCATTTGGGCATCGTCAATTCTTTGAGATTTTTAGCCGCTGGTTTTATTTGCTCTGAAAACTCACTATAACTTTAATTATCCTTTGAAAAAAAATACTCAAAAAAACAGAGAAAATCATCAAAATGCGGTTAAAAATGTCATTTCGAGACTCCGAGTCTTGACTTATTATTAATCAGAATTTTGGGAAGGGTGAAGGTTTTCAACAGTTGAAGAAGTCCTCGCGAATATAGGAGAATTGAACAGGTCTGCTCCTGAAGGCTCGCCAGAATTTTCAAAAAAGCATAGGGTGCTTGATTATCCTTTCACGCCCACGAAAATGTAACCTGTTTCTCCTTTTAAGAAATGAAAAGTGTGAGCCGCATCGTCTTCATCAGAGTAACAATTCAAAAAAAAGGAAACCTGTTGGGACTAGAAGGAATTTGTGCCTTCAAACATGTTTTATTGAAACTTTCCTATGCATTGAAATTTCCTTCTTTCTTCTAATGGAGCTGCATCTGACAAGAATCGTTCATCGTCGTCATTTCTTTCATTCCAGTTCTTTTTCGTCTTCTCTTAGAATTATTTCAAAGATTCACAGACAAAAAAAAATTGGTAACTACTTTCTAGGTTTTTTGAGTCTATACCTGATTTCAAGTCCTTGCGTCTCAAAATTAACGGTCCGTGAACGTGCGACTATAAATGAAACTGAAAATGGGGTTTTTCAATTTTATTTCCCACTCAACAATATCAGTTCTAACTTTTTTGAAAGGCCGTTTTTCTTTCTCTCTTATCATTCCGTTACAATTCTGGGTTTTTTTCTAAAAAGAAAAAAATGAAAAAAACGGCAATCAAGAAGTGAGGTTGAAAATCGGTTAAATGAAGTCTTGCCTTCAAGAAAGTTAGAACTATTTTTGTCTTCTAAGTTTTCTGAGAACGGTTTGCTATAAATAGAAAACTCAAAAGTTTGTTCCGTGTGTAATTAACAGTTCCAAGCCCTGAAGAAATTCGAGAACCTAGTCAAACTTCCGCCGCAGTTTTCAAAACTTTGTTTTACGTTTTTTTGACTCTTTCAGGCAATACTCATTCTTGAATCAGAGTTTTCCAATAAATTTTTTTATTTTCACTGCTTTGAAATGTTTTTGACACTTTGAGTGTTTGTGATTGAAGGAAGTGCTTCAGAAAAAGTTGCGCCTGTCACAAAAGCTTGGAGATTCATTGGATTTGTTACTTCAAAATGTTTCATCAAGTTATCTTCTACAGCTTCAAAGCCAGGCGTTTGAATAAAGCCAGTAAAAATGAGGCTCTAAATGGATTGGTCAGCGATTTTTGCATTCTAAGCTAAGACTAGGTTTCCCTTTGTCGCCAAAAATACTACAAATCGATTGCTTTTCCTAGCAAATCATGTATTTGTTTACGCCAGTTTTGACTTCCTCCATCTCACGCTTTTGATTTTCTAACTATGATTGTTTTCGTAACATTTGGAACTTCGTGAAATTTCAGACGACTGAAAAGCCTGCAATAGTTGAAGTTCCTGTGAAATTTTACTATTTAACTTTCGAATTCCCTTTTAAAACTTTTGGGCCTATAGATAAAGTCTTAGTTTGAAGGCTTTTTCATTCGAAAAAAACATTTTTCGACTTCTTTGAATTTTTTTGTAATTTGAAATGTCTTTTAACAAAAAGAAAGGATCTCATAATATTCAGTCATGAGCTGCTTCGCTCGGAATTTTTGAATTTAAGAGCTAAAAGCGTTTTTTCGAAAAAATTTTCTTCACTGCAGCCCAAAAAACGAAAGACGTTGTGCAAATTTTTTGAGAAAAAAAAGTTGGAAACATTCCTTTCTCGGACAAAATGTAACTCAATCAAAAGCAGGGGGCATCTGCCAAGCGTCGGACGGGAAGGTCGCGAGAATCAAGGAAGAAAAAAAAGAAAAAAATTGAACACCGCCAATTGCATTGCCGACTTCGGTTTCCGTCTTTCAGCCTTCCTTGTTTCTCGGCTAATCCCGCTTCTTTCAATTTGCCGCCAATATTTTCTTCTTCCAGCTTTCTGACTCGGCTTTGAGAATTTTTTCTGCTTCTTCATTCTGATTGAACCTCTGTTTCCAGTTCGAGTATGAAATTATTCTAAGTTCAACGAGCAGAATTTCTCTCTCTTTCAGATAAAAGAATTTTTTTTTTCAAAAGGAAGTGAAGGTTCGAAAAACTTGACCAGAGCCGACATTAATTTAGTCGTGCTATTTCGAGACGCAGAACTCGCACATAAAGCATCATAAGCCGTTTGGAAACCCAAAGAAGAGGCTTTTTCCAGAGACTCCAAGTACGTATGTGTCCTTGTTGGGTTTCAGAAGATTAGTGTAAGAGTCGCTTTCTCGTTTCTCAAAACAACGTGAACGCCGTATTCGCTACTTTTCTGTTTTGAACTCTGTTTCGCTATTTTTTTTTTCGAGTTCTTCGCTCATAAACCCTTTAGAAAATATCATCACCTACCGCTTACAAAAATGATAAGCCCAATTTTTCGACTTTTTTGAGCTTTTGAAGTTTTCAAACTTTTTAATTCTTCTCCCACCTACCGATCGAGTTGAGATTTGAATTTCCTATTCGAGTCCCTAAGAAACTTTTTTCTGACGAGGTTAATTTACTGTTAAACTTGAATTATTATAATTCTTGATTAGCAAAATATTGGGATAATCCATTCAAAGAATCATCCTCGGAACTTTAAACATTCTAATCACATCATACGTTTCCTAGTCACTGCTTGAAAATAATATCAATTTTTTTCTGCTGTTTTTTTCTGAATGAGTAAGTGACAGCTGATTATTCAAGTTGAGAAAGTTAACTTAACTGTTATTCAACTCATAAAAAAAGAAGCGCAGGCGAAGGAATTCGGTTCCTCTTTCGCAAAAGGAACAATTAGGAGTATTATAAAGTGTGGCCAGCGCCGGAATTGCAGCAAGAGCTATAGCCGGCCGGCTTAATTGTGACTTCGGAGTGAGAAGTGGACCTACTACGATAATCTAGTTTGGTTGTGGACTCCCAGCACGACATTTGATGGACGGTCTTTGGAAGTTTTAACTTCGGATTTTTGGAAACAAGTACTCGGAAAAAAAGACAGCTTCTGTGCTTTTTAATTGGATTAAAAAAAGGGAAACTCTTAAACTTTTTTTAAAAATTCAAAAACAATTCCATTACAAGCTACGCTTGTCTCGAAGCGCTTTATGCCAAGATGAATTTGGGAGAATTAAAGCGATATTCCTAGCCTTAAATTAGTTTTTGAAACCGCAAAGCAATCTTGACTCTTCAAACCATTTCACATGCAACCATGGAGTCTCAAATCAAGACGATCAAACTAGGAAAAAAAGTGAATTTTGATCTCTCTTACTCTTGAGTATCCCCGCTCCCCATTCATTCAGAGCTGTGAAGCTCTCAGAATCCAATCAGAAGCAGATTTTCAGGGAGACTGTTGTTTTTCAATAAAAAAAACAACACATTTCGTACTTTTTACTCATCCTTTAGTTTTTACTTTGGTTTATCCGACTCGACCACTGTTTTTTCAAGGTTCAGAAAAGCAAAAGCAACTGCATGTCAGATCAAATGGAGCCGCATTAGATAAATGAGCGGCGGATTTCGTGTCGACATGTTGTTTTTTCCTCGAGAACACTTGTTCCAAGAAGATTTTTAATTTATGAGCGTCTAATTTTATCCGAAAAGTCACATTTCTTCTCAAAACTTTGGTATGAAGTTAAAGATCAATACGGCCTCTGGAAAAACTTTTTTCTACCGATTGAAAATACTTTTTGAAACTCCCAGTTTTGAGCATATCAAGGCAATCTATATAACATGAGCTATGACTTTTTCAACTACCACTGAGCATGACGTTTTAGTTTATCCCTCACTTCGAAAAGATAGACTTTTCTAGAAGCGAAGATCCTCCGAGAATAGTCGAGAGCACATCATTCATTGACCTTTTCCAGAAAAAAAAAAATGCAAAAGTTTAAAAATATTACAGTGTTAGCAAAATGACGTAATAAAACATTCAATCAAAAATTTAAGAAGTAAATCTATCACTTTCGGAAAAAAAGTAAAAAAAGAGAAAAATGAAAGTCCAGGCGTTGAATTTTTGAAGTATGACAAAAAAACGGAAACTGGAAATACATATACTTGAAGCATTAGTTTATATAATTTTTGATGTAGTTCATTTTTGGGTGAATAATATGAAGACTTTTGATGAAAAAAAGTTTAACTCAAAAGGTGACGCGTTTTTTTCTGCAAACTCTGCATTTTCAATACTCTTTTTTTTCCACGAGTCGCTT